CGATATTGCGAGCCTAGAAGATTACAACTGGCTATACTGCATCCTGGACGAAGGGCACGTGATCAAGAACGCGAAGACCAAACTAACAAAAGCTGTCAAGGCTATACATGCACAGCATCGTCTCATTCTTTCGGGCACTCCAATCCAGAATAACGTATTGGAGCTTTGGAGTCTTTTTGACTTCTTGATGCCTGGCTTCCTTGGGACCGAAACGTCGTTCAACGAGCGATTCAGCAAGCCAATCCTGTCAAATCGTGATGGAAAGGCGAAAACTGGTGAAGCTGGTGAGTGATACGTCCTGAGAACTATTTCGCTGTTAACCAAATTTTCTATAGCTGCTCTTGCTCTCGAAGCTCTGCATAAGCAAGTCCTGCCCTTCCTATTACGCCGGCTGAAAGAGGATGTCTTGAATGACCTACCCCCAAAGATCATTCAGGACTACTACTGTGAGCTGTCAGAGGTACAAAAAATGCTGTACGACGACTTCTCCAGCTCACAGGCCAAGACGAATGTGGAGGATGCCATCCAAGGAGATGTCAAGGATGCTCCACAACAGCATGTTTTCCAATCACTACAGTATCTCCGCAAACTTTGCAATCATCCTTCACTGATCCTGAAGACCAACCGAGACGCCGTCATTGCAGCACTTGCCAAGATGAATTGCAAAATCAACAGCCTGAACAATATTCAGCACGCACCGAAATTACTTGCTTTACGGTATTGTCTTTCTCTATGTGTATAGTTGTAATACTCAAATGCGGGGCAGGCAGCTACTGACAGATTGCGGTATTGGAGGCAGTCCTTCGGTTACCGGTGAAAGTGGGAAGAACGATCCTGCGGAGAGCTTGTCGGAGTCGAGCAGTGCATTCTCCCAGCATCGCGCTCTAATCTTCTGTCAGATGAAGCAAATGTTGGACATCATCGAAAATGATCTCTTCAAGCAATACATGCCTTCCGTCACATACATGCGACTCGATGGTGGAACCGACCCTAACAAGCGTCATGCTATTGTTCAAACATTCAACTCGGATCCCAGTATTGACTGCCTCTTATTGACAACGCACGTTGGTGGGCTTGGTCTGACCCTCACTGGAGCAGATACTGTAATATTTGTGGAACATGACTGGAATCCCATGAAGGATCTTCAGGCTATGGACAGAGCTCACCGCATTGGACAAAAGAAGGTCGTCAATGTGTATCGCTTGATCACGAAGGGCACACTGGAAGAGAAGATCATGGGGTTAGTTCTTTGTTTATTTCTTTTTGTATCTTGTCACTGACAACGCTCGATAGTCTGCAACGCTTCAAGCTCAACATTGCGAACTCAGTTGTGACGCAGCAGAACTCCGGTCTGGCGTCGATGGATACAGATCTTGTTCTAGATCTTTTTAAACGAACAACGGAAGATGAAGACGCGACGGCAAAGAAGAAGGCGAATGCGCCAACGGGTCCTGTTAGCCAGAAGAACCTCCTGGCAGGCCTCGAAGACATTCCCGCCGAAGATGAGTATGAGGGACTTGATCTGTCGAGTTTTATGGGCTCCTTGGGCATGCAGTGAGGTTGGCGATTCTAGATTCGGCATTCATATTGATCGAACACTGGCTTGGTTTTCACTTGACTACATATGTTGCATCTATAGTAGAATGTACTCATACTCCACCGATAATGTATAGTGTAGATTAAATTACGAATAGGTCTTTCCTCTGACTTAGACCTGACTCCAGCGTAATAATAATTGACAGTAATCGCAGGAATCATGCATGCTACGGCGTGACTTAAGGAGGCGTGACAGTGTCAAGTTGCTCGGGACCTTCAAGTTGGCTGGTCAGCGCTCAGCAGTGCCAGCGGCAAACTCGTGCAACTTTTGTCATGCATGTCTGTCTCTTGCCAGCAGAAATCCTACTTGATATATTCGCAATTATCCATGAAGACTATAACTCAGTAATCTCTCATGCCACACTTGCTGCTCTTGCAAGAACCTGTAGGACATTCAAGGAGCCTGCGCTTGATACGCTTTGGAAACATATCGATGGATTCGAGCCACTCATCTTGTGCTTCCCTGAAGGTGTCCATGATAGAGATGTGCTAGGCCTAGGAAAGTTGGTGAGCTTGACATTTTCAATCATGATGCAGGTCGACATATGAATTCCCACAATTTTCAAATAGACGTTCATCAGACCTCCCTTCGCAAGAGAGTGGGACATTTTTTCTCAATATGCACACCGTATCCGATCCTTGACCTTCGAACCCTCTGAGTCAGATGTCATAGACGACCGAATTGTGCAGGCGCTCATTTCTGCGCCATCACTCACACTGTTGCCGAACCTTTGTAGGTTGCATTGGTTCAATGACCAAGAACGCTTCATTCCACTATTGCGTTGCCTCCTTGTGCCAACTATCAGATCGTTGGAGCTGCGCTCTAGTAGTTCAGGAACCTCCTGGGTACCCTCCTTTGCCAAATCAGCCTTGTTAATTTCCCTTGGAGCTCGGTGTCCATCCATTCGGGAATTCAAGTGTGTATACCAAGGTGATTCTGAAGACAATTCAGACATAATATCCGACGCCGTATGTGGTTCGCGGGAGCTTTTCCATCTTGAGACAGGGGTTCTTAACACACAAGCGCTATATCACTTGGCTTCTTTGCCATCATTGAAGTCTCTGTACTTCAGGACATACAATATTGACAGCACACAAACCGATGGCCCAGAATTTATCTCCCAAATCAATCTGGTGCATATCGCTGCACCGTCGCTTTTTGCTCTTGCTCACTGTCTTAGAAACATCCGTTTTCTTTGCTGTCGATCAGTAGCGTTGGACATCGATTTAAACCCTTGGGGGGCACCTTATGATCCACTGGTTGTTCCAGAATTCATCATCTCATTTTCAAAGCACTTCTCTCCTGCTCTCGAACACCTCAGTGTCAGCTTCGAGCCCCCCCTCTTCTCCCTGGAAGACGAAGACATACTCGCTGATTCCCATTTTGCACTTGCCTTCGATGTGATTGCCCCGTTATTGTCCTTGAGTCGCTTGACAAAGGTAGACCTCGATTGGATCTGCGCTTCGGCCATTGACGATGCATCACTCAAGAGAATGGCGCAATCTTGGCCTCTGCTCCAGGAGTTTTACTTTGGAAGTGGGTGTCGTTGGCTGGTCCCACCATCTCTCACCTTCACAGGATTCATATACCTTATACAACATTGCCCGGCCTTGCGCACCATTGACATGACTTTCTGCGCATGCTCGGTAGATACCAATAGCGAGCCGTTCGCCAAAACCATTCCCAACGAGAATATCACCAACATATTTGTGGGGATGTCTCCGATTGTCGACCCCGTTGCCGTGGCCTGTCAATTGCATACGTTAGTGCCCAACTTGTCCGGCGTGGACCGCTTTGGACCGCTTTTGGACGTGGACCCCACATCACAATTTCGAAATATTGATGAGGGTTGGGCTAAAGTTGATGAGTTTCTGATGGTGCTCAATACAGCCGCAAAAATGAAAAAGAGCATAGACCAAGTTATACATGAGTGCCCTGGTGCACCCTAGCGTTTCGATTGGGTGGTGACACGGATACGAGATGGAACCATATATTCCCAACGTCTACTGAGCTCGTCTTCACCTTCTTACTACTTTCCTCATTTTGATCGTCTATTTGCATCATCACAACCACACTTAAGGTTTCTTTTTGGTAATCACACTTACCTATACCTAGCGTACACTGACATTTCAATGAGACAAACCCTCGCTCATATTTACCGACTTTCATTCCCATAATCTTGGCTTAGGAAGGCTGCTGTTTTTCTGTTCACGCTTTACCCATTGCTTAAAGCGAGCGTTCCCTCAGTGGAGAAGGCTCAGCTGCCAGTAGAAACGGGCACTCGACGCGACGACGAACTGCCCAATGAGTGAGAAAGCTTGTAGATATACTCAAGGCCTCGTGCAGCAGTACATATTGAATGGTTGCACGAGATCAAGAGCTGTTTCTCTTACTGGACGGGGCCTATGTAAATTAACCACCAACTCGGATGGCGTGCCTCAATAGCTCCATGGTACGCAGATGCCATTGAATACATGTAAAACTCCCAAGTCCGATTGCAATCAGTCAGAGACTAGATTCATGTGAAATTGTCGGTCTTCAGACCCATAAGTGACTAGACACAATGCATCACCGATTAACAGACTGGCCCAGCCAGTGTTGTCGCCATAAGGAGGGTATCTATAGATACTATTCTGCTCAATAAGCGACACGCGGTCGATGGGTGGCAGTGGGGGTTTTCATGCCACGGATTAGAATCGATCAGTCTTTACAATGCTCTTCGTAACAAGCACAGGGCGTGATTTTTTCACGGCCTCACGGTAGAAACCTCGTTGTGACACGGCGCACACAGCATCGTGAATCTCGTCATCTGGAAGGCAACAGAGAACGCACCTAAGGCGAGTCCCGAGGACAAATAGCAACATTGCTCTGATTGTGACTCTGAGAGGATTCCTCACTCTGGCGATGACCATCGACATTAGATTTGTTAAAGTAGAACTGCGTGACATGGGGACGCGCGGGCACGAAATATTGACATAAGGTCGTATGAAGAAGCACTGCGGTGCAAGATCCGGCACACGCTCGTGACCGTAATATTGGAAATTCGCCAACGAATTTCGGGGTTTCCGTAGTAGATTCCCTCGACAAGAGACGCAAAGACACGGAGCCACCAATCCGTCATCCCTTTAGGGTATAGTATGACAAGATTGCACAATGCGAAGTCATAAGAACGTGCTCCTGTAAACATTCATTCTGCAATAGAGAAAGATTCAGTTGAGAGACCGCGACAGGTACAAGGTCAACAGCACGAACATTATATGCACAAACTGCGCACGCGCGATGTTGGATATTGTTTCTTGCCATCCAGCAACGATCCGCATTTCGGAAACTGCGGATCGTCCTCGATAACGACGCCAGCAAAAGGGCTGTACGCACGGCGATGAGTAGCAGTGTCCTGTTCTTTACTCACGGTCTATTGTGGCTCAGGGAGTTGAGCACGAGAAGAAGGCCTCGGAATAGCGGGCGCGTGTTCGCTCGACTGAGCAAAAGGGTGATGGAGAAGTTCGGAAGTAAAGTTGCGTCACGGATAGAGCAGATGCTTGACAATCCTCAGTACATGCATGAACACGCAGCAGATTACGCGCATAGTCACAAGCATCGAACACTCTGATGGACAGAAAATGAACGTGCGCCAAGTCATTGAAATCAGCACGAGTCATCATCGGAAAATGACCAATCAAATGACGGATCTCAGCCCATATAATGTGCATGAGGAACGCAGCGCCATTCCTATTGGATGGTCTCATACTCGAAGGCACGAAAGTGCGGCAACCCTTCCTCCGCGCATTGCTCTGAAACAGAGTAACATCGAGTCCATCGATGAATATCTTTACGATGTTTCTCACCCCAAGTCAGCTAACTATGACAAGCACTGGACTGCAGGAGAGATTGCCCGAAAATTCTCACCCTCAGAGGAATCCATTTCCGCCGTCAGAAACTGACTTGTTGAGAATGGGCTAGCGAGCGAGCGCATCTGCGCGGATGCGTACCTTCACGCTATGAGAGATCATCTACATCCAAGCAGGCACATTCGCAAACTATGCAGGAGAGCTATGTCACCTACAACAATGCTGATGAACCTATCGTAAACCACGACTTTTCGTTCGAAGGACAGAGTCCTCAGGAATGCGTACCATTTCCGAGTGAGATCCTCAAGTTAATGTGAGCTACCGTCGTGTCTCGCCAGAATCAGCCAACTCTTTGTTCACGCCTGTTGACATTTTGATCAGAAGTGTATGCCTTCGTTGGCGCATTGATATCCTATCGTCTGAACTGCATTTGAACTGCAAACTTCGGAATACGCAGTTATTGCGTAGTGACATATGCATGAAGCAAGCATAGTTCCCAGCCTAGAATTAAGATATGATGATGGCAGACTTTGTACTTGCATACATAAGTACCCTTGGCCAATTTAAATTATTTATGTGTGTTTGGAACATGGCAAGTGCCAGCGAGGCACACTAGTACTTCTATGCTTATTTCGCGAGAAAGCAAGAGATGAATTAAACAAACAAGGACATGACTTTACTAAGTTTCGAACGACAAGCGGATACTAGCATTAGAGTCCAAGAACGTAACTAACTAACTCGAATTAAACATATGTTTGGGCAAAACCCGCCAGGGTTTTCGACCGAAACAGGATTCAACGCCTTTCGGAAACAGGCAGGAACACGCTGAGATGGGCGGGTGGGCCAAGCATCTCGAGAAAGATTGTCGATATCCTGCATCAGATCAGGAAAATTACACGAGTGATATCATATTGTTACTTACACCACAACTTGAAGTCAACATCTCCGGGTCTGTGAGTCCCAAATTGGTAGATCATCGCTGTCTCGAGGCACACGATCACCAATGACTTTTGCACCCACTGACAATCGTTGTACTCTTATGCCCAGAGTGCCAGGAGATGGAGTAGTGTAGGACCGAGGAAACGGCCACAGAATTTGTTGTAAACGTTGAATGATGGAAAGACGAACAATCGCAAGTGGCAGTTTTATTGTGTTGGTATGATGTTCATCAGTGTTCAACAATGTGACGTTGAATTCCACGTGATCTGGTCCCCAGGCTGCAATATTGGACAGTGATGCCGAGAAAATTGGAAGTGGTATGGGGGATGCAAAAACGTTGAAGACGTGACGATGTACAACGATGAGATCCCCGGATCCCAGATATGTATGATGTCCTGGAGTGATAAATTTATCGAATGTCCAGACATCGCGTTCTGTGAAGGTAGGAGATGTGCCTATGATCATAGTGACAGCCAAGACAGTAGCTACTGGTCCTGCTGCTATGCTGGATGACACTGTAGCATTCTCTGGAGTAGCTTCTCCAGATGTAATGTCTAAATTAAAGAGCGACAAAGACATGCGTAAAGAATGGGTGTTTCTTGACAACTGTGTTCGAAACTGTCTGTTATAACTCCCCAGCATGTAATTAGTCCAGAAGTAGTGTCCTGGAGCTAAGTCGCCTTAACTACAGCTCTAGAAGGTGCAAACCGCCTAGAGTGGATCCACATTAGCTCATCAATCAGACCCTTGCTGTCTATTACCCACTAACAAAGTCGGCTTTACACAAAACCAATATATGCATGCCATGCTATTGGTGGGATGTCATTTATGTGACGTATATGTAAATTGCCCGCTAGTGCCCAAGGTTTTGTCATACGGTCCGAAGCCGTAACCATTGATCTGCTTCTAGGGAGAGGAGGGTGGGTGTTTCAAAGAGGCAGATTCAATTGTAACGAAGCAGAGAATAGCAGATAGTAGCAATAGCTGTAGGTACTATCGTCGAAGAGGAGGAACAAGAAGGCGTGTGCTTTCTGTACTCAAAATGGCATAGACTTCGTTCTCAGCACGTGCTCGTTCCTCCCACTATTGAGAACACGATCTATGCTTATTTCGCGAGAAAGCAAGAGATGAATTAAACAAACAAGGACATGACTTTACTAAGTTTCGAACGACAAGCGGATACTAGCATTAGAGTCCAAGAACGTAACTAACTAACTCGAATTAAACATATGTTTGGGCAAAACCCGCCAGGGTTTTCGACCGAAACAGGATTCGACGCCTTTCGGAAACAGGCAGGAACACGCTGAGATACCCTTCGACCTAGGAGTGAAACGACGCATCTAGCGTGAGATTGACCCTAAAAACCAAAGGAGGTGCGCGACACTTACTGTATTTCCACTTTAAGGGAGCGTGAAACGCATGAAAGGATCCAACACCGGCCGATCTTGTAAATATGGTGCCAAGATCACCGCATGTCGTCGAAGATAGATCAAGAATGCGTCGCTGGACCAACGTCCCATTGTTTTGACCGATTCAAAAGGCACGCCTCGGAGTAGATACTCCAGAGTTCCTCCAATTCTAATTCCGTGACCTTTCAGCGACTCTCCACCTAGTCTATCATTTGCGCCTTGTAAGCACTTGAGAAATTGGGACTTCGTTAAAGGTCGTATGCCCGTGCGATGCTTCCAGCTAAAGAGTGCGTCTGATGCGTTTGGCTTGTTGACTGCCAAATGATTGGCGAGTGCAGCACGTGGATCTTCTACTCCAGATTGAACCGCCCAGAAAACGTCTTCTCCCTCTAATGCAACCTTGGTGCGCGGGAGACGAAAAATGGTGACTTCGAGACCGTTCCTATCCACGTCGATCTTCATGTCACTCACTTTGACATGCACACGCGCGTCGAAGCTTTGAAGCGAGGGAACCGTGAATTCACCGGTCCATGCTATGGTGAAGAAGGACGTCGTCAAACACGCATAGACTGCTGCGTCGAGAGGAGATGTAAGATCTAAGGCGGCGTGCAGGTTGCGAATGAGTTGGATTGTAAATGGTGCTCGTTTGGGATGCGTGGAGGCCAGGGGAGCTAAACGTTTGGCCCCTTCTAAGGCTAGTGATATCTGGTCGTGGTTGACTATCCAGTCTTGACCGTGGAGCAGGTGCCAAGCACGAACAGAGTGAAGATAGTTCTCGAGAGTCCGCCCTGAATACATCCCAGCGCAAGATGCTATGAAGGCGAGTATTAGAATCGAAGACGCTGGGCAACGCTGGGTCTCAGGGATCTTACGAGAGTCGCAGAATACATGGAATACCAGCAACCCAGAACCATACGTCTCTCTTGTGCTGGGTGCGTGAGAGTTAGCCACCACTATCAAAATGCGATCCAGATCCTCCTCCGAAAACGTTACTGTCGAGCCCGTGTGGTCTAGGCAAGAACGAGACACTGCAGGCACCCATAACCTCAACCTATCGCGCGCTAAGCAATGCGGTCTCAAGGATGACGCGAGAGGAGTTAATGTGGGACGGTATGGACGTGGGGATGCTGCAGAGTTCGGCAGTGCCACAACGTTTAGATGAACAAAACGAGACAACCTAGTCACGCCAAGCGCTGTGGAATTGGATAAGATCGGATCCCCAATCCCTATCGTCCTCCTCGTCAGCCAACCCATCAACGCTTGATTCCTCATCGACGAAGTGTCTGGGGCGTGTGGTTGATAAGTCTGCATTGACGAGTAAACGCTCGAGATCACCGGGAAGGTGGATGGGTGGGAGGAGGAGATGTTCTGGGGGGTAGATTCCCCTGGAAGGACCATCTGCTGGATTATCTCGGCTGGGGACGTAGCAGAGATGCACTGAGCGTCCGACGGAGTCAAGCAATTGACGAGTCCGCCGAAACACAAGGTTTGTGGCCCAGTTTCTACTCCATCCATTCTTCCATCCGTTGACAATCCCTTGGTTGTCGCAGAAGACGCGGAAAAGCTGCGAAGGACGGTCGCGGTAACGATGGAGGAGGGCGTGTATGAGGAGTTCGAACCCCACACATTCTGCCCAGCCAATGTCTCGTTGCCCGTCGAGGGTTCTCCAGCCTGGTTCAAGGGTCCAAGCGCGCCAATACCCATCGATAACAATTGCAATTCCGACGGACGTGCTTGCATCAGAGAAGGCACGGGCGTCGATAAGGGATGAGGGCTGTGAGATTGAACGCTTGACGTTGGCCTGTGCAAGTATGTTTTCCCACCAGGTGAGGTCGTCGTTGAGGTGACGAATGGCGTGATGTGGCACGAAAGGACTGTTACCGCATATTCTGAGCATGGTTTCCAGGTTGGTGAGGTAAGCACGTCCTGCTGTAACAACCAAGCAGGAGTGTAAGAGTTTTCCATAGAGCCGTTGTACCTCCAGGAGAACGTGCGTCGGTTTCGAGCGCCACTCCGTGATGGCCGCCAGGTACTTCTCCCTTTTGGCCGGAGACAAACTGGCCGAAAGCGAGGCGATGTTACAGAACAAACCCAGGTACAGGGCCACGGGGGCGAATGCTGTGTCTTTGGAAGGTTCCCAAGGTATACCGAGAGGAGTCGACGCGCGATCGATGTCTGCAAACGAGAAAGTAAATTCATTATCGAAGGTAGAGCGTAAGGATGTTTGTGATAAGTCGCGCAGCGGGAATTTGCAGTCTTCAGCATACACTTCGAAGCTTTCGTCTTCGAAGCTACGTCCTTGATACCATAGACGACCCCCTGACTTAATTTGTCCCTTGACCACCAGACTTTCATGTACTTTTTTCCGCAACTCGTTATACTGGAGTAAGTATTTCCATTTGATCCGAAAGAAAATGTGGTCATCGACCCATTTGGCCAAAGGACCAAGACCTGCTGCTCGCAAGAGATCAGTTCCTCCATCGGCAACATGACCATATGCTCCCGCGGACGGACCCATACCGAAAGATATGCAGGTGTCCACACAGAACTCTCCATCGGGTAGTTGTACCACCGCTGCCGGCCACTGTGACTCATGTAGCGGTATTGTGCAATAGGCTTCTGCAACATCTCGTGTGGCTGCTTGCGATCCCGGTGGAAGTGAGCGCATGATGGTGCAAATGGTGTCGAAGGTTCCCCAGGTGCAGGGAAAGTCGTCTGAGTTAACACTGGAATTGATGGACATATTGAGATAAGTCGGAGAGCAAGCCAAAGGAAAGGAGAAATTCTGAATAACACGAAATCTTCCGGGTTTTCCCGGTTTAGGTATGATGGATATGGGAGACGATTGAAAGGGTCCCAGCAAATGCAGCAACTCGTCGTGTGAGAAAGGGCCGATGTATCTACCGGTGATAAGCTCTCGTTCCAGGATCTTCTCGAAGGCTGTCCGAAAGGTGATGAGCGAAGAACCGTTGGGAGGTGTTTGTGTGTGTTGAATGGTGGGGATGTTAAGATTAAAACCGCGTTGAAGTCCCGCAGGTAAATTCGGGTACCTGTCAAGTAGACCATATGTACATAGTTGTTCTTCCCAAACAGCGTGATTATAGGGAGTGACTGGCTGTTTGCTTCTGCGCTCGAGAGCACATTTGAGCACCGTGAGACGTGGAGAGGCAACCTGAGCACACGTGACGCTCGTCGTGCTGGTGACTGGTGCAGCTCTTGGCTCGCTGCCAGTCGACGCATAACGGTTTGTCTGAGTTTCGTAAGAGAAGGGACTTGTTGTTGCGGGTAGCGAGAGCAGCGAAGTTGTTGTCCCACAAACGCTCGGCTGTGCATTCGATGAAGCTGTGCCCGTGACACCCCAAACAGACTGCGCACACGGCTGAGGCGCGATTGCCATGTGCGCCTTCTTGAAAACCCGGCTGCGATGCAGAGGTTTTGCTTGCCCGTGAACCGCTGCTCTTCTTCTCCGATGGGGAGCCAGAATGCCGCTTAGCAGGCGGGGATTTTGAACGCTTCGAGTGTCTCGAACGTTTCCGGGAATGAGAGTCCCCTTGAACGTTTCGAGAGTGATCTCCCTGTTGCTGCATCTGATGATGGCATCATGGGATTCAAGCGAGTTTTAACGCATAACGCCGCAGTAAACGCAATTGTAAAATCGCAACGCGAAGGTTTAACGCAAGTACCCAATTATCACGTCAAGTGAATAGATCACATCGTGGATAAGAGCGAGGGTAGAATATGAAAAGAAAATAGTTAGTTCAGATTCTACCAAATCATAGATTTACGCACCTGAGTATCTGGGTTCGTTACGTCTGGGCGGAAGAGCGAAGCACGATACATGCGATCGAAGGTGCGGGACAAAGCTTGTTCATCAATTATGGATATGTTCCACGCTCCTTTTGCTGAAGGTATCGCATGGTGCCACGCACGACGTTGTTCTTCCTGGAACAGTAGAATGGTTCTTTGTGCTAGCAAATCTCTGGAGTTCCAGTATCGATGCAGCATGATGGCTCCCCAGAATCTAGTGAGCATCACCACTCGTTGGGGAGCCCAGTCTCGTTCTTCAAGAGCGTTAACTATGCGCGGGATGGCTTGAGCGAAGTCTGCTGGAGTTAGATCACAATCAGCAATAACTCCTGCGGAGGGTTTGGACGCTGCAGAGCTTATCCAGACCGTGGAGCCATCTTCTCCGGTGGTAGGAACCATGCTATCGTCGTCGCGGGTGCGATAGTTGGTTACTGCATCGTCGAGACCGTCGTTGGTCCAGTAGTATAGTTCGACATAATGACCTTTGTCCAATTTTCGCAGAGCAAATTCTGACACTAAAGCCTCTTCATCGTTGGTGAAGGGTCTGGGTCTCATCGGAATCTCTAGATGCTTGATCCGGTTCTTTTTCTTCTCGTCCGCTTTCAGCATGTCTTCTTCCAGCTGATGAGCGACTTGAAGACGTTCCGCTTCTTCCTTTGCTACACGCTTCTCTTCCTCTGCTAACCGAGCGTCTTCTGCTACCTGCTCGACCCATTGGACACAGAGAGCTTCGTTAGTAGTCGTCCAGATGTTGCGTAGCGTATCTGCTGCTTGAGCTTCTGTCACATTGGCGGTGACCATACTTGTGCGGCTAATTCGGTACCGTTCTATCATGAAGTCCGGACAGATTAGAAAGCTGGGATCCGAGTGAAGTCTGTCCATTGTTTCAAAGAGGCAGATTCAATTGTAACGAAGCAGAGAATAGCAGATAGTAGCAATAGCTGTAGGTACTATCGTCGAAGAGGAGGAACAAGAAGGCGTGTGCTTTCTGTACTCAAAATGGCATAGACTTCGTTCTCAGCACGTGCTCGTTCCTCCCACTATTGAGAACACGAACTTAGCAGTTGCAGTTCGGTGAGGTACTAACGTACTGCGATTGTAAATGAGAGCAATTCTTAAAGATCAACGCGGTGCTTGGCAATGAGAGCCTCCTTGACGTGACGACTTGGCCGCAGCACTACCAAGCCTTGCTTTGAATAACAACTTGAAGTATAAAAACGAAACGGGTTCAACCCCAAACTCCCAATTCAAACGACTTGATTTACTCTGACGTCAAAAAGTCAGCTCAATATTACCCCAACGTGATGGCCACTACCTCTGGAATTGGTGTCTCCCCCGAGCTGACAAAAGCATTCTCTGATGCTGTCGAGACAAAGAATGTTCGGTTCTTCAAAGTCATCATTCAGGACGGTTTGTGCTAGTTTACCTCTCTGCATCATTAGTGATCTCATGCCATCACAGAGTCTCTCGTTCCTGTAGACTCATTGCCAGTGACGGATTCCTTCAACGAGGATTTGGTACAACTTCAAGATTATCTCGAAGACAGGGAACCATGTTATATCCTGGCGCGTCTCGATGATCCTCCTTCAGAATGGCTTGCCATCAGCTATGTGCCAAATTTTGCCAACGTTCGGGATAAGGTAGGTATTGTTGTTGATATCGCTGAACTCAATCTGATCAGCCCAGACATTGTATGCTTCAACACGTAGTTCTTTGACCAGGTCGTTGGGCTCGACTATTTTCACGGACAGCCTATTTGCGATTTCTAAAGCGGATTTGACACCTGAAGCCTATGAGGCTCACAAGAGGCACAAGGCTGCACCCAAGCCCCTGAGCGCACAGGAGCAAGAGATGGCAAATATCAAGGCAGCAGAACGAGAAGCTGGAAACAGTTATGAAGGCAGCAATGCAAGAAAGAACCATATTGGTCAACGCGTTGGTCTGTCTTGGTCCTCGGAAGCTGAGGACGCTGTGAAGGCGCTTGGCTCGCGAAATGATAGTCGGATTGTCATATTGGTTCGTATCGCTATTGGTTACATCCAGCGAGGTGTTCACATGTCGTTTCAGAAAATTGAACCATCAACCGAGTCGCTTGAGCTGGACTCTTTCGTAGATGTAACAGTGGACAATTTGAGTTCAAGCATACCAAGTGACCAACCATGTACGTGCTCCTCGCACCACGATTGTGCTTTATGTGATACGCTCACGCGTTCTTTCATTAGCATATGTATTCTATGCATGGGCGAACCCGTATTCTCAGGCAGGCGGAGATGTCGGTTTGTGTCATTACACCCGCTGCATCGCACATGATACATCTGACTTACTTGCTCAGTCTTTATATACTCTTGCCCTACGACATCACCTGTTCGATACAGGATGCTCTACTCATCAGCGGCAATATCAACTTATCTCGCTGTGAAGGAATTCTTGGTGGAAAGTGGGTCAACATTCCCGCTTGCCACAAAGAGGTTCGAAACGTCGGACCCAGCGGAACTCGATGAGTCCTTCCTCAAGGCTGGTCTCAACCATAATGGACCCGTAGATGCTATTGTTAACAATAATGGTGCTCGGGAGGATTACCCTGCAAAACCCTCATTCGCGAAACCGAAAGGCCCTGCAAGGAGACGATGAAAGCTAAAGAAAGATGGTAATATTGTAACTAAATGTGCAGTAGTGTGAACATACCAACTTAGATACGAACTTGTATAAGTAATTGGCTATAACTTGTATGGATGGTTGAGGGAACGTGAGTCGTGACATCCACACTTACATATCCTTCCGGGAAAAGAATCATTACTATGCACACCGGAGTTTCGTCGGCATGCAGGGTTTGGTGCTAGTGGGACTCCGCCGAGCTCCGAACACGCTCGTGCTCATTGGGCATGTGACAACCAAATACACACTTATAGCGTTACCATGTCTAGCGAACACCGAAGACTTGTACCCCATCCATGTTGGCTACGTACGTCTCGAGAGCGACGTTCGCCCCAGTTTTCAAACCTCGTGCAACCATCTTCCTTAGAGCAAGATGGTACAGTACTCCTTCGGAACTTCCACTACCCAATAAGTCGAAGGTGTGGGAGTCTGTCGACGAAGCAGTTAAGGATGTAAAGTCAGGAGATGTCCTTCTCTGTGGTGGTGAGTATCGTTGCATTTCATCTCTTATATCAGATGTGTGATATTCCGGAACGCAATACCCAGGTTTTGGTTTGGCTGGTGTGCCAGGTGAGTCTCGCTAGAAGGTGGACCTTGAACTGTGTAATTAAGCTAGGATACAACAAGACACACTTCTTGCCGCCTTAGCCAAGCGCAAGGACGTTGCAAAGCTAACAGGAGTTTCCAATAATGCTGGCGCAGGCGACTCTGGACTTGGTTTGTTTTCCACAACTGTCCATGATCCGTGAAACTCATGAATATCCATAGGAAAGTTGTTCAACAGCAAGCAGATTGATAAAGTCGTTGCTTCATACCCTGGAGGGTGAGTGACTCATCTTGTGGGGGCTAGTGCGAGATGAATTATCCGTCTATCCAGAAACAAGGCCTTCGAGGCTCTATATCTCAAGGGCGAGGTGTCTTTGGAGCTATGTCCCCAAGGTACACTCGTTGAACGTCTCCGTGCCCATGCCGCTGGTATCCCAGCCTTCTTCACCCCTACGGGAGCATCAACAGCAGTAGAGGACGGTTCTATCCCAACACGCTACAACGAAGGAGGATTTGCCAATGGTGTCAAGATACCAGGTATTAAGAAAGAATCACGGGAATTCGGAGGTCGCAAGTATATCATGGAGCCTGCCATTGCTGGCGATGTCGCTTTCGTCCACGCATGGAAAGTCGATGAGGTTGGCAACTGTGTGTTCCGGTGAGGAAACAAGATATCATCTTTGTTGCCTATCTGAGCACTGAGCATGTCGATTCGCGCAGGTACGCTCAGCAGAACTTTGGTACAGTTATGGCGAAGAATGCGAAACTTACGATAGTGGAGGTGAGTCGTGGTATCGCGGTAGTTTGCCAGAAGTTGATGCATTCCTTGCAGGCCGACGAAATTGTGCCTACTGGATCTCTTTCACCAAATGCCATCCATATTCCAGGCATTTATGTTGATCGAATTGTTCAGTCCACCGAGCCAAAACTGATAGAGTACACTACGCTCGCGCCAAGCCCGTCATCTTCTGCTGAACCGTCCACTCTGACACCTGAGAAAGAACACGCCCAGAAAATGCGTCATCGTATTGCAAAGCGGGCTGCCAAAGAGCTCAAAGATGGATACTACGTAAATCTCGGTATTGGCATGCCCACTCTCGTTCCCGGATACCTTGAGCCCGATGTGAGCGTTCAGCTGCAAAGCGAAAACGGTATCCTTGGCATGGGGCCATACCCTAGTACGAAAGAGGAGGTGGATCCGTAAGTAGTGCTGCCAGTAAGTTGTTTCTCATACTAAGCCTCTCTTTGTAGGGATCTCATCAATGCGGGTAAGGAGACTGTGACCCTACTTCCCGGTGCCTCGATCTTTGGTATGTTTTCAAATGGTAGTTGTGTGATTCAGCTTCACTTGCTGACTCTACTGCTAGACTCGAGTGAATCATTCGCGATGATTCGCGGTGGTCACATCGATGTTTCCATTCTCGGCGTGAGCGTTTTCACATGTTTTTTAGATAATCTCACAATATCCTGGTTTATCTTGTAGGCTATGCAAGTATCACAGGCAGGTGATATTGCCAACTTTATGATTCCCGGGAAATTGGTTAAAGGTACGTGATCTATATGTATTTTCGCCATTCCGTCTTCCGCTGCGTTCTCACTGTCGATCACATTCTTAGGCATCGGAGGAGCTATGGACCTGGTGTCCAACCCCGACAAGACGAAGGTTATAGTAGTGATGGAACACTGTGCGAAAGACGGCACTCCGAAGATCTTAGCAAAATGCTCTCTTCCGCTCACGGGTGCCGGTACTGTCAGCCAAATCATCACAGAGTTGGCCGTTTTCGATGTCGACAGGAAGAATGGTCACCTCGAGCTTGTCGAGCTCCAGGAGGGCGTAACACTTGATGAAGTCAAAGCGAAGACCGGGTGCGATTTCAAGGTACGGAGGGATCTGAGCAAGCTTTGATTTGCTTTCAGGTTTTGCGGATATTGTGGGGAAATGTTGATACCTTGTGCATTAAATGTATTATTCTTATATCATCCAGACAGTCTCGAACCAACCGCTTTGATTCAAGGCGCCTTCTACGGCGCCGTGTCTTCTCGTCTCATTTACAAATTACAAGAATGTTGGTGTTTTACGCAAGCTCTGGAATGGGGTAAGTAGTGGACTATACATCAAGTACTTTGGAACACCCTCGTGGCTCACACATCTGGTGATGTCCTGCCGCTGAGTTTACGCTGCTTCCTCTCTGCGCAGCAGGACCCTACGAGCCAAAGAGTCATTTTTACATTTCCTCTTACACCCCAACTTTCGTGGCAGACTTCTTGACATGCGCCCGTTCAACATTTTGTAGCCATCGGTCAAGCCAGAAAGAGGCAAAGAACATTGGTGCCGCTGCTGAATTAGATGTTATGGCTCTGTGTCGCGTCCTTCATGTCATTTACATCGCACACGGACAGCCCGGTGCGACAATCCAGGGCGCTGACGCATTCAGATAAAAACACTGGCTTTACAGGGCTTCACCTGTTGAGTATAATAATAAGGGTCATTGAGGACTCGAACCTCAAATTCACCCGTCTTTCATCTCTGCCATCTGCCATCTCGGTAAGCACCCCAAATAAAAAACTCAGTGAACTACAACTGACCGAGTTCCAAGGCCGACATGCAAGCCCCAGACATGTATCATACTAGAATCGAGGTCACTCATGACTGGGCGATCTATATTTCGACCGATCCTGGCCGATCTCATCCCACGAAATCCTCTGCACTCCGTAGAGTCGGGGATCCTTCATCATTCAGAACCAACGTTTAATGTTCAACGATAAGACACATATTGAAACGCTCTGTCGCAGAGGGTTACAATGATCCAGATGTCGAATTTATCACTGCATGGCGCTGTGAGGGACATCCGAAGCTTGCGGCAATTGGATGTCATTCCCTAAGTTCTACTCCTGAGAGGTGAATTGCTATATCATTGTAATCAGGTATTTTGGTAATTTACAAGCTAAAGCTCACATGAGATACAAAACAGCATATGTGCAGACTAGAATGCCTTAAAAATCAGCACAATTGCCAAGGATTCCACCTATCTTTTCCAGCTCACCTTTCTGAAGGCATGTTATGTACTTTTCTGTATATGAATGCCCAATGCGCATTGAGCTTACTGGCACGAATGCATATATTCACACGCCGCACAACATGAGATTCCGTGGTGGCTTTTGGTGTTATTCGAGTTGTATTCTCTCGTCTCCTTTGCTTTCTGGTTGACGCGATAATTGTACGTGCAATGCAGCTCGGGTACGTACCAGTAATTAGCCTTTCGCTGTATATAACGTTTTGATTAGCAACGACCAGACAAGTACTACCATTCGCATACTTTGGACAATGGAGTAGATCGTTTCGAGACAATACAACACTGGACTTTTTTGGGACTTGGCAGTGGATACTCTTCGGAGTTTTGAAAATGCCTGGTAGGTGTGGCACGGCCAGAGACTGAGTCCCCTCATCTGAGTCATTTCTTTCTTCTCGTCGATAAGCTTCGGCTTCAGCTCCTAAAATTTGTATTCTAAAAGTACACCTGACTTTATGCTATGCTATATGATGGCCGAATCCCACCAGCGTGCCTGGCTTAACGAAGGGTGACCAGTTCTACGCACATCCGTCAGCATGTCAAATCTATCAAATGATGGAGCCCATTCACCTTCAGCAGATGTTGGATGGATAGCAACCGTGTCATCTAGGTCCTGTTTCCGGGCTTGACACATGCGTCAGTTATCAACTGAAATATGACGATGGAAAGCACTCACCTCCCATCTTGACGGCCACTGCAAAACCTTGCATTACCTCGTCGCTTCCTTGTCCAATAATATGTACACCGACTACACGTTCTTCTTCGCCAACAACAATAAGCTTGTACACGGTAGGCTCCTTGTGCTCTTCCTCAATTTGAGAGAAGTAAAGTGAACGAAAAGAGGATTTGTCTATGCGCTGAAATGAGCATGTTTGTGCTTTTAAAAAGAAACAACGCAGACATACAGATCTTAACAGCAGACCCATACTTCTGGCGAGCTTCGGGCTCCGTTAGGCCTACCGTGCCAATGGTGGGGTGACTATATATGCACTATGAACGAGCACTTCCGACAGAAGAAGAGGTATACTCACGAGAAAACGACCGTTGGGATATCCTCATACAACAATTTGTCGTTCTTGAATTTCTCAGGCCCGAACAGCCTATTTGATAGTCGCCGACCTGCTGCGATAGCGACAGGAGTCAAGAGCGCCTTGCCCTGGACATCGCCGATCGCAAATATATTCTGTAGCTGAGGCTTGCCCTCTACAAACAGGGCCTTCTGGAATTCATCCACAACTACATCGCCCTTCTTGTCGAGCTGGATCCCAAGCTCTTCGAGACCCACACCCTCAGTGTTTGCGTGCCGTCCAATAGCCCACAGCACACAGTCCACCTTGAGTTGTGTGCCATCGTTGAGGTGCACAGTCAATTCACCACCCTTCTGGCCTTCAACTTTGATGACCGATGTATTCTTGTGGATCTTGATTCCAGTGTGCTCCATCCAAGGTGTAAGTGTATCCTGGAGGATAGGATCAAAAGTGCGGAGAACGCGTTCGCGCCTGATGAGAACATGTGTCTCACTACCTAGTGTATGAAGTACACCGGCGAGCTCAACAGCGATGTATCCTGCGCCGACGACAGCCACGCGCTTGGGTTGGTCCTCAAGGTCAAAGAAGCCATCAGAATCGATTCCAAGACTCGCGCCGGGGATCTGGTCGTCACTTGGTATGGTAGGGCGACCTCCAGTGGCAACGGTGATGTAATCACCTGCTATGATGTATGGCTCGCTACCGTCGGACGGCGTGATCTGAACCTCGTTGGGCGAGACTAGACGCGCAGCGCCACCATAGTAGTCCACCTTTTCTTTCTCGAGGTTCTTCTCATATATGCCATTCAACCGGCGAATGTAGGCATCACGCTGCGGTTTGAAGGATGCCCAGTTGAATTGGGGCGGTGGGACATTTTCGAAATGGTACCCTTTGCTTGCATGGCGCAGACGGTCTGCAAGGTCAGCCGCATGCCACATGATCTATGCCAACAATATTCAGGGGGTAAGGAACGAGAAGCAAGAAACGACACACTTTTTTGGGAACGCAGCCAACATTCACGCAAGTACCACCCAGATGCGGTGACGATTCGATGAGAGCAACTTTCTTGCCATAAGATGCAGCGCGACGCTGGGGCGGAGGCACTCAGGATCTACACACGATCACCCTGTTGAAATGACATACCGATGATGCGACTCCTCCGCTTCCACCACCGATGCAGATGTAGTCGTATCTCTCCTGCAGTTTATTGAGTGGTGCCATCTTAGTGCTAGTATTCGAGAATGATCTTGATATCTGGGGTGTGGGAACAAGAGAAGATCAGATACTGAGGTGACCTATGAGCCTATCATGGCACATTCAAGTTGGCAGGGCATTACCTGAAAGAGCCGCTGCGATGCCTGTGCGCGCACTAAGGATTGCGATGTTGTAAATTTCGCAACAAATAGGGCGCTGTGCAATAAAGGGGCCACCTTAAGGAATTGGACGAGCAATGGCTCGTCTGCACTCTAATTATATAGGCTTTAGCACCCTGCTCAGTCAGAACCTTGGTCATTGCTGCGTCATCGAAAGTTGCGGGTCACGTGTAAAGTGACAAAGACACGCGTCACGGGTTACATTTGCCAACGATTATTATGTAAGTTAGAACTTACAAGTTTCGATCTGTAGTAGAAAATATGGCAACGGTAGACTGGACAGCAGATGCAAATGAGGCTCTTACTCTTTCACTAGGTGGGTCACTATACACGAGCTCAAGCATAGCTAACACGCTTCGTGCAGTCCGAGCAGAGGAGGATAAACAGGTGCCCGGAAGCGAGGAAACTTCCGAAGAATTTCATCCGACATTTACTTACCCTGTATGTTTTTACTTTATGTTATACACGCCCCCGTGATACGCTAACATGCTGTCCAGATCTACGGGGAGGAAGAGAAGATTTATGGATACCAAGACTTGGTAATTGACGTGCGTTATACCTCATTCGTGAGTCGACATCGGCGCTGAACATTCAACCGGTGGCCTGCAGCTTCGATTTGCCTCCGGTTCACTGGCACAATACCTCTCTGTGCGCTACGCTCAAAAGCTAGATGCATCTACAACTGTGGACAATGTGGAAGGCATATTAAAAGAGTTCATACCTCCTGGTACGTTTCACTTCTTATACCTTCTACGCCGTAACTGACTTTGTACCTGACAGACTATGATACAGACGAAACAGCATTTCTTACACGTGTCGAAGAAGATGCAGTTTTATTTCAGCCTATAGGCAGCGTCGTACATACTTATACTCGACCCGTACCAAACACGTCAGGATCCACTCGGGAAGTGGTCGAGTACGAGGTGTGCCATGTGAGTGTCATGAGCACTTTCTGCCATGAAATTTTACTGAGGCGCGTACAGGCGACATGGAACGATCCAGGATTCAGAGAATATCACAGGCGAATGCAGCTGTTCATTCTGCTATACATTGAAGCAGGCTCCTACATCAATGAAGACGACGACGCGTGGCACTTTTTTGTGTCGTCAGTTCCTCATTTGTATCTACCAGACTATTTAACCGCGTGAAAACAGGTACGAAAAACGCAAGCGGCAAAATGGCACGAAGACATACCATTTCATTGGGTATTCATCAGTGTACAAATTCTACTGCTTTCCCGAGAAACACCGTCTTCGTCTTAGGTGCGTACTTCCTTTGTGAACTGGATCTACATAATCAATGTATGGTTTGCACAGTCAATTTGTAATTATACCACCGTACCAACACCGAGGCCATGGATGTAAGTACTGATACTATTATCCTACGCCTCTATTAATGCTCAAGTCTTTGAAGCGGAGCTGTATAAAACCATCTATAACTACGTCCTCCTTAACCCCCTCATATCTGAGTTGACAGTGGAAGATCCTGCTGAGGCATTCGAGGACCTACGAGATCGAAATGACTTGAGGATGCTCCTCGCTAACGAGAATTTTATGAAAGAAGGCTTTGGCAACGAGGCGGTTTCGCACGGTGGAGGAAAGGTACGAAAACGGAAAACTCGCGTTCGAGCAAACCCGGTGGGTGCACCATCTGGTACGGTGAAACGCACCGGGAAGATGGGTCCCCCGATAGATAAAGCTTGGTCTGAGATGTTTCGGACACAACTCAAGGTGGCGGGGGTAAGTCCTGAATTTAGTCTATTCTGATCGTGGTTCTGAGTTTTTCCAGCGTCAATGGCAACGACTTATGGAAATGCTTATCTTGAGGCATTTCAACCCCACCGACATTCAGGCTGCAAGAGCATATCGACTGCAGGTCAAGGAACGGTTATATCGTTTCAACTTCGTAGGTCTCGCCGCCGACTTCATCTCGCCTTTCATTAATGTCCTCTCGTCGACAGGAAATCTTGGCCCAATTAGAGAAGGAGGAGCGACTGGAGAAACTGGAGGAGACATTCCAAAGCTTACGAGCAGATTATTTGAGAATATTGGAGATGATCAAGTAGCGCAATTAAACATACCAGTAGTTGCACTCATTATTGTTATTTCACGCACTTATAATATTTCTGCCACCTGTCTGAAGTAAGTTTCGACCAAACAAGGTTTGTATATCAATGGCATGGGGCACAGTGCCCCACAGACAGTAACTGAGTCCCTCGCAACTGAGAACAATGACTTGATGACACCCACATTGACTTCGTTCAGCACCACCAGAACATAACTCACAACTGACAGCAACCACTCAATGATACCTAGATCTATCATAGGCTTCGTTCAGCAACTTATCTATATGAGAAACTATAACAATCTGGCACATCATTAACATTTGCAATGAACGAGAGTAGCCCTTGGCTTGATAATTAAAAAAACAAAATTGAATTACAGCCATTCACAGAACACTAGTAGGCCAAAGTGCAAAAACTACTACATACACGGCAGGATTCAATTCTCCAATCAGATTACACAGGGTAAACTAGTAGTAACTCTCTAGGCCAACTGCAATAGGAAAGATAGCAAGAAATTCATGTCCATCAAGGAGCTCACCCAAGCACCATCGACCTCTCTTCTTGTACTGTTGCAACACTGCTAAAGGCTCAGTGTGGTCAATGTAAAACTCAGTGAACACAGATGAGATGGCTTTGTTGTCACAGTTGTCTTGGAAGAGTGTGCCCCTCAGTTGAGCGGCCTTCAGATAGCTGATGGGAGATGATTCCAAAATCCCCTTGGCATGTTCGTGAATGAAGTCCAAATTGACATTGTTGATATTTGCAGCTTCATGTTATTAGTTGTGATATCCGGATATGATGAGGGTGATAACATTAACTTACCAGCATATTTCGCCAAAGCATTGCAAGAAGCAGGGTGAGATGAGGCCAGACCAACAATGTCGACATCAGAGAATAAGGCATGAAACTTGAGGGCTTGCAAGAGCTGAGTTGCAATGTAACGCTGACGGACTGCTTTATGGACAACAAGCTGAGTCACCCAGCCAACTTGAACGGAATCAGAAAGTGAGATTTTGCAAGAAATTGTGGGACCTAAGCTACCTTTGTTTTTGCCATAATCCCACACAGTAGCAAATGCATGACCATAGAGTTGGGGATGCTCATGCTCAACCTGGAGGTAGCAGGTTACCAGAACAGTATTCTCTGGGTGAGATAAACATTGAGCTCGTAGTTTTGCACTGGTCATCCTGACATTTTTCCCTGTTTAAAGGACTTAGCAATGGCCGAGGATCCACATCCTGATTACTGACCAGCTATGGTATACTTGGAAATTGTACTTGCTTGATCACCCCAAATACCATAGTGGGAGCTGAAGAGATCAGCACACGATTTCAGTGTATCTTCTGAGATCTCACTGCCCACTCTTATCTGATAAGAGATGGAAGCATTGGAGGGAGAAGTGGGACAATCGAGGAGGGCAAGATAGCTTGTTGGGGGAGTGACAGGTAACATTGTTGGAAAAGTTGTGTGATTTCGTAATTTGCAAGTAGACTTAGTCCATAGCACTCTGGGCCATATCAAGATAGTAGTGACTCCGGTTGCGCAGTCCACAAGCTTGTGCCAAAAAATACTCAACATAGTGAGCAGTTGCCCGTCAGACGTTCATGATTATTCAAACAAGTACAATATTATACAAGACCCAGCTGGATCCTATCACAACAAGAGCTACGGTAAATAAGACAGATTACACTTCGATAGCGAACATCCTCTACAAATGCACCAGGTAAAGATATCCATACGCAATCATGAAACAAGGAAGAGCCCAACAGTATTCCCAAAGCCCGCCATCGCAGCTCCGCGGATAGCAAGGAAGGGCGACACTCTCGTGAATGGAATGCGGGGCCACTCTTCTGGCACCGCAGTCGGTGAGGGTGGCTGGCTGAGATACATCGAAGAAAGGAAGGACCGACGGAGAGAAAGAGGGAGTTCGTCGGTTAGGCTTGACATGGCAGCAGTTCGTGTCTTTGAGACACCAGTATCGAACAACCAGACCTCCCACCGGTCCAGAACCGTGGATGTTAGTCCACGCGATGTCAATGAAGGTAAAAGCTGGAATGAGCTTTTTGTGTGAGCCCGGGATATGCGGCGAACGCCTATTATTTTTTCGCCTGAAATGTCCCAGCCCCCCCGATCGCATGCCGCCTCGCCGGCTCTTAGAACGGCGACGTTAGACCATGTTGACGGACGTGACACTATTGGTGGGTCGGTGGGGATGGAATGACCTTCGTCATCCTCATCTGGTAGATAGGGTATCACGTAGCTCTCCGAGAGGCGACGGAGTCCCTTTTCCGAGGCTCTTCGGGAAAGAATCCCGTGGCCAGAAACAGGAAATGCTGAAGCGTCTGGCGCGGAGGCAGTACTAGCAGAGGATAACCTCCGTGTGGATGTCACCGAGGATGGTCCTATAGTTGAGGCTATACTGCTACTCCGTGAGCGCCGGCCCGTAGCCAGCTCCAAGATGGCCGATTGTTGTGGATTGTTTCGAGGGCACGTACATCTCCTTCCCTGCGATGTGATGTAAACTTTATAGAAAATCACGTGATGTCCAATTGAGACAGAAACCATAAAGCTGTCCATGGGCGGTTCGCCACAGAACTGGCAATTCACGACACGAGAGTTCGATATCCGCAGTTGGTCGATAGCGCCGTGATTCTCCTCCAGGATGAAGATGCATTCAGAGGATCCGGCATCCCACAGGGAAATAACACCAGCTTCTGAAACGATGCCAATAATTATATGATCCCTGCCATCTAACTTGACTTTACACGCATCCACCTTGCTGACGCGGTCCGTCGAGTTGCCTGATTGCAGCGCACAGCGGATTGGCACAGCACTCCGAGCTTCGCATACGCCGAGTAGCTCCAGAGTTCCATCTGCCAACACAAATCCCGCCAGTATCCGGTCATCTGAGCGAACACGTAGAAGACGGCTCTGCAAGACAGGCTCAGACGACATTGGAGAGATGAATGACGCCGACGCGTGGTCCTCCATGACCCATTGGGTAATGACTCCATTCTCATACACGACAATGAGGGGCTCTGGTTGAGGAGGACCTGGAGGAGGTGTACATGGGCGAGATTGGGGCCCGTTCTTCTGCTTCAACACCGATTGGAGCGGTGGCGCGAAATGCATTTCCCTAACCCCTGCCGAGATCGAGGGCGGCGCAAGGGTCGCATATGGTCTTGCACTCCTCCCCGCCATGAACCATATCCCAATCATGCCATGTGTTGTCCCTATAGCACAATACTCTCCTGCGTCATCTAAGGCGATTGTACATATTCGCTCCTGCGAAAACGATGTACTGCTTGTACTCAGCAAAACATCGCTTGTATCAATGAGTACAGGGTTCGGGTCGTTGAAGTGCCATATGGTAAGCTCATTCTGTAATCCAACTGCAGCTATCACTTCGCAATCCTTGCTTGATGCAAGCAGCTCGACATCGGTTGCAAAAGCACGCGGTAGTGTCTTGAAAGAGGCTTCTCCATTGAGTGGCTTTTCACCCTTGGGGGATGGTGCATCGGCCTCAGCACGATTCCGCTGTGCCTCAAGAAGTTCGGCATCTTTCAGCAAGTATAGTAGCAGTCCATAAAGCGTGGCGATCGTTACGCTAATCGGCAACATGACGAACTTGAAGAACCAGAAAATGAGGTTGATGGAATGTGCAGGCACAGGGGCGTATCCATAACCATGGTCTGCCCCTGTATCAGGCTGGAACGCGATAATGGTCGGGACCTCAAGACGGAGATGAACTAATGGCTCTTCATCGGGATTGAGCGTCTTCCAAATACGCCAGGCGGGATCTTGCGAATCTGGGCGACGGTGAGCTGCTTGTATGCGTTGCTGAACGGTGGAAGGAATGATGAATCCTGCCTCGCTTTCACGAGTAGCAGGTCTTGTCATAACATACAGTGTTGCGGTGATTGCAAGGAGCTAGAAAGGCCATGAACACATAGACATACTGAGCTCAAACTCATACATACTAGTAACAGACTTATATTGGTCAATGCACGGCCTTTGAGTGATTCCTTCGCATTGAGCGTGGCCCGCTGCCAGTTAGATGCATTTTTCTCCAGCGAGGCGTCACGAGTCGAAGCAGACGCAGTTGGCGCTAAGCTCGGGTCTTGTCTCAGCAATTGATTAAGCTGAACTCATCTACTTCAGCACTAACCCACATATATACAAGCTCAAGTGGACTCACCTCCAGCCTTTGTATATCAATACTGAGTACTGCCAAGAAGAATGTATGCGCAAGGAACCAATGTGCAACGAGGACTACCACCGCAAAGGTGCAAAATTGCCTGATTGCGCCAGCAGAGGAAAAGGCGATAACGCCCAGAATAGAGTTATAGGACACAACTTTGAGTGTATTAGAAGTTCCAGCACGGCTTAGTCCCTCAGCGATGCGCTCTTTGACAGGGAGTGTGATAGATGTGCGGGTCACCGCATCCACGAGATTAAACATATTTTCTGCACCAATGAAGATGATAACGATAGGAAGAAGACTCCTGTTTATGGTAAGTGGTTGTATGAAAAGACAGGATATAGAGCGTTACCAGGGAACCATGGTCACTTTAAACCGTAGCAATGCGCATACACTCAGACTGGTGATTGTACTTGCCGCAATCTCAACGAGTGCCGTGAAAGTGAGACCGATACGGTTGTGCACACCGTTCATGCGCTTCATTGACCACGAAACATATGCAAAAAATGCACCATACGCGAGGTATAAGAATGTTGAAATGGATGAAGTTCCCGTAGTCATGGATAGGCTATGATTGTACTGCAAACATTTAGGATTCACACACAAGCCACGAATAGTAATGTACATACCTCCAATGCGATTAGCTTCGGTTCCGCAGTCACTGCAAATATTTGCGCACTTTCTGGGTTCTCCTGTGTCGAGTTCTTGATAATTTGTAGCCAAGAATGATGGCCGGCACTCCTCAAACAATCCGTCTCAGGGAATACATAGGTAAGTGCCAGGAACATTGCAGAGTCATGGGTCGCAGGATTACGTTGTGTCGAGTCGCGCCCTGCAAGGACCATCGGCGGTGTAACATGCATACCTGCAACGGTGACACCTTTTGAACGAGTGGCTGTTAGGGAGATGTTCCTATCACCACGCAAACGTTCCTCGTCGTGCTCCCAAAAGGAAAGAGGACTGATAACAAAACAGTGACGCAAGTTCAGGTTGTTGCAAGAGACTCCATGATCCAGAAGTCCTCGGAGAATCCGCTTTTCTAGTTGAAGGGTGTAAAGCAAAGTCTGTAGGGAAAGTGCCCCTGCTCCGTCAGCTGTATCGATGAGAATGCGTTCAACACGAAGTGTACGGTCACTTCCACAACGTGCTCGTGTGAGGAAGTCGTCTCGTACTTGGAGGTTGGCGTTTCCATCCCAAAGTTGATGTACATCGCTATGTGTGTAGCCGTCATATGCCGCATGAGCAGCGAGGAACGAATCGAGTGCATTTGATGTGGAATCAAAGCGGGAGTAAGATGGGGTGGACCAGTACATGGCAAGTGCAGGGTACGACAAGGATGTGATGACAATTGCCGAGATCAGGATGAGACGAATTTGATGTGTTGCGCAATGTCTTGATTCCTCGGCGTCAAATTCGAAGCCAAAATGATTACAGAGAGTACGCACATTCCGAATCGCCTTAGCGCAAGGTCTGCAAGAGTTCGCATTCTTTGCATAAATGAAGGTCCAAATGAAAAGAAATACTCTTGTTGGCGAGCCATCGAAGGCGGTTATGAAGGAAATTTGGAACCGAGCACCGTCAGTTGTACCCGGGCCTGACAGGCACCTTGACACCGGTTTCGGGATAGGTTTCGTTACCTGTTCGTTTCCAGAAGTACGGTAAACCTGAGGATGAGTGAAAGTAAGATGTTATACACTAGAGTCTGGAGAGTTTGTAGGAACAGCGACACTACCGTTGGTACTGACGGTAAGGGTCACGCACTAGTACTTGCCTCGGATGTATTTTATAAATGAAAAGTTGACAATTCCCATCAAACTCCCATCACGTATATACACGTAAACGTACATACTCCTGCGGCTAGACTTCTCACCAATCCAAGGTGGTTGAAAAAGTTCATACAATACTCTTACGAGTACCACTACACAATACGGTTCAAACTACATTGTGAGTGAAGAACCATAACGTTTCAGAACGAGATCCGCTTGCCACACACGCTTAAAATCTCCGAGGTATTATGGAAGCGTCGGCCCGACGAATCCCACCAGGTGCGAGTCACCCATATTATATTCCTCTACAATACCAACCATCAGAATCAGTACTAATCAGGAGCTGAACTCAATCATGGAATCTCACTAGACAGCAATGCAAGCTGCTGGTGGGATTCTCTTACGGAGTCAGGCCCATAAATCACGTAGACTGCTACCCCGCCAAAAATACAATCCATAGATCATCGGCGAGCTTTCGTAAGTTGCAACAGCCCATTGAACCGCGCACGATATCCATCAGCATATAACAGCATAGTCAAACCATGGATGAAGTCCCTGTTCACAACACCGATCAAAACAAAGATAACGTAAACCACAGGAAAGGGACATACCAGCTCCGCACGAGTGAGCGTATGGGATAGTCCAGCACTTTGGGTATAGTGGTTTGCACAAACGATGGCCAGCGGTCGGTGACAATTGCTTTAGGGTTCGTCAGTGCACGAAGTCCTTCACTGCCACCGAACCGTCCGTATCCACTAGATTTGGTGCCTCCAAATGGCAGATCTTGGCTGTGGGGAAAATTAGTTACCGCATTCTGGATATTAACATACTGCTTACTTGAGCTAAAAGTAGCATATCAGCATTGCAGTAAATCAACATTGAGGCAAAACCGGCTCACATAGTACACCCCAAAGTCATTGACAGATACCATACCACAATGAAGCTCCTTTGCGACTTCAATACACAGGTCCTGATGAGGTCCAAAGACGCTGGCGCCAAGTCCGTACCGCGTTCCATTCGCGATAGTGATTGCTTCATCAATATCATCATAACGAATGAGCAGCGCAATTGGGGCAAACACTTCATGGTACGACATCAATGTCAGCAACTCGAAACATATAACATAACGACACCTACATTCCACCTGTGAAATTCTCGAGCTGGGTTTGGCATCACCTACCACTGTTGCCTGGAAGAATGATTTCCCCTCGCACGACGTATGCAAAAGCTCCTTCCCGCCAATATCGACTCTTGCGCCATCTTCCTGCGCCTGGAATACTAGCTCCTCAAGTACACTAAACCTATCATTGCTGATCATAGAGCCACAATCTACGGTGTTGATGTAGCCCTCGCGAGTAGGCGCCAACACAGACCCAAAGCGCAACTTGGCGACGCGCTCCGTCAAGATGTCGAATAATTCATTGTATTGTTTGGAGTGCACAATGAGACGCTCAATACCGATGCAGTTCTGACCTGAATTTTGGCTGGCACATCAATCAGTTGGGAACGTGTCGAGTAAACATGCATAAAACTCACAATATACCACGCATCCAGATACTGGACCATTTCTGGAGGTCCGTGTCTGGTAGAATGATAGCAGGGTCCTTTCCACCAAGCTCGAGAGTAACGGGCGTCAGGTGTTCAGTGGCAGCCATGGCGACCTGCGGATGATTTAAAAACAACACAAATAGCCAGTCCAGCGTTCTGTTCACCTTTCTTCCGATTTCCTCTGAGCCAATAAAGGTAATGTGCTTAATAAGAGGTGACTTGGTCAATGCTTCAGCCTGGTCAGGCCAACAGCAAACAGTCTGAAATTTGGTTAGTATTGTGGTACGAAAATCAACACTGCCCATACCTGCACGATATCAGCGTCGTATCCGAGAACCTCTAGGCACTTGTGAATAGCGCCAACAAACCATTCCGTAGACCAAATAACATGTTCAGATGCCTTGAGTACGATAGCGTTTCCGGCAAAAATAGATGCGACAATCGGTGACCAAGCATTATGAAGAGCTACGATCAGATCAGCCGCTTTATCAATTACGTCACTAAAGCAACACCAACGGTAGTTCCATGATACGATAGCAGCTACCACACCTTTCGGCTCGTAAATGACCTGTGACTTCTTGTAACTCATCATCAAATTCGAATATCTCGTTTCCGTTCGTAGAGCGCGTTCTCCATGGTTGATCAACCACTCTAGCTTTGAGCACGTCGACAATATCTCGCCCAAAGCCGCGTCAATCACTGCAAGGAATTATCTCAATAACGGCAGAAAATGAAACCGAAACAACTTACTTGTCTTTCCTGAGTCGCGGCACGCGATCCGCGCACATAACTCCTGGTTCTCCACGAGCCACTTCAGTAAGCTGCGCATGACGCGTCTCCGCTCGCCAAATGACGTCTCGCACCACTTAATCTGTGCATTTTTCGCGCGTTTGATCTTGGCCTCGATTGACCGTGCATCATCCGCGAGAGCGGAAGTGAGGTGCAGGTTGTTAGCGGGGTCAAAACACGTAATATATTCGCGTCCACCTCCTCCAAATTGGAGAGGAAGGAGGTCGGGCATCTGGAGATGCGAGCGTAGGTTGGCATTGGGTATCACGCGAGAGTCCCAGCTGGGGTCTGCCGCCTGTCAACAAGAGGAATGAGTTTTATCTTCCGTAGGAAAAATATGAAAAACACGCACCTCTGGAGCAGGATGGTGGAAAGATACTGCGCTGTTGACCGCTTTCTGGTATCTGTCAAACACCAGCCATATACCAAATGCTGAAAACGTGGTGAAGAGGTATAATACATCGACGATGCTGGCATTCGGATCGTCTTCGAGCCATAAGTTGAGCGTGTTTAGCGGATGGAATAAGACATAGAAAAGCGAGTGCATTTCTGCGACGACAGCGCAGAACCAAGAAGAATTCAAAACCCCAAACCAACGCGTTCGAAATATAAAGACAAAAAAGGCAGATCCTCCATCTCAACACGTCGGTAAGTTGTCACGTGATGTCGCCCACAAGTGCCTAGTAGTACAAGATCACACTGACAACGACCGGCCTATGTATGAGTCTCCAGGAAAATTACATTAGCTGAAATCACAGAGCAACGCTGATAATGATTTGTAGTTACGTATGGGTATATCAGACAAAAAATTGCAATGTAACGCAACGAGTGGAGTATAAGGAGTAAAGTCAGAGTAGTAGTAACAAAGGGTAGTAATAGAACTCAAACAACACACTCGCGCAGCTGTCGTGAACATAAGCATTAAGCAAACTATGTCCGTCAAACAAGTCAAAAATGCGAATCCGTGGTATGTAAGTCGTGTGGCGGTCATATCGTCTCTGTGATGTTACTGCTCGGGTCCTTTTTCCGCTTGCCCTCGCCAATATTAACAATCTTCTTTAGCGACGACAGGCTCGACTTGCTCTTCTCGTGGATTTTTCCCTTCTTCGAAGGAGAGCCATCCGGTCCTGAAGAAGTCGCAGATATAGCATTTGCTGCTGGGTCGGAAATAGCATCGTCTGCGGGGTTGGCATCTACAACGCCAGAGGAGCCTCCACCGCCGACTAACCGAATAGTCGTGCTGGGTTCTTGAGCATCCTCTTGCGACGGCCGCGAAGTAACAACGGACTCTGATGATACAGAAACCTCTAGTTCTACCACTGCATTAGTGGGGGTCGAGGGTTGCAGTGGAACTGCATCCATAGCAGGAGCAGAGTCAGCAAGGAGGTCGGTGACGTTTTCCACCAAAGGGGGTGGCGTCTCTATATGCACGTTGTCTGCCATAGAGATGACCTGTTTGACAAGAGTCTCTACTTTCGCAGGAGATTGTCTAGGAGGAACTCTAACGATTACCACGTCTGTTGGTATTGCCTGCATGCCGAGCCCACGACCCGCTTCAAGATCCTCGTTTGACGAGCGCTGTGAATCTGGCGGCGATGGGAGAGAGACGACATCGTTGACAGTCGGTAAGTCTACGGGTAACGGAGCTGGGGGTTTTGTGATGGAGATAGCGGGAAAGAGTGGCGGTGACTGTGGTATAACATCGGTAGGCTCTTCTGTGAGCTTCAAGTCCGTAAAGACGGGTATAGGAACAATTGCATCGGAGTCAGCGAGGTTCAAAACACCTAGACCATGTCTCTCCCGTGCCTATAATCAATACGTTAACCGTAGATTTCACCGATAAGAGCAATGATGGATACCTTGCCCTTCTTCTCATCCAATGACGAAGATCCGTGGATCAAACCTGATTCATACCATTTCTTAACGCTCCGGTCAGCCCATGCCTCCATTGGATTCAACCCTCTATACTCTCCGGTGAGCCGCAGTCCTCCCGATCCGGCCTCCCCACCACCGTCGCCTTGCCCCCGCCCGCTTCCATCAAAGAAGTATGCCTCATACCCTAGGCCATCCTCACTGCCTTCGCTCTCTCCTCCCTGTCCCAGCTCAAAGCCCTCGCCGCTTTCTAATTCATCGACAAAATTTGCGAGCCACCGCGCCCACCCACCAGGTCCATCGCCATGCCAAAGCACTATTTTCGTGTCAAATTCGCGTCCGAAGACGATTACCTGACCCACGGCGCCACCCTTATCAGGGTTGAGGTCAATGCCGATATAGTTGCCTGCCTTATCTACGACGAGTGGGATCCAACCACGCTGCGAGTATTCTTTCCGCACATAGCCATCAGGTATGGACCGCATGATATCGCGCAGACGTGAATTGCTTCCTGTCTGAGGGTCATCATCGACTTCGCGCCAAAACCGCCATTCCTCGAGGACAGCTTCGAGGGGGAGTAACGAAAGGCCGAAAAAGAGACCATCTGAACAGCCCGCTGACGATTCTGCTTCTTGTCCGTCCACGACAAGATACGACTCCCTTACTGCCTGCGGTAGCGCAAAACCAAATTGCATCTCAATTTGTGCGAGGTCCTGTGGAAGAATTCCGTAGTTGAGAGTATCGCCTAGTTCTGGGTATTCACGAGCCAGCCATAGTTTTAGGCGATTCCAGGTATGTTCTAATGGAGGATAAGGCGGCGGTTGTGTCATTGAATCTACAAAGGGTGTGTGATGAAGAGGAAGGAGTGAAGTTGGTCGTGAGCGAAAGCTGAAGATTAGCGGAAGTCAGTTGATTGAATTGAAAACAAAGTAAGAGTGGACGAACGAAGTCGGTACATAACTGTATGAAGAGATTGGGGATTGCGGTGGATATGTATATGTTGGACTGACTGGTCCTGGTGTCTGAAGAGCCGCTGGGTTGAAAGCGTCTGGATGTCGCCCATGACCCGATGACGAAGTTGGGAGTGAGAAGGCCTCTTGTGTTGTCGACATGGCTTGTCCTCGTCGTACAGATTGTTTACGGTCAGTCGAGAACAGTGAAGCGAACCAATTCATTGTTCGTCGTCGCCACCAAGACACACCGTTACAGTCCGCAAGTTGACCCAAGTGATGTTTGTTGTAAGACAGTTGCTAACCCTCACATTTGGGAAATCGATTTTCGCGTCTATTTCTGTCACATGTGTAAGTAATATGCCACCTCAGACTTTCTGTGTAAAATATATCTTTTACTGTGCAATACGAAGCGACGGACGGCCTCTTATTTTAATACAGCAATCATCCCAAATATATGTAAAATACAACCGTACGTGTATCAAAGGCTTGGAATGCCCGTGAAGGACGGAATTAACGTGTGATTGATATCATCAGATATCAAGGGTGGAAATCAAGCAAGCCTACTGATCCATGTATTTATATACATACCATCAATATTGAACTTACACTTACATCTGCCCAAGGTTGTCAGAGACCTTGAAGTCGCAGGCTGTCTTCGCTTGTACCTCCTCCACCGTCACACCCTTGGCCACTTCAACGAGCGTCAAGGTGCCACCAGACCGGTCAACATCAAACACAGCAAGTTCGGTAATAATCTGGCTGACCGCCCGTGCACCAGTCAGTGGCAACGAGCATTCCTCCATGATCTTTGGACCTCCATTCTTTGCACAGTGTTCCATGGCCACAATGACCTTCGTCCTGTCAGGATTTGATACCAGGTCCATGGCTCCGCCAATCCCTGCAGGTGTCACATGAGTCTAGGTACGGATGTGATGCTGAATCACATGCCCTTCACAAGCTTGCCTGGAATCATGAAGTTTGCAATGTCGCCGGCCTGGGATACTTGCATAGCCTGGAAAAATGTTTGATCACAAAAAATTCCTACAACCAACCAAGATGAAACATACACCAAGGATGGCGACGTCCATGTGGCCACCACGGATCATACCGAACGAATCAGTCGAATCTATGTACAGCACATCAACATGCGCCTCCCATTCGTGTCCTGACGTCACTCACCAAAGACCGAAGCGCCCGGCAGCAAAGTGACCGTCTCCTTTCCAGCATTGGTTATGTCACTATTAGCTTACTATCAGCACCAACATCATTGGAACACATAGCCAGCGATACCCACAGATCGACTTGGTCTTCAGTGGGGAACGGACCCATTCCCAGAATGCCGTTCTCACTTTGCAGCCAGATCTTGATGCCCGGTCGGAGATACTCCGTAACGAGGGTGGGAATGCCGACACCAAGGTTTACGTAAAAGCCATCTCTGAGTTCTTGTGCTGCGCGCTTTGCTATTCTGCGCCGTGTGCTCTTTTCCAGGAGTTCCTCAGGTGAGGGGCCACCTGTAGTTCCGGGTGGCGGAGCAGTGGCAATTATATCAAACCCTTTTGGCTCAGTGGCCTGCACAACACGGTCAACAAATATTCCTGGGACGTGGACAGCATTTGGCGGCAATGAGCCAATAGGGACAATCTCCTCTGCCTAGAAGCGTGATAAGCTTTGTGCTAAATAATTACCGCACTATTCTTACCTCTGCGATAACTAACTGCGCATTCCTTGCCATGGCGTTATTGTAATTGTTTGCGACATGTCGGAACATGAGATTGCCTGCCTCGTCTGCCTTCCAGGCGTGGATGAATGCGACGTCGCCGGCGATCGCAGGCTCCATGATATACCGCTTTCCATTGAAGTCTCTGTATTCCTTTTTGTTTCCCGGTATCAAGATACCTTCTTTGAAGCCACCCGCTTTAAATCTGATGGGAATTCCGCCAGTTTCAACGGTCGTGGAAGCACCTGTGGGTGTGAAGAAGGCGGGAATGCCTGCGCCGTGTGCACGCATCCGTTCAACGAGGGTACCTTGCGGGACCAGTTCGAGGGACATCTTTCCATCGAGGTACATCCGCTCAAGGTATTTGTTTCTGAGCGAGCAATGAGCACATGAACTTACATGCAGAAGTAGCACATACCCGCCAAGGTATGAGATTATGAGCTTGTCAAGTTGCCCGCTTTTCATGAGCTTGACTAGTCCATTATAATTGGTGAGATTCCACTATTTGGCACGGAAAACTGAACTACTTACCTAGACCCAAATCACTTGAACCAGCATTGTTGGATACAGCAGTTAAACCGTGCACGCCCGTTCGTCGTGAAAGAGCAGTGATCAAAGTCTCTGTAGGGCGATTATAAGACATCCTTCTTTAGAACTAGTGAGCAATGAACTTACCAGGAGTACCACACAAGCCGAACCCTGACATTGAATGAAATCGCGTCAACTCCAATCTAACTGCAATGATACAGACATACCTCCACTCAGGACAATGTCCCCAGACTTCACATCTTGCACAGCAGCATCTGCAGATGCCCATACTTTCTTCCGCTGGAGTGCACCAGACTCAGACTGCGTCGCATAATGTCTTATATACAACCGGAAGGATGTCAGATCCTGGCATCGTCGAAAAATGCGCGTACTATGCGTAGGAAGGAAGGGAGCAAGACCCATAGGTGCCAGATTTCAGGTCCCAGGACAGTGAATCAGAGGAATTTGGTTGTAGTTGACCGGGTGAATGCCAATTCCGTTCCGAAAATCACAGTCAGCCGTCAGGACCCAGGTGGTCAGTTTCCGCCTCGAACCTTATCGTAGCGGCGGGCAAGCCGCCACTCCCCGACTGTGCTTGTCCGATTAATCCCGTTATTGTCGATTTTTTTTTCTCTTGGTCGTCTTTGATGGTACACTAAAACATGTGATCCTTAGCCAAGTAGGATCACACCGAAGCTTGGCGAGGAGGCTACACTCCAAGCATGTTCAAAGTGAGAACGAGCAAAAGGTATGGACATCCCACTGACACAAACGTTGATATTCGTACCATCAGAAGTCAGTGAGTCCACACGATGATCTGAACGTCACTTCGAATATGACTCGACATGATCGATGAGTGCTGAGTGTAATCATGTACAAAATCCAAGCGTAGTAGCGAACATGGCTGGATGAGCCTCAGGATGATTAGTACAACAGGTCATGATACAACGCGACATAAAGTTTGTTATATTTGTCGGACAACCGAATTAGGCATTTAAGGTTTGAGGCGGCTGTCATCTGTAGCGCACCCCTTTTTTGCTCAAGCTGGGAGATTATTATTGAATTCCCCCCATTCAAGTCCTTAAGTGGTACAAGAACAATACACGTGCTGCAACAACCAATTTTCGTAAGGAAACGATGGTAACAATGTTTGTTCGATGATAATAAATTAATAACCTCGAAACCTGAGAGCGATCAAAGCTTGCTCAGGTTGCTCCGTACCTTGAAATCGCAGCCGGTCTTCGCCCTGACTTCTTCAAGTGTTACGCCTTCCTGGAGCTCAATAAGCTCGAGGTGACCGTTCTTCCTGTCGACGTCGAAAACGGCCAACTCCGTAATGATTTGGCTGACAGTACGGGCACCCGTGAGCGGAAGAGTGCATTCCTTCAAAATCTTAGGACTGCCGTCCTTTGCACAGTGCTCCATCACAACTATAACCTTCGTCTGGTCTGGGTTAGACACCAGGTCCATAGCTCCTCCGATACCTAAGAATGTGATCGGCGGTGAGGATGCAGAAGACTGACGAAACATGTCTAAATCACGAACCTTTGACCAGTTTTCCGGGAATCATGAAATTAGCGATGTCGCCTGCTTGTGAGACTTGCATAGCCTATGAGATGAACAGAAATAGTGCGAGATGAGCCAGAAAGTCGATAAGTATACAGAAATACTCACACCGAGAATGGAGAGATCGACGTGACCACCGCGGATCATAGCGAATGATTCACTTGAATCTGCCCTATAGCGTTAGCAATTACAGGTGAATCGAGCGAGAAACATACCGAAAACCGAGGCACCTGGCAGCAAGGTCACAGTCTCCTTGCCTGCATTGATGAGATCCCTACAAAAAGATGCTTAGTATGAGGAAACACTCCCTGGCGACAGCTTACGGATCCACTTGCTCCGCCGTAGGATATGGCCCCATGCCGAGAATGCCATTCTCGCTTTGCAGCCAAACACGCACACCAGGTTCGAGGTACGCGGGAATGAGAGTAGGTATGCCAATACCGAGGTTTACGTAGAATCCATCCTTGAGCTCTTTGGCGGCGCGCTTTGCAGTACGATGGCGCATCTTCTGTGCGAATTCTTTTTCAGCACTCAGAGTGGACTGTTCACCAGAAGATGATGGGCTTGGCGCAAGCTTGATATGCTCTATTTGCTTTGGTGCAGTGGATTGAACAACCCGGTCGACATAGATGCCAGGGACGTGGATAGCGTTTGGCGAAAGAGAACCAGTAGGCACGATTTGGTCTGCCTACAAAGAATGCATCAACTTCCTCACAGAATACTGTGACGTACTCACCTCCACTATCGTGAGTTTTGCGTTCTTCGCCATGACCGTGCTAAAATTCTGCTGGGTATACCTACACAAGCCAGCACATTTAGCGCTAAGGTAAACGAACCGAAAATGACCTCACCGGAAAACACAATTGCCAACCTCATCCACTTTCCATGCACGAATAAAAGCAACATCACCAGCAATAGCCGGTTCCATGATATACTTGCGACCTCCGAATTCCCGTGATTCTTTCTTAATACCTGGTATCTTGACGCCGTTGGCAAATCCTCCTTCGTTGTATCGTGTTGGGATCGAACCATCTTCTACTGCGGTTGATGCTCCCGTAGGGGTGAAGAAGGCTGGGATACCAGCGGCATGGGCACGGAGACGTTCAACGAGTGTGCCTTGAGGGCATAGCTCCAAAGACACCTCGCCCTTGAGATATAGAGCCTCGAAAGCCTTGTTTCTGGAAAGATAGATGATGTATCTCGCGCTGGCCCCCACAAGATGAGTCACTCACCCTCCAGGGTATGAAGCGACGACCTTATCAATCTGCTTGGTGTTGAATAACTTTCCTATGGATATTCATGAGTTTTCACGGATCATGGATAGCTGTGGAAAACAAACCAAGTCCAGAGTCGCCTGCGCCAGCATTATTGGAAACTCCTGTTAGCTTTGCAACGTCCTTGCGCTTGGCTAAGGCAGCAAGAAGCGTGTCTTGTTGTATCCTAGCTTAGTTACACCGCTTAAGATTTACTCTCTATTAAGACTCACCTGGCACACCAGCCAAACCAAAACCTGAATGTCGACGGTATATTACGTTCGGTATAGGAATAAATGTTATAATACTCACCGCCACATAGAAGGACATCTCCTGATTTCACATCTTTGACTGCCTCATCGGGAGATTCCCACACCTTCGACTGCGTGACGGTACTGGACCATCTTCCTCTAAGCAAGACGGTCACACGGGGTTTGAAAAGTACTGGGACGAGCGTCGCTCGCGAGACGTATGTAGCCAGCATTGGACTCATTTTTCAATTTTTCTCAGTTAAAACTTATAAGATTGATATTTCGGAGACGAGCTCCGAAACGCCCCTTGGTGCTAACTTCCGATATATCGTGAGAACGATAGATATTGATCTAAAACATTCTACTGACTACCCCAAACTTACATATATCAATCTCCATCCGATTTTCACCAGCTACCAGGAAATATTCGCACTAATGCACGAGACAGTCATCAGCTAGACTGGGTTAGTTATGATTGCGACGAACAAGTCAGGTAACTTACGGAGGCAGATCTAAATATTGCGGTAATTTAACTAAGGATATAAAGGACAGAAAGATAGAGGACGCATGCCTGAGCTCCAGTACCATTGAAAAATCCTTCTGAATGATATAATCCACCTATACCGAGTGAGCCCATACTCTCCTTTGAAAAAACAGAGGTCCCTTACCGGCGAGAAACGAACAACCAAGGACAAGGAGTATATTTGACAAGATCGATCCCAGCATCTAGCTCAAGGTCATTATATCGCAAATAGTGGCTGTATGAAGACACCCACAGACATCTGAACAATTCGTAATTGACCTGGGATCACCATGAGTTACAAACAACTTCAGATAGGTTGACAAACCATTGAGTAAAGCAGCAACCCCGACGATAATTTCAACGGCGTTCCCAAAGGATGCATCAAGGACTTAGGAGACCTGACATAGTTTTCCCCAATTTGACGGCCAACTGATCAGTTGCCTCGCCCAACAATTAAAAAACGGCGTCAGTCTTCCAAGAGTCTGATGATGAGATTAGTGCCACCTTAGCCAAGGGCACGATGGCCATGAAGTTAAAGAAAAATACGAGCCCAACGTCCCAGTCCATGTTATGGGATATGAAGCTTAAAGGTATGAATACGAGTAGGATATTGAGCCATGACTCGTCCCAAAGATAAAGAACTTGAACGATTGGGCTCATGATGGTTCACCCTCGCCTTTCATGAAGTTGACGACCCGACGAGTGATAGAAATATTTCTATGACCTGTATGGCCACCGTTTTCGAGTAGCGATGCGTATTCAGAGCTGGACATAGATGACTGGGGAGGACGTGTTTTACGAATTTCGAACGTTCTGCAAAAGTCACTTATAGTGTAGCACTAACTGTGACCACACCATCCACATCGCGATGGATTCCGTGATGTGTCGCATCATTGTGGTTTCGCTGCCATTGCCTGGGGACAGTATTCATACTCAACTGGTTTACAGGCGAGAGCATCCCGCCTGCCTTAGGACGTGCACTGCCCTCAGGCTCTACGCTGAAGACAACTCGCTTGTGTATGATCGAGGCCCGGGCAGCGGGCCATGATAATATCTTTTCATGATTTGAACAAGAGCTGTCCGTGTAAGTAAGCTGATTTCTTCGACCTGTGGATGCGATCAGATACTCCCAGTAAACTTGTATTAGATGTATTCGATGCGTTGTGACTGACCTCACCAGTGTGCCACTGGTTGCATGAGACAAATCCGATCCAGTTGACAGTATGACGAATCTTGAGGTACTCTTTTTCGTCCCTGCGAAGTGATCCAAGTTTAGAACAGTACTAATGACAATTCACAAACGATTTGAATGCCGAGACCGATGACTTATCTGTCATAGAAGATAACTTTGCGGGATGTCATCACCAGCTGTGGTTCTATCTCGTGACATGTTCCTGAAACAGTTGTGCGTCGCTGCACACTGGGAAGTGAACGTGCCCCATGTTCTTGGGTATGTCTACTAGTCACAGTCCAGTATACGTATGTCTAGCTGGGAACTCAACCAGCAGGGGTTATACAGCTAGAGCGGAAGTTAGTTAGCTCACTATGGGCGGCCATCATTCAATAATTGCGGCGTAACTGCGTAGCAAGCAGTGCAAATTCCTTCGGTTGCGCCAAAATAAATCTACACGTATTCAGATAACCTGAAAGCAAGTTGGTTTGAACTTTATAAGCCTGACTGGAACATCGAGCACTGGGACATACCAAGCTGCTCCAACTATGTTCGCCGGCTGAAAACAAAATGCGCCAAGCGCTACCAAGAAAAGGTCCGCGATGGCGTTGATGTGGCACATGTTGATGGCAAATGTGGCGCGTGACCTTGCATGACGAGGACATGTCGTCAGACTGCGCGGGGTCACGTACCTGGCACCGGTGCGTATATAAGCAAAACCCCTCTTGCTCCCTACCTTCATCCTCGTAAAGCAAACCACAACATTCACAAAGAGTATCAGAGAATTAACATGTCAGGCAGTTGGACAGATGATATCTTGCTCAAGGTTTGTGGTCTCTCAAGCTTTAGCCTGATCATGTCGGACTCACCTGTCTCAACAACTAGATTGCAAACATCATCGTTTACTTCCTCTTCCTTGGTTCCAACGTCTACACTGTAGCGACACCTCATGATATCTACTTCACTGGCAGGGATACATACATAACACCTGCTCCATGGGCCTTTTTGATCTGGTATGCTGTTTACTGGCCGCCCTAACAACCAATACTTATGGTACTCTCAGGTCTCTCATCCACTTGCTTCTTCTGGGTACTATCATCTACCAGTTCACCGCCTCTGGCAAGAAAGTAATAATCGATGGCATTTCGTGGCGCTTCCCTCTCCTCGGCATCCTGAATGCGATATACGTACATTTATGGGCATCCCAACACTATATATTCGCATTCGTCTTTGCTTTGTTCGTAAGCAGTGCTATCTCCGTAAGTCTCTTCGCTCCCTTTATGGTATTCAGCGCATCACATCTTTCATATTAGCACATCTACTACACGGTGAAGAAGTTCCACGCACCTGCTAACATCGGTGACGAAGTTTTGGTCCACTTGCCTTTCTCCCTTTACCATGGGTGGACTACTGTTCTTGTTGTCATCACTGCGTTCCAAGCATTCGGCGTCAACGCGATTTATGAACCAGCCGGTGTTTGGACTAAGGTTTTCGCATTCCTTGCTCTGTACGTCAATAAGGTTCTTCTCGTGATACGTCAGAATTCTAATGTCGTACAGGTTCTTCCTCGAGGCGACTGCGGCCACATATGCTTTCTCCAGCCCCGAGGGTGACCTTCCTGCCAGCTTCGCGATAACGTGGTCCCTGTTCGCGATCTTTGCTCATCAAAATGTTCACCGCTCGGGATTCATTCACTGGTCTGCACTCGCGTTTGCATTGCTCTCTGCGTTCTGGGTTTTCATGGGTATCTTTGGCACGTACAAGCGGTACAGGGTTGTCAGTGGCTCAATCCTTTTGGACGAAGAGCGTGCACCACTTGTTGGCGGTGAAAATTGAAACGTCCTTGAAAGCGATTTGAAGAGAACGAAGGTGAACCCATATGACTTTTGAATGTCCTTTTTGACATGTAGGATTTCCTAATGTACTTTCTCTTATGAACACTTTTCTTGCATGGCTAGTGCTGGTGTCTTTACTTATGAGTTGTACTGTAGTTTGCTTGTATATCTATGGCCGGATCAGTAAAAGCGTTATCAACTCGGTTGAACTTCTGAAAGGGGTGCTCAAGCTCAACGATGGTATAAGTGGGCAGTAATACATTGTAACCCAGACTACGAGCATATCGTAACATATGTTCTACTAAAACGAATAAAGCGTTCAAAAGACATGAGTTGCCTTGACGTGGATGTTCCAATTGCAATTAAATTTGAGGAGAAAGGCGGCGAAAATGATTATCAGTGAAGAGGGAGGAGGAGGAATATCCGTGCACTACGTCTGCTCCCCGGCCTTTCGACCCTCATGTAAAAATATTTTTATAATAGGCCTCGCCCACTACCGTCATCGAAAAGAGTCGTCGAGAATCAGGGCGGCCCTATCGACAAGCGGTGCAGTGCGAGCCGTAGTGTGATGGAAGGCAGGAAGATAATGAAGCCTCGAGTGGAGACAACATCAGGGTTTCCTGAACTCGCACAGCACTGTGTAGATGGTGTTGAACGCGGTATAAATCTCTTCCCTGACCTAGCGGAAAGGAGAAGAACAACAAGTATCAGCGGAGGGTTCGAACCAGATCCACCAACACGTCGGTCTCATCTTGGAATGATCCAAGAATCACTGACGAGAGAAGATATAGCAAAGGTCTTCACCTTTGCACCAGTCAACACTATCTTCCCCGACACGAAGATCAATAACACGACCTTCGGTTTGAGCATGCGATAAATGAGACCAGGGAACAACTAAAAGCGCGTGAGCAAATGAAGGTATCGCCTTGCACTTACATACCTCAGGCTCATAACTGCTGAACTGTCCGTGGCTATATGCAAGACCCTCCAAGCGAATGGGAAACTTTACGTCACAACTTCCGACTATATTTTGAATCTTGAACTCAGCGAACTTGGCGTCGAAGCCAAGTTTTTGCACGATACGTGCGTACTTGCGCGACGCCAATCTCGAATCGTCTTCGCTCTTCGCACCCGTGACGACCATCTTGCCCGAGGCGAAGATAAGAGCCGTTGTCTTGGGATCACGAATTCGCATGATAACAGCTGCAAAACGCTATCGTGCAAAGCGCATTGGCGTGCAACGACAGGTAGTCAAACAGTAGTACCAACCTTGGGGTTATACTCTGCATTCCGGGCGTGCAGTGCAATGGTCTTGAGGTCAAGACGACAATCGAGGTTAACTGTTGCAACAATGTTCTGCAGCGTGGGCACGATGCCCTCCACAGCTGTGATGTGTTGTTGCTCAAGTGTGAGAGGGGCCGGAGTGGCGGGAACAGCATTGACCGGTGGTGTCGAAGGACCTGCCACAGCCGCTGATGTTGTGCCATTGCTAATTACCGTTGTTGCATTTGCAGGCTGTGACTGTGAAGGAGGAGGTGTATGTGATTGAGACAGTGGCGATGGTCCCGGAAGCGCGAGATTCGATGGCGCAGGAAGACTATAAGCACCAGCGCCGGGTAATGCTAGACCATGATTAGGTTGGGCAGCTTGAGGCTGAGAGGGTTGACTTGGTTGCTGGTAAGGCGCAGCAGACCTGCCGAAGGTAACCTGACGAGCGGGGAGTGCGAAGGACATTCTTGACAATTAGAAAGACAACAAAAATTTGTTCTTCTAAGTTCGTGGGAAATCTCGGCGGGGAGAAAAATTGCGTGAAGGGTCGTGGTCGAGGCTATTATATATACCTTTCGATTTTAAACTCCGACCATGACTCAGATGTAATTTCCTTTGGACGTTTCTCTTCCTCTTTCTCCCATCATAAAATCCATCACTTATGATCCGAGTGCGTTACCTTGTATTTTCCCTTAATCCTTGAATGCATAAGGTAGATACTGGTGCGAACATCTTACTCTGCTTTGTTCTGAATGAGCAGGATACCTTTGGAATCGACTTCAAACCTACACTGTCGACCAGGCGCTGGGCCATCGTATGTGGCGTGTAATATTCCAGAACTCTACCCGAAAAGGCAATATTGTTCTCACGCCCGTGTAACCATGATGGTGTACGTGGCAGCGCAGCACTGCTGAGCACAGTGTAGTCTTGATTTGGGGTACGAGACTAGTGCTAGTATATGCCCCATCTTCCAGACTTACAGGGATTGATGTTGTTTAGAAACAATCTAGGCAGTGTGTAAATCTTATCTTACATATTTACACAGCCTTTACGTCCTCTTAAGTTCTCATCTTTGACTCAAGTCGGACCACCCGTGACAATCTTGACATAATGGATACGGGATGTTACCAAATACCTACCCAGTAGCATCTCATCACAGGTGTACATGCCTTGTCGTATATATGTGCGGATACAATGTACGCCGTGTGGAATGTGCATGTGATTTCTCATCAAAGCTGTGCGCCTTGCAACGCTTATCCAGACAGTACTGTAGCTGACTGTATGGAGGCAACTGGGGGTCGAGCGTGACAGGTTGCCACATTCGGCAGGTAAGCAACCAGGCAGTTCACCATCGTGACATGCCAAAAATTAGCAACTGTCAACATCCCGGCGCCGCATGTCATCGCGGAGTTGCCACTACTTAGAAAAATACTATAGTAACAAACGAGCCGAAAGGCCCGAAACGAGTCCAATACTGGTTGAGTTGTACTTGCTCCTGGCACCATGCCTGGTCCATCCTCGGTGTTGATATCACGGATTGAACATCTCGGGAGGCTCCTGAAAAATCTTCCACAATCATTGCCCCTTGACCCACCTAATTCTTCCTATGACTTCAGCCTCGACACAGAGATGGTTGAGGAGGAAGGGGTGTGGTTTGCATTCAATAGAAACCTGGAGGTCTGCTTTGAGACCCATAAACTTGGCCAAAGTGGAACAATCACTTTCCGTGAATGCGGGAGACGTTACGAAGCCCTGGTTGGGATGTTCAAGGAGACAGTTAAGAAACTTGCAAAAGATTCTGAACGTGACTTCCTTCGTGAGGTGTGGCTTGAGCGGCTGATCAATGCTGCACAACAACAGGGTGCAAAGGACCTACGACAGTAAGATTTCATTCTCAATCGAAAGAGATCGGCTCATGTTGACCCGTGTGTTAGGACTGGTGTTGGCGGTACGAAAAGACCTGCCCCGGAGATACATATTTCAGCAGTAGATGAACATCCCAAAAAATGCTCGAAAGCTTCGCACTCGCCTCACACGGATGCTAGACTATCAACTGTCAATGTAGACTCGAACTCTGAGGGTCATGAGTCAGATTTAGAGCTCAATGTTCAATGCAAACATGTTACTATGTGCATGATTGAAAACCCTCGACCCTCGACCCTCCCTGTCGTAATCGATTTGCAGAAAACAAAACAAATGAGTTTCAGTGACTTTGCATGGAAACCACTTCGTACCGAAGAAGAAAAAGCCAAGCAATGGGAGAGATTGGCAAAAATCACAGCTGATGATGATGAATTGATGAAACGAGAGGAGGAAACTCTGAAAGCAGCACGAGAGCAGAGAAAGAAGAACCTAGCAATGGAGCGTCAACGTCGTCGTCGTGAGCGAATCAAAGCCACTCAGCCGAAAGGGAAGAAAGCACAAAAGAATGTCAACGAGGTGAGTCTAGCAGCTGTTCAATTGACCTGAGTATTGAAATGAACTTCATATAGGTTTTGCGGGCTGAATCCCAAACAAGCAGCCTTTCAACAATGGATCTCGCAGAGCTTTCAAGGCCTGATTCGAATTGGAAAGATCAGCGGACTGGGAAGAATGGTGGAACAAAGCAGGAATGACACCGTCGAACCAACTGGTATCATCCCTTCCTCTGGACACACATAGAGCAAATTGCCCCGAAAGTTGGCTGGTCTGCACAGACAATTGCTAGTAGGCTCGCTCGAGATCAACCATCACTCTTCTCTCACCTGAACAAGGGAACCGTCCAAAAATGGCTGGACAAGGAAACAAAACGTGGTTGGTCACCCGTGACAATTCAAAATGTCAAACAACGTCACGCACTGGCAGGATTGGGACAAACGGGGGTGCTTGCAAAGTACCCAGCAGTCGTGAAGGAGATCACAGACACATTGCGAGGTTTGAGGACATCTGGTGTTCCCGTCAGCGTTGTTGTTGCTCGCTCGATCATGCTCGCTGTGATCGAAAAGCATGAACCAGGCTTACTACTCACTGAATTCAAATGTTCAGAGGTGTGTTAACCATGACATTGATGGATGCCACTCACATCATTCTAACAGAAATTTGTTCGGTCGTTCTTCGAGAGTGTGTTGGACTGGAGTCCGAGGAAGGGAACACGTGCAGCAGCCCATCTTCCAGCTGATGCTGAAGAAACCTGTGAAGAATGTTTCTTTCGATTGGTCTACATCATGAAATGGTACAACGTACCTCCGAAAGTATGTAAATTTTGTCTTGATACAATCTTGATGGTGTTCTTACATGTGATAGCTCGTGGTTAACTTTGACCAAGTAGGCTGCTATCTCTTACCAAATAGCAGTACCACGTTTCATGAGCGTGGCTCCAAACAAGTTGATATTGTAGCTAAGGACGAAAAATGTGCTTATTCGCTACTTGTAGCCAGCACTGCAGACGGTGATTTCTTGCCGTTTCAACAAGTTTGGGCAGGTGCATCTGAGCGTTCATTGCCATCACATAATGCTCACGGCATGAACAATGCAATTGAGCGTGGATTTCATTTTGCATTTGCAAAAAGTGATAAGAAAACGAGCCACTACAGTACCTTGAAGACCATGCGAGAGGTGAATGCTGCTTCTTCGTTGATTTCGGCTCACTAATGACTTCACTACCAGTGGATCGAGAACATCCTTGAGCCATGGAGAAAGGTGGTTATCGAGACAGATCCCGATCTTGATGATGACCAGCATGCAATTGTCTACCTCGACTGCTACCCAGTGCACACCAGCCAGGATTTCCGTACTTATGTTTGGGAGAAGTATCCATGTGTGTTTCTATGCTTCGTACCTGCAAGTTGTGAGTGATATTTGGTTCGGGATGCAGTGGTACTCATGTTCAAGTTGGCTTTCCAATAGGTACAGGAAAGTTCCAGCCCGCTGATGTCGGGCTGAATCGAGTGATCAAGCACCGTCTCAAGCAAAACCAAGTGAATTTCCTTGTTGAAGCCCACAGCAATCAGATCTCTCGCGGACTCGTTCCTGAGCAAGTAAAATTTACAACATCACTGCCGGTGCTGCGAGATGCATCAGTTGCAGCCCTTGTTGATGTTTATGACTTCATGACGAGTGCTGCAGGACGCGAGTTGGTCAAAAAGGTGCGTAATGATGAAATTTGCTTCTTTGATAACTCAAAACACTCGCAGGGATGGGAAAGGTGTATTGCAAAGGAATGGAATCTTTCGGGAGACTGCCTAACAAGCAAGCAATCACGCACAGCTCTAAATACATATCTCCATACTCACGACGCACTTCGCAACGAGATCGAGAACCGAATGGGTACAGTTCACAACGACAGCGAGGAATCATTGGAACATGTTGAAGAGATGCGAGAAGATGACTCCGATGTTCCTTTGAGTGCCGTGATCAACGATGCACTCGGGATATCGATTGATAAAGCTTACAACTTGAACCTGGGGTATGTGGTTTCGGAGGTCAAGCAAGCTGCAGATCAGACTCTGATGGCAGCTGGAGATGCGGAGGATGTCTGGGCTTGGAATAACGGGGAACTATGGGGCAAAAAACTTCCTACAGTATCAGCTGACGAGCCTTAGTAGTTATTTTTCGTACCAGCGTGACATATAAACTCATAGCAACTCGACGTCCGTGATGCATGACCCAGTTCAAATTAGCAACGCAACCAGCTCTGCGTGACGCGTGACAGTTGCTTCCATACAGTCAGCTACAGTACGGACGTATCACATAATTAATCAGTCTATCTATGTCGTATGTCTAACATATGTAAGCACGAATAGCCACCGGCTCGGTATCAATTGTCTCTTGCAACCTCCAAGACTTTTGTGTAAGCCTGCTGCTTACTACGTCTGCTTATCATATCAATCACGTGGTTGTTTGGATCGCTTAAAACACCGCTTAGATCCTCACTTACAGACAGACTCGGGTCTAACACTTACCACAACGTTACATATTCATATCACATCTCAAATTCCACGGTTTTGTCCTATTATCTCCTGTCTGAACTGTTTAGTGTTTCCCGCCGCCACTACGGCGGGTCTCCACTTTTTTTTAATATCGACATCAACCGGCGGACTTAAATCCCAGTTACTCTCGAAACCGCTGGGCTCCCCGCCCACCGCGTAACCCGTCAAACTGTCTTCCAAACGGAAGAAACCAACCGTCAGTCAACCTCTTATCACACGCTCGCGCGCACGAGAAGTCCAACCGTCCCCATCTACCCCGTCACTATCCTCTTTGACCCCATTATCCTCCAACAATACCTTACCGAGAAATAATATCACTGTAAAGACAACCTGCGACTCTTCTTCTGAATCCGAACCAGAGACATCACCCATACGCTACCCGCTCGTTCACAACACAATGAAACCTGCGATTGTAGAACAATCGGCGCCAAGCAAACCTCCCAAACTACTCACTGGCGAGCTCACTCCTGAGGCTGCGCGAGACTGGGAGAATGCGTGTGCAACCTATTTCATGCACAAAGAGATCGAACCGCAGAATCAAGTCAAGATGATAGCATTCGGAATGCTCGACCCAAGACTACACACGTGGTACCTCGCACAATGGGTCACACTTGACGCTGGTACATTCCTAGAGTACATGACAGCGCTCAAGGACGCCTGGCTCGAGACGCACTGGGACACTAAGCTTCGTAAGAAGGTACTAGGGTCTCGACAGGGAAATCGTGCATTCTACGAGTGGGCTCTGGAGCTCCAAAACCAAAATGCCCTTCTATATGGTAACGCCGCTCATCTGACAGACGCACAGCTCCGCAACTAGTTAGAAGCGAATATCTGTGACGACCTGACTACGGTGGTACTTAGGGCGAACCTTGACGCCGCACTCACACTTAGAAACTGGATTGAAGAAGTGCGTCACCTCAACGACAAGCGCCTTGAAGACCTGGCTATGCACAAGAGACTCGCAGAGGACGCCTACAAGGCCTCCAGACGAACAACTCAACCATACACGTCTTCGAGGACGACAAATAACCCATCGACAAGCAACTCCACACCACATCTCAGCCCCCTCACAGTGACAGAACAAATGTTGCTTGCGGATAACAAAGGCTGCTTCAAGTGCAGGAAGTTTTACGTGTCACACAGATCAAGAGAGTGCCCGAATGGCGCACCTGAAGCGTCATCCTACAAGACAATTACCGAAGCGGATGCAACTGCAGCCAGAACCAAGAACGAAAGGTCAAGCAAGGCTGTACCTGTCGCCGCCGTCGCTCCGGTCATGGCTGTGATGCCTTCGTCTGTCTTGGAGGAGTTGTCTGACTCGGATGACGATACGTGCGTGGCTCCTTTCGAAACTGCCCATATCATGTGGTCCTGTCTGTTGACAGTAGTGCTGCCGCGGTTCGGTCCAGAACCATGGTTCGAACCGGACTTTTGGTCCGGTTCTCCGCGGTTCAGTCCATGGTTCTCACATCAGCCAGAACCGGACCGGAAAATGGTTCTCGGTTCTAGGTCTTCCCAAACGGTCCCATTCTGGTTCGGCAAGGCCGAACCATTCCGAACCGTTATCGACTTCGACTTCGCTTTGACTTCGCTCAGCGCATGCTTCCAAACAAGCACCTTCAGTCTCTTTTCAATCTCCCGCCTTCGATGCAGTTCCCAATATCCTTCGGCTCAGGCGACACTGCAAATGGGCTGCTTTCAGCCAGTTTTTCACATTCAATGCTCTCTTCACCATGAATGATGTGACCTTGATCGTGAGTACTAATTCTATCCTCGTTCGAGCTCGAGCCATGCTGATCCAAGTTGTTTCCCACCATTCGCAGTCTGTGAGTGTGTCGATCCTTGTTTGAGCTCGAGCCATGCTGATCTAAGTCGTTGCCCACCGTTTGCAGTCTGTGAGTGTGTCGGTCCTCATTCAAGCTCGAGCCATGCTGATCCAAGTCGTTGCCCACCGTTCGCAGTCTGTGAGTGTGTCGGTCCTCGTTCAAGCTTGAGCCATGGTTCACCTCTCGTGCCAGCCCAACTTCCAGTACCCTCTCACTTCCTTTGGCACCCTCTCGCTACCTCTGGAGCCCTCCCACCATCAAGTTGACAAGTTCAGCGCCCTCTCGCTACCTTCAGCATCCTCCCGCTTAGCGCATCCAATGCCACCAGCACCATGCGCAAACACCCAACACACACCAGCAAGTGCTGGTGTGGCGCGAACGCTCGCGGACGACACCAAGATGCTGAAGATGAATAAAGGACGAGAGGAGGAGGGAAAGAGGAGAGGAGAGAGAAAAGGAGAGCACACGCAGCGCATGTAGACTCGACTCTAGATGGGGGGTTCTCTCAGCTGCAAAGGTGCGTCATGGTGTTTTATTGTTTTGGTGTCTCATAAATTCATTGTTTGTATATGGTACCCACGCTCGCCACCATCTTCGACCCATGCTCATGATCGCCATCCTTCACTGCCACTATCCTATTTCTGGTTGTGTCAACCCCTCGTTATCGCAATTGCTCTCCTGATACCTCTCGTGCATGGTAATTGGGGGAGCAACCATGTTATTAGATTAGTTACTCAACATGTAGACTACTTAGTACTATGTCAATGTTTTTTGCGTGCTCTTACAGTTTTTTGTTTTTTTGGTTCGGTTCGGGTTCGAACCCCAAAAAAACCGAACCGGACCATAGAGAATGGTTCTCTATGGTCCGGTTCTGGGTTCGGACATTTTGCAGAACCGAACCGATGGTCCGGTTCTTGGTTCTCATCTAAGACCCTCTGAACCGGACCGAACCGGACCACGGCAGCACTAGTTGACAGGACCTTCCTCCCCCTCGTTTGAGCGCATAGACGCATTAATTGACCACGGTTCGCATCTAGTTCTTATTAATGAGGACATCGTGAACAAGTTGGGTCTGCGGAGACGCAAACTGCGCTCCAACATCCAAGCGAACTCAGCATTCCTCACGCCGTCTGCTTCTCCTTTGACTTTCTCTGATTATGTCCTTCTGTCTCCTTCTTCTCTGAATCATGACTGGAACTCTCGTACTATACACGCTATTGTAGCGCCTAATCTTGTTGTACCCCTCCTCTTGGGGGGACCTTTCTTATCGCACAATTGCCTCCTCATAGATCACGAACTTCGCACTTGCATCAGCAAGCCTTCTGGATACGACCTTCTTAATCCCCCAATTGTTACACGACGTACTCCTGTACCCTTGCCCTCAAATCGAGACATATCACGTCAACGCAGGACTGTAATTCGTGAGTTGAAAAATGGACTAACAGATCGTCTCAACGACTCTACGAAGCACACGACTACGACCACAAAACACATTGTCGCCTTGTTGCGTCGTCGGATCGATACTCTCGCGTTCATCGAGAAAAACAAGGATCAGTTGAACCGACTGGACGCTGAGATGCGTGAAAAATACAAGGATCGATTCCCGAATGACATACCGCATATTGACCACCTACCCACAGACATTGTACACCGCATCCACCTTAAGGATCCTGACAAGATCATACAATGTCGACACTACAACACCCCACAAAAGTACAGGGAAGCGTGGGAGCAGCTCCTCGACGAACATGTTGCGGCTGGACGTTTGCGTCCGTCTTCGAGCCCTTATGTGTCACCGGCGTTCCTCATACCGGAGAAAGATCCCACTGTCCTACCTAGATGGGTGAATGACTACCGTGCCCTAAACGCTAATACCATTCCAGATAATCACCCACTGCCCCGTGTGGATGAGATACTGCGCGACTGCGCAAAGGGGAAGATTTTTGGAAAGATAGACATGACTAACTCGTTCTTTCAGACGAGGATACATCCCGACGACATAAAGTACACAGCAATCGACACCCCGAAGGGCCTACACGAATGGACAGTAATGCCACAAGGAGGGAGGAACGCACCTGCAACACACCAACGACGAATGTTCATGGCACTACGACCTCTAATCGGGAAGATTTGTCACACTTACTTGGACGACATTATCATCTGGTCGCAAAGTGTCGCAGAACATGTAAAGAACGTGCAACTGGTACTTGACGCCCTATGGAAAGCATCCCTGTTCTGCTCGCCGAAGAAAACCTCTCTTTTCTGCAACGAAATCGACTTCTTAGGCCATCACATATCGGCCGCGGGCATTGAGGCAGATGCATCAAAGGTTAAACGCATATTGGACTGGCCTGCACCGAAATCGTCGACCGAAGTGCGCTCGTACTTGGGCCTGGTACGATACCTGGAGCAATTCTTACCAAAGCTCGCAGACCACACGCGAATACTGACCCCCTTGACGACAAAGGCAGCCGATGCTCACTGGCCAGGCTGGACAACGGAACATCAGAAAGTGTTCGATGCCATCAAACGACTCGTTACAGGCAGGGACTGTCTAACAACTATTGATCACGACGATATCGGTAACAACAAAATATTTGTGACCTGCGACGCAAGTGATTGGAGAACGGGTGGGATGCTAAGTTTTGGTCCTACTCCAGAGACAGCACGCCCAGTGGCCTTCGACTCGATGCAACTTCGCGACGCACAACTAAACTATCCAGTTCACGAGAAGGAACTTCTATCTATTGTATGCGCACTGAAGAAGCGGCGCATGGAGCTACTGGGTACCCCATTCACAGTATACACTGATCACAGGACACTTGAAAACTTCATGACCCAACGAGAACTATCGCGCCGACAGGCACGGTGGCAGGAATTCTTCGCTCAGTACGACTTCACAATACAATACATACCTGGAGAAGACAATGTCGTTGCTGACGCTCTTTCCCGCCTACCGCCCGAAACAAACAACGAGCCGACGTATATCGAACAGACAATGAACATGCCTCAAAACGCAGGTAACAACACCAGCCCTATCGCACTGATCCTCTCTATCACCCCAGATGCTTCGCTACTGAACGATATCAAGAATGGCTACACCAACGACCCGTGGTGTATTAGGCTGTCACAACTAACAAGCTCCTTGCCAGGACTACAGAAACGCGACGAATTGCTATACATCAACGACCGCCTGATCATACCACGTGTGGCTCACCTGCGCGAGACACTATTCAGACTAGCCCATGACGACCTTGGACACTTCGGAGCCGACAAATCGTATGCGGCGCTAAGACAATCGTTCTATTGGCCCAACATGAGGCGGGACCTCGAGGAAAGCTATATCCCCGCCTGTCCTGAGTGCGCAAGAAACAAGAGCAGGACGACGAAGCCTGCGGGACCCTTACATCCCCTCCCAACGCCTGACAAACGAGGGAATTCAGTTGCGATGGACTTCATAGGGCCACTTCCCCTCGAACAAGGGTTTGATGGTATACTAACGATCACCGACCGCCTAGGCGCTGACATCCGCCTAATACCCTGCCGAATGAACATGAACGCAAAAGAGATCGCTAACCTCTTCTTCAACCATTGGTACTGCGAGAACGGAATGCCACTCGACATCGTCTCAGACCGCGACAAGTTATTCACGAGCAAATTCTGGAAAGCATTGCATCGTTTGACAGGTATAAAACTCAAAATGTCTACTGCTTACCACCCCCAAACAGACGGCTCAAGCGAACGTACTAACAAAACCATCAACCAAGCCTTAAGGTTCTTCGTAGATCGGCGCCAAAGTGGTTGGGTAGACGCTCTACCACGAGTACGCTTCAACCTGATGTCCAGCGTGAACGCGTCCACCGGATACACTCAATTCCACCTACACCTGGGAAGGTCTCCACGCTTACTACCACCTCTAACACCCAAGGCCGTACAAGATGCGCGACTAGACTTCCCAACGAACGTCACGAACGCGCTCGAAGCCATCATGAACCTCAAGACGGATGTCGCGGATGCGCACGATGCTCTCGTAGCTGCCAAGATCAGTCAAGCCTCAACAGCAAATACAAAAAGAAACGACGAACCAGAACTCAAGATAGACGACCTCGTATATCTCTCAACAGCGCACAGAAGACAAGAGTATCTCCACGGCAGCAACCGGCGTGTCGCAAAGTTCATGCCGAGATTCGACGGGCCATACAAGATCATAGCAGCGGACCCCAAAACGTCGACATACACTCTCGACCTGCCTACACACACAAACATCCACCCAACCTTTCACGTCTCCCAGTTGAAGAAACACATAGCGAACGATGTCACACTATTCCCCTCACGAGAAGTGCAAAAACCGGGGACGATCATAACAGAGACAGGAACAGAGAGCTGGGAGATAGAACACATCCTGGATAGAAGAAAACGAGGACGAGGTTTCCAGTACCTCGTGCGCTGGAAAGGATACGGCCACGATACGGACATGTGGTTGCCTGGCCAAGAAGTCGAAGGGACGGACGCGTTGGACGAATTCAACGAGGGTCAGGATTTTTCGGAGGATGGGAGGGTGTAAGCCTGCTGCTTACTACGTCTGCTTATCATATCAATCACGTGGTTGTTCGGATCGCTTAAAACACCGCTTAGATCCTCACTTACAGACAGACTCGGGTCTAACACTTACCACAACGTTACATATTCATATCACGTCTCAAATTCCACGGCGGGTCTCCATTTTGCTCTTTTTCACGATACTAATATTATCAGTCATGCATGGATACCATCTACGCCTTCCAGCACGCCCTATAACACTGATGCCAAGCTCACATCCTGTTACCACTTCTCATTGCTCCTTTTTCGTTCTTTCGTTCCAGTGTTATATGGCGACCACCCATGAATTGGTCCCTATCCAAAATGGATCTAGTATCATGACAAATTGACAATACGACAATAAAAACTACTGGAAATAAAACGGTTACATCGTTCTACCTGATGGTCACTTCACGGTATACCTTTATATGCAAATGATATTCACTGTCCTCCTGTTACCCACTGTTGTCTCACCTTGCCTATGCTATTTTCACAGGAACCAAAAGAACCTCTCGGTGACGGTAATCGTGCGTTGCCTATTCACTCTCTCGCACAGTTCTCGAATTCAGAACAGATCCTTTTGCTCATTGGTTCCCGTATCAAAAGCCGTCGAGTTTCAAGAGGAAACGAAGAGAAATCGGTGCAAATACATTGTACAAAAGCCTGCCTTTGTAATAAAGGAACGACCGAAGGTCGCCGCTTGTATGATATATATTATATCGTTTTGCCGTTGAATCTGCCCTGCCAGCAGAAGTGCGTGCAAGTAACCATATCCTATGGCTCTGCTTGACTTGCAGACTGACCATCCCCACTGTAACCAGCTAGGTCAACGGTAACCAATTGTCCTCTTCCGTCAAGACTGCTGTTTTGGGAGAACACTATGTCCGAATCAGATTTTGATTCGGAAACACTACGTCTACGACGAGTCACGGTCCCATAGATATAGGTTGTAGCCGCCAGAAGGTTGCATGTAATGAGCGCAACTGCGAGCTAATTATTTTTAGTATACAGTCAACCTCAACAAGATGCGCAATTCATACCTCAAGATCAGTTGCGATTCTCCAGATACTCCTGATATGGTTGAGTTGGCAGACAGCTTGGAAAATCGAGAAGATCATCACAATGATACTGGTCGACATCGCTGTCATTATCATGATTCGTTCCTTCGCGGGAAGCCTTATGCCACATAGAAGTTGCGAGGCGAATGATACAACGATTGTATCAGAAACGCAGTTTGCTGTTGATATCATCGTGGGTGGTCAGGATGTGGTTCAGACCAGATGATTTACTTATCAACTCAAAAATAATCACGGGATGGGTCAAATACACATGTTCCTGCTCATTCTCGTCGGGGTGATTGTACCAATCATCGTACCAATCAAGATCGTGGCCGTATTGCCAAGCTCTCTGCGCCACTAAAGCGCCATACAACACCAGGAAAGCGAGGGCTATTCCAATGACCTTTAGGCGCAAGGACCTGGCGGACCAGAAAATCCGTGCCACAGAAAATAGAATGTTTTGTCGGACTGCCCTGATTTGATTATATGCTCAGTGAGCAACGCTGATGAACACGGGAAGATGCGTACCAGATAGCTGATGGAAAGGCAAACCCGTACACCCACGAACCTGCCGACTGGCCGCCATCTATTATGTAAGGATAAGTGTCAACCGCACAGTGGATAAATAATGTTGCCCACCAGTATAGGAGATTTTCCATCCAGCAATCAATGAGGTCTTCGACGTTCGTCATCATTGTGATATAACACAAATACAACAACTTGCACTTACCACCCCGCATACAAGCGCTACGAAAGCCCACATGTCCTCCACCCAGAGCATTCGTGTCCACACACGATATCCGAGCCGCAGGATAGTAATCAGAACACCCAAGACCTGAAGGATAGTGCAAACGACTGAAAATCGTTTGAATGGCTAGAATGCCTGTAGAAATATTCAACTTTACCTCTCCACACTGTCTGTGACATAGTAGTGTATCGATGTACACTGAGCAGTAATGCAAGACCCAGCAACTCAGCTCGAGACTTAAATTGAGCGTAAACCCTGAGGTAACGTAACAAAGCGTGGAAGATCAGCAAGGTCATGATAGAGCCAAGAAGGTCTCAGGCAACTTGGCAAAGGTGAATCTAGTATTGGTCTGACTAGAAATCAAGGTACAACACGTACTTGTGACATAGCTCTCATTCTGTTAATCATTAGAGGGTTTTCCGCCGAGATGCATTCTCGGTCGTTTTGCGAGTAAGTGGGTTTCTCCCAGCCAATCACGCACGAGCCGTTTGAAACCATCGAAGATCAGTGGCCAAGTTGTAGGTGTTTGTACTTAGCACGAGTACGTGTCAATTCAGGGATAGTTGATCGAGAAACCTGCCAAGTACAGTGAATGCGATCCCTGCTTTCAGGGGGAAAAGCAAAGTAAAAAAAACCCACCAGGTCACTTGTCTTGGAGAGCGACCGGCACAAAATTACGTGTAACTTGCCGTGTACTTATCTCTTCGATAAACTTGGTAGCACAGACTATGAACTTCGTTCAAGATCTAACAAAAATGTTGCTCCACTAGTTGGAACAATTGATTGCTACTGCTCACCTCCGAGTCAAGACCTGTCAAGACCACGTCACAATTCGGAGGTCACCGGTGTCACCACAGCTATATACAGTTGACAGCCAACTCTAACGCCATGATGTCACGGGACAGTGATATACCCTGCTTCGATCACGGGTCATCGTACATATTCTTTTCGAGTTTTCTCGACAATAAAATAGACTAAATTCAACATTAGTTACACAGTATTGACAGTCTTCTCGCCTTGCAATGTAGATTGAATCCTCGAACTTCTCTGCTCACCGCTTCCTGACTCGGCATTGTCCAAGTCGACAGTAGTGAAAACCCCACCCGTAGTAATTCGCGTCGTGTAATCATCGTCATCGATAGAGATCGAGTCGTCCGCACCCGCGGAACTAATGATGCGGTACAGGAGAGTAACTATCACAAGGAGGTTGCAAACAAGAAGCGACAGGGCTGTCTGGTACGTTTAACACTCAAATTAAAGTACCCCTAGAAAAAAATGACTGTACCTCGAAGTCTGTCGTCAGGGCAAGAACAGTGATATATTTCGATATTTGACAGACTCCCCGGAAGATGGATATAATGGTGACGATGATGCTGGAGGAGAATATGGCGAGAATCATCCTTTTTTGTCTTTTTGGCAGTCTGAGACTCCAGAGTAAGCGCAATGGCAGAATAATCAGTATTGTGTCGGATAAGCAATCAGCTTACAAAGCGTGTGAGTTCAAGTCGTGTAAGAGCCACAAGAAAGTCGCACTTATCAGTTCGAACATGATCATTGGTTGCGTCATAAGTATATGCACCTTTCTAGTTGTTTGATACCAGCAGGTGTTATGCCCATAATGCCACGCTTTTTGTGCAACAAGTCCTGCCCACAAACCGAGGAAAAGACCAGCAAGACAGAATATCAGGCGACGGAGATGCTGCGTTGTGTAAACAATGCGAACGATGGAGAACAAGATACTTTGCCGGACAGCCCTACTTATCCTTGAGAATCGATGGTGCAAATTTAAACACGAAGATACTTACCACACGACGGAGGGGAAAGTAAACGAGTACACCCAGAACGATATAATTCCTTCTTCACCCACTGCAGGCAAGAGTTCAATAATGAGTAGGCAATATGCACAAGCGGACTCCTTTTACCTGCTTTAGTGTAAGTCCAGCAAGAAGTAAACGCGGCTACCCCGCAGAGAAATGCGACGCCTGCCCAAGCATCCTCGACCCAGAACCTGCCCAACCAAATACGATATGCGAGTCTAAAAATCGTCAATACCAGCCCTAAAACCATAAATACACTCGAGACGGCTGTGGGAGGGTCAGTGAAGCTTTTATACCATGCAAAAAATTACCTCTCAGAGTCACGAAGGTCGACCAAGAAATCACCAGTGCCATGGGGTAAATACCAAAAAGGGGGCGGCACCCCAGACGACAGAAAAACTGCATTTATCTTGCCAACTCCAAGTTTACAACCCCGCTTGGTGTGCGACATTCCATCCCTGAATCTGTGGCATGTTGCGTAACGATAGGGCTACTAGTAGTACTGGTAGTGACGTTTGTTGACCCTGATTGTGGACAGCATGAAAATGTTCACCCAAATTTTAAACTGCAAATCTGGTCCAACGCTACAGGTTCCCCAACCATCGCCCCGGAACTGATGGTTCGAGACTGAGTACGGTATACTACTGCGACAAGACTCTCATCAACTTAAAACGCCATCATCGAAAGTAACCACGACTCACACTGGCATATATGGCGATGTATTTCCGCAAAACGTCACAGGTGCAAGCCTATGCAGGCCCAGGCCATCGAATCGTGCTCGTCCGCAGGGGCAGCGAGCCTAAAATTGGGTCGCTTATCTGAAATCTGCAGTGTGGTCCTGATGAGCAGACATATAGCGATGCAGTTACTCTGTGAGATGAGCCTCGAAGCAAAGGAGCGACTGGAGAGTGGCGTAGACTGGTTTTGGACCGACGATCGTTCAGTTGGATTGGTTCACGTGCTCTTTCGGCGATTAGATAACCACGTGGTAGCTAGCTGTTATCTACGATAATCTGGATTCTCGAGTCATTCGCATCTGCTGCTTTTAAATACCAGTGAAATAGTAGTCCCAACCCGCTGAGCTTAACCATACCTTGTTAGATGTCCGACTCCCAACCTACTACCATCCCTCCCGAGGCGCACGAGCAACTGGTCACGCCGTGGGATGTGCAGGGCTCAGTCTCCGCCGACGGCAAGCAACTTGCGATCGACTACGACAAGTTGATTATCCAATTCGGGACGCGCAGAGTTGATGCAGAACTTCTGGAGCGGTTCGAGAAATTGACAGGGCATAAACCGCATCCGTTTCTGAGGCGGGGGATGTTTTTCTCGCATCGGTGAGTGCAATACAGCTTAACTGCTGCGTCCCTTGCAATTCGGTTGATGTCATTGCCTTTTCATAGAGAATTTGACAAGATTTTGGATCGATATGAACAGGGAAAACCTTTCTTCTTGTACACGGGACGCGGCCCAAGTAGCGATAGCATGCATCTCGGGCATATGATACCATTCCTCTTTACCAAGTGAGTTATTTGCGCAGCATGTCCGTCATTGGCCTGACAATTTGTGGAGATGGTTGCAGGATGTCTTTGATGTCCCACTGGTTGTCCAACTAACCGGTAGGTATTTCATCATCTCGATTTGATTACTTGCTAATCCAACGAACAGATGACGAGAAATTTTTGTTCAAGCACGAACTAAAAGCTGAGCAGACGCTACAGTTCTCGAAAAGCAACGCGAAAGACATCATCGCAGTGGGATTTGATATCAAGAAGACATTTATCTTTAGCGATTTCGAATACGTCGGTGGACCTTTTTACCGCAATGTCGTCAAAATATCAAGGCAAATATCATACAACCAATCAAAGGCCACATTTGGTTTCAACGACTCGTAAGTCTGATTCGTCCTTCATCCAGGATGGCCAGCATATTTTTCAACAGGGATAACATCGGAAAAATCCATTTCTGTGCCGTTCAAGCAGCTCCGTCCTTCTCGAACTCGTTCCCTCACATATTCGGCGAAGTTTCTAATATCCCTTGCCTCATCCCCTGCGCGATAGATCAGGACCCCTACTTCCGGCTTACGCGTGATGTCGCTCAGAAACTCAAGTACCCCAAACCATGCCTCATTCACTCTCGGTTTTTCCCTGCTCTTCAAGGACCTCAGACGAAGATGAGCGCGTCAGATGCGACCTCAAGTATATTCATGACCGATACCCCGAACCAGATCAAAAATAAGATCAATAAGCATGGTTTCTCTGGTGGTCGGGAGACGGAGGAGGAACACAGGAGACTTGGGGGTGATACGGATGTGGATGTTGCATATCAATATCTGGGCTTCTTCCTGGACGATGAGGAGGAACTTGCGAAGATAGGCGAGGTCTGTGGCTGCGGCTAATGTCTGCGGATCATGTCGCTGATGTCCGTGATCAGGATTACAGAGCAGGGCGTCTACTTACAGGACAGTTGAAAGCACGTTGCATTCAAATGTTGCAGGAGTTCGTGAAGGCCTTCCAAGAGGTCAGTGTCTCCCCTATGACCTCCAGGATTGTGTACTCACCCTTGCATATAGCGGAAAGCCAAGATCACAGATGAGGATGTCAGCGCATTCATGGACTCAAACAGGAAAATAGACCCCAATTTCGGGAAGCGGTCACAGACATCGTGACTCGAGTAAATTGTTGTACGAGGAAGTAGTATCCCTACAATACAATGTGTGTGCTACATGTTGCAACAACACTGGGATATGTTAGCAAACACGTGGTTTTGCGTAAACGAGTCTGCCATTCCGTGTCATGATCATCGCGACCACTACACCTACTGACTATATACGAGATGTCTGAGCACGATCCAGACCCGCGCCAACCGTGCATTGATGCTGTAAGATGCACCGCTCATCCTGATCATCCTGTCAGGCTTTGGCGATGAGAATTGTATTAGTGTTATTGCCCTTCGTCCAGTGAAAAGGATAGGTCTGGACCTGGCTATACTGCCATGCAGCAATGATATCCACCGTGGCCTTACCCCAGTTAAAGGATACATGATTTTCCTCGTCCGCAGGACCGTGGACAGATACGCAGGGCTTCTCATTATGTGGTCTGATGAACTCCTGTGAAGGTCGAGTTGGTTCCAAGTTCGTAAGTAAATGATCCGGCTGACGACACTCGAAAGGCCAACTCGCACTGTGAGGTGCGTGAATACTAACCTATTGACTTGTCCAAAGTGTTCTGGAAAGAGATGTGCGTTTTCGGTGATGTTGAAGTCCTCGCGCCTGGATAGAATATAAATCAGCCCCAAAATATCAAAACTATGCCTTGGGCATACTCAAGATGGAGGCGCTGCGCTTGAACCACCAATGCTTCAGAAAGCCAACGATACGTGGCCTGAACGTAGGACGTGCATGCTCGAGAGATAGTTCATCGACAACCTGACGGCATTGGATATGATCGAACATCACCATGGTTTCCTTGAGTGAGTTCTTGAGGTGGTACCAGAGGATATGAACACAAGCACAACACGAGGTTCAAGGATTAACGCAGAGGAACCCGTGCACAGAATCCCGTCCATGACCGTTTCGTGAGAGGAGCTTGCGGGAAGGTGTACTTCAAATACTGGATGATGTGGTGTTACATCAATTATCATATCCGGGACTTCGCCCGATCCGATTGCAGCAGTCAACCAGGGCAATTCTTTTTGGGACCGTTCAATTATTGAAGCCGAAAACAAGATAATCCGAGAACCACTTTCCAAATGTTGAGGGCACTGTCATCAGCCAGAACATCATGAACCCCAGAAGATCATGCAACTTACCCGAGCCTTAGTCTCATTGATGACCACCAAACACGGGCCCGTCGGTGATACGAGAAATGATCAACGAGTATTAATGATAGAGTATACACACGCTGCTTGCTTGCATCACCGGTTCCTTGTCACCCTCACCATTTCCGGCTGTGTTTGTGACATCATCGTCCATGTTGATGCTTCCATCATCATCATTCCCGTTGTAAGCATCCTAGAAGAACGGGCTGGCTGGCTTGCATCATGCGACACAAGCAGATCTACATCATCTCCGAGTCCTGTATGATAGATTTGTGGCTAGGTGAGCGCGTGCCTTGCTGGCACGCGGAAATTCGCAGCCGGGAGCAGCACCGAGAATGGAGAACTGGCTGCTAGGGCGGTGGATGTGGTGGTAAAAGGCATGGTACTGCGGACGGAATGCCGAAATCAGTGAGAACAATGAAAACAAGCGGAGAAACACACCCAACATACCCTGGAGGCACCGAAGCAGCAAGGCGCTCGATCAAGTCCGCCTTTCTCCCTCATACATTCAAGCCATCCTCACGGCACGGCGCTCGCAGTTACTTTACGGGCGATAGTACGGTGTACGGATTCTCTGAGTGCAATAGTTTGGCATCTGTTAGCGTAGCGTATAGAATGGAATACGTAAAAAAAAATCCAGCTCACCTCGTTGACGGGAAGAGTGAAGACTTCGTATAGGCCCAACTCTTCCTGTTAGCAAGCGCTTGTCAGGAAAGCACTCACCGCTTTATGCACGTGTTGGGGCTGAACGGGTCAATGACAGCATCGGAGCCAGTACTCGTGTCGACGGCCATCGGATGGGCGTCTATGACAAGCCTGAGATTCCCATGAACCGCGAACCTGGTGAATGATGAGGGAGGCGCTGGAGCAACAAGGCTAGGTCACGTTTCGATTGAACCTAAGGTTACATAACACTTGGTCTTTGTTTCTGCCTCACCGATAGAGCATATCCCTGTTGAGCGCTGCAGCGCTGAGTACTCTACCTTTACTTTATTGAAGCTGTGCGGGGACACATTATTGAGTGCAAAAATGATCAGGGCTAACAGGCCTAACTGACTTCTTGCACTGGACTTGTGAAATGACATCATGATCGGGCACGAATAATTAATATTATGTTACCGACGTCAGGCAAAAAAAAACCTCGGCAAGCGATCACAGACGGCTTGTCTCGGAACTACCTCACTCAGTGATACTTGTTCTACAAGAAAGTGAATCTCAATGTAAAGAATGTATGCTGGAGTCCTAGAAGATATAATGGGTGGTAAATATGATAACGAATACGTGCGAGTCTGCTAACCTATGCCATGATCAACATGAACGGAAGCAAGCGTGCCAGACCCTCTTTAACCACGTATTGGTCATTTTTAGGCCGTATAACCCACCAACAATTCCACTCATGCCTTTGATGTCGGATTTTCCATTAGGTTTTGCACTGGTATCAGTGTCCTTCGTCCAGTGGAAGGGTAATGACCGTATTTGGTCATATTGCCATGCAGCAATTGCATCTATAGCGGCCTGCCCCCAGTTGAAAGATTCATGGTCTTTATGGTCTTTAGGTCCGTCAACGAAGACGCATAGTTTCTCGTTGTGTGGCTGGATGAACCCCTCCCGTACGCCATTCCGGATGAGATCACGGAGAGGACTGTAGTAGGACAGAACATTAAGCAATATTACGGCTGCAAAATATGGTTTTGGTTGGCGAACATAATGACACTGAAGCAATGAAATATGTTTACGTTTGTTGTGAATGTTGATTTGATTCCAAGCTATCACTTCAAGAATCTAGGGGCACGATAGGGTGAGTGTGAATTACGTTGAGCGAACGAGCCTCGTGTACCTCTTCAAAAGTGCCGTATCCTCCTGGCAACCCCACAAAAGCACCGGCACGCTTCGCCATCTCGATCTTGCGCTCGTGCATCGAGTCAACAACGATCTTAATGTAGGAACGAATTACAAAGATGGAAATGAAGACGAACGGAAATCAATTAAACAATGTGGTGTGTGCGTGTGAATTATTACTTACAGTCTCGATCTATGGAAAGTGTGCGCGTTAGTGAGTCAGTTCTGCGTCGACATCATTGACGGAATCGCGTACATGTCTTCGCCGGTCCTCATTGAGAACTCCAGCAACAGATTCAGTCTTTACAACACCATTGCCCTTGTCTTTTTCGCCACCTGCAGCTTGGATGGCATATGGGATGATGCCAGTAACTTGGCCGCCCTCTTCTATTACGGCACCTGAGACAACGCCCATAAGGCCCATGTTACCACCACCATAGACAAGGGGTCGTTTTGCCTCTGCTAGAGCATGGCCCAATGCTGTTAAAAATACGACGCAACACGTGAGAGCAGTCGCGAGATTGAATGAAGAAGACATACATAGCGCAGCTAGCTGAAAAGCATTCTGCTTCCCGAGTGATGCAGCACAATAAACTGCCACGGCTGAAGAATTGGAGGGTGCAACCATAATTGACTGCTCTGGAAGGATTGTTGATGTTCGAGGGAGGGATTTGGGGTTGGAAGGATTATGCATGTTCTGCACCTTTCAACGAGCCTTTAAATAAATGTACGTACAGCGGACTCGAGGCAGATGGCGTTCCTGCCACGTGGCAGAGAGTTTTGCCTATACAACACTAGTAGCCTCGGCTTCTGTTCGACGTCTTTCGGTGGGAGACTCTAACACAAGAGCTGTACGTTTACCACTGCGCGTGTCCTTGGCTGGCGAGGAGTTGGGGGTGTCACAGTCGGACACCGGGGAACCGATGGGCCAGTGTGTTACAACTCGCGATGTGTGCAAGTCTCACGATTTATGAGTTGTGCCATCCAAACTTCGTAAGGTGTTGTTGGCAGAATGACAGAAAAGTGGCTCCGGCTATTGCTGGCAGTATTAATAAGTCAGATCGGCAAAAATCGAAGTCACTTAGCATATTTTAAAAAAAAAACATAAAAATTCTATATAGACAAATTTAAACCATTTTTTGTAAAACCTTCACAATACACTCACCTAACCGACACCAATGTTGCAACTTGCAGTCCGCCAACGTCCAACAATTGTCGCCCTTATTTTCTAGTTTTAGAACTGGTATGCATTTACCACACCCTACGGCTAGCACTAACACCAGAATTTCAATTGATCGCACCGTTGGCCCTTGCTGCTGCGGCAGAAACTCAAGTCCCGGTCTGGCGGCAAACTGGTTGTGCCTTGCCTACGGCGGAGATGTGATTACGACAATAGCATGATGGGTTTGAATTGAAACCTGACTTGTCGACTTCCTGCTGCAGACAGCCCTTAAAGCATGGTGGAAAAACTTTCCAATTGATCCAGGTGACATTCTTGCAGGTCCGGAGAGTATCGCGCCTGAAGACATTGCCGCTGAATTTGCGGCTCTTGGGGAGTTGAAAAGGACCGAAGACTCGGACATTCAGTCTTCAGAGGCCCATCGGCGAAGTTGAAGCGCTGGAGGGAAATGCTTCTGACTTGGATCGGGGCGAACAAGGTATAATATCATAACGAAAGATGTTCAACTGAGGTAGTTCAAGTTAATATTAATGACGAGGACGAATAGGACGAAGCGATATTGTCATTAATCATCATTTCATACACATCATATAGTCTACATGAGAGCCCCAGCCTCGGGGCCTACACTACCGTGTAAGCCCAGATTTAGCCAATAAGCCTGAATAGTTTGGTCACAGGAAGCTGTAGTTTCCAATTGCTACTCAGTCTGGCCCTAGCTGCTACGTGGACACTGGAGACGGTAGGCAGCATAATTAATCAGAGACAAGTGATAATCGCATCGGTAATCTAGTATTATTAGATGACGTCACGCACTGTCACACCGCTAAGCCAGTGGTCAGGCTCGTATCCGTACTACCATACCACCCGACCCATAATTCACCGGCACCTGCTCACGTCGCACCCTAGATTATAATCGGCCATCTAAGTCCTGACGGCCACGTGGGCACTATAGGGCACAACGAGGCGACCCGGTGATCGTTAGTGCGAACCTGCAACGAGCGATTTGTTACATAAAATACTTTTTTTTCGGTCCCCGTGCTTTGGGGAGCCATGATCTGACCACTTAGAGACTCATCACAAGCTTGAGCTTGCCGACAAATAGCTTCGTTCGAGGTTTGATCAGCGACTAGTGCCAGCCACCACAAAGTCGATGTTGTGTAGAAGATCACCGAATCACCGTGACAATTACCGTCGTTCATGTCAACGTTGACTCTATCCATATTCGAGGGCTAGTCGCACAGCTTCGAGGTTGCCAGCTGGCTCGAGGTGAACACGTTGAAAACGTGAAATCCACCAGCCCATGATGATCCTAGCAGAGCTTATCGGTGCCGCCATAGTCGAGCACTGCAAGTTGACTAGTCGATAGCGTATAGAAGTGATTAAGAGGTAAACCATAGATTTCATGATATCTCAAGGCATATAGTTACGTTTCTTCATGCAGAGGTCCTATACTTCCGCGTTTCACGCCCAACCTTCCTCGCACTTTCTCCCTCTGAAATTACATTCTACAAGTAACGGGACAATACTTTGTCCTGTCGGGTCGTCATAGAAATCCATGAGTACCCAACCCCTGATCCGCGGTTCAGTATTCACGTCATTCTCTCCTCGTTTGTCGAACTGATCAATGAGCCATTTGCCGACTCGAGCATTGACGCCTTCAAATCCAATTCCCCATTGCGGCCATCCGAGGCCGCGGGCGAACATGGGAGGGAACGCTAATGGTAATGACAATGCAGAAAGAAAGGATATTGATAGGGTCGGGGGAGAAGAATCACAGGAAGCGACGAGGATATTAGTTGAAAGAGCAACTTTCTCGGGAATAGAGAGGAAGGAAGGAATTGTGTACCTGTGGTGATAGTCATGATTAGCCAGGCGATCCGAGAATCCCCATACATACCAGTCGTGTGTCTGGACCAGGACGTCCTGACAGCTCCAAGTGAAGCCGTGTCTGTCATTGTCAGGCCAGATAGACGGATGGATTCCAATAGCTGCATTGTCCCAGTCGTGACCATCTGTGCCGAAACGGCTGAACATTACAACCTTGCCTCTTACCTCACCCAGGGTTGGTAGTCGATTTTCCAAATACCACATGCTCAAGCCCCCTGGGGAGGTAACAATCTCTTGGTGTACAAGCTTGCTGAAACGTTCCGTATCAGAATCCTCCTGCTTGATTGACATTACTATGGTCTCGCGCGAAGTCGAGGGCGTTGTGAGGAACGTGTATACCGTTGATAAGATATCCGCAAACAGGGTACGTTCCGGGTATATTCCATGGTATGAAATGAGGTGGGAATCAACGATTGCCAAGCGTATGTCGAGAACTCGAATGCCAGCGTTAAGTTGTCTCTCAAGAGAGGTGCTTGGTGATTGGCACTGGGCGATAGGCCATCCATAAAAAGCCATTCTATCGTCATCGTCATAGCAGCATTCGCTCGCACATACAAGTCAAGACATACGTGTCATGAGTTCCTAATATGTTTGGTCAGGCGAGTACTGAGAACACGAATAGCAATTTTACCTGGAAGCGTTAAAGATGATAGAGGGACAGTATCGGGGATGAGAGACAAGAAACCGGATGTATCGCGTCGAGGGAAGATAAGCAAACAATAATGTTTGCGAGACAACTGAAATGATATGGATTCAGGCGGGCCAGTATTTTCTGCACTATTATCCCACCTTATGGCGATACACCACCCATTCTGAATTTGCTGGGACATTGACAAGCTTCCACTTCGCTGCAGCGCCGACATCGAGACGCATAGTGACAGAGACGGGGGTTATAGGACTCGCCTCGTGTTCCTTCGTCACATTATCCCATTTATGTCGAGATACATTGAGAAGAGAGCATTTTCGGGAGAATGATACGCTCTTGGAATGGGCTCGGACGAGGAGAACGTGGTCTTCCTGTGCCGTGCCTCTGAGGGTACAATGTAAATCGTCCTGTGTCTGATTTGAGATTGTGACGTGCATACGTATTAGTGGAGAACACAAACTGTCTATCCGTTCGCAACCGTGTACAACGTTCGGCTCCCATGCTGCATAGCGTTGTGGCACCTCACGTGATCTGTAACATGCAGGGCGAGGTCAGGGACTCAGAAGCCGGCAGGTCACGGATTTTGATTGGAGTACTTAAACGAGCACAACTCAGTTGGCACTTTCTCAAGAAACGGTCCTAATATTATATAGATATAAACATCGGGTCTTTGATGCAACGTTTTCGAGTAACAGTGTCAAAGGCACTTTGAAAGTACTTATCAAGGTTATTGTGATTCTCGCCCATCTTTCTCCTCGCATGCCTCTCGCCATTTCTTGCCCTTGTAGAAGACAGTTAGTGTCAGGACTTCCATTATTATCATAATGCCACCCCAGATGGTGTACAAACCACCGTCGCCAATGGCAACCTAACAACAAAGTTCAAAACAACTGCATACAATTTAGCTAAATCGGACACACCTGAATCGGAATAGCCACTTCGATGGCAACGAAAGCAAAGACACATCGAAACACACTATTTGTGGCAACAATCATTGACGAACGGCCGGGGTTAGCATCTACGATGTATGCTAGCGTGCTTGCGTAGATCCATCTAGAAAAATAACAAATAAAAAACACGTCAGTCAAGTTCTTGCAAAATTTATATAAGCGTACGTCGAGAGGAATCCAGCGAGATAGAGCATAAGGCAGATTGCTGCGACATGAACGTGCTTTTCGCAAACCCATGCGTATCCAATTATAGCCGGTGGCAAAAACCCCATCGCGGGTCGGGTGCTGGCTAATCGCATCTGAATTGTTATATTAGGATGCCTGTCGCATAGGCTTAGCCATAGGAACATTATCAACCTCGGGGTAGCTGTTGCCTCCATTCTCTTGCTTCCACTTAGCAATTGTTCGGTCAGACCAGCGGCCGCCAAGTAAGGACCCACATATAGAGCCTTCGACGCTAGTCAATCATTGTCAATCCAACAAATAAGATTTTACCTGTTCCAGACGAAAGTAGAACTAGACCGATCTGGAGAGCGTTGTAGCCATAGTATTCGGACAACGTTCTCGAACAGGTATATGAAATGCTGTAGCTGAAAGCGAATATCAAACCTAGACACATATATGGCTCGTCGGGTAATGCACATGATGGTTCGGAAGACACGTACCGGAAGCAAACAATATTACGAGATTATTTACGCGTGTAAGAATTTTCCGAAGTGGAGGGAAGGGATTGACATCTGCGAGCGATACATCGACATCTTCCATACTTGAAGCATGTGCAACGGTGTGACTATTCGCCTCCCCTATTTGCTGCGGAGAGGCTATGCCTTCTAGCGTAGGTTGTGCGGGCTTGTCAGTGGCAGAAAAGGCGTGACTAGATTTGTCCAAGTGTTGGTGTTGTAGCTCCCCTTCCTTTGCCCGTATTTGCAGAACGTTCTGATACGTCAGACTACGTTCCTTCCTGAACGTATCTTTGAATATGAAAATCAGAGCAAGGAGAACAACTCCGGCGCAAATAGTGATGAACCAGAAGACTGAGCGCCAGCCCAAGCTTTGCGTCAGCACGCCACCCAATATCGGGCCCAACGCGGGCCCCATGAGAGGAGCAGAATAGTATATCCCCATTTTAGTGCCTCGTTCATGCGGTTCGTAGATATCTGCTAGTGTGGCTGCGGCAATTGACATGAGTGCGCTCGAGCTGATTATTGTAAGCAGTGGCTCTGAGAGTCAATGTAACCTGCTTACCCGATGGCTTGAAGGGCTCTCATTCCAATCACCAAACCAATAGTTTTGGACGATGCGACCATAGCGGAGGCGACCACAAACAATGCTACAGATGATATATAGACAAACTTAGATGGAAGAATATCAGCAGTTTATTGTTACGAGACAGAGCGCTCGACGAACCTTACGTCCTTTGATTTCGCTAATGGCGCTCCATATAAGTCCGGGGAGTCCCTGAACAAGAATAAAAGTTGATAATGTCCAACTTATTTCCGATGTAGACGCTTGTAAGTCATTCTGAATTTGGGCATTTGCAGCTGGGCGCAAGTTGTTTCAGTCTTCTGACCACCTGGGGAAGGAATAGCCATACGATTCTGTATGCTGACAGCTAACCCCGCAATCATGGAGCCAGCCGAGACAATAATTAGAATAGCAGTCTATGACCGACAAGTCAGCCTGTTTCTCAGAGTGTGAATGACTGCCACCCTACCTTGTGCGCATTGTCCCATCTCAAAGGATCATCTTCCACACTGACGTGTTCAATGTCTGTCTTGATTTCGTTGTAGAAAGCAACGACTGGGCTTCCAACTTCAACTGCGATGTGAGGAGAATTTTGTACATGTCCGGTACCTTCCTCAGAGACCGTTGCATGAGCGGAATGCATGGTAAGCTGAGGGTTTAGCGAGTAACACCGACAAATACATGCAACGCAAGCTTTTATATGAATCAAGTGAAGGCTCAGGCCTCGGCTCCAGGGAATCAATGGTGGTGTGTGCTAATGATGGATGACGGCGCACACTAATGGGCTGACTGAAACATTTCCAAGGTGGTGCTGGGGCACATGGTACCGGTTCGGCATGAAAAATGAAGACGCTAAAACCATCCATGGTAACAGATAATTGTGTGCTTGTAGTGTTTCGTCGGCCGTGAGCGGTCTGAGATATGAGCCCCGGTGGTGGTAAATGCATTAACCAACTCGGTACGGAACAGAAGGTTATTCGCTTCAATTTCGAAGGCAAAACTTCGATTGCGAAGCATGGAAAAGAAGTTCTATTAACGCTTACGAAACGGGCCGCACAACCGCATTAGGAATCGCGCCAAATATTGGGGCGCGGCGTGTCGGGGTAAATATTACTAAAAGTCCTTATCTACGCAGTGAACACGATATATCAGCGAAGATTTTGACACACAAATGGGTAAGTCGAGCAACAGAGAAATTTTAGTCATGAGCACGGCGTTTACTATGCAGATGAATTTCGCGTATGTGGCGGACAAGACAATCTCTCCTCATGAGCTTGCCGCATCCGTTCCAGGAGCAGTAAATGCGACAATGCGAGAATCCTCCAACATGCTTCCGCATATGAACGACGAGGGTATTGGCAGACACCATATCATTGCAGAGGTCAGTTGCCTGTGACCACCCGCAGCGATCTCGTGGCACCAATGTCGACACACCAACTGGTATATCCATAAGATGAAACGTTGGATCAGCAGACGGCCTCGAGATAGCCTGTCGAGCAACGGGGTGCAATGATCGCGGGTTGGAAGGACCCGCAAGAGCTTGTTCTCGAGCGACTTGCGACGCCTTTCGGCTGTGGGGTTCCTACATCATAGCGGAAGCGTAGGTCGTGGCACAGTGAATACAAGCGATGATTACTCACAGCAGAACGACCGCAGCGCGCATAGCTTGTATTACAAGTTCTTCCGTGCCTGGTGATTCGACGCCGTCAGATAGGCCGGGCAGCTTACAAGAAAATACCATTATACACTGGCGCAATTATAATTCGACGAAATCGTGCTGGTGTCATAGGGGCAGTGGCAATTTCGAAGTTCGCACTAAAAATAAAAACTTGTAAGAACAGTAGCGACCGCGTAAAATTGACTGACTAGTTTAGAGTTTGCCTGGTTTCATCCGATTTATTGAGAGGGGGCTCAGCGCCACCAGTCGAGTGGGAGAAAACCATCGAACATGATGGCTCTCTGGGACATGCTATCGCGGGGATGGTCAGCAGTTTGTCGCGCATGTTTGCAGTCAGGCAAGGAGTATAAAAATTAAAGGAGACTGAATATTCGTCAATTTATACACAAAGATGGCACTGTCGCTGGAGGAGTCTATCCTGCCAACCACGAAGTGACTTGCAAAGTTCAATGGTCAGGACCTTCTAGATCATAAACGGAGATTAATAGGCGTACAGATGAGGAGGGTAGCTGTGACACAATTGATGAAATTTCTGATCCAGAAACTGGTAGAAAATGGCAGCCAGTGATTGGGTGAAGGTGCGGTCGAACAGGAGAGTTTGAGATGCCATATTGCTGGTACATAGCAAACGGTAGGAAAGGTATGGTATTCGATCAGATCGAGTTTGAAGAGTAAAACACCATTCCGGCAATGCTATGTTTGTGTGGGGGCGGACAACGTTCAACACCATCTAGAATCTAGATAAGCGTTGCCCTTATTCGCGGCGTTTTAAGCGGGAAATGAGCATGATACAACTTGAATTCACTATGATCACTGATTACACCAAAGGACCTTGGTCCCTCGTGTTGTGGGGCCAGCCGCCAGGACGGAATAAAGTATACGGCTATCCGTTGAGGCTATCCTTCCAATGGTCACCGGATCTTTGAATATCGAAGACCAAGCCCTGCAGATATTGTCATAGTAGTAGTAACCGATTGATCGTTGGGCACGCGGAAGACATACGAAAGACATAAGGTGAATAGGAAAAAGTATCCAACTGACAACACCATTACGTAAAGGCTCTTAAAGGTGTATTCTCCTTTTTTGCACTAAACTTTGGTTAAACTCCGGGAATCCGGACGGAAGTCGTTACATACTCTGGCAAGCGACCACCATCATGGCCAACACCACCGTCAAGGGTGCAATTGCAATCCATGGCCAGAACCCTCAGGCGAATATTTGCGATACACGTTTTGATGATTAGCTGAAAATTGTATAGTTTCTGGTCGAGACTGTTATCCGCAATCGAATATGGGAATCAAATTATTGGAAGGAGCATTGCTTCGCTTTGACTGGTGCGTCTGCCGCGTTTTCTAAGACACTCGGTTCACCCTTTTTCAATATAGCGGAGTCTCTTATCGACCAAGCAATCGCGCTTAGGTACATTGGGGGTGTTTATGGCAATCAGCGCCCTACAGAGTTCCTGTGCTTGCTCCTGAAATTACTTCAGCTTCAACCGGAAAAGGAGATATTGATAGAATATCTACAAGCAGACGAGTTCAAGTGAGCATTATCATGTGCCGCCCGTTGATTGCTGATGCAGGTACTTAGATATATGAGGGCATTAGCCGCCATGTACATACGAATGACCTTCAGTGCAGTGGAGGTGTATGAGCTTCTTGAACCATTAATGAAGGACTACAGAAAGCTCCGATACCGCGACACAGGTGTGATCTTTTTTTTTCGTTGGTACACGTCTTACAGCCCGACAGCAGGGTATTCACTAATTCATTTTGACGAATTCGTACATTCGCTTCTCACTGAGGAACGAGCCTGTGACATTATTCTTCCCCGTATAGCCAAGCGTTCGATACTTGAAGAGAATGGCGATATTGGCCCTCGGAAGAGTCGCTTGCTCGATGCTATGGAGGGCAAGAGTAAACATGGTAGTGACAGGAGTCGTAACTCCAGTCGAAGTAGGAGCCCCAGTAAGAGCCCATACCGGTCACGGAGCCCCAGCGCTAGTAGAAGCAGAAGTCGATCTCCATCAGAGAACGGTCGGTACGTATCGCGGAGTCCCTCTCGTTCTCTATCTCGTTCGCCCGGCCGTTCTCGCAGTGGAAGTATATCTTCAGATAGGATGAACATTGAGCCCATGAATGTATCATAATCTACCTAGCACGTCTACATCTTTTTGATGCCCTTAGTATCGAAAGTCTGGTCCTTGAAAGAAAGTAACTGTTTAGACAGTTCCTTCCATCGCTCCTCCACTTTTGGGTTTTTCGCAATAGCTTCAGGAGAAAGATATCCTCGGTTGTGCCAGTTAGTGTACCACACTTGAAGACGTGACTTTCAGAAATAATCAAAGTCGAGGGAGAGAGAGGCTCACAAATATCCGTGCGACGAGTTGGTGCTGCTGAAATACGATCTTCACGGCTCTTGACACAATCACGAAGAGCCAATGGGTTGTAGTATTGGCAGAACACACTTCCTCCAATAGACTCGACCGCTTTGATGGCACTTTGAGATGCACGAGAAGGTGTAATGTGAATAGGCGTTTTCAAACATGGGGCATTCTAAATGAAAATGAGTTGTACTAGAAGGATGCCTGAGAGTAGAAACATACGTCGCCCAGAAGTTTGATTCCATCGTGTACATTATGAATGCATCCGCTCAAGAGCAATTCACGGGCTGTAATGGGGTTCTCAGGCGATGATTGTAGTCGACCTTGGTCAATCCAATACTGTATCCGGTCCAGGTTAACAGGCGCGTACACCTTCCGGTTGCTTGACGGACCTGTCAGATGGTTATGAAACTAGCTAGAAGAGAGCACTGACGGATTTACAAAGCCCTTCTTTGGGAACCTCTTCGTAATCGGTGTCTGACCACCCTCGAATCCAGCTTTTGGTTTGCCATTACCTGCGCGAGCCTTTTGGCCCTTGTGACCTCGTCCGGACGTTCCTCCGCGACCAGAGCCTTGACCTCTACCAAGGCGTTTTTGCTGCCAAATAAAGTATTAGAAAATGTTGCATCAGAAACGATAACAATGCCAACCGCGTGCTGTGAGTTTGGTCCTGGCGAAAGATTGGAAAGCGTTATTCGAGCCGTCTTTGAGCGGAACACAGACGACATGTGCGCTAAAAGTAGAAGTCTAAGTGAGTTGTCACTTCAAAATTCACCGACTCCCACGATTAGTTAGATGCAAAGTTTCGTCCCGTCGTTCCTGTCAAACTCAGCTCCCAAACGAAATCAAATTTTAGTAAGGGACTGCTCAGTGCTAACACCATTTTTACTTTTCTCGACTGCCCAATATAAGCGGGAGAGGGTTCTGTTTGCAGCAAACGCACCACATAATACACGCCGAACTGGTAGAAAGATTATCAGTCCACCTAGTAAGGGAACTCATTGTCAATACATCTCAACCAGTTCACAGGTGATTAATGATCGTTTGCATTTCTGGTGGTGACAAATTGAGCTGACCCCAACTCATTCCAGACGCTTGGGCCCGGGGAAGCGTCCTCCAGCATGCGCCATCTCACTGAGTCAGGGACGTCGATTTCTATGTTCTATCCAATTCAGACTGAATTCAACGTGTCTCATCAGTTCTCAATTACATCACTGCGAGTCTCGGATACCCTGGAGCTTTGCCAGGTTCTCCTAGTGCTGCCGTTGATCAGGCACGACCAGTTTTGCCAGCCCGGATGGCTAAACTCCGTAGTTCTGCCAACGACATTAGAAAAATGATGGTAGCGAGCTTTGCCACGTAAGCTGACCCCACGATTTATATCCAACTGATACGCTGTAGATAACAGCCTTCGACGTTGGAAATCTTTATCTTTTGCTTCTGTCTCAGACATGTCAACTCTCAAACCAATAATCACGATCTGCGGGACTACGGGCGTCGGAAAGTCCAATCTGGCCATTGAGCTGGCTCTGAAGCTTGCTCAAGGAACACATGGGTGGAAGGGCGCGAGAATCATCAACGCTGACTCCATGCAAGTGTACACCGGAATGGACGTAATCACAAACAAAGTCCCAGTCGCAGAAAGAATGGGGGTCGAGCACCTTCTCATGGACTTCAAGCAGCCTGGGGAGCAGTACGTAGTGGGCCAATGGATCCAAGACGCTATTAAGGCGGTAAATACTTTACTTATCTTCCCTGTCGCTTGCTTCCAACTTAATTGTAGATTGACGAGACGCATCGTATGGATAAGATTCCGATTATTGTTGGCGGCACATCCTATTGGATCCAACATCTCATATTTCCGAATCGGTTGCCCACAGTAGCGCAATCTTTATCGGATTCTGTTGCACAGTCCATCGCCAATTTACCCCCCGACCTCCTTGAGCTATTCAATGCTCTTCCAGAGCAGACCCCATCTGCAGCATCTCACCCTGAGGATGCATTGTTATTGCACAAACTTCTTACTGCGCTTGACGAACCAGTCGCTCAGCGATGGCATTGGAGAGATACACGCAAAGTCATGGGAAGCCTTCGTGTAATTAAAGACACTGGGAAGGCCCCAAGTGAAATTATTCTCGAGCAGTCTAAAATAGCGTTGGTTCCAAGGTTTGAACTTTCCTATCAGCGGTGGAGTATTTTCACCGAACCAGTAACAGGTACCGAACACTGTGTTTCTGGCTCTATGCCGAGCCCTCTATCTTGAATGAGCGCTTGGATAAAAGGGTAGATAATATGATCAAGGTTAAGAAGGTCTTAATCGATTGACTGCATACTAAAAGGCTCGTCCAGGAAGGACTATTGGATGAGATCAAAGCACTCCGAGCGATCGCTTCCTCCTCCACAAGTAGTTCGCCTGATGCAGTCGTCACAGAGCCATCCGACGAATCAGCTGTGCAACAGACTGATTATACTGTCGGCATCTACCAATCTATTGGTGAATTTTGTTGACTGTTCTCTGCAAAAAAACACTCAACTTATGATCCCTAGGATATAAAGAGTTTCATGATTATCTCGCTTCTCCAGAGCTCTCCGAGAAGCTTTTTGCGTCCGCTGTGGAGCAAATGAAGTACGGAACAAGGCAATATGCGAAGCGTCAGATACGGTGGTTAAGGAACAAGCTTCTTCCTGCTATCTATAGCGCAAATGGTGGTACAGATCATGCAACAGCCCTCCTTCCAGTTTACCTTTTAGATGCCACTGGTGAGTTGACTGTTTTTACATCTCAAATTCAAAGCGGTGTGATTTACTCCCTACAGAACTCGGTGACCAGTGGACATCTTGTGTTCTCAACCAAGGTGAACGTATCATGGAAGGTATATACTCTCTATTTACTTCGCGCTTGCACTGATGGATTCGGACAGCTTTCCTTGACAATGAGACATTACTCGATCCTCTATCACTGTCTGAAAGGGCACGAGAGATGCTGACGATCGACGTCAAGCCCACGAGGTATGTCCATCACATTCTGGGATCCTTGTTATTTTACCCAACAACTCGCTAGTCCTACAGAAGTATTGCGAGCGCGTAAGAAGGTCGTATGCTCTGCGTGTACCCTTGATCCATCACAGCCCTTCATGGTCGAAGATGGCTCTCAATTGGAAGCCCACCGACGCTCCCGTGCGCATAGAAAATATGCGGCGAGAGATAAGAAAATGCATGGACGACCGGCCAAGCGACGCGCTACCGTCCATAGCGACATTCCCAGCAAAGTTGACGCTGCAGATCAGCAAGATCAGCAGGGCTCCATCGTATAGACGAGGTCTACTTCTTATACACAGTTCGTCATTCCTTCTAGCATTCATTTACCATTTTTGAATATCGGCTTTGGGAACATTTTTCGTTTCATGCAGTTATGCTCCCGGTAGTTCCTGTTTGCTTATTTATCCCACGCAATGAACTTCGGAGGAGGCGGGCTAATTTCCCTGCTGTACCAGGGTCATTATCGATGGGTTCGTCTAGAACGACTTACATCACGTATCCACGATGTACTGATATTACGAGGACATCGGAGCAGGTTCCCTGTCTTGTTTTCCTGAAACATTTTCTCGTTTAGTTTTATCTGGAGCCATGTTGGGTACAGGAAGCCAAAGAAGCACACCTGAATGAGTGAACGTTGTGAAAATGAGTAGTAGTTGTATCAACGGACAAACGTTGCACTGTAGTTTTGTGAAAAATTGTGGTTGAGTGCGATGTTGATGTCGTCGTCCCACATCTCGCTTGCCACTATTGCCACAGCACCCTCAACGAGTGTTGCGACCGTTGCCCCTCATTACCTTAACTGCTCCTTTCGAATCCACTTTGAGAGGCGGAAACAGTGACGGACTCCTGTAACCCGAACTTCTCTTCACTTTTCAACCATGACTTCCATGGCGGATGTTCCGGTGTACATGTTACCTGGAGTGCCGGTGGTGCAACCGCCTCATCTCGAGGGTCTTTCAGATCCGTCTCTTTCAACTGAAATTTTACCAGGTCCACCTTCCCTGCTGTCTGTTCAGCAGGCTGCGCACAAGCGCGACCCAAAGAAACCAGGAGCTTTTGTGTCATATCTGCCAGCATCTGATCCGGGCTCCACTTACTCTGGATTAATGGCTTCCACTGCCCTCAGCGCCACAGATGCTGAAGGGCAACGACGCAAACGTGCTAGGGTCGACAAAGGGTAAGTCATCGTATTCCACCGGGCTCCGACACTAATCATCTCTGCTGTTGTGCTGTAAAAATGATCCACCCTCGTCCCCCTCCAAAATTTGCCACGTCGCTGCCCGCTTATCCCTCAAACAGAACTGCAAATGGGAGGGCTCAGCGTGCATCTGCTCGCAACTTGAACAGCAGTACTATTCCTCCGTCGGATCTCATCGTCCCTGAAGCATCTTCTCGTCAACCCAGTATACCCCCACTACCAGACTCCGACCCTTTTCCGATAAACCATGACTTTGACGAACTTTCAATTTCTCGAGCTACCTCTGCTCCTGCTCTCGATGAACCCTTGCCGCCCCAACTGCCTCTTCCGGTTGTATCAAATGGGAGAGGAAGACCGAGAAAAGACAAAGGAAAAGGAAAAGAGACGGAAAAACACTCTGTAAAGATCAAGGAAGAACCAATGGCCACATACTCGCTCTCCCCTGACCCTTCACTTGGACTGGTGCGCATTTGGTCCCTTACTTACGATCATACCCCTCATTACTGTGTCGTTTAGTTGAACGAAGATCACTGCTCATCTTGCCGGTCATTGGGTGCTCTGGTATATTGTGATGGATGCCCACGAGCCTTTCATCTCTGGTGTTTGGACCCACCAATGGAACCCGTGGACCTACCAGAACTTGGAGAGAAGTGGTTTTGTCCTAGCTGCACGATTCGGAAGGTGCGTTTGTTCTATTGCTAGGACTTTGTACAAGGATTTCATCCCATGCCACAACAGCATCCGCCAAACAAACCTCCTCCTTCCTTCATGTCGCCCCTCATTCATCAAGCACAGACAAACATTCCGAAAGAATTCCAGCTTCCAGAGGATGTTAGAAGTTTCTTCAAGGATGGTATGTTTTTTCATGCCCGTTTTTGTCTCAAAGGTCTTATCGTCGATGAACTAGTTGCTACTGGTTCCAATGGGTGTTACGTTGATAACTCAGAGATCAAACCACCTCGCCTGAAGTGAGAGTGAAATTCCACATGTCTCCATTCGTTACTCATGCCTATAGTCGTCACGGTCAACTTGAGGAGCGTGAACCTTACCGCCTCAAGGACAAGAACGGCGTCCCTGTGCTTTGCTTCCGTTGCGGAACATCTACCCTTCCCAGTGTTGTTGATGTGTCTGCTCCACCGGCAAAGCGTTCCAGGAGGTCAACCTCGTCCTCCCATAGTGCCACTCCCGAAGTTTGGAGATGCATGGTGTCTTGCGATTACTGCAGCCTTCACTGGCATTTAGATTGTCTCGACCCGCCTCTTGTGGCTATGCCTCCATTCAATAAGAAGTGGATGTGTCCCAACCACGCAGATCATGCTTTGGTAAGTTCTCACAGTCCTTTGGTTGGGCTTGCATAATTCACTGCACTCCCAGCAACCCAAGCGTCGCGTCCCAAAGCAAAACCCACCCATGATAGACATAACAAAACCGCGCCAGTTTAATAATGGCAACATCGACATCGTCCACCCACAAGGCACTTCGATAGCAGAGAAGTTGGTCCTCGATGAAATCCTTATCAATGGTCGAAGATATAGGGTTCCGGAGAAAGTGATCATGCTCGATTTCTGGAATAAGATCAGTAAAGATCAGTATCTTGATCAAAGGTATGTGTGTGGCATTGATGGGTGGCGGTCGTTAATGCGGAATAGGCCACCGGTGTCCGCGATGTCTTCGCCGCTTACATCCCTGAGCTCTTTGGATGATTTTGATGAAAGCATCGGCACATTACAAGAAGGTCCTCTTATCTCTCGAGATGAGTTGCATGCTGCTCAGGTAAGATCCATTTGAGGGCTTCCATCATCACACCATTTCAGGGTTAACATGGCTTATAGGCATTGTGCAATTTCCAGCGAATGCTGACCATACGAGCAGAACAGAGACATGGCCCTATCGGTAGTTCAAGAAATCTCGTTGATTCCAGTACACAAACGGAAGCAGAGTTACCGCCTACGATACCTTTGCCCTCGCAGGTGGAAGTATTGAGAGCGTCTACTAACAAGGCATGTTGACTGATTACCTGCATATCCATATCTGTGTCGCTGAGGAAGGTTCTTGCAGCGCAAAGCACCTATGAAGTCCACTCTCCCTGCAGCTGAGAACGGTTCCGCCGCCAAGTCGTCAGTACAAACTCCTGACCAGTCGGCTCCGGTGCGGCCCAAGAGGACGCGAACTGCGGTAAAACAGGAGGCGGAGGAAATCAATTTACGTCTACCTGATAACTCCGAGAAGCTAGCAGAATCTGTGAGTACTGTGGATATCTTCGGGTCTCCCACTTACGTGTATATGTCCCCGAATTTTGCAGCAGGGGAAGTCCACGAGAACTACTCGCCAACGCCGGAAGCCCAGACCTTCGGAAGCAGCGAAGGACACCGCGCCGGCATCTTGTTCCATGATCCGATCTGTGGGTCCTGATGCTTCTGACTTGAGTAGTGCTTCGGTATTGCCCACCTCCAATCCTCACAAAGTCAATGCGCCTATTACTCCCAAGGCCTCAGTCACAATCACCCAGTCTGCCACTCCAACGTTGAAGATACGATTACCACGACTGAGTGTTGTCAGCGCTGCAGTACATTCAAATGCTGCACCACCACCACCCACGGCACCTGTACACACTGCAGCACACTCCAAGGAACCTCGCCCGAAGCGCCCATTACGACGACAGACTTCTGATACTGCTACTGTTTCTTTAAGCGGCACATCTTCGTCTGCAACTGATGGTGGTGACGAATTTGAGCCAAGCAAACCCAGTAAGATTTTCACTTCTTGCTATACATCTGAGTTTTAATGTAGATAGGATATCCAGAACCTAGGCCAAAAAAGAGAATCCGTGGATGAGCTCTATGGACCATATGTTGCACGTTGACATGCAGTACAAAAGGAAGGGGTGTAGAAGATTATATATATCTTGTCACGTCGAACATAAATCTTGATAATGGCGTTTGTTTTGTTTGGCTATGTTAGGAACAGTCAAAGTACACACGTTCGACCAATCAATTCGACACGATGGTGCTATAACGTTATAACTCGTCCATTATTGTGTGTTGCAGTGCGGTTATCTTGTTGCTCTGCACCGCTTCGATGTTGCAATGTTGATGATCGACATTCCTTTGTTACAGTTGGCTCATGTTCAAGAATCACAGCAAACATTGGTGTGCACAGTGCAGTTTTGCTTATGGTTGCCTCTTGAGCATCTACTGACTCTCACTGAACAATTTTTTCCTTTGTAGTCACTCACATACACAAATACCATTTCTTCACCGCCGATTTTTGGCCCATTATCGTGTCGCTTGCATGATTCATCACCAATTCACTTCGCGAATCACACCCATTGAACAGCATCTTTTACTTGTTGCTTTGGTTTCCATCGGGAAGTTACTGTGAACGTGTCCTATCAGATAACATCACCGTCTCGGCCGAAAGATTCTTCAAACCATGCCGTGTTCATCGCCATATGTGCATGATACCCGGTAACCCGACACCCGCGTCGCAACTTTGCAAGGCGCTCGGCAAACGGTCGATCAAGGCAATTACTGTATGCCTTTTCGCGATGCTCTCAGCCAATGGGCCTGCAAACCTTCGGTATTCAAATCACGTATTTTCATTCTCTTTGCAAGAGGGAGATCTTTCATCCGACTTTAGGACCGCCGACATTTTTCGATTGATTATGTTAGGAGGGGCTGCGTTCGCTTCCATGCATATACCCGACCCATCACACAGCCAACCCAATGGAACCTGCAAAACATACTCGTCGGCACACCGGCACACTCAATAAGCACTCACCACGTTGTCCCACCAGCTGTGCATGAAACAAGCGACTCAGTTTGCCTGTATCAACAGCGAGATTTTACCGAGAGAACAACGAGATGATGGAGGGGAAGAAGAAAGCCGAGGTGAGTCCAGCGGGGATGGAATCAATATGCATCGTAATTGGCCCACTGCGCATCGACGTCATTGCGTGAAGTGATGATGTGTGTACAGCTGATGCGCAAGAATACTCAAACGTTCAAATACTGATCACAAAGTCGAGCCGAATTTCAACATGTTTAACTAATATCCAACGGATCTTTACTCGATGGATCAACGGATCAACGGAACTTTATCTTTACTTGATGGATCCGCAGGCCCTTACTCGGTGGCTCAACGGCATGTTTCTATCTCCCGATTTGTGGAGCTTTCGCGATGTTGACATATTTCCCACTATTACCCGTCATTTGCCGTAGATATGGCTATGTAGGACCGCTTATTACTGAACGTCATCGTTCAATCCAAGTACCAGTCTGTCTTTTTACTCAGCTCGACAATGTCTCCCCCAGTCGTTGAGTACGTTGTTCCCAAGGAACCCACTATACTTGCAGGTCGTGAATCTGTTGATCTTCCAGGTTACGACCTATGGCTGCACTTCGTGAGTTTCACCTAGCTGCTTGGTTCTCAGTCCCTCTGATGAGAGAGACATTTTTTAGGTGAACAATGTTCATGCATTCGATGGGTCCATTGACATTGAGCATTTCCATGACGCCCTGGCAAGCACTTTGCAAATGTACCCTCATGCCGCGGGGAAACTGTGCACAACCGGCGGTCGTTGGTTTGTGAGTATTACAGAATCATGCATGGCCGGCCGAAACTCAAAGACTTCAGATCCAGCTGACAAATTCCGGACTGGCTGTTGAGGCCGAGGATCGCAAAGAAGAGTTGTCTACCTCTTTTATTCAAGGAGACTGGGTCATCCAAGACAACCTTTCTCCCTTGCTCAGCCAACCACCAGATGCTATCATCGTCAATGGTAGTGCTTCCCTGGTTCGTTTCAAGATAACAGCGTTCAAAGATAGGACATTTCTTGCGGTATCTTGGCACCACACTCTCGGTAGGTCCTATACATGACTCGTGAATCAATTTCTGAGTAGGGTGGGAAATGGCAGGAGATGCGATGGCACTTTTTCGGTTCATGCAAACGTTGTCCCTGTTCTACCAAAGGCTCAAGCCAGATTTTTCTCCTCCAACTTTCGACAAACATCAGTACCGAACCCCGGAGCCATCTACATCCTCGGACTTTCTTCAACTATTACCTCATTTGTGGGTCTCTTATCCTTTCGATGAGCTCGAGGCCAAATATACGGAGGCCTGCGAGGATCTGGGAAACCTCAGATGGAGATTTCATGAACATCATCTTCATGCGCTCCACTCCATGCTCAGTGCCAATGAGGAGGGCTATCTTTCGCGGCACGATTGCCTCACAGCGTATGTTGTCACTCTGCTGAATCGTTCTATGCCTAGGCCCATTCGCATGGTCACGAATGTTGCTAATGTGAGGCTTTCTTTCAACATTATAGATTGCTTCTGATCGCTAGACGCTGCAGTTTCGGCGTGTTGAAGCTCACTATATCGCAAGCAATGTTGCAGGAAATGTTATCCAGAATGTCTGTGGCACATTCCATGCAGCAAATGTTTATTTATCCGTCTGTAGATCCCCACCGGCACCCTGCCATCTAATATGCGAGGTATCGCCATTGCTGTGCGGGAATCGATTGTTCGGTGCCGTGACCAGATGTTTCTTGAGGATTGGATGGCTGTGACAAGCGATATCATGCTAGCAACTGCCAATGCTGGGAAATATTTCTTCTTTGCTCCGCGTCCTGGCGTGATGACAATCAACTCTAATGTCGCGTATGAATTTTCTGGGTCTTCCTCAAATACTCTCTCATGACCGTTTACTTGGCAGGATTGATTGGTGTGACGCTCACTTCGGGTTCCCTGATTCTTCCAGTTTTTTCACAACTGGGATTTCGAAGTTCTATTTTCGGCCCTTCAAATCGAACCCCACGCTATGCGATGGCACTTGGAGATCTCGAAAGGGCTCGATAGACGTATCTATGGGTGTTCCGAGAGTACTGAAGGCTAGGCTTGTGGACCGCCTAGCGTTGGATTTTGAGACTATCCTTTATTGGTCACCACGGGACACCGAGCTGCGAATGGATGCCGGTGCCCAGCCAGGAGTGACACCATGAATATTATGTATGCACCAGATACTGGTACACCATATACATAAGGAGTCTTTTTTATTATTCATTGTTTCTATAGTCTGAGTCTGTTCTAATTATATCAGCTGTATATGCATAATTTTGAGGAAAATTGCATTCATTACAAAAGGAAGTGTGTACACAATATTGGTGCTATCTTGCTCTTCGCTCGTCGATGAAAGTAAGCCCCTACGGTAACTCGGTAACCGTCACTTGCGTCGGCAAGACTTCGCTTGAAGTTCGAGCACGTCTCACAACACAACAGCGCATTGTAAAAAACGTGATTGATTACAGGCGCTAAAAATCTTGAGAGCATCAGAGTATGTATTGCAGAGTGGTGAATAGCCCTACTCAATAACGATTTTTTTCCGCCATTTTATTTCATCGTAACGCGTACGCGCCAATTCCCGACGCGACGACTCCCAACCAATCCTAGTTCGATTCCTGCTGTATACAGCTTCCATTGAATGCGAAATGCGTTTTTCGAGACTTTTGTGGACTGGGTCAGAGTCCGGACAAAATTTGCTCTCAGGTAAACCCAGGTCAGCATCCGGACAGAAATACCCCCAATTTGTCCGGACAAGTTGGGGCCTCCACTGACCTGGGTTCCATGGGAGTTCTCATGGGTCCTCCCTGAACTGGCGAAGCAATTTGAGTGCATTTTTGTTTTTGTGATTCGCAGTCTTTACCATCAGCTCTGTTCTTATCCTGTAATGGCACCGCTTCCCCGTGCTCTGCGCAAACCTGTCTTCGGAAACTCGTGCAGGCTTATCACTCGACGGACTTTCAAGTCGTATTGATGCCACGACACCCCTTCGGTCATTCTCAATGGAAGCTCGAGCTCAGCAACTCCCACATCGCACATCGAATACATGACTTGCCCAACATGCGGGAAGGTTATTACCGACACTTTGATGATGAGCCAAATTAACAGCAGCTTTGATGGCTCACCTAGCGGATCTCCTCTCGTTGTCCCTTGGAGTTGATGCTTTCTTCGATGGAGAGCATCTTCTTTGGTGGTTGGGAGCACTGGCTCTGACAAAAAACCTCGGTGGCTCAGTCGTGACCCTCTCATCCATCCCAAAGTGGTTTTCGGTGAGTAGCTCAAGCTCATTCTTTTCCCAGCGAATTCTCACGATTAGCGGGGCGGTCATAGGGTCATGCCGAGAGCTCACCTTGCTCAATGCTCATCCCCCCTCCGACACGTCACATGACCTCATGTGACTTACTATCAACTTTTCAGCGTGGAGTCAACGCTCGGCGAGCTCGAGTATTATATCATTTTTTGTAGTTGGTTCACTTCATGAATGAACAGTGCATAAAATGAGATTGATTGTATTAATTTAACATGCATATATAGTAAAAAATGCGAAGTTAACCTCCTGAGAGCTAGTACTAGTAGTAGGAAGGGTGCTACATGGCTCTAAGCATAGGAGGGTAACATAATTCTGTATGAACCATATGATGTTGGATGTTAGCGGGCAAGAAAATGATGTGCAGTAGCCTGAGAGACAAGGTGGAAAGCATTAAAAATTAGGGAAAAACTTACTAGAGCACCCAGAACACAACGCACGTGGGTTGGGTTAAATAATGCAAAACATAGGTAACCATATGAAAGGCAGGTGGAAGTGCGTGGATGAGGATGAAAAGCAGTAGTATGGCCTAGTTGTAACTTGTATTAGCAAGAGGTTAGTGAAGTACAGCACGCTCAGCGCTGCGAGTCACAGCGAGTGTTCATTCAACGAAGTCACATGATGTCATGTGACGTGTCGGAGGGGGGATGAGCTGGGAGAGCTCATGCCGAGCTTACGCACGTTGGTGACGCCACCAGGGATACCTTGCTTTTCGTCTGAACATTCGCGGCCACCGTTTTATGCAGCGCTCCCCATTTATACTTGTCCGCTCTGCCGACTCGGCACTTGAAACCATTTGAAGGATGGAAGGTATGTTATGGACTTCGACTACTAGCTCATAATTACATTTTTTTTTTTCGAAATCTTAGTGCGCACCCGCGGGTACACCTGCGGGTTTACCCGTCATTCCATAGGGGGGAGCTGATTATTACATGCGAGGAATTACTTCGGGGACATGGAGAAGAACTATTCTGTTGGCTGCTCAGGAGGAGGAGGCAGAGTCGGAGTCGGAGTCGGAGAGGTCTTGAAATATTGTCAGCTGTCCCTCAGGACTGAAGACATCCCACGGGATCTCGGTATTCTGGGGCAGGTGTATTTTGTGGAGCGCTCCAGAGTTGGCTGCCTGCGTTGCAGCTGACTCTGCGAGATGACGTTGCTGTACCAAGTGTCATTTTATCTGTGCATCAACTGAGTTATACTCCTTGTTGTGGAATAATGCCCTGTGGTCGACTCTGTGTCCTGCTTCATCAGGATGCGGAGTCATGAATGTACGAAAGCTGTTTATCGTCACATCCTGCATTTCCTCGGTGTAATAATCTTGCTGGGTTCGTAGTGATGCAGAAATGAATGCTAAGGATGATAGTATGTACTGTTCGAGTGTTTCTGGACTATTGGTTGCGGGGAATAACCTGAATTTGATTGTGTCACGGAAGTCTTCAAGTGGATGAAGGGATCGGAAATTAATGACAGTGTTGCGCATGGGTGACATAAGATCAATGAGATCCCGGCACCCTGTGTTGTTTATGTCGCGCAATATTTCCAGCTGACCGTCTTCACAATTTGCTTGACAGTAGGGTGATTGGTCTCTGTCAGGACATAGGTGAAGGAATATGCCACTGTAAGTGGCCACTGCTCTCGCGATTGCCTGTAGTTCAAGAATGGGCCATTCGACATCGCCGCGGGAAACGTGAATGTGGGTTCCACAAGATTCATTCCCATTCAGGTGGAAGAATTGGTCTAGGGTCTGGAATAGATAGTTGATAGCAGGTCTCCACGCTGAACCTGAGTATTTCGGGGACCGAATTTCAGCACCGTCTATGAAAATTTGAGATTCAACGTTGGCAATAATAAACTTAACTCTTACAGAATCCATCGGAACCTCTCACAGAATGATTGGATGTCACATTCCATAGTGTGTAAGGGTCAGCGGTCCGCTCAAAAGGGACACCACAGTTCAAACGTAACATCAAGAAGGTGTAGATGGTGTTGACATTCTCCCTTGAAGTGGCTGTCATATTGTTTCCACCACCACCCTCGAATCGGAACCCAGGGATGTTGCTCGCTGCCTTTGGCCTTAGGGTTATCTCTAACTCAAACCCAACAGTGAATGATTGGGGGGTATTGCGAAACTGCATGGTATTTTTGACGAAAGTAGAACTGATAGAGTACAATGAGATACAGCGTGCAACGAACATTGAACATACCTCAGCATCGTGGATAGAACTGCTGAGGTACAAATAACCCGAGACAACAATATTATAAGGTATACTGGCAGGAAAGGAATTCAGAGTTGGCCCAAAAGCCGCGGCTCGAGTAGGGAATTTGCAATTCTGACAAAGTGAGCATGAGCGGGTCGCTGTGAAACCAGGATTCAACCACATAACTCACCTGCGCACCTCAGAACGTAGTTTTGACCTGTGCATATGTTTCATAAATGTTAGATTTCGATGATGAATTGTGGCAGTTGAGAGCGGTGATGAAATGGTTGGTGGCTTCTTTGTGACATGCACCACCCAAGGCTTTGATTCTGAGTTGAACGTGTAGATATGCCTGATGTGCAAGTTGTAAAGATGACTGTTTGATGACCAAGCATAGATGATACTTACTTGCACGACATGACATGCGAGTGTCGGCATGTGGACAACAGGTAGTGAGTTCTTTGAAGAGCAAGTTTGACTCGTCATTAGGGAATAGCACGGGTGAACCCCGGGGTACGAGCGGCGCAACCCCCACCTGTACCCCGCGATATACCCACACCCACGACGTGGGTGTGGGTTTTTTGGTGGGTATGAGGCCAAACCCACCCAGGGTATCACCCACTGAGGGTATACCCATGGGTGGGTACTGTTAATTGTTAAAAAACTACGAGATACACACAAATGTAGTAGCTACTTGATGATAATGCGATCCCACCCATCCTCCAGCTCCAGCTCCTCACCCTCCACATCAGCGAGCATGCTTACAGACATTACGTCCTCGGTCTTGACGAGGTTTAAGTGGCTCCAATAGCCAAGACATAAGAGCGCGCGAGTCGATTGCACATTCAAGCGGGAACGGATATGGGAGAGAATGAGCCGTCCACGGCTGAAAAGCCGCTCAACGTCGACCGAGGTAGCTTTAGTCAAAATTTAGATATCAATTTAACTGAAAAAAAGGTTGGCACGTACCAGGAATAGTCAGATAATCTAATGCCATGCGGGAGAGTCGAGGAAAGGTTGCGTGGTGCTCATGCCACCACATGAGGGGATCATCAACATGTTCCACATCGGCATTCAGATAGCGGTCGAGTTCGTCACCAAGGTCGGTCGGTTTTGGAGGTGCGAGTGCAGGTATGTTGTCGAATATATTGTCCTATTGTTATAGTTAGTATACAAGTTAACTTACACAAAATAACTCACCATGGCGCTTTGTTGAGAAGATTCAATCAAGTCCGTATCGTCACCGTCAGAGTCGGGATCTGGCGTGACTAAGTACGAGCGCCTGAACTCATCTCTCACAAGTGTCTCGGCAGTTTGAATCCAGTCGTCCTCCCACCCCACATTCTTGAAATACGCGAGTTTATGACGGGGGTGAAGCACTGAATGATAGTGAGCAAGACTACTTGAACTGCAACAGAGCACTTACCCATAGCAATGCGGTACACTTCAGAATGGTCCGTGAGTTGATAGTAGCGATCCAAGGTTTTTTTAGCAAGTCTTTGACAATGTCAAATGGCCGTAGGCTTTCCGCAACCCAACGAACAAGTTCGGCTCTGAATGCAACTATATCAGCCGCAAGAATTCTCCGTCTCATTGTGATCCTACCTTGTCTCGGTCCGGGTATGCTGACGATGCGAGTAAGTGACCTTCCCCTTGCCTTTACGTTCGAATGCGGTTGTAATTGATCCATCTTTCAGATATCCTGCAACGATCTTGGTCCGAACTTCGTCTGCATTCCTGGCTTCATCAGCAGCTTGCAATACATCATCGCCCCAGCAGGACTTGACGTGTTTCCGCATATTTCCCGTGGATCGTGCATCTTTTTTGTCGAGGAAGCGTCGAATCGTAACCTTGCATCTCTTGCCCATACATTTGAAGGAATGTGCACGACGGCCATCAATGGACTCTATAGCAGGTGTAGGGTCAAAAAAAGCATAGATCGGTGAGATCCATTCCTTCATTAACTGTTCTTTAGCTAATATGAGCTTGTATTACTTGGACTAGTGAAATCGGCCTTACTGAGTTCATCCTCCGCACACTCTTCCTCATCCGCACACACTTCATCCTTGTCCTCGTCAGTATTCATACCCGCTCCCTCGTCATCGCTGATGACAATAGCATCATGATGTAACACACTTTCTTCTTCCTCGTTACGAACTACTGCCTGGTTTGACTTGGCCTTCTTGGGATGTGTACTAGTAGCAGCACTTTCATTATTCTTTCGTTTGTTTGAGCCTTCCTGCTTCTCGTCTAGCGCAGCTTTAGCTTTGTCTGTGAGTTTTTTAATACGCTTGGCAGCACCTGAGAAAAATGTGGGATCCATGCTGTGATGATCGTAAGGGCGCTGTGTTTAGGTTTGGAGTTTAAGGTCCATGTCCAATATTAGCTTAGTTTTAGAGTTTAAGGTTCATGTCTAATGTGTGTTACTAAGTTTCAAAATAAGTCATGTTTGCTTACATACCCACCACCAGGGTGTGGGTAGGGGTATGGGTACCCAAAGTACAGACCCCCACCCACACCCCAGAGGTACCCACACCCACGACCCACGTGGGTTGAGGATACCCATGCTATTCCCTACTCGTCATGTTGATCTGGATTGAAGAGCGTGATGGCCTAAAATATGTGATGATGCGGGGAGGACATCAAGCAAATGCAACATACTTTGATCAAGAGCAGGAAATGGAGGGTTTGTCACGGTGAATCTTGGTCTGTGTACTACATTGATGCAACATTAAATGCTGCCCTCGCATCTGGGACACAACCTTGTCTGCAGAGAGCGATACCCTTGGAGATATAGCCTGTCAAAAAGGGCTGCAGCGCTGAATGCTAATAGACTATGTCATCGTCGAGTAGTAAGTCTTTTGAAAGTTAAGTATATGACATAAGCCGCGGCCGCGGCCTGAGCCGGCAGCTTCGGCTTTTCAAAATCTCAGGCCAGGTGGAGCAAAATCAAGTGGAGCATGAAATCAATTGTTCTTGATACTCCAAATTAATTGCGTTAGTGCTAAGCCCCTCATGCCGACTAACGAGTTGAAGTTACCTGTTGAGCTGTGGCTCCTCGTTTTCTCTTTCGGCAAATTTTCCTCTAATGACCTAGCTGTACTCTGCAGAGTGTGCGCCGGCCTCTATCACGCAGTAGTTGACTCTCTGTATGAGTCCATCACGGTCGACAACTCGGACGTGTGTACCACGCTCGCAGAGTGTCCCCATCTCGCAGAGAAAGTCAAATCTTTCGTATTTACATATCCGACAATCATGGTCTACGACGGTCCCGAGGTGCACCTAGATAATCTCACGTCGGCCCTCAAAAATATGACCTGCCTCTCAACACTCAAGCTTATACATTCCCAAAAGCATGAATACTCGTCCGTCCTTCAGTACTGTGATGCCGAGCTTCATGTTTTTCATTGTACCTATCGTGTCAACCGCCGACTCCTAAGCTTTTTGAACAGGCAGGATAGCGTCCGTGATCTTGCTCTCACTGGCATGCCCACACTCGATATCTATCCCGAACGCGATATGTTTCTTCCCACGTCTCTGCCACTTCTAACAGAAATCTCTGCCAACTCTTGTTTTTTAAAAGACCTTGTACCTGGACGCCCAGTTCACACTGTGCATTTCAAAGGCCAACATATACACAACAGTGGGATGCGGCTCAGCGACTTCATCGACCCCTCCACAGTACCTGTCAAACATTTGGGACTTGATTTCATGATTTGGCGGCCGCGAGCAATATGCCGCGCACCACTTTCCAAGGACATTGAGGAAATTACGCTGACAGGTCTGGTTACTCAGGTCAGCAATACTGGTTGAATTTATAGCAGGGTTGTGACTGACAGCCATATAGCGCCGAATTATCTGGCCTCAGAACTTCGGTATCCCTTGGTGGGGAGACTTTTTTGATCGCATGATAGAAGAAGCACGGAATCTAAAAAGGCTGACGTTCTGGTTCGAGGGAAACCGCGAAGACGCTCGTTCATGGGCTCAACTTCTCTTCCAGGAGTTCCATGATACCCTATCACGTTTGGAGCACGTCTCATGCGTAGTTGCTGGACCAGACATTTCAACGACATTCGACTTCTCGCCGGGTTGCCTCCCGATCTCGCATGAGGATCATAGAACCCGTGGTCATAGGGCCGCGAATGACGTTAGGGAGCTGATGCCGGTCCCGGTCCTCTGTTGCTGGAGTGAGGAAAACCTTTGCGATGTAAATTGTGAATTCAACATCACACTCACTTAATTTGTGTGTTCTTCCTGCCACAGCGGCATTCATAATTCTAGTGGCAGTATTTTTTTTAAATCCTATTGTCTTTGGGCAACGCCCGATGTAGATTATACTTCTATGTACTAAAATCGATGATGACATTGGTATAATTATGAACCATGAGCTTAGTGGCAGCATTAGGCCGTTACTAGGTACAATCGTACTTCCAGCTGCCAAGATTGTCGTCCGCTTAACCGTTACGCTCGGGTTTCAGTATCGCGGATAGTATTTTGAGAACTCTAGTAAGCCAGCGTGCTTCCAATGTGGACATTCAAAGAAAAAATGGCTGGTTCGCAGTCAAGGATGCCATTCATCTTACCCTCGAGGAGTCAGATTGGAGCGGATGTGGCGATCCAGGCGGTGTCATTGTCAAAGCTTAAAGGACGGTCTCCTGCATCCTCTTCACGGAGGCGAAGCTTACCGAATGCGGAGACTGAACTTCATCGAGGGTGAGAAATCGTCCAGTCTAGCACTGTCGAAGCAGAACCTGAAACAACTTGAACATCCACCATATTTATTTATGCGAACGATGTATCGCATGGCATTGTAGCTCTGCAACTTGATCAAGCTTGATCACGCTTTTTGAAGTGGCGGTGGATTACTGTAGCGCTTAGCATTACATAATTAAAGTTGTTCCTCGCTCATTCTATCTATATTTGACCAATCATAACTTCCACTGAACCACTTATCATTGTGATGAATACACCTTTGAAGGATCTTGTTGAGGAGTGGCTTCGCCTTGATCCAGTGTGTGCTAGAAGCTGTTACTACTTTGGATGTTGCTCACAGTTACTCTAGAATGAATCCACAAGAAAGGATGTGGAACATTTGTGGAATAATAACGCCGTTGGCGAGTTAGAAAGACGTATGAGGTATGTTACCAACTAGCATTACGGTTTGGGTAAAGACATGCTGAGCATGAGATGCGCATAGGACACGCATAGAATTCGGCACCGCAGGTGTGGATGTTCATTGTTAGCTCAGCCTGATATTCTGAGGCTTTGCATTTACAAAGGTCTGAGGGGAAAGATGGAGGCCGGATGGTCTCGCATGAATGATCTGATCGTGATTCAGGCATCTCAGGTGGGTTAATCACTTGAAGATGTTAAAATCGTCGTGAATACGACGTAACTAACCCCTTGCGACAGGGATTGTGCGCCTATGTCCTCGAACACATTCAGAATGCTGCTACCCGCGGAGTAGTCGTAGGACATGACCACCGGCACAACTCGGAGAGATGGGCTCAGCTAACTGCAACTGCTTTCATCGCCAACAATGTCAAAGTTTACCTGCATGATGGACTTGTACATACTCCAATGTACGTTATCATCCCTTCTGCGGTTGCTTCTGATGTAGATCAACCATACTCGAAGGGTTCCATTTTCCGTAAAAGCGCTCAATGCCGCCTGTGGAGTCATGATCACAGGTACGTGGCACTTTACATTACAGAGTCGCGCGCCTTCAAGGTAATTTCCGATCTAGCAAGCCACAACCCGAAGGTCAGGCAGACGTTATGTGTTTGAAGTGTAGCTCATTGAAGTTCTCATATAGCAAGACAATGGCTACAAGGTTCGATCCTGATTGCAACTCTCATGGCGCTCCACTTAACATTAGCTAGGTTTATTGGGAAAATGCAGTCCAAGTAACACATGACTTGTGTTTCTATCCTTTAGCACTGAGTGTGTTCCTCTTTTAGATCACCGGGCCGCATGATGTTGGAATTGCACAATCCATCATGCAACACTTGGAGCCCAGAGTGCATGATGCTTCTCGGGTAATGGAATCGGACCTGTGCATTGATTGTACGGAGGAGATGAAAAAAGGGTACTTTCATTCTCTCAGCAATCTGCGCGCAAAGATGTTATCGTAAGTTGTTGGCTACCACTTGTCATTCTGACCCTATTGAGTCACCAGATTTGACGGAGCTTCAGTGGCGTTCGTAAATACATCTATGCATGGTGTTGGGGATCCATTTACATCCAAAGCCTTCGAGATTGCCGGATTTTCGCCTTACACACCCGTTAAGGAACAGCAGCATGCAGATCCCGAATTTCCAACGGTGAAGTTCCCAAACCCTGAAGAAAAGGGTAATGACTACCCACTTTTCTGTAATTATAGCTCTGACGACGAAGCTTGCAGGCGCACTCGTATGTTGAAATTTATGTGTTTGGAGCACCGGCCAACTTGTTTTTCAGGATCTAGCTATAGCTACGGCGGACGCTAAAGGGGCATCGTATGTTCTTGCACAGGACCCAGACGCAGATCGCTTCTCTGCAGCTGAAAATTGGTATGCATGAGGCTTTTTGTACTGGCTGACTTCATTAGAGATCGATCTATAGTGATGGAAAGTGGGTAACATTTACTGGTGATCAGCTCGGAACATTGTTTGCCTATCATGTATTCGAGACCTACAAGGCCTCCAGCAAGCCAATAGGTAAGTTCGGCACAATTCGTTGCCAGCCTGCCTGAACATGTCTTTAGGCAAGTTGGCCATGGTTGCTTCAACAGTCAGCTCCAAGATGGTTGAAGCCATGGCGCAAATTGAAGGGTTTCGCTTTGTCGATTGTCTCACAGGTGTGCACTGCATAGTAGGGTTTCTGTGAGGCGCTGGACACGACTCGTGCCGTTCTAGGCTTCAAGTTCATTGGCAACACTGCTTTAGATCTTGTCCAGGCCGGATATGAAGTACCTTTTGGATATGAGGAAGCCATAGGGTACATGTTTGGTTCTGAAATCAGAGATAAAGATGGGGTGGCCGCAACTGTAAGTGACCCTGCTAACCGTTTTTACTTCTTTCTCACCCAGATCGTCTAGATGGTATTCGCACAACTTGCTGCAAGCTTACGAGCACGAGGCACCACAGTTTCCGCACATTTACAAGAATTATATCGAAGGTGAGCCGCCCTCACCATTGTCGTGGCCACGAGTTTATCGTAAACCAAGATATGGATATTTCGAGGTCCGTATACACTCGTCCATCGCCGTAGATATCATCTCATGGATTCTGAAAAGACGAGCAATAGCTATTTCGTCTGTACTGACCCTCTTGTCATCGAGAATATCTTTAGGAGGATTCGCTCTTCTGGTGATATGGTATCATTCAGCGTGATTAGAATGGCAGGAAATAAACATCATTATTGACAGGGCTCATCTCAAGGACGCTCCTATCCATCCTCAATTGGCGGGTTGCGGATACGGAGCGTTGTCGATCTAACGGCAGGGCACGGTTATGATAGCACGAACGCACCCACTTATCAGCCCAAATTACCGTTGTCCTTAGGGCATATGATGCAGTTCAGAGCATCATCCGATTCAGACGACTCTCGGATCGTCCTGACAATTAGGTGAGCCAAGGTGACTGTAATTGCAATTACGCGCCATGTTCATATTCTGCACAGGACAAGTGGGACCGAACCAAAGGTAAATGTTTTTGGATGTCTCGTATGGCGATGTCTGAGTTTCCACATATCAACCTGCCTAGATCAAGTACTACCTCGAAGGCAGTGGGAGCAACCGCCAAGCTGTGCACAGCTTACTCGGTGGTGTAGTGGATGATCTAGCAGAAGATTGGATGAATGCCGCTGAGAACGGACTGGGCCGGCCATGATTTAAATGTTGTAAACCCAATTCGTGTTGTTTGTCGCATTATGCTGTACTGTAGCCACAAAGCTCAAGCACTCACGCAAGTTGAAGTCCCCAAGGCTTTGTTTTGATGATCGCTGTCATTCTCGTGGTGAGGTGTCAAGTTGAAGTGTGATAGCATGACTTGGCATGGATCCACAAGATGCACTAGGATAACAAGTCCTTTTCTTCCGAATAACTTGCCCTTGTGTGCAGGCATTATCAATAATTCCCACTTGTACCGAACAAGTCGGATAGGATGCTCCGCAGCCACTTATGTCCGGATGTTTGCGGGAGACCGCTAGTATTGCTGGGGTCTTACGAATGATGTGCAAGGCTAATTCCGTGACCAAATAGAATCGAAGAAAGGAAGTTGGATCATGGCGACCTCTTCTTTCGACTAGCATCAAGCCTCTTCGACTTTTCCCATATGTCAACAGTGACTTCCTGCTCAAGCATAGACGCCGCTAGTAATCTGTCTCAAACATGAAAATGACCGTCAAACAGAAATCAATGAGAAATTCCGCACCTTGCCACCTTCATCAAGTGAATAAGATCGTCCGCTGTTATAGATGAGTCTTCTTGGCGTTGACGTACAAAGTCTTCTTGAATGTGCTGCTTGAAAGTTAGCCATGTAAGACACGGTGTCCGATATCGCACACACCCGCGACGTCTCTTCTGCAACTTGAACAGTTCCAAAACAACATTTTGCGGCTGCCAGGAAAGAACGGTATGCTGCCAGCTTCACGGTATCGGGTATCTTTATCTGGTCTCTCGGTTTATACAGATTGTCCTTGAGCAAGGGTTTTGTTTCCAGAGGTACGGTGAATCCCGTCTGTCGTGGAAGAGGCGTGAGCAAGTGGCTTGGAATTATAATGAAGGCCGATATCTGTATTACCTGAAAGAAGGCACTTTTTCGACCATCACATAGCACGATCGTTACTATGTCTGTCGAAAATGAAAATTTACTGAATGGGAATGAGTACTCGAGCGTTTGAGCATTCATGACTTCCTGGACAGCCCTGATGTTCATGATGCCTGCAAAGTCATATCAATATAAGATGCTAAAGCCAAAAAGTACCGTTGGACTTAATACCTTTTTCTACAAGCTTGCCCTCTCGCACACCATTCTCTGTTAGCAGTAAGGTGGTCCCTTGAGGGACCTGCAGATAGCCCGAGTGCAAATCTTCATCCTTGCTTTCAGGACTGAAATTTTCCTTGTTAAGAAGATCCAGGGAGAGGGGCACCGTAATATACTGCGGTAGCAAGTCAGAAAGTACATGGTGAAGGGTAGGTAGTGCGGGTGATGACAGTGTGGGTGAAGGAAAACGTGATAAAGTGAGGGACGGAGGTAGGAGGGGCGTGGTCCGAGTGTAGCTGTATCTGGTATGAGGCGAACTCGTTTGACAGATAAGGCAAAACTGACACTTTTGCGGAAAGCTCGAGAAGAAGCCACTGTGCTGCATCTTCATCGCCTCCAAGGGCCTCGTCGGCAATCCATTTGATGAGATCTTCTCGAACAGTCGCTAACTCTTCTGTGTGCGGCGCATTGCCTGTAGATTGCAGTTTATGGCACAGAACATGAAGTGATGGAACCATCGGAGAAGAATCAGTTTCTGAATCAAGACTGCACCAATTGAGCATCAGTCACAAAGATGGTCTGTGCACTCACGACTCAGACGTCAAAATTCCGATAAACGTAACGACGTCAGTAGCTTTGAGTAACTGAGCGGCCTCGTTGTCATAAATCTAACGAATCACGAATGAGCAGAATTTTTGGTGAATTATGCGTATCTACCTTGACTTGGACGCCGATATGGGGCGCATTTGGCACGGGAAACTTATGAGGTTGTGGTGGACTTTGACTAGAAGAGCTACCTGAGAAGGTCAGACTTAAGCACCTCAATTCATCACGCCGAACATACCACAATGTGATCGGTCAGTCAACTCTTCTGTTTTCCAATCAGTCTGCCCCGGCACCGTCACGGCCCATAGAGTAGTAGTCTCTCTAAGGTCACAGTAATCGAAACTCGAAGGCCATTCACTAGCAGGCGTGTTCTGCGAGATCCCCCAACCACCACATTTATTTTCGTTCAAGCTCGCGAGATACATCTCCGGTGAGGGCGAAGTGTCCTGTACCATGCCATGAAATCGTACCAAAGACCTTTGTGTGAATGATTCAGGGGGATGGTTCACATCCAACGGAAGGACCTAGTAGCATCAGGATCAATAACGATGGTGTCACTGCAAAGATTCCATAGATCCCAACCTCGCGAAGGGTATCATCGGAATTTAGAAAGACATCCGAAAAATGGCGAGCGACGACAGTAGGGAATTGATTAATATCTCCGGTGTGCTCCTCAAAAAGTTCTTGGACTACTTTTGTAGGATTGTTGATAGCATCTATGAGAAAAGCGGATACCATGATGAATAACGCAACACTGGTTTGCGGCGGGCGCGTTTAGGTTTAGTACTGTTTCAGCGACGCGCCTCCACGCATAGCTGTTCGGTGTTACCTAAGCATTCGGCTACATCATCCGTGGCTGCGCCAAAGCGACTTGCACTACCACGACAACCATGCCTCTCTTCAACCGCTCAAAGAAGCGTGGTGACTCCTCCGACAATGGCCAAGATCAGGACGGAGGGCGTAAGAAGGAGAAAGGAAGCTGGAGGAAACCAGCAAGTTAGTCCACCTGCTCAAGAAAGCTTGAGAAGACTCTGACGTCTGGTTATTACGCTAGATACTGCGTTCAAACAGCAGCGTCTCAAGGCGTGGCAGCCTATCTTGACGCCGAAAACTGTTCTCCCAACGCTATTCATTATTGGGATCATCTTTGCACCGATAGGTGGCTTGTTGGTGTGGGGTAGCAGTCTTGTGAGTTCTAGGTCAGCTTGTGCTGTTCAACATCTACAACTGTAATCAAAAAGGTGTCGGAAATGACATTCGACTATACGACTTGCTGGAATCAGTCAAGTTCGACGTCACTCACCAACCTCACCTTCACGAGCATGCCCTACACATATAACCTACGATCATCAGACTCAGGCAAAACAATCACACCTCCCACATTCGCTTACTACTATAATGACTTAGCACCGGAGGACCAGAAGCATTCATGCTACATCGATTTTACCGTCGTATCCGACCTGGCTGCCCCAGTGTTCCAGTATTACAAGCTCACTAACTTCTACCAGAACAACCGTCGATATGTCCAGAGTTTAGACACCTCTCAATTGCAGGGCAGCTATGTCTCTCCGAGTACTCTCAGCAGTAGTAATTGCAATACTCTTGGCGTCACTGCGGACGGAAAAGCTATCTACCCCTGCGGATTGATCGCTAACTCCGTTTTTAATGGTGCGTCTCACTGAGCACAATACAGTGTCTTGGGATTCTGATGACCTAATGTTTTACAGACACCTTCTCTGGTTTTGCATCGTCAGACAACTTCTATTATAATTTCTCACAATCTGGCATCGCCTGGCCCGGCGAGGCTAAGAAATACAGCGCCACGTCGGGTTACACCAATAACCTGGATGAGGTCGTACCTCCTCCGAACTGGGTGCTGCGCTACCCAAGCTACCCCAACGCTAGTTCCATACCAAACCTGCAAGAGGACGAGCACTTCCAGAACTGGATGCGGACGGCGGGTTTGCCGACGTTCACTAAACTTTATGGGCGCAACGACACTGCCACCCTGCCTGCGGGCAAATATCAAGTCCTTGTCTATATGAGTATGGCCGTCGTCACTGTACCTGCTTCTGTTCCTGATTGTTGTGCTTGTTTTCAGACTATCCGGTTCAGGGCTACAAGGGAACAAAATCCCTCGTCATTTCTACAGTGTCTTGGATAGGTGGAAAGAATCCATTCTTGGGTTGGGCTTACGTTGCAGCATCGTGTGTCTTTGTGTTCCTTGCATTAGCGGGCACTATCCGACACCTTCTCAAACCGAGGTATGGTTCTTTTTCATGTATCATGGGACTATGGCTAAATGCGCTGCAGACGTTTGGGAGATATGACATTGCTGTCTTGGAACCGATAGAGCATGTTGGATTTTACGAACACTCGTATGTACCGGAGGGTGGCCGATTTGACCCTGTAATATCATTCCATGAACCTAACCCGCTGCACATCATATTTTATCTATTTTATGGATTACGGTGAAGGGGTATAACCGATGCCGTCGCAGCTTATAATGACGAAACCTGATGGATTCTGCTGGAGATGAAACGTAGCGCCGGTCATTTGTTCCGCTATTTTTATTGCAGTTCTGTGGGTGGAAAGATTCGAGTCAAGTAGATTAATGTCGAAAATGCCACCTCACATTGTGTGATCTGTGAGAGGTCCAGTCTTGATTGTTGAGCGGCCCTTTGCTAGAGCTATGAAGATAATAAGCTGGTCCTGAGGTTCAAGATTTAGCGGACTGAACTCTAACCGAGCAAAATCTCTGACCTGTAGATGCTCATCGACGCATCCATCATGACGAAGATTACGAAGGAGCTCCTCTACAGCTTTTTTCCCAATTTCCTCTGGATCCCTACTCTTCGTCGAAACTGAAGATCCGCTTATCACGCACCCATTGTCAGTCTCAGCGAATAGTAAGATTCCCCCTCCACTGCCGAACGCCTCTTCCGGAGTTTCTCTTACTGCGTCAATCCGGATGATAGTAGGAGAAACACCTGCAGCGATTAGTGTAGCACACGCAGCATTTTTCATGCGTTCGGCAATAATGAAAGGAAGCCCTCCGACCCGCGCTTCACCTCTGATGAGCTGAACAGAGCCCCTCTCTGTGAGAGTTACTGGAGGAAGTGCTTCTGTGAGGGAGGGAATACTACAAAACACGGCTCCGCCTCCTTTTGGGAAGTAACCTCGTCGTATAATGTTGAGCGCGATGTCCAGGCCAAAATGCCGTTTCATGAAGGGCAAGAAAACATGCTGGGTAAAATCTATCTGAGGAGCTTGGATTGCATTTGTCCCTCCGTGAAGAGTTAGTTGGGAAGGGGAAGTGGGCGAAGAAAAAAATAGTAAACACGGCAAGGAGACTTGGAGAAGCAAGGTTGTCGAGCCCGCTGTTCCGGGATCAGCAGTTAATATTTTAGGTAGTTCTATTTTCCCGGGTTTGAAGGTGACGCTTGTCGATGACAAGTGCACGCCCTCTGTTTCGGCTGAACAGATGGCGGCTGCAAGAATGATCCCTAGGGTCCGTGTTAGCCACACTGAGATACGAAGCTAATGATACATACCTGCTTCATGCTGTTTTCGGAGGCCCGGAGGTTTTCGATTATGGCGAACGTTTGGTATGGATATTGGTTTTGACAATAGTGCCGAGAGAGCGACGGCGTTGCGAAGGATCTGACCACCACCTTCACCAAAGCTTCCATCGATATGCACCAGACTATGCGCGATGGTGGAAGTCATGATTGTGTTCCAAATCGGGGTAGTGAGTTGTAATTGGTCCGTGCACTAGTTGAGAAGATATAAAAGGGAGCTGTGAACGACTTGAATCCTTACCACTCTGGCCTTTTGGCTTAGATCAAGTGTAGTATCTGTTCTTAATAGTTTAACCACTATTATGAGGGCACCGCCCTCATTCTTTGGTTATCAAATTTTTGCCGCCCTTGTTCCTTCGAGCTCTGCTTGCAACTCGAGAGACATGATGACCTTGCCACTGCACTACCGGCCTGCGTCGTCGGGGGTTCTTTTTTTCCCGAACTCTTTCTCTTTGGGGAGTCGCTATTGCGTAGTCTCTTGACTTTGCTTGGTGCTTTTCAAACAGTATGAGTCTTGGTTTTTTTGAAATTAAATATTATTTTGTGTCCGTGATAAATTACAAGAATTAAAGACTTTGCATGTGCAACGAAGGTGTAGGTAATGCAGCCTGGGGTATGTTCCTCCGAATTAGGTACAGACATATGTGTGAGCGGTCGTGATGAAGAGGTGTCACCTTTCAAGTCCGGATCCAAGCTAGATAACCACATGAGGCTTCAACGTAAGAGTACACAAAGACATACACCCACCGCGTTTCGTTGTCGCGGGAGCCATGCAGTGGGAGCAGGCTTGCCTTTCGACGACGGATTTGATGCGTTTCGAAGCTTCACCATGCCTTGGTTGAATATGCAGCTGGACATCAGCGCTTGCTCTTTGCGGCGTTGCTTCTCGAGATCGACCCGCATCGCCTGCAGGTGTTGATTCGTGAGCTCCCAACCAGACAGCTTATGATACAAAGTTCGCGTACCCTTTCGCGTTGAACTTCCTCCTTCAAATCTTTGATTTGAGTCTGGAAGCTTCCTTCAGCCTCTTCGAAAGAGGACTGCATGATAGTTTAAACATCAGAACATCGATGAGTCAAGTAAACCTAAACTCACTGTCGAACGGCCACCGAGCTTGGCTTGCTCCTCCTTGAAAAGCTTGTCCTGAGACTTGATAAACTAAGAGCAGGACTGAGCGAGCGACAATCATCTTTGACCGTATCACGTACCTGCCGTGCTTTGGCGAGCTTATCTTGAGCAGTTTTCAATTGCTCCTTGATAACCACGTTGTCTTCATGCAAAGCTAATAACCTTGCCTTGACGTCTTCTGGCACATCTTTGCCAGAGACCGATGCTCGCAAGTCACTGGTAGCAGTCAGTGATCCAGACCACCATCAACAACTGCAACGACCTACCCAAAGACTCGCTCACGCTGGATCATCTTGTCTCTCTGACCAATACCGTCGCTCTGCAGGTTCGCTTTTTCTAGCAGGAGCCCATTGACCTGCTCCAGTAGCATCTTATTCTTTTCGTTCAGCTCCCTAATCTGGTTCTTTAAACGATTCATATCAGCTTCCATGCCCGCCTTGTCTTCCTTGAGGGATTCTCGCAATGATGCAAGGATGTCGACCTGGTCCTTGTTTACAAGATTCACTGCGAAACACCGCCAGTCAAAAAGAGTAGCACTTTCGAGATCCGAAGACTTACGATTCGATTTAGCAATCGTTAGCTCCCTCTTCTGAGTCTCAAAAGCGACTTCAAGCTCGGCGTGCTCTTTCCGCAAAGAATCTAACTGATCGACTGTCTCGTTAAGTCGTTGTCGTAGCGCAATTGCAGCTTCCGGCCTGTGAACGATTTGAATCGGTTACTTGTATAGGAAAGATTCACCTACCCATCTCCTAGCGCTTTGCCACTCCGTATTTCCTCAAGGTCGCGTTGCAATACCAGCTTTTCTCGATGCGCGGTCATATAATCCGCTTCGTACCGTGCCTTCATCCTGTTGGCGTCTTCTAGCAGGTTCTGCAGGACAAGTATATGGCTGGTATCGGCTTCGTTCTTCTTCGCTGATTTCAACTCCCTTTGCAACTTCTTCACCTGCAGCTTCAAATCCGTCATCGTCGTCCCTGTAATGGCATCGTCTAGCTCTCCATCAAGACCAAACGAGCTGCCCATGAGTTCTTCTTCAGTGAGTTCATCGTTGTTCCCCAAAGCCTCTGTCGCCTGCGTCTTCGACGTAGTGGGTGCCCGATGCGAAGTGAGTTCCATCTCGCGCATACGTTCCTGATAGAGCTCCAACATCTCGGTATCCTTCTTACGCTCTTCGGTAGTAATCTTCAACTTCGTACGGGCTTGTTCCAATTCGAACTTCACTGTCTCGATATCTTGTGAGCGTGTTGAAACCCTTCCTTCAAGTTCGGCTATCTGGTTTTTATAAGATTCTAAGAGTGGCCTGAATGCGGCAACCTTGCGGTAGTCCTCCTCAAGCGCTGCATTCTTGTCGACGAGATCGGCATTTTGTGCCTCCAGCGACTGAATGGCAAGTCATTGAATTGGTCGACATGGTTACAACAAAGAACAAACCTTGACGTGTTGGCGAAGGTCAGCGCCCTCCTGGAGTTTCTTCTTGTACTTCTCCATGACATTCTCTGTCTTTTGTAGTCTATCGGCTGCATGGCGATACCTATGTACGTTAAGTACCAAGGTCAATCAGTGATTGACATAACACACGTACTCATCTACTTGGTCTTTGAGGCGCGCAGCCTCGTCAGCTTTGACCTGCAACTCGTCGATTCGCCGTGTAAGGTCAGTCACCAACGATGTATGCTTGTCAAGCTCGGCCTCCGCCATGGCAAGATTGTCTTCGCTCTTTTGGCTAGCACCTCCGCAGTCATAAGACGAGATCTAACTGAATGGTTCGAACATGACTCACAGTTCAGTGCGAAGACGCTCGACCTCGGCGCGCATCATTCCATACGCATTATCGTTGCGTCTGCTCTCAATGCCCCTTTGTGCTTCACGTAACCGTGTCAACGCATCGTCCTTTTCAGATATCATATCGTCGTAATTTGTTTGTAACGTCCGGTGTTCTTCAAGAAGAGCCTGGTAGACCTTCTCTACAGTCTCCTTCTCTGAAAGGATCTGGCTCCTTTCAGACTGTATGAGGTAGTAATGGTCGTCTCTGGATATCCCATCAGTGACTAAAGCCCATGCTTCACAAATAACGACTGACTCTGTCATGCTGGCTTCTCCAAAACTGATATCTCCTTGCGAATCACTGATCTTGCTTATCACCTACACGCACGCATCAATAATAGTGAATACTCCGCGCATGCAATCAGCATACCTGCTCAATAGCCTTCATCAAAAAATGCTGGTCCCCCTCACTCAACTGCTGAATTCGGGCGATGATCTCCTTGTTCTGCTCGCACTGCACCGCGATCGCGATCGTGATCCGACACATGATGAGCGTCTCCCCGACATCACGGTCCTTTGCAATCGCCTGCAAGTCCGGAACTTCGAGACCGCTCGTAGGTTTCTGCAAGACTTCAGCAAAGTACTGCGTAAGGAGGCGATAGAGACGCTTTAGTGCGCTGAACCGGAGAACCCAATTATCGGAGAGCTGTGTGGAGGACCTGCTAGACTGCCTGAAGTACTCTGCATCTCTGACGGCGAGTTTAGTCTCTTCTTGCAATTAATGACAGATGAATATGACGTGAGACATACACTAGAGCGAGAACATCGAAGAGTGCGGCCCCATCGCTGAGGTCGGCGACGGTGGTGACTGGCCGGGCTAGGTTAAAGGTTGCGAAAAAAGAGATGAAAGCGTTGATCTCTCTTCTCTCCTGCTCAGACATGGCTGTCAGGATTGTGAGCCGGTGGTTAATGCAGAATCTGCTCTCCTTAGGAATTAATTATGAACGATTTTCATTGGCTGACTGTAACTACTCGGGCATACCGCTCGGACTTTAAATTGACAAGCGCTCAGCCAATCGAAATCGTGGCCTCAGGGGTTGTTGTTGTCCTCGCCCACACCCGTTACGCCTTTGGGCTTCTTAGTGCTGCAGCATAGACTATTCCCTCTAATTAGTGATGAGAAAGTGTACGTTCTCACGTTACTATGTAGTAGGTGTCACTCAGATACTGCCTTGCATTCTTAGAACATCAGACAAATAGACATGCAAGGTCCACCAGGACGCAACAGCACGACACCATTGTAAACTGTGCGACGGTATTTACACGATATGAATGTCTGTGCACACCAACGTCATATGAGGCAATGAATAGTGAGTTATTGCCATGGATGTACGCGACATACGAGCCGGGCAGTATGCTGTAGCCCCTTAACCCCTGTATAATTTCAAAAACCAAAGTGTCGAGCAGAGTAGCGCCACTGCAAAGACATAAAATATTCTTCCTTCCTTCATGGGATCGCCATTTGCAAGAAAATTGCGCAGCGGAAGAAAGATCAGACCAATGACAAAATTGCTGGACCCTTGAAAATTGAAGTAGGAGACGGACTTTCGAAGGCACAAATGAATGCTTACAGTTCAGCGACAGACCCACTGATGAAATGGCGGACACAGCCTGCATGGGGTCAGTGAAGGAGCTATGCACTTCGTGGAATAACTGACATGGGGTGGTGCCACCTCGGGGATGATGACAAACGGAATAGGGCCTAATCCGAAGGCAAACGACCTTCAAGATAACATAAGTTGCGGAGAATAATTAGATATAAGCCACGTACATGACAAAAGTGGTGATTGCGATACTGGACAAAGTCACGAGGCCGCTATTCAGCCCATAGCCAACAGCTAGATGAGACAGAAGAGCGGCAGCGACTGATAATTGGATTAGTTGTTTCCTGCCCACTCGCTAGGTACCTGTTAAGTTGCTGCAGATACTTGAGCATGACTTTTAAAACTCGCCTCAATAAGGAAGATCGGCGGAAAAGTCATGAAAAAGTTGACAATCGTGATTGCCAGCGAAACATATGATGCTAGTTCGGGAAGGGATTTAGAGAGTATATCGTTACTGTAGTACAAGACTATGGTGCATTGAGAGATGTTATATTGTGCAAGTGAGTGTTCTGCTTACCTGCGTTAATTCCTGATATTTGTTGGGATGTCATGGCGGCGATAATTGTCAATAGAGGCCGGCGAAGTTCAGTAGAGGCAAACAATTGAGGAATAGTCATTGCAGGCTGGTGGACAGCTGAGAGGCGTTCTGTGGCGCTATCACTGTCTGGTAACAGAGGTTCCTCGCTGTCTTGTTCTTCAGCTCAAGATACGATTAAAAAATTGTCTCAGTAAGTTAGTATCTGCTCACGGTCTGTACGCGAAACATCATGAATTTCGCCCCACAATCTGTGAATCGCTAACTTCTCTTGATCTACCAGTCCCTTCCGGTTGAGATACGAAGGAGACTCTACGACAAACGGGCTGCTGAAATACTGGAAAATGGATATCCCCGATGAGATGAGCAGTACAAAACGCCATTGTCGGGGAGTTGCAAGACCGAAGCCCATTCCTTGGGTGACCATTATACCGATAACTAGAGCCAACGGTGTTAGAACGCCTAACGAGACAGCCGATCAATATTGCTGGTGATTGATGAACTAAGAAACAGCGCGAACCCAAGTTTCCCTTGATTTTGACTGGTGCTATCTCAGACAGGTATATAGGACAAAGACAAATGCCTAAGCCAGCTGCGAGACCAACAAGAAATCTGTGGGTGTGGGAGATTGTAGCGGATATTGCTAATATGAAGTACATACCTGCCAAGAATCAGTGGACCTACGGAAGAGGACAGTCCAAATACGGCTGAACCAACAGCTGTGAGCACAGCGCTGAGACGAGAAGCACCTTTCCGCCCATAACGGTCCATAACAATGTTAGCGCTCAAACTGCCAAAGAAGCCTCCCATGGTATACATGGACGTCACTACAGAGAATGTTGCATCGGACATGGGGATACACGTGGGTAGACCATAGTACATTGGGGCAGTTGAATCAGCGATTTTGCACGTCAGGACAGCTTGTAGCTGATTCAGAGCGGACGTGTGATAACCATACTTGTACAAAGACGTGAGCAGGTCATAAACTTGAGTAGGGAAGAATATTGGGTAAATACCTGGAACGAAACAGTGAGGACCCATAGACATACGAGCCAGCCGTACTTTGTAAATGTATGAGCGCCCTCAGAGGTCATCTGAAACTTATGAAGACAGTAGTACAACTGTCAGACTCCAGTGCTTCAAGTTGGGGACAGTGGACGATCGACGTGTATGCGAGCCCGCGAGTAGGAAGTTGAATTATAGGTGTGGGCCATTAGGTCCTAACCGGAGATTCAAACCTAACCTAAGTCGGACGGGCCAGGTGAAATTGACGTGGCCCTACCGCGGTCGTGACGCGCCTGTGACGCGGCACTGACGAGGCATATGCGACGCGGCACTGACGAGGCATATGCGGCGCGGCACTGTAACAAATTCCTATGCAAATGGAGGTTCAGTCGAGCACTACCGATTACATTTTCTTGTCCTTTTCAACTCCATGGCAGATGAATGCGAGAAGCACGGGCGTGAAGTCGATGATGAATTGTTTGGCAATGTAAGGCTCCAGTTACTGGTACATAGTGTTCATTCTGACATTCGCTGATCCAGGTTGTCGACTTCAGCGAGGCTGAACGAGAGCTAAGAGGCGTGAGATTCGCGTGAGTGACAGTGACTGGTTATAGGCATCAGTGAATTGCACCTGACCTTCCCAATAGGTAAGCTTTACTATACTGGGTGATTACGCGTATCACCAAGTATTATTACACTTAGTTACGATAATATCCAACACCAGTGTTAAATGCTGTCCCAAATTGTTGGAATTCGTCTCGTCATTTCCCTCGTCATTTGCCCGTTTTGTCTTTTCATTCTTACTTAATCACTATTCCTTTCATTTTAGTTTATAATCTCGCATCGCTCGTTCGCACATACCTCAGTCGTTGTCTTACAACGCTGAGGTATGTCAACCGTTATCTTATCCCGCCGTCTCTATCTCACATTGTGTTCTATTATAGCGTGTCACTCTTAGGTATTATGAATGTTATCAGTCGTTGTCTTACAACACTGAGCATGTCACTCTTAGTTCCAATAGGTTATGAGCCCTGCTTCCTAAGCGGAACCTCACATCGAACGCAAAACCTTATTCTTTATCACTGTCTTTGTTCATCCTCTCAGTATGGGGAAGCTCGACCATATTCCGGAACTGACAGGTCCGGAAACATATTTCACGTGGAAACGAGAAGTTACCTATGCATTAGGGACAGAGGATCTCTGGTGTCATGTTTCTACTTCCGCCGATCCCACAGACATTCTCGGTGTCGCGTCACACATTCCGGCCCCTGCTATAGCAGGTAGTCCAACTGTCGACGAGATTAGAGACATTCGCTTGTGGCTCGTCGACGACCTTAAGGCTAAAGCCATCATAACTCGATGCCTATCAGTTTCTGTTCAGCAGTTCATCTCTGACAGTCATAAAGTTACTGCATGCGAGGCTTGGAAAATTCTCGCAAATCATTACGGTCGGACAGATATCAGCTCGCAATATGTCATTCGCAACTCCATAGGTGCCCTTCAAATGAAGGATACGGCGGATGCATCTAGCTACATAGCATGTCACTCTACCTTACGTGAACGACTCATCAGGATGGGCGCCAGTTACCCTGACAAAGATGCCATATATCAGCTTCTCCGCGGTCTTCCTCGCAGCGGTTCATGGTCTCAATTCAAGGGATTGCTTCATCAGCGCATTCAAGATGCTTTCTCCACCACAACGCCTCTCACCTTCGAAGATTGCATGTCCAGGATCTCTGCAGAGGCTGGTCGCGAACTTGACGAGAAAGCAATGAGTGGACCAGGTTCTGAATACGCTAACACTGTGACGACCACCTCAGGCAATAGCAGCAACAATGTCAATCCTGTCACCGGTTTACGCAAGAATCGGAACAATCCTGATGGTGTTTTCTGCATCACGCCGGGTTGTGGGAAAGGAGACCATGATCAACCACACTGCTATCGCAAAGGAGGCGGAATGGAAGGTCAGGCACCATGGCAGAAGAACAAGAAGATTGCAACTGCAGCCATTGCAGTTGCCTCCATGCCTCCTGTTCCTGCAGTACCTGCCCCGCCGCCCCCAGTGGCTGCCTTCGCATTTGGTGACTCCTCAATTGAGTCTTTTGCTGGTTCTTCAGCTACAGCAGCCGGTTTCTATGCTGACCTCGCTTGCGCTTCTATTGTGGAGCTACAGGATGCATCAGCCTCTCACATTCCCTCGCACAATCTCACTGCATTTGCATCAGCCGCTTACTCTACCATCCTCGACTCAGGCACAACCGTCACATTGGTCTGAGACCGCAAGTTCTTCTGGTCGTACTCGACAGCAGACCCTGTGATCGTTAGGACGGCAAATCACGGCAGCTTGTCAACTTCTGGACACGGTGATTGTCTCGTGGGGCTGAATATTGGTGGGAAGAGATATCGTGTACGTCTGACGAACTGTTTGCATGCGCCTGACGCAATGATAAACCTTCTGTCGGTCGGATACATGGTGGATCAAGGCTGGGGATGCAATTTCGTCGGTGCGCCCGCACGTTGTAACCTGTCTTATCGGGAGAAACTCTTAGGCTCACTTCCTCTCGTCAATAAGCTCTGCTTTGTTGATTTGGAGTTTCTCTATCCTCCTCCTCCTGCATCCTTACAGTCCGTAGCAGCACCAGATCTTACAGCGTTTGCACACGTCCCTCTGACGCTCGACCTTTGGCATGCTTGGATGGGTCACCCAGGAGGTAATGCCGTACGTCGTCTGCCCCTCTTCACAAAGGGAGCATCTATCACCTCCTCTGAACCGCTCTCCAAATGCTAGTCGTGCATTTTAGGGAAGCACCCTAGACAGCCTTATCCGTTGTCGGACTCACCACCTGCATCACGTTTCCTTGAGCTCATTCATTCCGACTTATGTGGTCCTATTCCAACCGAAACACCGCACGGCAAGAGATACTTTATCGTCTTTTTGGATGATCACACCAATATCCTTGATCTTCAACTACTTGTGACAAAAGATCAGGTGCTCAGTGCATGGCAGTTGGTCCGAGCACGGTGGGAAAACATGTCGGGTCAGCGTGTGAAGACTTTTCGTAGTGACAATGGAGGTGAGTTTCTCAATGTAGCCTTCACTAGAATGCTTGAAATGGCAGGTATTGAATGGCAGCTGTTGGCTCCATATGCTCATTAGCAGAACAGGAAGGCCGAGAGAGTTCTGCGCACGGTAGAGGGCTGTATGTATGCCATGCTTGATCATGCCCGTCTTCCTCAGTCGCTGTGGGGTGAGGCTGCACTATGCGTCGCTTATCTATTTAACCGATCCGAGTCTCACGCACTTCCGCCTGGGAAGACGCCTTACGAGATGCTGCATGCTATCAAGCCTGATGTTTCTCACCTTCGTGTTTTTGGATCACGCTGCTTCACAAGGATCCCTCTGGAACTACAGGAGAAGATGGGTCCACACTTGCGTGAGGCTCTCTTTATGGGCTATCCGCCCGGTGTTAAGGCTTGGCGTCTCCGCAACAGGGTCACGGGCGCATTCTTCAACTCACGCGATGTTATCTTCGATGAATCAGCCTCTGGGCGCCCTTTTCCAGATTCAGATGATGAGGAAGACAATGCAGTGCCGGCAAGGCCCACTACAGCAGTACCCATGCAGCCTTCCACTGCGCCTCCATCTGTGCCTATGCCACAGCACACGTCCACACCAGCTCCAACTTCGACGCCGTACACACTTCCCCCTCCCCGAATCTCCGCGCGTGCACGTACGGGAACTGAACGCGGGCATGCGTACCAGGAGAAATTGGAAGCTGACCACACTCGTCTAGCGCATCAACGTGAATTACATCTTGCACGCATTAACGGTGTACCTCCAGCTGATACACCTGAAGGGTGCGACGTACCACCAGTTCCTATTGTTACTCACCCGTCTACCATCAGCAATGAATCCGGTGGGTCTGACGACGTACCCGGCTCTGATACTGCAGCGGCTCTGGCTGTCATGGATGAAGATGCTATCCTCCCAGAGACCTTGATGGTCAGATTTTCGATTGGCGTTGCGAACATGATCGTTGTCGAACAGGCACATGTGGCCGTTCGCAGTGACACTTGTCGTAATCCTTTAGCGCCCGGTTACGACCTGAAAATACCTCCGAACACGTATGACGAAGCGCTCCGTCGTCCAGATAGGGACCATTGGCTCGCAGCCATGAAGAAAGAAATGAACCTGATGTCAGAGATGAGTGTCTATGAACTCGTTATCTTGCCTGAGGACCGCAAAGCCATTGGATGCAGATGGGTACTCGAATTTAAGGAGGACTTGAAAGGAGGCTCTGTTTTCAAGGCGCATCTAGTGGCACAAGGTTTTTCACAGATTCCAGGCGTCGATTTTGGAAAGATGTTCGCACCTGTGGCCAGACCCACTTCGATTCGCGTCATTTCGGCATTGGCAGCGCAACTTGACTGGGAACTCGACAGCTTCGATGCAAGACGCGCGTTCCTTTGGGGGAAATTGAAGGAAGACGTCTATATGCGTCAAGCGCCGGGCTTCGAGCGATTCGGCCCTGAGGGCGGGCGCCTGGTTTGTCACCTGCTGTCGAGTCTCTACGGATTGAAACAGGCCGCTTACGACTGGTATGAGCTTTTACGGGAGGTTCTGATGCGTCTTGGGTTCCTCCGGTGCGATGCCGACTATGCAGTATTTGTTTACGACACTGTTGACAGCAAGGGAGTGCGCACTGTCTGTATCATTGCATGGCATGTGGACGATGGGCTTGCAGCAGCGAATCAGCGTGTGTTCCTTGACTGGGTCAAGAAGCAGATCGGGGAACGTTTCGGGATAGCGGATCTTGGGCCAGTGGTGAAATACCTTGGGATTCAATTTGAGCGCCAACGCGAAACTCGAGAACTCTGGATGCATCAAGCAGAGTATATCACTTACCTCCTCGAAGAACACGGCATGCTCCAATGCAATCCTGTGACGCTCCCCATGGACCCAAAGTTTCCTTTCGGTCAAGACACTGACATTCACCCTTATGTTGAGGACATCGCGTCAGAATATTGAAAGCTCGTTGGGGAGCTGCTTTACCTTGCACTTTACATGAGGCCCGACATCGCGCTTGCGGTTATGCAACTTGCGCAATATAACGCTGCACCCGAGTCATGCCATTACACTGCGGTGAAACACGTCCTCCGTTTTCTCGCTGGAACGCTTAACGTTCGTGTCCATTATGGGGGTGCTAATATACGGACGGAGCTTCACAGTTACAGCGACTCAGACTGGGCCAGCTGTCCAGAGGATCGCATTTCTATCAGCGGCTATGTCTGGTTCTTCAACGGCGGCCCTATTTCGCATGCGTCGAAGAAGCAAGTGACTCACACGCTCTCTTCTACTGAAGCAGAGTATATGGCCTTGACGGCAGCGATCCAGGATGGCCTCTGGATCCAGTCACTCTTCGTCTGTCTCAAGGTCCCTCTCTCCCTACCACTTCATCTGTTTGCAGACAACGCTGGCGCTATAGCGCTTTCACAGGAGGCCGCCAATCACACGCGCACGAAACATATTGACCTTCGATATCATTTCATTCGTGCGCACATCGAAGCTGGCGAGTTCCTACCTGAGTGGCTGTCGACACATCACAACACCGCTGATATATTCACAAAATGCCTGCCTCGCCCTTTGTTTCTCCGTCATCAAAACGGCCTGTCCCTCGTGTCGCATTGAAATGCTGAGTCAAGGGGGTGTGTTGGAATTCGTCTTGTCATTTCCCTCGTCATTTGCCCGTTTTGTCTTTTCATTCTTACTTAATCACTATTCCTTTCATTTTAGTTTATAATCTCGCATCGCTCGTTCGCACATACCTCAGTCGTTGTCTTACAACGCTGAGGTATGTCAACCGTTATCTTATCCCGCCGTCTCTATCTCACATTGTGTTCTATTATAGCGTGTCACTCTTAGGTATTATGAATGTTATCAGTCGTTGTCTTACAACACTGAGCATGTCACTCTTAGTTCCAATACAAATCCCCCCAGACCTTAAGGTATTTCTCTAGCAGAAGCTTGGTAATGCCATATCCCGCCCGATGTTGTGCTCCCATGCCCTCTATGCTTTCGGTAAACGTACCTGTTTCTCTGAAGTGCAGTTCTCACGCCCCTTACCAGTGTTCATCATCATTGCCAGTGCCCTCTACCGCTATCACTACCATACAACGGCCCTCCTATGGCCATCAGCCTATTCTGGCCATTGTACAGATCTCCTGCGGCCCTCGCCAGCCTCCACGACTCTTTCCCTGTGGCCCTCCTACTCTCGTCAACCTCAACCTCTGCGCCCTATGCTCTCCTCATGCTCAGTCTCAGCAGGTGGCCCTCATCAGCTTACGTGGCTCTTTCTTTCAGTCCTCCCACCCTCATCAACCTTGGCGCCCAGCGCTCTCCTTACCCTCAGTCTCAGTTTTCAGCAGACGGCCCATGTTTGGTGGATCTTCGAGGAAAGTTGCTGGACTCTCCAAGGCCGCGACTACTCATGGATTCAAATGCTCAATTCGAACGTCTGGGGTACTGACAGCTGGGAAACAAGGGCAGAGAAAAGAGGAGACTGATGCGAAGCGACGATTGCACATACAAGGTGCGTGCCTTCTGTCTGACTATCATATATCCTTCTTATTTTTTGCAGACATGTCCAACGATGATCGAGACATTGTTGAGAGCATGTTTTCTCCCTTTGCTCTCCTCTCCCTCGGTCTCAGTCTCGGTGGCTACTGCCCTTTCGCACTCCCAGCCGTTTCAACTTGACTTCGCTTGTATTCACCTTACTGTACACATGACGCCATCACTGTAGCATTCTTAATACACTGAATGAAATATATTTGTCCCTCATTTGATTGGCAGGCAGTAAACTTTGCATATTGTGATTGACAAGTGATAACTAACTAATGACTACGTGCGAATCAGAACATTGACATTGTGAGGTCAGGTGTCATTCCAAAACCAAGATTCTCCATACCCTCAAAATTCGTATCAAACCCAAAGCCCCCCATTTTGTTGCCGAAGTCTGGAACAGCGGCAGTCAGGAAGTTAGAAGTGTCAAACAGTGTATCATTGTCAAAGGATTCATTATGAAAGGGACCGGCAAACGCATGAGTGGGAGTAGGACCAGCGAATGCATGAGTGGGAGTAGGACTGGCAAATGCATGAGTGGGAGTAGGACCGGTGTAGAGACTCGTGCCTCGCATTGTGTGATATGGCACTTTCCACTAGGGAGTACACAGCACGACTTGCAGCATCACTCTGTGTGCTATCCACAGCTATTCCCTTACGAGGCGCAGCTTTCCCACGCAATGCGCAGCATGCGCGCACGACTTCCCGCGCTTTACGATGTATACGCGCGCGCGCTTTCCCGCGCTTGAGCGCCCTATAGCGCCAGCCATCCAGAAGCATCCATCCACTGTCCACCAAGCTCTCTAGTGCGTATATTCCCATTTCTCTTATTTACATATCGTTCCACCTCTATTTTTACCATGGACCCTTACTTACATATATCTTTACATACCTACTCGGTAGCGCTTCGGCTCCGCATGACAGCGCTTAGGCGCCATATAAGCGCCAGCAGTACATATTATTAGACACTTTACTTTCCAACAAGAACTTTACCTCCCACTTACCACCCACATACTACCTAGGAGAACATAGTAGAAATCTATTCTTTGACACCTCGCGCTCGTATCTCTTGTCTAGTATCTAATCACCCCTTAAGCAAACTCACTCTTACTCTCTCTCATTACCGCTCACGCGCGCACGCTTCCCGCGCCTCGCGCGTACCTTCGCTTTCCCGCGCCTTGTGCGCACCTGCGCACTTTCTCGCGCTTCGCATCAGCCGACCAGTAGCGCCTTCGGCGCGCACTACTAGATCCTTGCTGCACTCGCTTCCCCTTTAGGGTCGAACGCACTTGTCGTCTCAAGTATAGCAGACTAGGCAACGCACGACCTCACAACATTTACAGATACAGTCTGGAGCATCATTTGTTCCTCACAGTATTGTTGTTTCTACACCGGTGAGCACATGAGTGGGAGTAGGACTGGCAAGCGCATGAGTGGGAGTAGGCTGGACTGTCGTTGTACTCATACTGGTGGAGGCAGTAGGCTGGGCTGTCGTTGTATTCAAACCGGTGTAGAGACTCATGCCTCTCATCGTGTGATATGGCAGTTTTCACTAGGGAGTACACAGCACGAACTTGCAGCATCACTCTGTATGCTATCCGCAGCTATTCCCTTATGAGGCGCAGCTTTCCCGCGCAAGGCGCAGCATGCGCGCACGACTTCCCGCGCTTTACTATGTATACGCGCGCGTGCTTTCCCGTGCTTGAGTGCCCTATAGCGCCAGCCATCCAGATGCATCCATCCACTGTCCACCAAGCTCTCTAGTGTGTATGTTCCCATTTGCCCTTATTTGCATATTGTTTCACCTTTATTTTTATCATGGACCCTTACTTACATACATATATCTTTGCATACTTTACTCGGTAGCGATTCGGCTCCGCATGACAGCGCTTAGGCGCCATATAAGCGCCAGCATTACATACCGAACTAACTTTCCAACCAACGAACTTCACCTCCCACTTACCCACTTACTACCTAGCAGAGTATAGTTGCAATCTATTCCTTGGCACCTCACACTCACATCTCTTGTCTTGCATCATATCACCACTTAAGCAAACTCACACTTACTCTCACTTGTTTCCGCTCACGCGCGCGCGCGCTTCCCGCGCCTCGCGCGTATCTTCGCTTTCCCACGCTTCGCATTGGCCGACCAGTAGCGCCTTCAGCGCCTACTACCAGATCCTTGCTGCACTCGCTTCCCCTTTAGGGTCAAACGCACTTGTCGTCTCAGGTATAGCAGACTAGGCAACGCGCGACCTTACAACATTTACAGATACAGTCTGGAGCTTCATTTGTTCCTCTCAGTATTGTTGTTTCTACACCGGTGAGGGCATGAGTGGAGGCAGTAGCCGGTGCCGTTTTATCTTCATCATTTTCATCATCACTTACGACAGTTTCGGCACTCTTGAATGCCTTCTTGTGCCGAGAACTATCGGAAGTCTGTACGTGCTTCTTCCCCTTGTCCGAACGAGTGCGCCGGCATTCTTCAGCAATTTCACCTTGCTCCAACTTCTCATTGCGCTCTTCAAGGAGTTTGAGATACTCATCTTCTTCCAGGCGCCTCCAATGGATGGCATTGGACTGCCATTTACGCAAGAGCATTTCCAGGTCTGGTAGAGCACTGGAGACACTGCTAAGGTTGACAAATGGTATGTTGTCGGGCCAACCTTCCACAATGACGAGGTACCGCTGAACCACGTTACGCCAGTAGTTCGCCCAATGCATCTTTGCCTTTGGATCCCTAGTAATCTCTTCTAGAGTAAGGTTGTAGTTAGTTACTAAGAACACAATGTAAATACATATGACATATGAAGAGTCTTGTTGATCTCGTTGCGAATTGCGCCCCGAATTGCCGAACTAGGTTTTTGATGGTTTTTTGCTGCACCTGAATGGTTTCAGCCAAGCTTCTATTTGACTTGAAATGATACCTACCTTGCATGCCTTGCACGTAAAATCCCTCCATCTTACTAACCAAATCCTGGCTATCAATGTTCATCACGGTACCCATAAAGTCGCTGACACCTTCGGTCACAAAGGCGACACCACGAAGCGGGCAATCTGTGGAACCACGTGTCATATAGAGAATAGTCTCCACGCCCGTAAGTTGGTGAGCTGGAAGATGTGTCAGTCAGTGCTGACAGCACGAATTTTATTTAAAAAAACACTTGCCTCGTTCTCGATAGCCTTGAGGGTATGAGTGACGTCGTTAACCTTTGCTTTAGCTGAGATGCGGATGCCACTGGTCTTGGTCTGCTTGTGTTCAGCATACTCAGCTAAAAGACTAGCTTTCTCGTCTTCCATGAGCTTGTGATATTTGGTGCGGTTTTCCTCGTCCTTCACAAGTTCTTGCAACACGGCCTTGCCTGTGCCTCCCCCTTTGCATGTTGTTAGTTGGTGCATGGCACATAATAGACAATCTCACCATTTGCCTTCCTGTCATTGCGCTTCTTCCAGCAGAATGTGTTCCATGCGTTTAACTTCAAACGTTGGTAGCACAGCATCCCACGGCCCATACATAATTCGTTCTGGACATGTCGAAAGCTTTTGTGATGGGAAGACGAAATAGATTTCATAGTCTCGTCGATCTCGGTCCAAGCACTGTGAAGATCAGTTTCGAAACGGCGGGATTTATCACGACGTTGAGCAGTAAGTGCCGCACGAGCCTCCTTGCTGAGGGTCACCTTGATGCAGCAACAAGGAGCTTGGACATGTTTGCAACTATGAGTCGCCATGAAGGACTGCAAAACCATCAGAGCAGTAAAATTCTCCGTTGTCTTCTCCATTTTCTGTGAATGGCTTTTTAAGTTGATTTTCTCTAGTGTGCTAACATAAGGACAAACAGATTGATCTACGAGAAGAACAGATAAAAAAGGTAAAGTGCACACAAAAAACTTAGGCTACCAACCACCCTGAAGACAGTAAAAAGCCATGAGAGGGGCGCCTGTGAAATACCAGAGTCAGTAACCTTAAGCAGCTAGTAGGAGGGAAGAACCTTGGTAATTACTGCCATACCCTGAAGATCTGCAAGGAGGGCGGTAGTGAGATTTGATGCCTCCTCGTACATCAGATTCCATTCGGAAGAGCAAAGTACAGCCTCCCGACGGCTGCTACGAACGGATCCGACTAGTTGGTGAAGCCGGAGAAGCACAGCATCATCCATTTTAAATCGGTCCATTATGGTGTCTGTGTGTGGGCCGATGCTAATTAATGGCGCCACCAAACACAGTGTCTCTACTTCAGGCCCAGAAACCTTCAAGCCCTCAGAAAGAAATACATCAGCATTCCAATGGCGTCGAATCTTGTTCTCTCCAGCTGAAGTGCTGACAGACGTAAGAGTATCCTTGTTCGCAAGGGCCCCTTCCGTACTGCAGATGATAGCAGTGTTTTGGACTCGGAGTTGACTTGGAGGTCGTGCTGAAACTGCTTAGAAGGATGTGCCGAACAATGAATGCATGCACCTGTGGCAGACATGGGTGCTGGCAAGTGGGGGGGTGCTGCAGGATTGACCTGACTTGCTGGGTCTTGTCAGTGTGAAACAACATGAGCTTGTGGGAGAGAGACAAGAAAAATGCCAACTTACAGTGATGCGGAGGGACGACACCCTCGACATGACAGCATTCTGTGAAATGTTGCAGGTGGGGAATCACAAACTCTTCAACAAAGGCCTGCGCCAACACTGACACATCTCCTCCCAGGCGCTCCAGAGTTTCGCGCAATTTGTGAGGCGTGATGTAAAGGTCCAGAGAGATGTGCTCTGGCAAAAGTGCTGCTGTGGCTTTAGAGCCGGGGCAGCGAATAAGAAGGGAAATCCCTCCATCAAGACGGTCTTGCATTACAATCTAGTCATTCTTCATTAGATTTGAACACTGTAAGATAGTTAGAACAGAATGACTCACTGCATCAAAAACATCCTGCAGCGCCGCCTCAACAAGCTCCTTGTGTGTGATAGACTTCTCGTCTGCTGATGTGTACGAGTTAAACACGATGTAGGAAGGATGAAGGCCACCACATTTTCTGGTATGGAAATGTGTGCCATCGATATGAGAATCGTGTCGGAGCAGCGCACGCGTTGCTGCCTGGCGTTCTGTGTTGCTAAAACCTTCAGCAAAGGAGTTGGGGTAGATTGCAGCAAGGCTGGCGAGCAAAAATTGAGGTCACATTGAGCTGGCAACATCATGCACGACAGTTTTGACCATGATGGATGTCAATAGCAAAGGCTGTCAAAGCGATTAGTATTACAGTCTTGTTATGTAGTGAGGCACCTACCGTAAGTGTTAGCATTTCGATACATAGATTCAATGCAATGCCAGTGGGTTCAAACATGATGCGATAGTAGTAGTTCAGCATTAGTTAGCAGCAAAGCCAACCATATATCAGATGTATTTCGGACAAGGTATGACTCTAATAGTTCATATCAGCCAAGCCAACCACAACCCAATTTATCAGATCTACCTGGGAGCCGTCCGTTCGAAAGCCAGCCACAACCCAATTTATCAGATCTACCTCCCGTCCATCTGAAAGCCAACCACAACCCAATTTATCAGATCTACCTGCCATTCAAGACCAACCACAACCCAATTTATTAGATTTACCATCCGTTCGAGAGCCAACCACAACCCAATTTATTAGATCTACCTCCCGTCCTCGAGAGCCAACCACAACCCAATTTATCAGATCTATCCTGTCTACCTCTTTTGTTCTCATCCGCTCAAGCTCGTTCTGTTAACATATGATGATCAATTGAATTTACTTTACATAAACAGCGCAGCTAGTCTGTAGTAGAAAGTAGATAACTAGCAAAGTCCTCTGTAATTCGTGCTTGATCCTCATGCTCAATGTCATTCCCACCATCTGATTCAAAAGATATAATATCATCCAAGTCGAGTTGAATCTTGAGGCCTTCTCCGTCAATACCAGCGGTGGAGATTCCTATAAGTCATTAGTAAGGGCATTAAGATCACGGAGTCTACAGACCAGCATGTGGTGATGAACTTGTTGCCTCTGACTGATTGTGCGGTGACAATGAAGGACTTCCAAGCCGGACACCAATGCCCCGTCTGCCTGAAAACATACGCTGCGACTCCAGTTGACCTAATCGGAACAGATGCATGGCATTGACTGCAGCACGCGCTTGATAACGATGTTTCAACTCCAGTGCCAGCGTGTGATCTAGCTCCAGGAGCCGACGAATGGTTGCAATGGTTTTAACTTCTTCATCATGAATTGCTGTGCACAGACGATGGACTTCAACATTGAGATGCTGAATTTCTTCACGAGCGCGTTGAAGCTTGAAGTATTTCATGGTGGCTTCACGATGAGCAGGCGCAGTCCAATCGTGATCACGAATGTCAGTACATGAGTGCCGCAAGAGGTCAAACTCGCCAAGGAAGCTATATTCAACAATGTCTTTCCATGCCAGTGTCGGCCGGGGGGGGGGGACCAAAGCAGTGGCCTGGGTGTTGTAACGGTTGATGGCATTCCAAATAGCATCAGAACGTCGTTGGAGGGCTTTGCTAATTTGCTGCCGTAGTTTGTACCCTAGAACACACTACAATTAAATCTTAAAAATGCAGCACACACAAATCAATTACCTGTGCCAGATAGTGAAAGTTTTGATAACTCAAATAAGCGCATGATGACAAGGCGCTCCAGATCGTCAAGCGCCGAACGATACTTCAGGAGTGAGGCTTCTTCTCGAAATTTATTGTAATGTTCGCTTCCGATCTCCCACCGTTTGTCAATACCGAGCTGAGTCTCCAAATGAGCTGCTAAACCTTCCGTGTTCTGGAGCTTGGAGTATGCCGTATCCACTCGGACCCGAGCTTGGTTGAGAGCAACATGCATATCATTCAAGCTGCCAGTGTGAATTTCAATGAGCAAGCGATTTGCTGCTTCTCGAGCTAAGTCCCATTCTCGTCTTATTTTAACCGTGAATTAACATACAATGAGTGAAAATCAACAAGACTCACTGGCACTCGGTAAGTTCATCAAGTACACCAATGTAGCGGATACTGAGATGATCCTTCACCGGTGTCTGTTTTAGCTCATCGAGATATTTGCGCTCTTGTGCATGAAAACGAGTGAAGTCAGTGTCAGTGAGGTTAAGAGCATCTTTAATGGCAGAGAGTTCTGCTGTTAGAGTCCGAATATCTGCCAAGGCCTCTTGATAGTGATTCCGTAGAAAGATACCTGGCAGGGGAATCACGTTAAATAATTTGAGTAGATATCCGTAAACATAAAACTTACTCAGGGCCGCATATTTATCATCATCCCAAAATGCGAAATGCTGCTCGATTGATTGATGTCGATGAAAGGGGTTAGCATGCCGAGTGCTTCGTGCGAGCTCGTTTGATGAGGAAAATACATGTTCGCATCCCTCACCCTCTGTATGTCCAGTGCCTTCAATATACATAGGATGCCAGTCTAACTGGCATCGTCGATTATGGGCGTGGCCATGGAATGCTCCTACCATCATCCGCAAGTTGAGGGAACTAGCACGTTGTCCTAACGTACTATTTGCCAGTGTCTTGGCAAACGCGCAGCCGATGTCGTATGCGCAGGCACCATTTTGCCCATAAACTGTTAGCAGGCGCTCAATGATGGCCAAAGGATATTTAGCGCTAGACTTGTAAGTTAGGATAGGTTAGATGAAGAATTTTAGATGTCGTACAGTTCACCGCTTTTGACCATATCGCAAGCGAGAAGGACAAACCGATGGCGGCATGCAGCAATAAAGATCCCAGATTCATCGAATATGGCAAACATCCGTTTACGTTGTTCTGGACCGGCATTTCGCCACCGGTCAACACAAGTGAATGGAGGTGAGGATTCATTTGGAGGCACGATGTCTTGCCAATCATCATTATTTGTCGCCGTATTCTATTTATTGTTGAGCTCAGTGTCATAGACGAAGATGAACAGTGAAGACTTACTAGTCGTCCCCTCACATCATCCTTGAAACCATCAACAATTGTACGGTCAAGCCAATAGTCGGTGCGGAACTTGCGCAAATCACCTCGTGTGGTGCTGCCATCTATCGACAATGACCATCGTTTTAAGCTATTATTACCGTCGATCGTCACTAGCCACTCAAAGGTGAGATTGTCCTCATCCTCTAATTTGTAGAAACAGCAAGGGCAGGAGTTGAGAAGGCGCCAGTTAGGTGTATTGCAGTCAAGTGCTTCATTGATAAGGGAGTCGACACGATGTATGATTTCGAGGTACACGTCGTAAGCGTCTGAAAACTGCGTGTTGAGATATGATCTATACGGAATCTGAAAGATTTTGTAATCAATTAGTACATAACAGCAACAGAACAAATAGTATAACGTACATTGTGAAGATGGCATAAAGCCTTACATTGAGCTTGAATACTGAATCGGGGACAAGTGCGATGAGACTGTCGATATGTAGCAAGGGTGCGGATGGAGACAGCGACAGTTGGGTATAGCGGAGAGCAGCCCAAGTAACCATGATATATAAGGGTTTCATTTGGATATGTGTGGGATGGTAGAGGTCGTAGAGACATGCACTTTCGACCTGGACAATGTTAATTATAAAGCCCAGAAAAATGCCAGGCACTTACTAAAGACGTCAATCAAGTCAATATTCTTGAGAGATAGTGAATCATCGTCGAGTGTGGGTTCCTCCAAGGGATTATGTGGCATACCGTCACCGCGATCTCGCGCGCGATAGGTCAAATAAACCTCCACTAGACGGTTAATCTGAATGTCCCAATTTGCATTTTGGATTTGAATGCGATCAGTACGAGTTTGCGGGTCTACATAGCGGCTGAAAATATATGAGCATCACATCAGTAGGTACAAGTAAGACACTGTTGAAAGTTGAATACCATCCTGAGATATTGGCCATTTGTTGAGCCAAACTTTCAAATGCCTCGTACTCTCCACCTTTGTGACTGAGCTCTACTTCCTCATTGCCAGGCGGTGCACCATAAGGTATACTCTCCAGCTGCATGTCAACACTAGTCTCAGCAAACATGCTCTCAACAATGTCTTGATCATCGTTGGACATGTCTGCAAAAAATAAGAAGGATATATGATAGTCAGACAGAAGGCACGCACCTTGTATGTGCAATCGTCGCTTCGCATCAGTCTCCTCTTTTCTCTGCCCTTGTTTCCCAGCTGTCAGTACCCCAGACGTTCGAATTGAGCATTTGAATCCATGAGTAGTCGCGGCCTTGGAGAGTCCAGCAACTTTCCTCGAAGATCCACCAAACATGGGCCGTCTGCTGAAAACTGAGACTGAGGGTAAGGAGAGCGCTGGGCGCCAAGGTTGATGAGGGTGGGAGGACTGAAAGAAAGAGCCACGTAAGCTGATGAGGGCCACCTGCTGAGACTGAGCATGAGGAGAGCATAGGGCGCAGAGGTTGAGGTTGACGAGAGTAGGAGGGCCACAGGGAAAGAGTCGTGGAGGCTGGCGAGGGCCGCAGGAGATCTGTACAATGGCCAGAATAGGCTGATGGCCATAGGAGGGCCGTTGTATGGTAGTGATAGCGGTAGAGGGCACTGGCAATGATGATGAACACTGGTAAGGGGCGTGAGAACTGCACTTCAGAGAAACAGGTACGTTTACCGAAAGCATAGAGGGCATGGGAGCACAACATCGGGCGGGATATGGCATTACCAAGCTTCTGCTAGAGAAATACCTTAAGGTCTGGGGGGATTTGGGACAGCATTTAACACTGGTGTTGGATATTATCGTAACTAAGTGTAATAATACTTGGTGATATGCGTAATCACCCAGTATAGTAAAGCTTACCTATTGGGAAGGTCAGGTGGTGAATTGATGAGTGTTAAGAACGTGCTCAAGGGTCGGATCTGAAGGGCTTGGCTTCAGCTCGTGCGCTGCGCCCCTTACCCGAGTATGTGCCCCTAACTTCCGAGGGTTGTCGAACGATGTCCGAAGGTTACCGGACGATGTCCGGAGGGCGTCGGGCAATGTCCGGAGTCCGATGTCCGATGCGCGGGAATTCCGGCGGACGTTCGGAAACAAGAGATAAGACTAATCCGGACGAAGTCCGAACTAGAAAGGAAACAGCGGAGGACTACCAGAGGTAGAGGCGGAGGTGACAAGTCTATAGGAGTCGATCCTAAGATGAGCGGAGGTCGACGAGAGAGAAACTCAAGTCAGACGGAGGAGAGAATGAGCAGAGTCTAAGATGATATTCGAACTAAGGATGTACATAGATTCTACAGGGTTTATATACTACTGAGGACTTATCGGAGAACAGAGATGCGCAGTCTGAAGCTATACAAAGCTGTGGACGGAGCATATAGAAAAGTCAAACGCTAGTCTATCGGAAAATAGTAAATGAACCCGGAGATTAGAACAGATGAAAATAAAGGCGGAAATGAAATGAGGTACGGAAAATGATATAGTCTAACTGGAGTAGGAACGTACAAAGGGATAAGGCACAGAAGTTAGACGTGGGTCGGATCCAGACATAGATAGACGTCGGCCAGATCCGGACTTCCGGAAATGATGTGTGTGATAGGTCCGGGTCCGGAACGCGGGATATGACAATGAGTCTGTGATATTGTACCCGTGGTAACTATAGAAGGATATAATTCTGCTCCTAGTAAATATGGCAATATATACTGTGATAAACTCTTGACATGAAGTAAGTATTGTGTAGCTCAGAGAATGGATCCACTCTTGGGATACCCCTCGCAAAGAAGACTTGATGCAAAACTTCATGTCAGCGGAAGTATCAAAAGAATTGGATGACATTCTACTACCACATATTGCTTCGCTTCAGAAGCTCCTTGACAGTCCAGACTTGAACCAATATGGTGCGGAGGCATACCCGTGATAGACTACTAGTGCTGCCACGGTCCGGTTCTCTGCGGTTCAGTCCATGGTTCTCGCGCCAGCCAGAACCAGACCGGAAAACAGTTCTCGGTTCTAGATCTTCCCAAACAGTCCAGTTCTGGTTCGACCTTCCCGAACCATTCCGAACCCCGAACCCATTGTCAACTTCAACTTCAACTTCAACTTCAACTTCAACTTCAACTTCAACTATGACGACGTCGGTCTCTATGTCGACGTCAAAGTGTCATCTTCTGGATTTGCACTATTGGTTAATTAGGCTACCTTTAGCCTTTTTGAAGGTTAGTACTAATCAATCGCCATTGTCACCGCTTGCTATCAATTGCCCATCTCGTGATACCGCCAATCTCCACACCCGATTGCGATGCCCTTCCATCTTCTTCAACACAACACCTGTCTTCAAGTCCCATAGACGAAGTGTCTTGTCGTCCGAGCCCGTAACCATCCGACGTTTACCAGGGAAAACTGTGACTATAGTTATGTGTTCTTCATGGCCTTTGAACCATCGCAGGGGAGTGGTGATTGTAATGAGCTCCGACATTTTACTGGATGTTGATGGTATGGAATATGGATGAGGCTCAACTTTGGAGGGATTATGTCTTTCTCTAAGCTGCAGAGGGTGTATGGTGCGTTTTATGGTGCTTCACAGCTGGCCTCATTTCAATAGACGCCCAGGACAAGATTCTAAGGCTGTTCGTGCCTACGCCTCCATTATCGTAATGCACCCACCCTATTGCCATACCCGCTGTCCTCGACAGTATGCACATCTGCAGTGCATACATGCGTCCGACTCTTGTCTTTGCAGCTTTCAGAATGTATCTCATCACACCAAGCCGAGCAGTCCGTGCTTTCTAGCGCTCGAATCTGACTGTCTATCCTGCATGAATACCGTTGTTTTTTGTATCTAGCAGCTACTCCAGCTTATCACCACGTTACTCCTTTGAATGCATGTATATAGCTTACTGCAATATCACTTCTCCATCCAATAGATTCCCAGATCCTTGTGTGCACAAAATGCAACCAAATTCCGTGGCACAGCCTCGGAATCTCCTCACCATCGCCACACTGCTAATGGCTGCATCTCACTGTGATGCCCTCCATATCCCTAAAGCATGCAAATCCTCACTACAGAGGTTGGAAGAACTATACCGTGCAGCAGGCTCACCACTGAAAATTTTCGGGTTCGGTTCGAGTTCGGACCGCAAAAAAACCGAACCGGACCACAGAGAACGGTTCTCTGTGGTCTGGTTCGGGGTCCGAAGATTTTGCCGAACCGGACCATGGACCGGTTCTCGGTTCTCATCCAGGACCCTCTGAACCGGACCGAACTGGACCACGGCAGCACTATAGACTACATCTTGTGATCGAAGAAGAAGCCAGATGGTGTGGGTGCATACAGCATACCATTTTGTGGTGACATCTCATCTCACAAGTATGCCAAAATTGCACATTGGTTCTCGGAGAATATTCCTGGTGTTTCCAGTCAAGTCGAAAAATGGCTTGGTGATATGCCTTTGGTGCATGCTTTCACTCTCGTGGTTGCTCATTGAAAGGCCAGTGATTTCGAAAAACGCATTGAAGCTCAAAATGAAGAATGGAACGATAGCATGCTGTTGAAGATGGCTTGGGCTGATCTCATGATAAGCTATCCTACCAATAGCTTCATGGGTGACGTCGACCTCGAGTGTCTGACCGCACTAGAAGCAAGGATGTTCAAGGATTCCGAAGAAGCAGGACCTGCAGGCAACCAGCAGTGGGGTTTGGATGCTGGCCAACATCACAGGCAATGGAATGTGTATCTCGGAATTCCTGATAAATGGGTTTCTGCAAGAGATTATAGCGAGAGTGAACTTGAAGTGAGGAAGACATTACCTGCTCTGTTCGATAGATATCTAACTTATGTGATTGACAACGCGGCCCCTTATTCAGTGATAACTCTGATGCTACATCTTTGGAGTCTGCAGACGAGCTATCCGAAACTGTAGTTCCTTCTCTGCCGGCCGAAGAATGTCTGCCCATTAAACGTCGACATCAGCAAACTAGTGGGCCCTTGTACAAGTTTGTACAAGCCTCACAAGCCCACAGCTAAGTCCCTGCTGTACAGGCTTGCACAAACTGTACAAGGTCACCTTGTACTCTTTGTAAAGCTTGTGGGCTTGTGGATTTTCAACCACAAAGGCCAAAAGAAGGGTCACCAGACTGTGTTACAGGTCACACAACATGTCACATCAGGTGATATTATTCACACATTATAATTTGCATTTCATAGGAATTGAACCCAAGACCTCAGCAATTACAAGTCACTGCAGAAACGAGAAAATAGTTGGACCCTAATCAGAGGGAGACAGCGCGTATAATACGACTCTAAACATACCTAGCTTATAATCAGACAAAAATCCGACATGTCACAAATTTTGTTCGCTCGGTCTGAAGCAACATGAGTAAACAAACACTTTTCCAACTTCGTTAACACATCTTTTCCGACCTCCGTTTATTCTCTTCAAATACATGCTATTCCACCACAAACCAGCCCCGGAAATCTAACCTTTCGACGTCTGTTTAAGTTGTACTTAAAGCAAAGTAGGTTTTTCAAAAATTTCTCTAAGTCCCATGTTACAGCTTGTACTTACTACTTGCGCTATGGCAGCCTGCGATGCAATTAAGCTCGAGCTGCCCGTGAATGTGAAAACATTTAAATTCACTTTCGAGTGCAGAACACCAGGACCCGTAGTAAGTACCTTGCGCAAATAAACTGATGCCAACTAATTTTCTTTGCAGACCATTGAAATATCTATCCGAAAGCCTCTCCAGATGCTAAGCCCACAAGCAGGTACTGTCAAGGGTCCTGACATCAGTGGCATACATCTTCATTTGCATTACTGAATAGCACATCTTTTAGAAACATACTAGTGCTCAAGCGCTCGTTAGTACTGGGCCACTAGTTGACGATAGCGAAACAGAACCAGAGTCAGAACCAGAGACTAAAGATGAGCCTGCCACACCAGCAGAATTTTATCGCTGGTACAACACGGTATGTAATAGATTATTTTCTATGTACTCTCCACTATTTGCTGACTTTGGCCTCAGAAAAAAAAAGAAAATCCCGCATTTGATGAATACTAGTAGCATAAGATAGACTTTTAGTTGTAAAGTAGGAGCGCGGTTTCTGTCATGAGACATCTGCGATGCATTCACATGACCCCACTATATTGCAATGCGCGCAAGTTTCTGACTAGGTTGTCGCCAACATGCCTACTGTCCGCTGCTGCTGCAAAACAAACAACTGTCATGGAGCTCTCGTCCCAGCACACACCACTTGTGCACATGAGCGTGCAGATCTACGCAACCGAACTACTTCTGAACAGGGTAACTTCAAGCGTGTCAGTGAACGCATCATCCTAGGTGCTCATGAAGATGCTGGACCCGTTCTGCGAGGGTTTGCAGTTCTGTTACACGAAACTCCAGCTTCAATATCTCCAAACATTGAGTTTTACGACTTCCCTCCGGATTTGGATGATACGCTGCTGGACACTGGGTTTCTTGAGCCTGAGGACCTTGGCTCTGTGAAACCAGGGGATCCATTGCCCTATCTTGGCTGCAACATTCGGAGTCCTGAGACCTTGCTTGCTGCCGTTGACCATTTCGACAGATACAATGCGGCTACAGCTGCTGGCTCACGTCCTTTGACTCCCCATGATGCCCACAATCTCCCACCAGATCAAGAAGAGCATGAACTCCAATACCAGCTCCAGCAGGCCATAAAACACACTGAAGAAAATCCAGATCTTGATCAGGACCTTGATCCTGATGCAAATCCTCTTGAAGACATTGACGAGTACCAGGACATACTAGGCGAAGCTCAACCTGCTGAAGATGATCCCGATCCTTTCTTTATTTCAGATGGACTTTGTGCAGAAGACACAACCGATATCATGCATCTCCCAGGTCACCTTGTCTCAATATACACAGTCGTGTCATGGCTGCACCTACAGTTCCACCTCCCAAAAGTTGCATGCAATGCACTGCTGGCCATCTTCGCATGTATTCTACTCACCCTTTCACCCAATATCGAACCTCCATTTGTCACCCTGCAATCCAGCAATCGCGTACTCGGCATCAACAAACCTATATATACTCTCCCCATTTGTCTATCATGTCATAACGTGTTTCCACCTGCATGCTCCCCGCATTCTCATGATCAATGTACCTTGTGCAATGAGGACCTCTTCCTACCTGACGAGACTGCATGCGGCAACCAGCGCTCCCTCAAGTCACCACTCGTCAAATACCCTTACCTCCCGCTCTCAGATCAGATCAAGTCACTACTCAAAGTTCCGGGCCTCGAATCTCTCCTTGATGGCTGGCGTTCTAAGCCATGAGCTCCAAATCAGTACATTGATATATTTGACGGCGGTGTATGCAAGACTAAACTGAAGGCACCGGATGGTAAACTTTTTTTTTCAAACCTTCCCCATGAAAAAGCTGGTCCAGATGGAGAACTACGTATCGGTGTGAATCTTGGTGTCGACTGGTGAGCTTTCAACATGTTCCTTGTTTTGGTTTGCGCTGACTTTCAATCAATAAGGTTCTCATATATACGAAGTAATATAGCGCCATCACATTCATCGTGTCCGACTTCCTTTTCCATCTGCAACCTTCCACCAGAATATTGGTGAGTTCTCAGCAGGACGATTTGATTGTACAACACCATCTAACATGTCTATAGGTATCGCACATCTAATTTGATGTGCACCAGTATTCTCCCTGGCCCCAAGGAACAGAATCCAGACCAAATCCAATGGTTTCTCAGCCCAATCGTTTCAGACCTCCTTCGATTATGGAAAGACGGCATCAAAGTACCTACTGAATCATGTCCTCAAGGTATGTCCCCCCACTTGCAAATGTTTCATTCACCTCTCATTCACCAACTTTGTATCTTCATCATAGGACGACTTGTTCGTGTCATTTTGGTGGCCGTCGTCTGTGATAAGCCTGCTGTGCATAAGATTGGGGGCTTTGCTTCACATTCACATACTCACTTCTGTACAGCGTGCTGGATCAACATTGCCAACAAAGACAAACCATCAGCCTTTACTGACAGAGGTAAGTAACTCTCTTGTATTGATTCTATGCTAAATCAGTGACCTGCCCAGCGTTTAAAGCTCGGACAAACGAAGAGCATCGTGAACTGGGAGAACGATATCGTAATCTCACTACCGCTAATGCTCGCAAGAATTTCGTCAAGGAATTTGCGACCAGATACACGCAACTATCTAGACTTCCCTACTTCAACATCATTGAACAGGTAATTATTGACCCTATGCATAATTTGTTTCTCGGTAAGCACATTCTCATTGCACATTACATTTGTTTGATGCATGATCAGGCCTCGTAAAGACCCACTTCTACAATATCTGGGTCCAAAGTAAGATACTTCGACCTACACATGAACTCCAGACACTGCATGAGATGCTTGCCGATGTACGTGTTTTCAGTATCTCTGCCTATGGTCCTACTAACTAGTACGGTCATATTAAGTTCATTGTTCCTGGATCATGTGGCCGACTGCCCACAGATATAGGGATGCCATCAGGAGGTTCTTTCACTGCGGATCAATGGCTCCTTCTTGCAACCGCTTACGGTCCAATAATTGTAAGTTTATCTATACTGTTTATCTATGTGCCAGCGCAGTAGCTGAAATACTTCATAGATACCTCAGTTGTGGTCTACCTGTCTACCATCTGACGGTGATGACCAAATTCTGTATCAGTGAGTCGCTATGATACAGAAATTGGAGAACAAAAAGGAAGCAGATGCTACTCGCAAACTTGACGACAGGAACGCACTTGCAGAGGCCAAAAAACGTGGTAAGGAAGCTTTCGAAGCCGAGAAAGCTCGCATAGCCAGGGACAAGGTTGCTGCAGCTGAGGCCAAAACCCAGGAGAAGCTTCGACTCACAGCTATCAAACAGGCTGAGAAGGTGCGACTTGCTGCCGAGAAAAAGGCCAAGGCTGTTCAGAGAAAGGTATGAGTTCAATGTGTATCTGATTTGTCGCTGATTATTCGAAGGGCAAACGGAAAGCCACTGAGCAAAATGTCGAAGGTCTGCCTGAAGGTCAGCCCTGATCCCAGCCACCACCAACATCAAATGCAACAGCTCAGTTTCTCGACCAAGAGCCGGACGATGGAGATTCTGAACCCACTAACATCAAATTCTCCCTTCACCCCGACGATCCTGCAAACTTCTTGAAGTTGTCTGCTGCACTCCGAATATTAATCAAACATCAAATCTGCGATCGTGAACTTGACCATGCAGACCGCCTCCTTCGTGAATATTGTTCGGAGCTTATCAACATAAGTCTCTCTACCTTTACCAAAGTCTCCACTAATGTCTCTTATTTCAAAGTTATATGGCTCTGCAGTGATTAAACCTAATCACCACTACGCTACACATGTTGTTGAATGCACTTGCAATTTTGGCCCTCTTCATGATTTTTGGACTTTCCTTTTCGAACGGCTGAATAAAGTCCTGAAATCATTCAAGACCAATAACCATGCAAATGGTGAGCTGGAGACAACATTCTTCACCGAGTTTCAGAGGACATGTCACATAGGACAGATGGTAATGGTCTCTTTTGTTATACTTTTGCAACTTACTACAATATTTCATACTTTCAGACTTTTTCTTTACTCAATCACAGCAAGACATCACTTCCATGCATGGTTGCAGAAATCATGCTGAAAGCCTCAAATGAAGAACGAGGTACGGTTGCTGGCTTGACTGCGCTATCCAAAGACCTTGATGATGTAAACACTGATGGTGAGTCTTGCTTTCCTCGTGTATAGTGCAGAAATTAATATTATAAACAATCAGCTGGTCAATCCTATGCCTTGAGTCCCCGCCATCAGAAGACATTGATGACAACAGATACTTATCGACTCCTTGCTCAAACACTTTGCTTCCGCTATCCTCTGGCACCAGTTCACTGCCTCTGTGATCACCCTGTTGTCCCTCACAGCCTCCCGCTTGATCACACTGCTATTTTTTTCGACTATGTGGTCATCAAGGGGAAGCGCTACTATGCCTCTCGTACTGTCGGATCAAACCGCTCTTCCTTTGTTCATGTCATTATCCCCGCTGACAATCCTATTCATCTACATGGCGAGGTCTTGGAAATTTTCCAGGTTGATCAGTCTTGGCGTGAACATGTGCAATCACTTTGGTTTGCGCGCATGCATTGGTTCAAACCATGGCAGGGTGATGCAGGAATGGTATGGAATAAGTTGTGAGTGTACCATTTGACATCTATTTATTTATGAGTTAAAAAACGCTATCTTCAGTGCCGAGTCCGTGAGTGTGCAGCTGTGGACACTTGGAGAGTACCTGGAAGATGAAGTTCAGTTGCCGCGTCTCATTGATCCTGACTGGATTAATGGTCAGTTAGCAATGACTACTGTGTCCGTCAGTGTTGAAAAGACAAAGGTATGGGCAACTATCAATCTTGCCAAGGTACGTCAAAGGCTTCTTGAACAAGATAAATTGACCGGGTAATGCATTATACACAGTAAAACGACTTGAATGTGACCAAAATCATCTTGTAGCTCAAACCGCCATCTCATCAGCATCCATCTCTTCGTTGTGCCACTTCTGAAGTTCTCCCAAGTACTCCTCATCTTCTTTTATCAATACACCCTGGCCTATGTTCTTGTAAAAGCCCGTCAGCCATTCAGTACCATCAAGAAATGTATCATCGGCGTGATCACGAGCCCAGACTGCAGATACCATAGATTTGAATGGTACATTTTTCTTATGTGACTTTGGCTTGTTGTCATTCATCTTTGCTGGCGCTAAGTCAAAGACTTTCTTGCGATGCTTCTGCGCATTTGTTCTGCGACACTTGTTAGCTGGCGGCCGAGTGGTGTCATCTGCTGCGTCCGTATCAGGCTCGTTGTGCTCCTCGTTCTTCTGCATATTGCGCAAAGACAACCAGCGGAGGAAGGCAACATACTGTATATTTAGATGAGCACGTGTTTTTATTTGCAGATACACCATGACGCTGACTTACATCAACAGATCGCCATTTTGAACCTTCTACATAAAATGCCAGTTTCGCAAGCTTCGCTCTCTCCCACTTGGATAGTGTGTCTGCAGAAAGATCCCCCTCAGAATCATAGGAAAGGATGTCAGAAGCAAAGTCAGTATCTATCATCGCAACGGCTCCTTTGTTCCCTGATTGAGTCTCGTAGATCAACGCAGCTTGATGGCGTGATTTTGTGACCTAACATCATGTAAGTGACTGACATCTGATCATTAAATGAGAGACTCACTGCTTGACGACGTGAACGCTGTCGCAATCTATCTTTGCGTTCCAGAGCTTTGGCTGCCTTATCATCGTTGACCTGGTCGCTTGCTTGCTTATGAATGTTTCGAAAGTACGTTTTCATGCACTCGGTGATGATAGTGAGGTCATAGTCTTTATTAGCGATCTCATGCTTGGTGTTAGGATTCTTGTGGCGCGCCTAAACAGTGATGTGAGTCTCATTGATATCAATCAAATTGAATATTTTATACCTTCTCATTTTCCCATACCAGGTTGACGATCTCCTTGATGTACAGTGCATTGACATCATCATCAACGTTACCAAGCCAGTTCGGGTGCCAAACTATCTTGGTAGATACTGCCTCGTGAGGTTCCCCATTACCCAAAGGTTTGACAGCTCCCAACAGCTTTATGCGCTTTGATTTGCTGAGGCACGGATCAATATCACAAAGTTCGAAAAAGTAAGGGTGGATTATTGGCTGTACATGCATAGTAAGTCTATTGATCGTCATGTAGTCTGGTTGATGAGCTTACTTTCAAGGCTGCATGTGAATTCGATATGTTTCTGTTGCCAACTTTTTTCCTGTTGCTGTTGGTCTTCAAGATCTCCTCGACGGCTTCTTCATTTACCTGAATGCGCGCCTTGAGTGAGTCGTTCGATTGCTGAAGCTCATTTTTGGAAAACAGCAGGTTCTGAGTGACATCCTTCAGGTTTTGCACTTCAGATACAAGACAAGCTACAGTTGAATTCAAGGACGAGTGATCTACGGGGGTATCAAGATTGTTATGAGGTGTGCCACTATGATGTCCCATTTGACGCTGATGCATTGAATAGAATGGTTGGTTGCCATAGTTCTGGGGCTGAGTATAGCCATCCAATGGAGTCCCGTGCTGTGTCACTGGACCCATGGACTGTCCTTGAGATGACGGCTGGCTTCCAGTGAATGGTATTGGAGTCTGACCTAGGTGCGATGTTCCTCCCTAAAACGACAAATTAGAGCTGGTACCAATATTTCTCGTAGCCAGAAGACATACAGCCTGCAGAGTCACTGCAGCTCGGTAGGGATACAGTGGAGCATCCTGCAGGTGCTGCTGAAAGGATCCAGGTGCAGGCTACATGATTACAAGTGAGTTTTTATCGAGTTGTGTTACTATTGGACTAATTATGGTTTGTGTAACAGGTCCATCCTGTTGTCCCCCCATCCCAGCACTAAAAAATTTGTCATGCTGGGGCAAGCCATGGTTCGGAAGGCTGAGGGAGGAATCTCCAGGATTGAACTGGTTACTGTAAGGCTCCGGCTCAGTTCCATGGTGTATCACTGGATTAAACTGGTTTTGCAGGTCATTGGGAGCCCTACTAGGCTGTCGCTGTCCATGTCCAGGATACATGGCGTTACTAGTGGGCAGCATCGAGCTGTGGGGAGGAAGCAAGAGAAAATCCGGAGCTGCATGGAGGATCCTAGGAAGCACGGGTAGTGCATGTACAACATATGTATAATCAGATAATAATCAGACTTGTTTCCTATTCTATTCAGAAGTAAACTCGACATGCAAATCCCTAAATTCCGATGTCGGATTAGACTATTGCGCACCTATGGAGAGCCCGTAAATCCTTTGTTTCCGGTGTCCAGTTTGTGTGCCACAAATGTACCTTTCCTGATTCTAACTCTTGGCGAAACATCTATTTTCTTACATCATGTTACTGTCCTGTTATAGGTTCTATTCCTTGTCTAATCTGGCCCGACTATTTTCTCGTCTCCGCTGTAGAAACAACAATACTGAGAGGAACAAATGATGCTCCTGACTGTATCTATAAATGTTGTGAGGTCGCGCGTTGCCTAGTCTGCTATACTTGAGACGACAAGTGCATTCAACCCTAAAGGGGAAGCGAGTGCAGCAAGGATCTAGAAGTAGGTGCTGCTGGTTGGCTGATGCGAAGCGCGGGAAAGCGCAGGTGCGCACAAGGCGCGGGAAGCGAAGGCACAGGAAGCGAAGGCGCGTGCAAGGCGCAGGAAAGCAAAGGTGCACACAAGGCGTGGGAAGCGCGCACGCGCGTGAGCGGAAATGAGAGAGTAAGATTGAGTTTGCTTAAGTGGTGATATGATGCAAGACCAGAGATGTGAGTGCAAGGTGCCAAGGAATAGATTGCAACTATATTCTGCTAGGTAGTAAGTGGGAAAGTGGGAGGTCCAGTGGAAAGTGAGTTCGGTATGTAATACTGGCGCTTATATGGCGCCTAAGCGCTGTCATGCGGAGCTGAATCGCTACCGAGTAAGGTATGCAAAGATATATGTATGTATGTAAGGGTCCATGATAAAAATAAAGGTGGAACGATACACAGATAAGAGAAATGGAAACATACGCACTAGAGAACTTGGTGGACAGTGGATGGATGCATCTGGATGGCTGGCGCTATAGGGCGCTCAAGCGCGGGAAAGCGCACGCACATATACATCGTGAAGCGCGGGAAGTGTGCGCGCATGTTGCGCATTGCACGGGAAAGCTGCGCCTCATATAGGAATAGTTGCAGAGTGATGCTACAAGTTCATGCCATGTGCTCCCTAGTGACAACTGCCATATCACACAATGAGAGGCACAAGTCTCTACATCGGAAGGCTCTGCACATATCCAACAAAAGTTGAGTCAGATCAAAAACCGAGAGCAGCACAATGTACATTCTGGATAAACTCTGTCAACCCCCTCCCAACATGCTCATTAAGAGCAGCCCGAACTTCTGTCCTCATGATATGCTCCAGCGCGACTAGTCACTGAACTGAGCTACTAGCGTGACAAAGTCGAACAGCACGCAAAAAAATTGAACAAGTTATATGTCAGGCTAGTGAGCAGCTGTGAGCTACTACACTTGAGAAATGCTGCCTGGGTTGGCTGTGATGTTTTGTTATATTGATTGTGGTGCCGCCACTACTAGCAAGAACTTTCCAAAGCTGGACATGAAAACAGGGTGGGAAAGGGCAGGCAGAGTTGAGGCGGAGTGTGAATCAATGATGAACATGATGACAGACATCATGTGATTATTTGACTAAGCAGATAATGCCATGGTTCTCAGCTAAAACCAGTTGGCCATGGAAGTTGTGTGGCTATGCAGAGACAAGTGAAGATCTAGAGATCTAGATCCCTGATTTTCCAAACCAAAGTACCCAAAACCCAAAACAGACTGTGATCAGGCACATGCTAACAATAGCCCACCTGAATGTGCAGGGCATACAGTGATACTATATCATCTGTGTTGAATGATATATCATTGCCCTGTGTGTTGGTTCAAAGGCAGGGATATATCACACATTTACTCCAATCAAAGTAAAATGATATATTACATTGACAACATGGCCTGAGACTGCTCCTCCCAGACCACATGGTGTAAAGAGTTGATTCTGTGTAGGCACTACAAATAGTGTTACGTTAGAACTCAATGTGCGAGTGTAATGCTTGTCCCAAAGAGACTGCCTATAGAACTATCTCTTGATATAAAATGCAAGGAATATCTTGTTTAAGATCGAAGATGAGAAAAGGAAAGGTTACCCAAAGTGCGTTCTGAGTTCCGAAGATGAGTCCGAAGTACTGAAGTACTTGTCCGATGTGAGCGAGGGTGGTCTGAAGTCAAAAAACAAAGGTCCAAGGTTGCATGAAGCATCTAAAGAGCTTCCAATGAACAGTGAAGGTTCTGAGAGAAATACGGCAGGTGTGTCGATGTGTGTCAAAGTATAAGACTTGCAGAAGTACCATGGTATGACTAAACAAAGCCTATAAGAAGAACTAAGAGACAGCGAGATGCGAAATGGCAGTGGTCAGGCCAAACAATCATTCCAAATGAACAATGATCAATTGCGCGAAGTACGACTATCCAAAGTGACTCTACAAACTATGACTTGTAGCAAGGAAAGTGAAGTGAAGTGCGAGTAGTTAGCGAGCCAGATTATATCCTACAGTGTGAAGGTCCAGAAACTGCATAGGCAAGAACAGTAGTGAGATAAGCTATCTGAAATGTAATAAGACTCGAGGCGAGCCGCTACAAGATATACATGTAATAACGTTGTAGAGACTCATGCCTCTCATCGTGTGATATGGCAGTTTTCACTAGGGAGTACACAGCACGAACTTGCAGCATCACTCTGTATGCTATCCGCAGCTATTCCCTTATGAGGTGCAGCTTTCCCGCGCAAGGCGCAGCATGCGCGCATGACTTCCCGCGCTTTACTATGTATACGCGCGCGCGCTTTCCCGCGCTTGAGCGCCCTATAGCGCCAGCCATCCAGATGCATCCATCCACTGTCCACCAAGTTCTCTAGTGCGTATGTTTCCATTTCTCTTATCTGTGTATCGTTCCACCTTTATTTTTATCATGGACCCTTACTTACATACATATATCTTTGCATACCTTACTCGGTAGCGATTCAGCTCCGCATGACAGCGCTTAGGCGCCGTATATAAGCACCAGCAGTACATAATATTACTCAACAAACTTCACCTCCCACTTACCCACTTACTACCTAGCAGAGTATAGTTGCAATCTATTCCTTGGCACCTCACACTCACATCTCTTGTCTTGCATCATATCACCACTTAAGCAAACTCACACTTACTCTCACTTGTTTCCGCTCACGCGCGCGCGCGCTTCCCGTGCCTCGTGCATACCTTCGCTTTCCCACGCCTCGCGTGTACCTTCGCTTTCCCGCGCCTCGCGCACACCTGCGCGCTTTCTCGCGCTTCGCATTGGCCGACCAGTAGCGCCTTCTGTTGGACTACAAAGCCGAGACGTCCGAGACGAGAGAAGCCAAAGGATCCGAGATAAGGATGTCTGGCAGGCTATACTGTCATATTAATGCATAATCATGGCTGGTAAGAGACGCTATGGTTATGTATGGTTGACGCTTACCCTCGACCGTCGCTGCCTTTATGCATAACAGGTCCCATGATGCATAATGTTGTCGAGATCCTTGGGTGGCTCGTTTTGGTGGTTCTGATCATGGATCTAGCTTCTCGACCTGCAAATCTGGCCTTTTGGACCCTCATTCGGATGGAACCATCGGGCCTTCTCTCTTCTCCCATCTTCTGCTTCTTCTCGACCCAAATTTGTCCATCTGCTGGTTCATACCATCACGTGCCGTTTTACTTGCTAAATTTTTCTAAGTCCATCTGTCAGAAATTTTAACGTGCAAGATTTCGGTCTTGCAGCTTCATTGGCACGTTCAATCCGGGTGTCCCACTTTGTATAAGGATTAATCGTGATTCATTAAGATTGTTTCAATAGATACATGATGGTGCAATGACGAGTAATACTACTACTAGGTAAGATAGATATCAATAATGTACTTTGTAGAACTCGGCCAATCTACTTCAATCTCCTGCTTGAACACATGTTAGGCGAGCAAACGCAGAAAAAGAGACTCGCACTTCTTTGGTGGCCCGCTGGCAATGACAGGTCCAGCAGCCCTCGCTCGCTTCATATGATTTTGGCCAATGTTGTTGGCCTGTGTGAGTCGTGTTGTTTCCGTGCGAACGCGCCCGGTCTTTCTGATTGCTGGGGGAACATCAGCGGCTGCATCAACTGTTGCCGCAACACGGGCAACACATCTACTCTTCTTGCCCACTGGAGGAACCACCACGTCAGCAGTGACAATTGCCGGAGCAATATCTGAATGGTCACTGTAATTTTCGGTGGTCAGCTCTCCATCAACCAGTGACTCGGCATCTGCCAAATGAGAGTCAGTGGTTGGTGTCGTGTGCTGTAGGATATTGCGGGTTTCAACCGTCACTGCTGTATTGGCTGGAGATTCCGCGCCAAATTGGTCAGTCGTAGGATGTGGGACTTCTAAAGAAGAGCCGGCTGGAACGGAAAGCAGTGGGAAGTTAAATTTTGGAGAGGCGATGAAAGGCGGCAAAGAGTAGTTCTGTCCATAATGTGCATCTTGATTCCACGATAACATTGGCGATGATGGTGAGCTGAGATAATCATCAAGACGCGAGGATGGCATCAAGTCAGATGGATAGGATCCAGAGCTGGTTGAAGTTGAGGCGACTCTGTCTTCGCACATGTCGAAGGCTGGCAAGTGGACGTAATTGCTACCTCCAGACGAACTAGAGAAGCTCGATAACCCCATGTAATCGCTACTTCCACATGAACCGTCGAAGTCGTCCGTAGTGTTGAAAGATAGTAGCGTGTCTGGCAGTAAGGCATCTGGGATAGATGTAGATGCCGGCTGTAACACTGCATTGTTGACAGAGAGACGACCAGGGTGAACGGGAGCTGGAGGTGATGGGAGCTGGATTCCTGGCTGAGCCAGTTGTTCGGCTGCAAGCGGCACTGTATCTTCTTGAGAGGGTGTTGGGGGGACATAGCTGAGTGCACGTGTCTTCCTTGTGGATTCCACTTTGTTACTAATCAGCGTGCATCATTTATGGATGAGGGAAGTGCGCCTTACGAAAAAGATGCGAGACGAAGGCAGCAAATGGTTTAAGGTGTCGTTCATTTAAATCAGGAGTCGCTTGCATCCAGTTCTGACCGTGTTCATTGACTCCAGTATGGAAACTTGGAAAAAAGGGAAAGTCAGTATCTAACACGGCCGTACAATCCATGCCACAACTCACCTGGTGACATTGATGTCGCCGTTATAGCGAGGGTCAGGTCCTGCACCCATAATCGACCAATGGAATCCCGTCATCTCGTGGATTGCCTGCAGAAAATGTGCGATGGGACCCGTACACTCCTCAAGGGCCCTAAGTTATGATAAGTCAAATTTACACTAGCTATCAAATATTAACAATCACTTACTTTGCTAGCTCTGTGTTTGTCCTTTCTTCTGGTGCACACTTCAGCCTAAGCGCAGCGTTTGCCTTCACATCATGTTCTGCTTGCACTGCAGCAAGGCAAGACGCTTGGACCTCAGGGCTGGCAGCTGTGTAAGCTTCTAGAGCCAATTTTCTCGCGGTATTAAGTTTCTCCCCTTTGGTCGTGACACTGCCGGTATCAATTGCATTTCGCAGCTTCTTCTGAACTTCGGCACCATGGTTTGATAGAAATATCTCCGCAGGTGTGTGGACTCGGGTTCCCTTTGCCTTGTTTCCAAACATCTTGTGTATAGATTTCGTCATTGCATTAACTGATGCACGGCCACTCCTTTGCGATCGGTAGTTGAACCACATCCTGAGTTGCTACACGGTGAGTTGTTAGCATGTGTGAATTCTGGTCCCAAATTACGCCTACCTGATGTCTTTTTTTGACAGCTACTCCTAACGGTTTTTTTTGCTCATCCGTTAAGGACTCATGGTTTGGAACATCAGGGTAAACGACACTGATTTCAGGCCATTTTTCAAACCAACCACGATAAACCTCGATCCAGAAGGCTGACAAGGTCGAGTGGAGCTGCACCTTCAGGAATTCACTGTACAGTTCCTGGAGGAACGCCTTTTGTTCAGTTGTCACCCATTCTGTCCCTGCCATCTAGCCGTCGGCATTGCCTTGTGAGTAACATTAATTGAATACATGACACACACAGCTTACAATTGAGTTTTTGAAATTGCTATATGGCGTTGTACGTGACGCGTGAGATTTCAATGTTTCAACAACCGGTCTCACCGCACTAACCAAAAAAAATCATAGCTTCTTGATGTTTGCGGACCAATCATCTCCCCGTACCTGAGTTCGGAGCTTGAACGTTGAACAGGAGCACCTGCTCCAACAGACTGATTCAAAAGTGTGTAAGTACGTACCGAACATATGGGTAGCAGGTTGAAGTTTTAATAGGACAAACTGAGTGGGTAGTACTTCATGTTACAAGCGTCTATTTTTTTTAATCAAGACCTGCCCATCTAGTCAAGAAATACGTGAATTTAGAGATTGAGGCGCTTCTGATACATCAACTCCTTCATTGAATGAGCAACCGTCAACTCAGTCAGCCCTTCAATATCCACAAAAAACTGAATGTCATCTAGATAAGCGAGTGGGTACTTAAGTATCGGGAGACCGAATCAGCGGCATAAGACTGATCTGACACATCACAGAAATCCTTGATCGAATCCACCACGGGAATTGCGCGTCGGAGTAGGGCTTCAACCTTAGCTTTTGCAGTTTTGACAATTGAGGTGTCACCCTTGCCATGCGCATCATCTGGTAGGGTTTTGATGTACTGAAGGAGGACGCCCTCTGTGAAAGTGCAGGGTTCTTGGATTAATGCCAGCATCTCATCCTTGATGCGTTTGAGAGCGAGCAGGCACCCCGGGAGATCCGATCTGTAGGTTATTAATTATGTTTCATTTCATCTATTTATAAAACAGGATGTTGACATACAAGTTGACGTTCTCGTCATCATCTGTCACCATCTCGGTATCCTCTTCATCTGAATAGCCCAAGGCTTCGGCAAGGGCTTTTTGGATCTCCTGTATCTCTTGCGATGGCTTGGTGATGCGAAGTTCTCGCCGCCTTTTCAGTATATTATCTTTGTTTCTTTATTTTGTCAGGAACTACGGCCAGAGAGTTTATGGTGAGAAAACCTTACTTGGCATAATGCCGTCGGCGTCTTTCATGACCTGCCGCTTGTTTGGCCTCCTCTGTCTTGTAAATGGAAGGATGTGCCATGATGATGATGTTGGTTAAGAGGCTGGGGAGATTTGGTTGAAAAGAAGCACAAATAGTGTTTGAGTGTTTGAGTATGGTCGGACGATAACTCGTACATTCATTGTAGGCTATTAACTTGAAGTTGCAATCAATTCCTTCATGGAAGGGTCTTAGTTGGTGCTTGTATTGAGAACATATCTACATTGCAAAATGGACTCAATGTTCTATGGCTGAATGATTCAATGTGCTACTAGAGCACTGCTAACTCGAACAATAATCTTGCAATCGATCGGACGAAAACCTACTTACAGTCGGACGCAAACAAATGTAGTCATTGGTGTCACAACATCCTTCAAACACAATTCGGCTCTCAGTCTCCTCAACAACCATGGGCAGAAACCGGCGCAAAAAGGAGCTGGACAAGCTGCAAAAACAGTGGTATGACCTGAACCGGGAGTATCAAGCTATGCAGCAGGCTGGACGGCAACATGCTGCAGATGCACGCTTAGCTGCGGAAACAGGTGATAATCGATTTCTTCAACACAAACATCAATCGCACACCATCAGAGGACCTAGTTGTCTGTCCACCTCAACAGACTATATCACCAGCATATCTGTACCTTCTCAAGTGACTCCGAATGTGACGGATACTGGTTCAAACGATTTTCTTTCTTATTTTAATGACAACGAGGACGCAGCATACACCATCTATGATGAGCACATGGCCGAAACAATGACAGAGCCCAAAAAGCGCAAACGGACTGCCGCAGTATGTATTTACCTTGATTAAATCCCACTCACTTACTGGTGACACTCATTCAGGATAATCCTATTGGACTTTGGACCAAGGAATGTGAAACTTACCTCCTAGAACTTCTTCGGTTGGAAGGCCGTGGTGACTATATGTTTGCTGAAGCCTGTCCTGGCACCAGTGAATGTGAGGGTTTTCCCGAGTATCGGTGTCAGGATTGTTTTGGTGTCGCTCTCTACTGCAAGGCCTGCACAGTCGCGAGGCACAAGGAAAATCCATTACACAGAATCCAGGTTCGTCATTCCTTTGAATCATCATGTATTATACACTCATTTAGCGATTATAAAGCACTGGGTCGATGGACATTTTAAATGTACTAGCTTGAAAGACCTTGGTCTCCGAATACAACTTGGCCATTTAGTTTGGGGACAATGTTGCAACCCATCACCAGCATTTCACGACGACTTCATTGTTCTGGATGTGAACGGCGTTCACCAGGTTGCTGTTGACTTTTGCGCCTGTGAAACTGCTCAGTCTCCTACCACTCAGCTCCTTCGTGCCCGCTGGTTCCCCGCAACGACTATAGACCCCAAAACTGCCGCAATGTTCCGCCTACTTCACCATTTTCACATTCTCACGTTCGAATCAAAGGCATCTGCCTTCGAGGTCTGGCAAACACTTTCCAGGCTCACGGATAACACAGGTATCAGGACTCCAAAGGTAAGCAAATAATTCCCTCAGTATAATCTACTTTTCTCATCACAGATACGGTCAGGATCGCTACGAGGCACTCCTGCGAATGGTCAGGGAGTGGAGAAACATCAAACTTCTCAAGCGGTTTGGGCGAGGACATGATCCTGCAGGCATTGATGCTACTCTGCAAGGATCTTGCGCGGTTCTTTGTCCAGCGTGTCCTCAACCTGGCAAAAACTTACCACAGGGTTGGGAAGATGCCCCTCAAGATGTTCGGTGAGTGAAGTATCTTGTGGTATGTATCCTAGTTACCAAGATTTGAACAGATGGCTCTATGGACTTTTTCTCGCGATCGACGCAAACTTTCGACTGGCACGGAAGAACGTGTCGTCAGACATGGCCGACCCTGGCCTTAGCAAGGGGTGGGCGTACTTTGTTGAGGAACACAAATACAAAATGTTCCTCCAGGGTGTTAGCAAGCAGCCGCAAGAGGTGCGCACTCTCAGCTCACAGACTTACTATTCTCTAACGTCTTTTCAACTAGAAAAGCACCTGTGTAAGCCACAACGCCGTCAATCTAGCAGAGACCAAGAATTCCCATGGCCTCGCAGCAACAGGAGCTGGGACTGTTGACTGCGCACATCATAATTTTAAACGACCATGTGCTGTTGGCGACCTTCAGAAAGGGGAAAAGTGCGTATTTTATTGTATCGTCGCTTCTCATCTTATAAGACCATCAGATATATCAATATGGACTATCTATTCTTCTCGACCATGCAACACGCCAAGAATCTCGTCACCTTAAACATATCGTATGATATAGCCTGTCAATGGAACAAACACCTGTGGGACCGCATGTCCCAGTATCCCACCCAGATGCACATTGAACATGGCAGCAAATTTGTGACGTTTCTGGTTCCAAAGTTTCACTTGCCTGCTCACATTTTTGCGTGTCAAATCGCCTACTCGCACAATCTCGTGAAGGGCATGGGTCGTACAGACGGCGAGGCTCCAGAGCGCGGGTGGGCCAATATAAACCCTGTGGCTACCAGTACACGTGAAATGGGCCCGGGTTCCCGACGCGACACACTCGATGACCACTTTGGCGACTTCAACTGGAAAAAAGTGACTAATATTGGTAAGTGCGCAATTGTAATAGGTCAAATGTTGTTGTTCAATTGTGTGATCAACTAGGTATCAGTCTGCTGCGGAAGCTCAAGGCCGCTATACCAGAACGCAACCAACACCAGCGTGACTTCAACGAATTCAACGAGACACTCGTTACTGAGCGTACAGAGGAAGTAGCAATGTGGAAACAAGGAGTCGAAAAGTGGGAAACGGACATGTCAGCAACAAATCCTTTCAGCCCGACGACAGCAAGTAAGTCATCAATATTCGTTCTAAAGCTCTACTAACGCTGTTTATTAGCTATAACGCAGGCATCTGTTAGGTTGACTCTCTCTCAGGAAGAAGCTCAAGAGCTCGAGCATGGCATCAACAACTCCCTCCACCATGAAATCTCGCCAGCTGTCCTTATCTCATCAGGCATTGGAATTGAAGAGGAACAGTAAGTTTTGTATTTGCCATCCTTGGTTGATTGCTAACAGACAACTCCCCAGACATCGACTTCTACGAGATCTCTCGGCGCTTGGTGGCCATGCGACTGATCTTCAGCGTTCAAAGTTGCAAGATCGCATGAATGTGCTGCAGCGCAAGATCGAGCAGTGGTGCCAAGTACAAGTCTTGTACATGCCCTCCGTGGCCCCCATCAGAACTTCCCGAAGCTCCGGCAGCAACACATTGAAAGAGGAGAAGGCATACGAAATCTGTCTATGGCTCCCTTCGCAGCTCAAGGATCACGCACCATACGCTATCTGTGACGAACGACTTTGCCGATTTGAATGGGATCTGCGCCGTGCACAGGCATCTGACTCACTGAATGACCTCCGCCGGCATCTCCTTCTTCGCACTCACCTATATAAATTCAAGGATATTAACATTCGGGGTCAGCGAGCCAACACACGTGCTGCTGCTGTCATCAGGAAGGTCGAGCATAATGTTACGGAGGCTGGCAAAAGCTACCGCCGCGCATGGACTGCGCTTAGCAGGCTATGCGGAACACTTGGAGAGGATGGTTGGCAGAGTATCTTTCCTGTGCTCGAGCCAGCTCACGTGCGCGGAATGTCAGAGGGTGAGGCAGGTCAATCCGAAGGCAACCGGACACTCTCTTGGATCTGGAAGACGCAGGGTGTCTCAGCAGCTGGGGAGGTTCTTGCAGACGGTTAGCAGCTCCAATTTTCTTGCCGATATGGTTTTTTCAATCCTGTCATCAGCGCTGCGCATTGAGTGGTGCAAAGCCAGAGCACGCGCGAACCGCTGGACGGAGGAAGTGCAGCTTTTACTGGAGGAGATGCGGCGTGTCAGAGCATTCCTTTCGTGGCATGCTGCATGGTGGGATGAGCAGGCAGGGCGACGAACGGGTCTACCTGATGCTGAGACCGAGGGCATCAAAGGCTATGCCAAACGCCAGGCATCTCTTCGGAGAAACTTACAGATAGCCTTCGATGACATGTGGGTCATGATAGAGTCCTCGGCGACTGCAGAGGCACAAATGTAGGTTCATGTAGGTTCGGCGTCCCCCGCTGTTAGCACACCAGTACCATAGTTCCATGTATGGATATGTCAGTTTGAATTCGGTGTTTCTCCTAGATTCAGAAATCACATCAGAAGATTCAGATATTGAGATCAGATCTAACTCAGATTCAGAAACATTGGAAGACTTAGATAATCCTTGAAGACATTATGCATACTGGCGGTCTGGAGGGCATTATGCATCATGACGAGGGACGAGCATCAACCATACATAACGGCTTGTGTCTAATCAGCCATTATTATGCATAACCCTGCCACGAACAGGTGTGTCTGGAAGGTGATAGGTATGAGCTCAAGCCAAAATGGACATAGGCGAGCGTTGGAGTGACATCGGCTCGCATCCTAGATTATTTTCAGTCTCTCATTCATATATTCAAGTTCCTGATGCACTTACTATAAGACCAGTACCAGTAGCGCAGGTGCATCTCAGTTTCGTTCAAGACACTGAGATGTACGTTCTAAAAGTCACCTAGAGTTGTTAACACGTCTAACGTTAGCTGTAGCTTTCTCATTCTAGGTAGACGCACTGTTTGTAATAGAGTTTCGTTCAAGACACTGAGATCTTTCTCGTTCTAGACTCCTTGTTGTTCCCGCACTCGCTATAAACGCCTTTACCTTCAGCGCCTACTACCAGATCCTTGCTGCACTCGCTTCCCCTTTAGGGTCGAACGCACTTGTTGTCTCAGGTATAGCAGACTAGGCAACGCGCGACCTTACAACATTTACAGATACAGTCTGGAGCTTCATTTGTTCCTCTCGGTATTGTTGTTTCTACAATGTGCAAGGTGTACTGCTATACATATTAACCTAGCTTTCGACAGGCTGACAATGTATATGCCCCTAAGACATAATCAATAATAGATAGACAAGATAAAAATGCACCAGTGAAGTCAAATGGACATGGACAGGACATGGTACAGAGGATTGGAAGTGTATACAGGCCTCAGAAATGGACGGACAACCTTCGGACAACTTGGATGGACGCGCGGAACTCTCGGAAGGTAAGAGAAGTGTCAAGGAGTATAATGTGAGATACCTATGAGTTTGGCAGGATACGCAACCAATGCCAACCTGAGTGCTACACCACGCACTCTCTCTTCTCTCCTGCTCAGATATGGCTGTCAGGATTGCGAGCCAGTGGTTAATGCAGAACCTGCTCTCCTTAGGAATTAATTATGAATAATTTTCATTGGCTGACTGTAACTACTCGGGCATACCACTCGGACTTTAAATTGACAAGCGCTCAGCCAATCGAAATCATGGCCTCAGGGGTTGTTGCTGTCCTCGCCCACACCCAACAGTTACGCCTTTGGGCTTCTTAGTGCTGCAGTATAGACTATTCCCTCTAATTAGCGATGAGAAAGTGTACGTTCTCACGTTACTATGTAGTAGGTGTCACTCAGATACTGCCTTGCATTCTTAGAACATCAGACACAAATAGACATGCAAGGTCGAGAAACCATGCAACAGCACGACGCCATTGTAAACCGTGTGACGGTAATTACACGATATGAATGTCTGTGCACCCCAACGTCATATGAGTCGATGAATAGTGAATTATTGCCATAGATGTACGCGACATACGAGCCGGGTAGTATGCTGTAGCCCCTTAACCCCTGTATAATTTCGAAAACCAAAGTGTCGAGCAGAGTAGCGCCACTGCAAAGACATAAAATATTCTTCCTTCCTTCATGGGATCGCCATTTGCAAGAAAATTGCGCAGCGGAAGAAAGATCAGACCAATGACAAAATTGCTGGACCCTTGAAAATTGAAGTAGGAGACGGACTTTCGAAGGCACAAATGAATACTTACAGTTCAGCGACAGACCCACTGATGAAATGGCGGACACAGCCTGCATGGGGTCAATGAAGGAGCTATGCACTTCGTGGAATAACTGACATGGGGTGGTGCCACCTCGGGGATGATGACAAACGGAATAGGGCCTAATCCGAAGGCAAACGACCTTCAAGATAGCATAAGTTGCGGAGAAGAATTAGATATAAGCCACGTACATGACAAAAGTGGTGATTGCGATACTGGACAAAGTCACGAGGCCACTATTCAGCCCATAGCCAACAGCCAGATGAGACAGAAGAGCGGCAGCGACTGATAATTGGATTAGTTGTTTCCTGCCCACTCGCTAGGTACCTGTTAAGTTGCTGCAGATACTTGAGCATGACTTTTAAAACTCGCCTCAATAAGGAAGATCGGCGGAAAAGTCATGAAAAAGTTGACAATTGTGATTGCCAGCGAAACATATGATGCTAGTTCGGGAAGGGATTTAGAGAGTATATCGTTACTATAGTACAAAACTTTGGTACATTGAGAGATGTTATATTGTGCAAGTGAGTGTTCTGCTTACCTGCGTTAATTCCTGATATTTGTTGGGATGTCATGGCGGCAACAATTGTCAACAGAGGCCGGCGAAGTTCAGTAGAGGCAAACAATTGAGGAATAGTCATTGCAGGCTGGCGGACAGCTGAGTGGCGTTCTGTGGCGCTATCACTGTCTGGTAACAGAGGTTCCTCGCTGTCTTGTTCTTCAGCTAAAGATACGATTAAAAAATTGTCTCAGTAAGTTAGTATCTGCTCACGGTCTGTACGCGAAACATCATGAATTTCGCCCCACAATCTGTGAATCGCTAGCTTCTCTTGATCTACCAGTCCCTTTCTGTTGAGATACGAAGGAGACTCTACGACAAACGGGCTGCTGAAATACTGGAAAATGGATATCCCCGATGAGATGAGCAGTACAAAACGCCATTGTCGGGGAGTTGCAAGACCGAAGCCCATTCCTTGGGTGACCATTATACCGATCACTATAGCCAACTGTGTTAGAACGCCTAACGAGACAGTCGATCAATATTGCTGGTAATCGATGAACTAAGAAACAGCGCGAACCCAAGTTTCCCTTGATTTTGACTGGTGCTATCTCAGACAGGTATATAGGACAAAGAAAAATGCCTAAGCCAGCTGCGAGACCAACAAGAAATCTGTGGGTGTGGGAGATTGTAGCGGATATTGCTAATATGAAGTACATACCTGCCAAGAATCAGTGGACCTACGGAAGAGGACAGTCCAAATACGGCTGAACCAACAGCTGTGAGCACAGCGCTGAGACGAGAAGCACCTTTCCGCCCATAACGGTCCATAACAATGTTAGCACTCAAACTGCCAAAGAAGCCTCCCATGGTATACATGGACGTCACTACAGAGAATGTTGCATCGGACATGGGGATACACGTGGGTAGACCATAGTACATTGGGGCAGTTGGATCAGCGATTTTGCACGTCAGGACAGCCTGTAGCTGATTCAGAGCGGACGTGTGATAACCATACTTGTACAAAGACGTGAGCAGGTCATAAACTTGAGTAGGGAACAATATTGGGTAAATACCTGGAACGAAACAGTTAGGACCCATAGACATACGAGCCAGCCGTACTTTGTAAATGTATGAGCGCCCTCAGAGGTCATCTGAAACTTATGAAGACAGTAGTACAACTGCCAGAGTGCTTCAAGTTGGGGACAGCCGCTGCCGGCAGCAGTCTCGAGGTTTCTCACGTATCATGTGTTAAAGCTTATCGTTAAACGCTCCCGTTCCGGCATGTACTACGGCAATTCCGGCAGAGAGCGACGGCAAAGCAGGTGGCCAATCGGACATTGAAAATAAAAGGTACGCTAGCAGGTATTGATACTACCCTACTTCAACTTTACTGGCAGAAGCCGTCCATACCCAGGCTGCAAACAGTAACTGTTGGAATGCAGCAACTGAGATGCGGTGTTCATACGGACGAGTATACACTATGCATCGTTTCTGAATTTCTGCCTTGGCTTTAAAATTTAATCCCTAATCGGCACAATACACGTGATGCGACGTATGTCGTACTGCGAACTACCCGTAACTGTGCTTCTTACCTAGGTGTACACTACTACCTAGCACCTGCCCGCTGTTTGACACTAGGCTTAAAGCCACACATGCTACAGTAACGAGCCCGTCGTCTCAGAAGCTGCGCCGCCCGTTCCTGTTACGAACATCCAGTAAGCCAGTCGCACACTTACTAATGCACCCGATGCACTCAAGTATCATTGTGCACCCAGCGCCATCTATTTCCATGATCTCTTCTAGTATCGCGCCTTCTCCAACAATGTCTTACTATCCAATGTCACCCACAGTCTTTCCGCCTGCGCAACAGATCATGACACCTCAAGTTTTTACCCACCCTCCTACCGTGACTCGTGAGTGCCGCATCCATTCTGGTATCTTGTTGCACCTCTGCCACCGCATTGTTCACAAAATTGAAATGTATCTATGTCCTATGATATGAATACATGTTTCGTTTACTTCTCCTGAACGTGCCTGCGAATTGGTGACACTGAAAATAACATGCCGCACCGTGAGTTGGTGAAATTTTACTTACATAAACCAAATTAGGAAGCCACCCCAATGGGGGATTAAGCTTAAAGTTTGAGGCTGAAACTGACCAACTGATGGTTTCCAGTGACCTTTTCGGTGTGGACTAAGTAGGTGAGCTTCTAGGCATCGCTACATACTCTAGTAATGTTGCAAAGCATCGTGCACTCAGGGTCGAAGTACGGTATGTAACGTCTGTGAGAGATGTGACTTGTTTCACTGACATGAACTAAATTTTAGCCCTAGTGACGTTACGACTCTAATGCCATCATAATATTGATGCTGCCAGTGCTACCTCCGCTCGCCGTTCTGATGGACCTTGACACAAATTTTTATGAATCCGGCGCCGCAATGACCTGAGCTGCTTGATTGTTTGGAGAAGATATGCATTATTATGTACGTAGTCAAGCTCAAGCTTTAGATTACCTCCGGAGGGCCACATGATCCATTCTGATCATTCTAGTGGGTCATTTACTTCCACATGATGGTGATTCGGTACCTTCACGGTTCCCAATTCGGGCAAGCCGCACTACTAAAATTTGATCAGAACGTTTGTGTTCCACTTTCCTCTTCCACCTTGCCAACATAGCTGTGTCCTACACGTTCAGCCCGACCTTCACTCTTTTTGCCTCGAGCTTCGCTGGCTTCTACGCTCCTTATAACTCACACTCGTTTTGTTTCATATCATGTCACACGCTGCATTTCTCGCAGCTGCTATTCTTGCATTTGCCTTTCCTTATGTTTATGCCGCCACTTCCGACCAATGGCGAGGTCGATCAATTTATCAGTGCGTGTATCTAACCATTTCACCAAGTATCTGATCGATTAATTTCTGTAGAGTCATCATCGACAGATATGCTTTGCCCGAAGGTGCTGACCCTAACCAATGCCCATCGGGGACCCGTACATGGTGTGGTGGGACCTGGAATTCGTAAGCACCACGAGCGCTCATTCTTGCTTCATACTGACTTCCCACAGTCTTCGCCAGAATCTAGACTACATTCAAGATGCAGGTTTCACCGCAGGTGCGTGCAACTTCACTCGTAATCATTAAGATGTCTGACTTGATATTTCAGTCTGGATCAGTCCTGTTTCCCAAAACTATGAAGGTCCGACTACGCCATATGGAGACCCCTACCACGGATACTGGATTGCGGATGCTTCTCAACTCAACTCTCGGTTTGGCACGTCTGACGATCTCAAGGGTCTTTCAGAGGAACTGCATCGTCGCGGAATGTGAGTGCATTCACAGACCAAAAACCACATTGTTGAATCTTTCCAGGTACTTGATGATTGATGTCGTTGTTAACGATGTCATGGCGACCTCGATAACCCCCGATTTATCTACATATATGTTCAAAGAACAGGTAAAATTACTCTTCCGTGTGCTTCATAATTCAATTGCTGAGTCATTCATACGTAGTCGCAATACCATCCATATTGTGCCATAGATTGGAGTAACACCACTAGCGAGGAACAATGCTGGTTAGGCGACACCGTCGTTCCTCTTCCTGACCTCAACACGGAAGACCCAACTGTTGTTGCCGGGTTCGGTGACTGGATTCAGTCCTTGGTTAAGGAATACAATATTGATGGACTCCGGATTGATGGTGAGTGTGTTCAAACAGTTTTATGATCATGATATAACGAAGACTTTACCAGCTGCGAAGTAAGGTTTCCCTCCATTCCCCCCACTCACACTAACTGAGGTGTAGACATGTCAATATCGACTTCTGGCCCGTGTTCTGTGGCAAAGCCGGTGTATTTTGCATAGGAGAAGTCTTTGGTTCAGATATCGAGTAAGGTCTCACCGGTCTATGCTGCTGTTTAACACAGGTTTGTATTGCAGCGACGCTGCTCTCTACCAAGGATCCAATGCCCTTGACTCAATTCTGAACTATCCCATGTACACCGCGCTCCTTGATGCGTTCACCCTTCCTGGGCCACAGAATATGAGTGCTGTTGCAGATATGATTGGGCAGGAGGCAGCGAAGTTCAAGGTATGTGGTCCACACCTTTCTGTGAATGCACTTCAATGGTTGTAGGACCCCACACTTCTCGGAAACTTTATTGAAAATCAGGACATTCCTCGTTGGGCGAATATCTCTGTCGACCCACAAAGTTTATAGTAAGCTCTTTCCTATATTGTATCCTGCAGATCCTAACTCAAAATAGCAACGCCATGGTGTTCAACTTTATGACTGATGGGTAAATTGCATCGCCGTATTTGCTAACAAATCACTGACATGTGAGAAGCATACCCATTGTGTATTATGGTCAAGAACAGGGCTTCAGCGGGAACAGCGATCCTGTGAGTTAACCCTGCTGTTTTATTTCGATGCGCCTTAACATTGCCGCAGTATAATCGCGAGGCAATGTGGCCTTCGAAATACGCCAACAGTACAACATACCAACTCATAACCACATTGAATAAGGTATGCCATAGTTTGAATTTTAGGGCCTAATGTTAACCATTGCGTCACACAGTTCCGCAATTTCTTGGTGAATAACACCCAATGGGCAACCACGCCGACGCAGGTGCTCACAACATCACCATACGGCATCGCAACCTTGAAAGGGGATTGTGTCTCCATCATGACCAATATCGGATCTCCCGTAAGTCCATGTGAACCTTGCGAACCTTTATCCCCGCATCTTCGATTTTTTCTGATCTTACCATACCCTATTATTAGCCTCAAAACATCAGTATTCCCGTGTATACCCCGTACCTTGCAAGCGCGTCACTCACCAAGTCAGCTGCTTCTCAAATTTAACTCGGACATCAGAACTCACATCCTGTTATAGTGTGTTGACCTGTGAACAGTGGCCAGTGGGCAGCAATGGCACCATCGACGCACAATATAGTTTAGGAGGTGTGCCTCTTGTTCTCTATCCCACTACTCTTCTGCAGGATTCTGGTCTGTGCGGGAACTCGGACACCACGACAGGTTCGGCCACATACGTATCCTCGGCCCTGCGCATCCATCGTCCTGTCATATCTCTTTTAGCCGTGTTGTCTTCTTTGTTGTTGGGCTTTTTGTCTTCTTTTTGGTGATGTTTAGGGACGCTAATGGATAAAATTTCATATTGACTGAAGTTTCTCACATCCTCGACCACTCTTGGAAGCTGTCGGGTGTGACTTGGAGCAGGCATCGACGATGTCAGGTAAGTTGAGTTGACTGGTATGTGGTTTGCAATATATCATATTCATTGAAGCTAGTGGACCATGATTAAAATTGAAACATGCAGGTGAAGTGCGCTGTGGATGTTCTATTTGGATAGATTCATAAACTTGATAGGTTTCCAAACGATAAGTATGATTTCGTCTGGCCAAGTGGTATGGTACAGCAAACAAGCTGGACAATTCGATCTCGCTGTTGGCGGTCAGACCGCACGCGCTCAACCCTTACACCAGAAGGTAGAATACTGAAAGCTTACCTTTAGTGAAGGTAAATGCTACTCAGGCAAGCCAGCATGGATATACCTGCATATGTGATATTAGCACCCTGAGCCCATCTGGTGTGATGCAGAGTACCTGCCGATTCAGTTTAAGAGCAGACTAGCAAGGTCCAAGTACTTGTATTACCACCTATGTACTAGCACCTTTTTCGATAACAGGAATCGTTTGGTTTATCTAGGCCGTCGAGCAAAAGCTCTGGGCTGTTTAATCCATTGTGGTGACCCCCCTTGACAATACCTAAATTTAGACCTCGGTCGAATGCCGTATTTGTTTGAAACCGAAGCTATCGCCAAACAAGACACACGATCTGTCCATTTGCGGCAATCAAAGGTTGAACTTCACAGCTAGGAGCAAACTATCAGGACTCGGAGTCCACGAAGCTGTCATTCCCTCGATCGAACTCATCAAGCTAGTCAAGTCTGAGCGGAGGCTGTACCTATTTGTATACATATCTTACTCCTCCAGGAGTATGCTGCTATCTGTGAGTGCTGCTGTGTCCAGTCACATTTCAGTAGGGCGATCAAAGATATTTGAGCTTCAAGCGGGCTAGATATCTCAGTGTCTCGCCTTCCACACTGACCACGTTTGAGGGCCACAGATCTGACGGTTTAAATTGAAATTTCAGGTTGTTTGTTTTCCACATCACTCCTTGGACCTCTCCTTAGCATCAGCATCAAGCTTGTCGACAAAATGTTTATCAATGGCACCCTCAAGCACAAACTCACTTTTCGGCGCAAGAGCGATGGCTCTGCTTCCAGAGTCGAATCACCTGCGGATACAAAGCCTGTGATCGAGTCCAACTCGCCGACCGCAACATCTTCTCCTTCACCTTCGAAGGCTCACAAATTTCGCCTTTTCTCCACTCTCACGCACATCAAAAAGATATCTCTGGCTAGCGTCTTCAAGAAAGGCCCTGTTAGTTCTCTTCTCAGTGTTATGCGCTACAGTCGACTCACTTGTTTTCAGTCGGTCCAAATACCTCCCACAGCACTACATTGTACAACATCTGCAGTTCCAGACATATCAAGACATGTCCTAGCTGTTTCTGAAGATGGTGTCTTACATCCCACGATGCCCTTGGCAACAGAACATTGGGAGGGTGGTACAGAATTCGGGCTTATATCTTCCGCTATGGACAGATCCTCAGATCAGGAGGATATAAATCCCAATCCTCCTGGTAGTCGCATAGCAGATCGCGTTACCAGTTTGCGAATGAGAACTGCTGCAGTTTGGGCTAGCATTCCGGCGACCGTGGAAGGACTACCAGATTCATGCGCATCTAGTGAAACATCTACTCCAGTCAAATCCCAGATGAATTCCTTGGAGCACTATGAGACTACAACTGTCGCATCTGCAACGGCGGATAGCCCGTCGTTCTCGTCACCTGCCACTTCTGTCACGGCAGTGTCAGATTGGGGTCCGCGGGACTCTTTGGCCAATCTCAGCATGACAGGCTACAAACAAGAGCGGATACGCGTAATGTCAAAAGTATGTATCACGTTCTTGGGTTATTATCGAGGCTTATGGCATTGTGAAGGTCTTACCTGCGTTGGATGTCGTCTCCCTTGCACAGCTGCCGGAGCTGGGTTTGGCATATGCCAAACCTCCGTCTGAATGTCGGACGCCCAATGGGGACAAACTTGACTATACCCCTAGTACTCCTACATCTGGTTGGGAGTCATCCCCTGAGATACCAAGTAGCTCATCAGGACAGCGCGCAAGTTCGCGAGCAGCTGGACACCTGGACTCACCTTCTCCGAGCCCTCGAATGGCTCGTACTATACCAAGCACTGCCGGCTACCCCAACACTGCCAAGCGATCCTTCCATTGGTTACCAGTCGTGCAACTTTTCACGAATTCGGACGAAGACCTCGCAACGTCCAGCATCCGAGGCTCTCTTACTGATCTGTCCCAGGGACCGCTTGCAGCGGAGATGCCCCTTCGCCCATGGTCGTGCGCAAAGATAGCTCGTGCTGAAACCAAGCGAGCGTCTCGTAAGAAACAATTGGACAACGAGGGCTTCTTTATTCGCATATCTCGCTTCTTGGAGGCTGGTCCTCAAGACAGTATTCCTGTCTCATCCAAAAGGTATGCCTCTACAATGTGGTCTTCCGCTTTGGAATTCATGCTGATAACTCGCACAGGCAGAAACACTTACTCAGGACTACATAAGAATTTCCCTCTATCACTGTTGGTTGGGTTTTTTTATTCTCATCGTCATCCCATGGTATCATCTTTCATTGATGCGCTCTGGAGCACATTATCAGCCTAGTTTATGATACATCGCACACATCCATTTTCTATCCATCGCATAGTATTCATCGTCACGTTCTCTCGCTCTCGTTCGAGTTATCCGCTTTTTCATTGCAATTGGACCATAGGAAGTCATGTTATCTGTCTACTTCCAGCTCTGGTATACGGTACAAGACTACATTACCCCGGATCTGCAATTATCGGCTTTCAAATATTCAGGCTGCAATGCAAACTTGAATTTAGTCATTGAGGCTGTGCCGCGGGGTTTATATTACACACGTCACTCCGGATCCGACTCCACCTCTTGACCAGAACATGTCTTCCGGAACTACTGCACAAGCAAGTACACCATGAAGTATGTGAATCAGGCATTTGACATTCATGAATGTAGGACCCTACATGGAAATCGAGGGAACAAAGTGAAGAAGCAAAATACATTCGCGAGAAGGCGAGGCTTCCCAAGGGGCTACTGCATCACCCATGGCAAGCATTACTTACCAGCTCTCTATACACAGGAGCAAGCTCAGCTCGCTGCTCTCCATGAGGAGCAGGAAAAGTGCTCCACTACATCTAATAACAATACCGCAAAGGATGCCGCATCATCCACCAAGGACCATGATTTTGAAGGTGGTTTTGGTGGCCAAGAAGATTTGGAAGATCGGTACGCAACAACTAGCGGAGAGCACTAGCTTGGGCCTAGCATTACATGTATCGTTTAAACAAGCATAATTAAGCGTATCGGAAATACGAGCAACATGAGACACGACAATAGATGAAAGAAAATGATAGCTAGAATGTCATATAAATGGATGTCGGTGTATGTCCTATGTATGCCCGCAGAATATGTAACATTATGGGTCCGTCAGACGTGTAGGTAGGATTGAAAGATAGCAATACTGTCAAAAGAAGGGAAGATACGATATAAGTAGTTGAAGTTCAGTTTGAATATAACACAAGGGGGTTGGTTATTCAGTAAGTCAACTGATGAATCCATCGTTTTACCGTCCTCCAGATCAAGTAGCCCAGGAAATTCCAATATTAGTAGTCCAGTCAAATTCACAAGAAAAGTTGTGCCATCCCAAAATTAACGAGCGGCGTTATGATTGATGACGAGGGACGGGGGTAATGAGCGGAGCAGGAACCGCTCGAGCGGCAGCTCCACTGCTACAAAGGGGTGAAGGTGGTGGGGCGGTCCCAACCCATGGATTGAGATAGCTGCACGATGCAATGCCAACCATTCCACTTGCAGTGTCGGAGGGATTCTCCCAGCCATCCCCAGCACTGGCGGTTTTGACAGCATGAGCAGAAGAGTACGTGAATGTAGGAGGGGGAAGGGTTGCCACAGTTCCCGTGGGGGTATAGGAAGGCAACAAGGAGACAGCACCGGCATTACTGATCTGAGCAGGCGGCCAGGTGTACGATGAAGTAACGGCCGCAGCAATCTGACCTGCACCTGCACCCCCCGTTTGCCATGCTTGGAGAGGAGGACTCCATATGCCTTGATTTGCGCAGGTTCCTGATGCAACGCGAGGGTCTGCGGGCATCCACCCATTCTGCAGACCAAGCTGGTACGACCATTGCGGTGACTCAACGACACCAGAAGTAGAAGAGTTTCCGATTTTCCATGTCCAGAAGAACCAGTTCTATGGACATTAGTTCATATGGAACCACAACTTCTAAAGATAATCGCTTACCTGCAAAGCATCCATGCTGGCCAAGGCGAATTGCTCGATGCTTGATTTCATGGTCGAGTTCCAACTCTGCCAGTCCGTCCATGGCGTGCAGCTCCCCATGACAGGCCAGGTTCCTGGAGTATATGTACCCTCATAACGTGTTCCAAGTCCCACACCGTTCAGATAAAGACCGCAGTCAGTAACAGCATTACTGAATTCTCCGGCAGCTGTAAACCCGAATGCGTTCATGGAGGTGTTCATCGTGGCACCCCAGGTAGTGCATGGAGTCTGAGCGTAAGATGACATAGGGGCAGAAGACTGGCCGTCAAAGCAAAGATAAGGATGATTATCGAGAGCAGTGCGGTCAGCATTTGGGAGCCAGCCAGCCCATTGAGGAAGACCGAGGAATCCATCGTGGTAGGAAATGAAGGGACCCTTGCCTTCTCCGATGCCCGAAGCCTCGCGGACGTTATTGTATGCCTGCATATAGCTGCAGTGCAAATCATGTTACCGTTACCGAGTGTGGTGGTCCACAATCATAATACACTTACTACCGAGAAAGAGCATCCTGACCGATCGGAGTTCCTTGGGGCTCGTTTGTAATGCCGAAAATGATAACAACATCCTGGTACTCAGGCTGAGAGATGAACTCTGCCAGGATCCGAATATAATCTAGTGACCGCTGGGCATTTGCGATACCCATCGGGCCGTAAAGAACGTTTATTGACCCGAACTTGCCGGAGTGATTCCACCCATTCTGGCTTCCAGGAAGGGCGTGGAAGTCGAGGTTAATGCGAAGACCATACTTACGAGCCCACTGAATGGCCTTGAGGAAATATCTAAAACTTGCTTCAGCAGGGTAACGAGATTGGAAGGATGATGCGGACATACGTCCAGGAGGTCTTGGGGAGGAACGGTTCGCCTGATCGTACCTCGATCGCCCAGTATGGAAGGGGAATGCGAACGAAGTTCAGTCCTGCTCCAGCAATTTCGGCAAAATCTTGTTCGGTCTGGTAACCGATTAACATCTTCAGTTCCTTCACTTGCGACGTGAAGAAAAACTTACAATGAACGTTTGATAATGCGTTTCCAGTTGCGACAAACCGCCGCCTGGTGATGTATCAGCGGCCATGGCTTCGCTCAGTGTCCACTCATCAATAGCTGTAGGGTATTTCTGGTAAAGAGCGGGTGCGCTAAGATAAATATAAGTAAGGTTCATGGTTCTCGGTAGCGAAGATAGACTTGCATAAACTAGTACGAAACATCAGTACAGTGTATTAGTCAAACTGAGACTAACTCACGGGTTCCGTAGTAAGCCAACCACCTAAATTGACGCTATAAAAAACAATGGGTTATTGCAGGTACAGGGAACGACAGAGAAAAGCATACCCAAAAATCTTATCAATGCCGAATCTGAAGGTCTGGTTGAGAGGAAGGGACCACGACTGAGCCTGAGCATTGTTGTTAAATGGATCTTGAGGATCCCAATACCAGGTACCACCAAAAGGGTTCAAGTACGTGAAGGTAGTACCATCCTCCATCGTGATGGTGCTGCCATTGCCACCAGTGACGACATCGGAGGCAGGTTGACCGGATGAAGAGGTCGAGGTCGAGGTGGGACTGCTGGGAGAGCCAGAGCTATTATTCGACGACGATGATTTTGGTTTGATCACGACGAAATATATAGGGACAACGATAGCAACGAGTACTATGACAGCTGCGAGAATTGAGCCAGCTATGATAAGTCCGCGCTTTGACTTTACACGTGGGATTGCGTATGCTGACCGCTTCTCAGCAAGGTAACGAGGGGAGTTGGAATTCCCACCCTGACCAGAGCCAGAGTTGTACTCAGGGTCATTTGGATCATCACGGTAGGCAGCAGACTGTTCTGCCTGAGGAGTGTCATTAGTCAAGGCGTAGACAGAGGAAGTAACGACAGAAGGTGCTGTTCTGAAAGTATTTTGGGTATTTTGTGACGCGAAGGAATCTCGATATCCGTTAGAGGGATCGTCGTACAAAGCTGCGCCAAGAAAACGTGGTTGGGCTGCACCAAGGGGTGGAGTGTCAGAAGAAAAATAAGACATTTCAACAGGAGGGGTGTCGAAACCGGAGGCATGGGGAGAGGGAAGATCGCTGTAAATAGAGTCCCTGGGCGCATCTTGAGTCAAGGGCAAAGGATCGTAAGGAATATCTTGAGAGTGTGCGTTATTATTGGGATACATGGTATCGGGAGGAGGGGAAACGATGATTTCAGGCTGCGGGTCCTGGCTGTCCATGGATGGAAGAGAACGTTAGTTCGGCATAACAGAAATGAAGGAGAGCTTTATGTAAATGGCTGCGCTCGATGGCCTCATGGGATACGAATCTGATCGTCCAGTAGAAAATAGACTTACTGTCTAGGGATAGTGGCAAGTGACTAAGACAAAAGTCTAGTCGACGCCAGTTACACAGCAGGGATAGCTAAACGAGAGAGCTGAGAGGTAATGGTGGGGTTAGAAGAAGAACAAATACTCGGCCGCTCACGGGAGAGCCGAGAACGTTCTCAGTCCGAATTTTGATACTGCCTCCGAGTCTTACGAAACTGTCGAACTTGTCGTGCTTAAATTACCTGTCGTGAGGTCTGCTGATGGGCCGGGCTCGTTCAGTATTATGGCAAGTTCGTTCAAAAATACCATCCAGTTACAGCCTCCTGGGATGCGCGCTATTACAAGCTAGCCTATCTGAGATTCGAGAATTTCTGCTGGAAACCTTCAAGGACGAACCGGACCAGTGACTCAAGAAGTTGAGTAATGAGTCTGGGACGCGGCTGACGACGAAGGAGGTATCAAAGTGTGTGACCTTGCCCACCAATGCGCTTTATATTGTGATTCCCCATAGCTATCTTGAGCATCGAATTTGCAACTTCCCTTTGGTAAACCCATTGAAAACTATTTTCCTTCCATGGCAGGGCAAACCTACCCTGAACCAACTGGCCCCCAGTGGCCATAACACCACATCACTAATTTGTATCCACTGTCTGCACCTGCGCACGCAACTATCACTTGGTCAGGCCCCGGCATCTGCGGGGTCAAACGTCAAGGGACAAAACGGCACCTCCTATCTGTCTGGCAAGGCACGAAGGGCCTCTCCAAATTCGACATTGGGCCAGGGACCGGATATCGTCTTACGAGGCAAGTCAAGCTTTCCTCTCCTGTACATCAATGCAACTGCCACATTGATATCGATGTTCATTCCGCTTAGACCATTGCGTTGTACATAATAAAAAGGTGCGCAGTCTAGCAACGTCCAGCCTTGGCAGTCCGCCAGAAAATTAATGTCATGTCTTTATGTAATCTGTTATCAACAGCAGATCAGCATCGACAGCCCTTCAAGCCCCCAAGCGGCCAAGCCTTGCCAGTCGCCACCATCTCACCAAATACGTCACATAGCCATAGCAGGTGTGATTCTAATCGTCGTTGATGCGCCCGTTTGCTTATGTACACTGACCACTTTCACGGAGTTGCCCAAAATCGGTTTTCAATGAAAAAATAGTGCAGAAATTTGGTGTGTCAAAGCTGCCTGCATCAACATGCATCTCATCAGACGGAAATCGTGTGCGTTTCAGAGTCTCATTACCTTCATTACTCAAATGAACACTCCCAGTGACTGCTGTTGGATCCGAAATCAACACACTGCGAATACTCAGGATCATGACAATATATGATAAGGGAACTCATTTCAAATGTCACCTGTGAGATCCTATGACCTACATGCGCCCGGGCAGGCAGCCTTTGGGTTCCGGTCTAAACTTATGCTCGGCAGACGTCACCTCGTGTACTCCATAATAGCTGCGCTTTCGACAAGTATTTCAGAACATTGCAATCGCCTGATCCACCAAACGATTCGGTTCCGATCTTGCCGTGATACAGCTTCCCAGGTAAGCCTTTCCGCAAATCAAACAGATATTTGTGTCTTCGAGTTTGCCGTGATTTCGGGTTGCTAAACTTAGCTATTGCAAGGACGCCATACTATATAGCCAACGGAAGCCGTTCGGATTGTAATCACTTGTTATAAACTTATTGCCTGAACCGATCTCGCATCGATCGTGTGCAATATGTCCAGTATTGTATCAGTTTTCTCCATCTGACGCTTTAGCTCCAACTATTCATGCACACAACAAGCGGTTGCTACAAGGAAGAGGAAACAAAGTTCCTTGATCGCCTTCTATACTTAGCCAACCAGAGCGGCCAAACGGTATTCTCGACTCCCGGCGTGGGTGTGTGCACGTGGTAACACTCTCAGAGCTACCCGTGCACAGCGCATGTTGATTTTCACACCGACTGACTGGCACGTGCACGCACAAGTACTGTCGGCTGGCCCAGGAACGAGTCAAGCCAATGTGCTCAGAAGGAACCACGGAATGCGAATCTGCAGTGCGAAAGACGAAGGGAGTGGGGAGAGGTCTAAACTAATGTTTTTTCGGGAGTGTCCGGCCAGTGGGCCGATCAAGGTCTGTCGCTGTCTTAGCTGATTATCACACTTGCGGTGCTCGATCAACTCAATCTACAGCAAGACGCTCTAACTTGCCACCGACCATGAGCAGGTTTCAAAGTTATATCGTTCATGACTCATCTTTTTTTCTTGTCTAGGGTACCCCCCACTATTTTATCCACTTCACCGCACCAAATTGACTCCTCTATCACTTTCGCTGCTCTCGTCCTTCTCCAGCGATTAAAGGCACACTTTCGTACCGCTCGAGGATCTTTGGGTCACCGATTTTTGTGTCCACTCAGATCTGTTCTACACCAATTGGAGCGGTCTCCGTGGTCGTATGCGGCTGTGGCCGCGACACCCGAAGTCAATGGCGTGATACACTTGTTGGGATCCAACCAGTACAATGTAACCAGCCAGAGTCTACATATGAGGAGAACTATTCATAACATTTTAAATTGGCAATTGGATATTAATGTGCTACATGAATACAATGTAGTTAACGCGACATCCGAAGATTAACTGCCAAGTCAGCAACGAGAGTGGTAATGAAAACAGTAACGAAGGAGAGACATCAACGAGGGAAAGACAATGACAGAAGGAACACGAGCAATGCACAAATGGACATGGTAACGAGGGGTGGACCCGGGGGAAGAAAGACAAAACCTGAATGATCATCCGGGGGCGGTGGGTTGTATTCTATGTATATTCGATGCACGAGAAGTAGAATCCGCGAACCGGTCTATGTGGCGAAACAGTTTCTCAACTTTCTTACTTCGTACTAAGTAGCACTTGCAAATCCTCTACTGCTCAACTTCTACACTCAGGCTCTCGTTTCATCACAACCATTACTGGTACAACCGCCTTTCGCTCCTTTGTAGCAGCCAGCGTCTCATTAAAATCTTCGTTTTGTTGCTGGTAAATGTACTCGACGCATCCGAGGCCTCAATTCTGCATCGCGGGTGTTGTGAATCATCCTGAATTTTCTCGACACGTTCGAAACAATTTTTCAGGTCGCAAAACCCTTCGTGTTTGAGCCCAAGCTAATCGATGGATACACATGGAGGATCATATATGTTAAGTGGAACCGAACATCTAGGGAAGAGTGTGGGTGTGCACGTGAATGACGGCGAGGGTGCCGGAACCGAGCAAGGTCCGACTCGGAGTGCTGACAGTGCCAGGCTCTCGCCACGTACATACTAGTCGCACCGTTCGATGCCCCGCAGCCAACGTAACGCTCCCTAAAGGAAGTATTGGCCCATCAGTTCTCAGCTGATGCCGGCCGGCCGGCGCATACTGCCCATGTTTATACTATTCCTTCATATCTCATCAAACCCTAGCCAGCGCACGCGCCCGGAGGATAGTAGCTGCTGCCCACCAAGGTGCGCATCTGTCCAAGCCTTACTGCAGTCTTTTTTTTTTACCAAGGCTAGCCTGATTCAGCCTAGTAGTGTGCCTCGGCAAGTTGACGCTTTTCGCTTTGAATATTATGTCAAATTGTGGCATGTATGCGATGCAAAAAATTGGGTCGTTCGTTCGTTCAACGTAAACCTTCGCTCTGTATATCGTTGATGCGACTGAACATCTTTGTAGCTTATGCGACCCTACGTGACGCATAATCACATCGAAGAGATGCAGCCTTTTCAAAGCCTACAGCTAGTTTAAACGGACTAGTTGGCGAGCGAAGTACCTACATGCTACATTTATACATTGCACAGCATTTGACTTTACGCCTATAGTAGTACCGTCGCGAATCATCTAGCTGGCAAATGTCCGGGTTCCACGCGTTTCAACTACGGGTCACTTGAATGGTTGTGCCAACGATCTCATTATCGGGTTTGTGTTCAAGGCGACGTTCTTCTGTCGCACGATGTGGACACCATCTATTCAAATAAAAAAAATTCAGTATGCTTCGATTTTACCTTCAGGCAAATATAAAGTGGTTCCGAAACTTGGTCGGGTGCCAGCGTTTTCTTCGTTGCATTCTGCGGATCTCACTCGCCGGTAAGGCATGGTGTTCGCGAGCTTACTTCTGCTCGTCCTCGGCGCGATCGTGAGTCAGACCACCCAGGTCGCCGCACTGGGATCAGCATGTGGTGTGCCTCTCACTACAGGAAACGCATTGTGGGGAGAGCCTTACTGGCTTGAGCACATCCACCATCAGGGTGTGGCACCTTTTGCACCTAATGCGACAAAATACAAAGTGTTCCGGAACGTGAAGGAATACGGAGCTGTGGGTGATGGTGTGCATGATGATACTGCTGCTATCAAGTGCGTTGTCCTTCGCATCGATGATCTTATCCTAGCGCTTATGTTTTTTGTAGTGCTGCAATCTCCACCGGTAGTAGATGTGGTAACTTGACTTGCGGTTCATCAACGTAAGTCACAACTTTTCCAAGATATCTAGTGCACTCTCAGGCTCAATGGCTCGTTAGAACCACTCCGGCAGTGGTCTACTTCCCAACAGGGTGAGTATCTGTGTATAATAGCAAGTTCATTTTCTGATGCGCTTCATCAGAACCTACCTCGTGTCTGCTCCACTTCATGCATACTACTACACAGTCATGGTGGGCGACGCAAGAACACCCCCGACGTTGCTTGCCAGTGCTAACTTCACAGGAATAGCTGTAATTGGTGCGGAGCAGCCTCTTTAGTGTGATAAGACCAACTAACGGCGAGATCAGACGGTGACCCGTACACAAACAATCAAAACTGGTATGTCAACCAGGTTAGCTTGTATGTGTTGTTCAAATTTCCTTGCATGCACGACATCGATGACCTTTTATTATGAAAGCTACCGGTCAGCGCGTAATTTCGTTATCGACCTCACACGAATGCCTGCGAATGCCTCGGCCACTGGCATTCACTGGCAAGTCTCACAGTCGACGTCGCTGGTCAACGTGGTAGTCAACATGTCTACCGAACCTGGAAACAATCACCAGGGTATGTTACTGTTATGAATGATGGGATGTTCATTTATTCCTGTTCCTAGGCATGTATATGGAGGATGGAAGGTAAGCGAACATCGCTATATCGACAAACATAATATATGAACACTAGCAAAGCGGTGGCTTTATGGGAGATCTCGTATTCAACGGTGGAAAGTATGGTATCTGGGTCGGAAACCAACAGTAAGTGTTTGCGTCCATCTTGCTCTCCAAGTCCCGTAGCATATGATACGTCTGCTCACAGGTTTACCGTGCGTAATCTCACTGTCAACAATGCAAACACAGGTAAGATTTACGATGTATGTCAGTATACTGGACTCATATCACTTCCCCCAAGCTGTGTTCGGATCATGGAATTGGGGTAATATTTGATCTTTTGTTGTGAGTGCGCAATTGATGAGGTATAGGATGGACATACCAACGCGTCATAATTAATGACTGTCAAGTCGGTTTTAATCTTTCGGGTGGCGGGAATGGAGGAGAGGCCATCATTGACGCAGTGGTCACAAACACTCCTGTCTTCATCAAGACACCCAAGCCGACAAATGGCTCTGTTTCAGGATCCCTCGTATTGAATAACATCCATCTCAACAACGTTTCCACAGCTGTCATGGAAAACGGTACTGCTATCCTTGCTGGTGGAACAAGGACCGTTGACTCGTGGGGCAAGGGTAACATTTATACAGGAACGCACCCGAACGGAACGTTCACACAGGGCAAGATACACTCTGCACATAAGGATTCGGTCCTTTTGGACCATAATGGCTTCATCGTCAGCAAAGGACATCCCATGTATGCTGACTATTCAGTCGACCAGTTCAAGAGCGTCAAGTCATTGGGGGCCGTTGGAGATGGGATTGCGGATGACACTGAAGCTATCAAAGCTGTGCTCGCAAAGGTATCTTTACACGATAGTCTGACAATATTTATACTGATTGAAATGTGGGGCAGTACGCTGGATGCTACATCATATATTTCGATGCTGGCATCTATAAGGTTACTTCGACTATACAGGTTCCGGCAGGAACACGAATTGTTGGAGAGGCTTGGTCCCAGATTATGGGCGCCGGCCTCAATTTCAATAATAAAGAAGACCCGAACGTTGTTGTACAAGTCGGTACACCGGGCTCGCAGGGCATTACGGAGATTACAGATATCGTATTCACGACGCAAGGACCAGCTGCAGGCGCCATTGTCGTGGAGTGGAACGTTCGCGATCCCCCTGGTCTCCAAGGAGCTGCAGGAATGTGGGATTCGCACTTCCGGCGAGTTCCCTTTGATCTCATTTGGAGTTTGTTCGCTGATTTGCATCTGTGACAGGCTCGGCGGAGGCAAGTTTAAAGTTTTATCACATGCGGACGTTGACTTATCATTCTTTATTCTAGCTAATGGGACCCACCTCCAAGACGCAGAGTGCCCCGCGGGATCCTTTAATCCAGAATGTTTTGCAGCTTTCCTGGCTTTGCACATCACGTATGGTGCATCTGCTTACCTTGAGGTGCGGCGTTATAACCTTAGCAATAGTAGTTAGTGCACTGATTTCCAATTTCTTTCACCAAGGGAACATGGGTTTGGCTGGCGGATCACGATCTCGACGGCTCTCACCAGCTAACCTTGTTCAGCGGGAGAGGAATTTTGTCCCACTCTCAGGGTCCTGTCTGGATGATTGGTACAGGCGAGTTTGTCCTTCTAAGCACAAGACGGGTATACTGATTTCGCATAGCCTGTAAGTATCGTACCTTGGGTATCACTCATAAATTCATAGATGTTCTCTACAGCGGAACATCATGTGCTCTACCAGTATAGTTTAGTTGGAGCGAAAAACCATTACATGGGTCTGATCCAGACTGAGACGGTAGGTTAATCCAAAGACGAAATGAGTTTTGCCTCTGATATCTCTGCATAGCCTTACTTCCAACCTGATCCTGCACCGCCAGGGCCATTCGATATCTCAAACGTTTACGACGATCCGACGTTTGCAAATGGCACAACTATGGCTTGGGGTCTCTGGGTGCAATCATCCACTGATATCATCGTGTTTGGTTCGTCTTAATCATGTGATCATGTGATGCTTGCGTTTACGTGTCATGCATTTTCCCCAAAGGTTCCGGTCACTACAGTTTCTTCCAGGTGAGGCATAGCCGAAGTGAACTGGATCGTTTCTAACCTTGCCTCTTAGAACTACAGCACGGCATGTGGGGGTAACACTACATGTCAAACACAGATCGTTAACGTGGACTGGACCTCTTCCATCAGCATCTACAATTTGGCAACCGTGGGCACAAGATACCAGCTTAGCATCGAAGAGAACGGGATCATCTATTTTGCGAACGACTCGGAAGGCTTTTCGTCCACTGTGACGCTATGGAGCCCTGCACGAGCTATCTACCCATAAAATTTATATCCCATAGAATCTATATACCCCTTATTTATTCTTCTCCGATCATGATTGGTGAGAGAGGTTATTTATTGCGACAAACAGTCATTTCTCTGCAAACACATGTGTGCAAACTTCTTAATTGCCTCCTGTGCGATCTTTACATCCATTCTTTGTTGCTATTTACTTACATCTAGTACTATGGACAGTTTATGGTCTTCGCTTTAATTACTGTAATAATTCTGGTCATACATTTGTAGCTGAGATATCAAGGTACTTGGGCACCTGACTCTACATTAATTGGATGTGCTTGATGAGTGGTGTTTGATTCAAGGTGACTGCTTGGTGAGTGTCAGACTCCAAACCAGTTGAAGTTGTCGTCGGGAATCATTCGTTCACCAGTTCACTGATGTGCACGAAGAAAATTTTTTCATGTCTCCGAGCCCGAATATCCTGACTTCCTCACAACTATACTTGCGAAGCACGATAAATCACTCCACAAGGTCACTGAGAAGGAACGGTACACTTCGACTTGTACTGAGATATAAACGAGGAAAACCCTGTTCCAATTTTCGAACGCCAAATCGAAGATTTTATCTTTCGCAGCTTCGTCACCAAACATCAGCATTTCCGGGTCCAAAGCTGTCTCGGCGATAAGATTCATGAAGATAGCGCATCGTTCTTCATCTCACTCGAGAGCGCGAGCAGGGATACCCTTGTGGCTTACGGTAATGTAGCCTACCACTGTGCAGGGTGAGAAGAAGTGTATTTACAAATACGCACCATGACGTGGCCATAATTCATATTGTAGCTCATCCAGTCCATGGTGGGATTTCGGCGAAGGATAGCAGTGAGAAATGCACTGACATCGATAATGAGGTTACTAGGACACTTGCCACGAATCCACGATGTGCATTGTTTGCATTGAGATGCAATGGTGGCAGTCCGAGTCAGGTGGATAGTTTTATATACAAGTGTCACCGAGATACTTGCGACGGGATGTCCGCATCAGTGAGAAACAGGTATGCGAGCTTTTAAATTTAGGGAGACTCAGTGTGGGCAGTGGGCTGCGGCATCATGCTGAAGTGCCTAATACTTACGGGGTCCCACTTCGGACGTTTCCGAGAGGCAAGTTCAACTTTTGCGTTTTCGCATAATATTACACATGCCATGATCAATCAGTGTGTCAGTGCGTGCGATTAGTAGTAGAGTCGTTTGTTTGTTCGGTTGTCCTGTATATCGTCGACGCCGACGAGTACGACTGAACATATTTGTGGCTCGTGCAACTCTTCGATTGCTACATGACGGATGCAGCCTTAAGCCTATAGCTGGTTTAAATGGGCCAAATGGGCGCTAGTCGGCAAGTGCGGTTCAGCAAAGGTACTAACTACATATGTACATTGGCACGTAAGTCACTATACGGCATTCAACTTTACTTACGCCACTAGCACCGTCGAATGCCCCGGGGGGCCAGCTCATCAAATGTTCGAGTTCCACGCACGGGTCACCTGAATGATTGTGCCAACAATCTCATTCTTGGGTTTGTTATCAAGGCGACGTTTTTCCGTCGCACAATGTGGACGCCATCTATTTAAAAAATAAAACTGGTACGCTTCCATTTTATCTTCAGGCAAATATAAAGTGGGTACACAACTTTTTCAGGTGTCAGCGTTTTCTCCGTTGCACTCTGCGGGTCTCACTCGCTGGTAAGGCATGGTGTTCGCAACCTTACTTTTGCTCGCCCTTGGCGCGATCGTGAGCCAGACCACCCATGTTGCCGCACTGGGATCAGCATGTGGTGTACCTCTTACTACAGGAAACGCATTGCGGGGAGAACCTTACTGGCTCGAAAACATTCACCATCAGGGTGTAGCACCGTTTGCACCTAATGCGACGAAGTACAAAGTGTTTCGAAACGTGAAGGATTATGGAGCTGTGGGCGATGGTGTGCATGATGATACTGCTGCCATTAAGTGCATAGTCCATCGCATCGATGATCGTTATCATAATGCTTATTTTTTTTTGTAGTGTTGCAATCTCCACCGGTAGCAGATGTGGTAACTTGACTTGCGGTTCATCAACGTAAGTCACAAAATTTCCAAGATATCCAGTGCACTCTCAGGCTCGATGGTTCGAACTTCGTTAGAACCACTCCGGCAGTAGTATACTTCCCAGCAGGGTAAGTATGTGTGTATAATGCCAGGTTCGTTTCTGACGCGTTTAATCAGAACCTACCTGGTGTCTACTCCACTCCAAGCATATTATTACACAGTCATGGTGGGCGACGCAAGAACACCTCCGACGTTGCTTGCCAGTGCTAACTTCACGGGACTAGCTGTAATTGGTGCGGAGTGGCTTCTTTAGTTTAAGAAGATCTACTGACAACGAGATCAGATGCCGACCCGTACACCAACAATCAGAATTGGTATATCAACCAAGACAGCTTGTATGTGTCGTTCGAATTTCCTTGTATGCATGACATCGATGGCCTTGTATTATGAAAGCTACCGGTCGGCGCGTAATTTCGTTATCGACCTCACACGAATGCCTGCGAATGCCTCGGCCACTGGTATCCACTGGGAAGTATCACAGTCGACATCGCTGGTCAACGTTGTAGTCAACATGTCTACCGAACCAGGAAACAATCACCAGGGTATGTCATTCTTATGAATGATGGTATGCTCATTTATTCATGCTCCCAGGCGTATATATGGAAGAAGGAAGGTAAATAAATATTGTTACATCGAAAGACAGATATGAACACTAGCGAAGTGGTGGCTTTATGGGAGATCTTGTATTCAACGGTGGAAAGTATGGTATCTGGGTCGGAAACCAACAGTAAGTGTTTGCGTCCATGTTACTCTCCGAGTTCCGTAGCACATGATGCGTCCGCTTACAGGTTTACCGTGCGTAATCTCACTGTCAACAATGCAAACACAGGTAAGGTCTACGATGTATGTCAGGATACTGAACCTATACCACTTGTCACAAGCTGTGTTTGGATCGTGGAACTGGGGTAATAACTGTTCTTTTGTTGTGAGCGCGCAATTGATGAAGTGCAGGATGGACTTACCAACGCGTCATAATTAATGACTGTCAAATCGGCTTCAATCTTTCGGGTGGCGGGAATGGAGGAGAGGCCATTATTGACGCAGTGATCACAAACACTCCTGTCTTCATTAAGACCCCCACGCCGACAAATGTCTCCGTTGCAGGATCCCTCGTCTTGAATAACATCCAACTCAATAACGTGTCCACCGCTGTCATGGAAAACGGCACTACTGTCCTTGCTGGTGGAACAAGGACCATTGAATCGTGGGGCAAGGGTAACATTTATACAGGAACGCACCCGAACGGAACGTTCACACAGGGCACAATACACTCTGCGCATAAGGACTCAGTCCTTTTGGACCACAATGGCTTCATCGTCAGCAAAGGACATCCCATGTATGCTGACTATTCAGTCGATCAGTTCAAGAGCGTCAGGTCATTGGGAGCCGTTGGAGATGGGATAGCGGATGACACTGAAGCTATTAAAGCTGTGCTTGCAAAGGTATCTTTACACGATAGTCTGACAATATATATTTATACTGATTGAAATTTGGGGCAGTACGCTGGATGCTACATCATATATTTCGATGCTGGCATCTATAAGGTTACTTCGACTATACAGGTTCCGGCAGGAACACGAATTGTTGGAGAGGCTTGGTCCCAGATTATGGGCGCCGGCCTTAATTTCAATAATCAGGAAGACCCCAACGTTGTTGTACAAGTCGGTACACCTGGCTCGCAGGGAATTACAGAGATTACAGATATCGTGTTCACGACGCAAGGACCAGCTGCAGGCGCCATTGTTGTGGAGTGGAACGTCCGCGATCCCCCTGGTCTCCAAGGAGCTGCAGGAATGTGGGATTCGCACATCCGGTGAGTCCCTTTTTAATCTCATTTGGAGTCTGTTCTCTTATCTGCATCTGTGACAGGCTCGGGGGAGGCAAGTTTGAAGTTTTATCGCATGCGGACATTGATTTATTACTCTTTATTTTAGCTAATGGGACCCACCTCCAAGACGCAGAGTGCCCTGCGGGATCCTTTAATCTCGAATGTTTTGCAGCTTTCCTCGGTTTACACATCACATATGGGGCATCGGCTTACCTTGAGGTGTGGCGTTATGACCTTAGCAATAGTTTTAGCGCACTTATTTCAAATGTCCTTCGCCAAGGGAACATGGGTTTGGCTGGCAGATCACGATCTCGACGGCTCTGACCAGCTAACCTTGTTCAGCGGAAGAGGAATTTTGTCCCACTCTCAGGGTCCTGTCTGGATGATTGGTACATGTGAGTTTGCTCTCCTGTCCACAAGACAGATATACTGATTTCGCATAGCCTGTAAGTATTGTACCTTGGGTGATGCCCATGAATTCATAGATACCCTCAATAGCGGAACATCATATACTCTACCAGTATAGTTTAGTCGGAGCGAAAAACCATTACATGGGTCTGATCCAGACTGAGACGGTAGGTTAATCCAAAGACAAAATGAGTTTATCTCTGATATCTCTGCATAGCCTTACTTCCAACCTGATCCTGCACCGCCAGGGCCATTCGACATTTCAAATGTTTACGACGATCCGACGTTTGCAAATGGCATAACTATGGCTTGGGGTCTCTGGGTGCAATCATCCACTGATATCATCGTGTTTGGTTCGTCTTAATTATGTGCTCATGTGATGCTTGCGTTTACGTGCTGTTCATTTCCCCCTAAGGTGCCGGTCACTACAGTTTCTTCCAGGTGAGGCACAGCTGAAGCAAACTGGGTCGTTCCTAATCTTTGCCTCTGACCAGAACTACAGCGCGACATGTGAGGGTAACACTACATGCCAAGCACAGATCGTCAACGTGGACTGGGCCTCTTCCGTCAGCATCTACAGTTTGGCAACCGTGGGGACAACATACCAGATTAGCATCGAAGAGAACGGGATCATTTATTTTGCGAACGACTCGGAAGGCTTTTCGTCCACTGTGACGCTATGGAGCCCTGCATCGGCTATCTACCCATAAAATTTATATCCTATAGACTCTATACGTCCCCTATTCATCTCCTCGACCACGATTAGTGGAAGAGATTTCTTATAAACGTACATTTCTCTGCAAGCGCGTATGTGCAAACTTATTTCTTGAACTACCGTGCGATCTTTGGAATTGTACCTCCATCCTTTGTCCCCAACTTCCACACTTACTATGGGTCATCTATTACTGCACAGTTTACGGTCTTTGCTTGAATTACTTGGCAATTCAGGTGATGTATCTGTAGCTGAGCCATCGAGGCCTAACTCTGAGCTAGCTTTTATGCCAGCAGTGGATGTCCAAATATAAGTATTGAAGTCGTGAGTGTGAAGAATACATGAAGTATGGAGTAGCCTACGCGCCACTGCAATGCATTCGGGGTATGCCAAAAAATTCATGAAGCCGGAAAAACCAAGAAATTACAACACGTGGGATAGTAGCGATACAGCGAGTGTGACGATAGGAAGGAGCGAAATCGGTGAGGATATAGCAAAGCCAGATGTTTGCGTGTCAGGTCTTTGGCCGCACACACACTGTCAGAATTTTTTTCAAGAAATGAGCGAAAAGGCACATACGGGATGCCACTGTCGTCAGAATACGACGGACAAGTATCATTAGTACTTCCCTGACGAAAAAGTGTGGTAACAGTTAGATGTAGGATAGTGAATGACTAACAGCTGGATTGTTGGGACAGCATGCGCTGTATCCCAGGTTAACTACACTCCCAAGAGCAGCAGCGTTATTCCAGCCCTTCCAATTTGTACAGGAGACCGACTGGTAACTGATATTCCAGACGCCAAAGTCCTGGTTGCACAATGATTTATATAAACAAGCACAGCGGCAATAAGTAGCCTCACAGTATAACCTAGAAACCCGAATCAATTGTGCGTGCGGCAGCGATCTCGGGTGCTTACCATAAAGTGGTTCATTTGATGGAAAGAAATCGTTTGGAATCGAAGATGAAGGCCATGCGAGGTCAAAATTCAAGTAGTGACTACCACTATGCGAAGATCAGATGTTGGAACAACGAAAAAGGTGTGCTTACGCGTTCGGCCCATGTGTAGTTGCATTACACCAGCCGGAATGAGATAATGGACATAAGTCAGTGACTTTGATGACAACTGATTTAGTCACGTTGGGGTAGAAAGGGGGATTTGAAAGGAAAGAATTTAGTAGGGTGAGATTAAAGCATTGTCCACAAGCGGGGCCGTAAGATGTACTGCTGCCGTATGCCATCTGATTCATTGCAGCAGTTGGATAATTTGTGCTCGTGGATGTACACCCGCATGCTGCAATAAAGTTTTCGGGAAGGCTGTAGTGTGTCATAGTAGCATATCCATCTGACGAATAGTCGATCCACTCTGAAGCCCATGATATATGTGGTAGAAAGGAGAGGAAAGTGAAAATGAAGGACAGAAGTTGCGACCAGGGCGTCGTACTAAAGTTGCTCCATGGGAGCATTTTTTGAGGGGTTGAAAAGGAATAATTAAAGAGGGATGGGCTGCCTGAGAGCCTGCACTGTTACAAAGGTTGTTTACAGACGTTGACCCATTCAATAGACATCGCGATGTCTGCAACACACGTGATGAGGTCACGTGTGCGCGAGCATGTAAACGCGTCGCGCCACACTATTTTGCAACTTCTGTTGATCTCATTAACATTACCTGCAGAACCTGCAACAGATGCAATCGATGACCAAAGTCAAACGCACCTACAGCTCGCGCTCGCGGCTGTCACTGCCGTCCTCCTCACCATCGTCGTCGCCGCCGTCGACAACGAAGCGCAAGCGCTTCGGGGAAGGCGCCGAGAACGAGCCCCCCGCAAAGAAACGGATAACGAACAAAACCTCGCCTTCGGAGAGGTCTACAAAGTCAAAACAAAGCGTCCTAAGGCAGCTCCATTTCTCTATAGAAACCTCGGTCCTACGAACCTGCACAATTTGTGGCCTCTCATATACGCGAGGCGCACCGGACGACGAGTCATTGCATCGTGCCCATTGCTCACGTGTGCAAAGGGGGATGGAGTGGGGCAGGGAAGAAGAGCGGGAAGCAGGGAAAGTCGGTGTAGAAGAAATACAATCTGCAGTGAAGCTGAAAAATGGAAAGAAAGGTCGCATCATCTGTTTCAAGGCGAACGTCGGTGGAAGAATTGGATCTAAGGTGAGCAGACTGCGTTATGCTTACGGCGCACCCGTACTATGGACTCTGACTGACATTTCCGAAGCTTGCGATATTGCTCGAGACGATAAATCTTGCCCTTTCATCTCCTCCGCTATCAACCGACATCCTACAATCATCGAAAGCGTACCTCTATCTGATACCATCACTGACCAATGTACACCGAGAGAAGATAGTAGGATGCGTCATTGCTCAACGAATATCTACCGCCATGACTGTTGCCACTCCTTCAGAAACCTTACTTAAGGGTGATTCCAATCAAGCCACTGACCGTGACTTACCCCCTTCATCGCCGACTCACAGGCTGGTCACAGTCGACACGACCTCGGGGCTCTTTTGCAATCCAGAGGCCTTGCCTACTCCCCTCGGTATACCACGTCTGTTTGTCCCATCGGCACATCGACGGCAAGGTATCGCTAGCCGCTTGCTATCAGCTGCGGCTGCGACATTCATCCACGGTTGTCCACTAGACCCTGTCAATGGCGATGTCGCGTTTACACAACCGACCGAAGGAGGGCACGCTATTATGCAAAACTGGGGCAGAGGAGGTGTAAGAATATATGAGGAGTAACATGCTGATCAAAAGGTGTACAGTTTATGACATACCCCCGACAACGTTGAGCTCTGAGCAAGCGGCGAAAACTATGCAAGATTGGGATTGCAGGGCACTGTCATAGACACACAACAACAGAAACTACTGTCACTTTGAATACCTTTGTAAGCTACTCACGAAAGATACAGTACGGTACTGTATCTTTGACATAGTAAACTCTTAATCGCTAAAGAAGACTTACAGTACATGTACATGCGCAGAAGTGATGTGACTGGCTCGAAATGTATGTTGAGGCATCAAAGTCAGTTACTAACTCGCATAGATTGCTGATGGAGAGAACGCAAGGCAATAACAAGTTGCTGCGCCTCAAATTTGTCGATCCTCTTTTCTCGCACAGAATCGCGCAAAAGGATATTGACGTCCTCCTCTGACCATGTTGCTGCAAGAAGAAGACGCGACTGATTCTTGATGCCCAATGTCATAAGTTCCTCCAGTAAATGGCCAAGCGCTGCACGACTGAGGAAGTTCCTGATAGGTGTTGTGTGGTGGGAGTCATTCGCCGATACTGTAGTACTCGCAGATGACGCACGCCTTGGCTGATCGCTGTGCTTGCGCGAGGTGGTATCATAGTCTATTGACATGGCCGCCAGCGTATCTGGAGATGGTGAATGATTCATAGTTCGAGAAGCATCCGTTAGAGTAGGACTCGGCGGGGAATCTGAGATGGGTGACTTGACCAAACTCGAGTGAGTTGCAGTACGCTTTTCAATGTAACGGATGTCAATCACCTTTTGCACCATACTACCTTGGAGACCATCAGAGATAACCATACGAGAAGCTTCTTCATTTGTCTCGTCCAACTCAGAGATCGCCTGTATTATTATGAAATGCGGAAGCTGTCGGAGATGATAAAACCTTCTTACCTGGGATCTGTTGTGGAGAGTTGTAAGACCCGCCGGTGGCTCAGAATTCGCTGGCGTATCACGGTGTTCTTCGACGTTGTCAGACTTGTCACTGTCCCCTAGTAACCAATCTCCATCATGATCTGCAATGTCGTTACCGTGCACCATGTGATAGAAGCGTGAACTCGGCACCGCTTTGGCACCAAGATATCTATCGACATATCTGAGTAGATGTGCATTTGCGCACTCGTCATCTCCAAAAATCGGGAAGGCTTTTTGAACCTGAGTGATCAATCATGAGTACCGCTCCTATCATTGATAGACGCCCGTACATCCGCTAAGAATCGCTCTTTGATAATCTGATCCTGTTCCCGAGGTTTTCGACCGATCTCAAAGTGCTTCACCGCGAGAGTTCGTATGCGGTGCTATTCGGAAAGTCAGTTGTCAAGATACCAATATGTAGTGCATATGGTCGACATTGCTGACCTTGATCTCTTGAAACTGGACGTCTTGATCCCCGCGTATACCTAGTGCTCTGCGGAAAGCCAACTGGGTTTTTCCTCCCCTTTCTTTGACCATGAGTCTGGTTCCTACAACTTTGGGCATTTCTGAGAGTGTTAGAGCACTGGCAATGGTTGAAGATATACTCTTGATTGCACTCAGGGTAGGTATTTATCGTTTGGAGGGACTTCGAGATTATCTGACCTCTGTCAGATCACAGAGTTCACACCAGATAATCACAAAGGCTGTCAAATCAGGTAATAATCTGAAGCCGACTGAATTACCAGGGGTTAAAGGAGACATGCGACATGCATCGTGCCCTGCCTTGATGCAACGTTTTTCCGTCGAAGTGGTCACATCGAGTCACACTTTAGAAGTTCAAGACCAGCATACGGTGCTTTTGGGTTTTTCCACCACGCGTAGGCTGAGGTGACCCTCTGAGAGAGACTGTGAGCCATGAACGAAAATAGATTGCTGATGGATCTACTGTACTGTACAATGATATAGATGGATACAAAGATTCCTATAAATTTATCAGACGAAAACGCGAAGCCGTCCACCGCGGCGCTCAAGCAGACACTTCGACCGTCTTTGTGACATTGCTAGGAGGAGGCACGAAAGTCTGGTGCAATTAATATCAGCAGACAATCACGATCATCGTGGGTAAGTCCTCACCCTGGTTTTAATACCGCCAGCACTAGGTAAACGTGTGGACCCTGCGCTCAACCAAGCATCAACCTCGGCAGCAGCACCCCGTCCCTCACTAGAATATGTTCATTATTACTCGAATTTGAGGCAAGATTTCCACCTACTTGATACCCCATACAATCAATGACTGACCACGGCGACAGTCACCGGCCGCAAAGACACCCTCGACATTTGTCGTGTATTTCTGCAAGAATCGTTAAGTTCAGGAGAGCATAATAAATGTTGCAGAACAAACCTTTGGAGGTGTCTGGATATTTGATCTGACATCTTGCTTAATACCCAGGGCTTCGGGAGCTTGTGACTGTGGACCCAGGAAGCCAAGAGCTAAGAAAACCAATTGCGCAGGGAAAAACTTCCCAGACCCAGGCACCTCCTCCATCTTCCATCGCCCGCTACTATCCTTGGTCCACTCAACTCGGACTATTCCGAGATGCGAGGAATCAGTATCAAGTACAGTCTTCGGGAAGTCACGACGCACCAGTATTCAAGCCCTTGAGTTTCCCAGCATCGTCAAGAACGAATTCCTTTGTGGAAATAGAGTATTCCCGTGGATCTAAGGCAGAGTGAGGAAAGACGACAACCGACGGCAAAGATCACTCACCATTGCCAAAGTGCGCAGCAACTTCGGTATGACCGTAATCGGCCCGGAAAATTCTGATGGAAGATTGAATGAGATTGATTGTTGCATGTCGCGAAAATTGGAAGCACTGACCTAGGCCATTGCGGCCAAGGGTTGTCTCTGCCACGCGAACCTGGAGGCTTGGGTAGAAGCTCAAAGTTTGTCACAGACTTGGCGCCATGCCGCATGGATGTGCCAATGCAGTCGTTACCGGTATCACCACCACCAATGACAATAACATCTTTACCCCTTGCGTTAATGTACGACCCATCCTGCAGCTCTGAGTCCAGAAGGGACTTGGTGTTGAGCTAAAGAAGGCGTTCGAAAATTTCAATTAAAGTTAGGCGAAGCACGAACCTGAAGGAATTCCATGGCAAAGTGAATGCCGTCTACATTGCGGTTTGGAATGTTGAGATCGCGAGGCCACGTTGCTCCCGTGCACACAACAACTGCGTCATTCTCTGCTCGGAGAGCGTGAGCATCAACAGTGACCCCAACATGAGCGTTTGACACGAAGGTCTTTCAAACGATTAGCGAGACTATGAATCACACGGGTTATGAAAACGCACAATCCCCTCGGCTTCCATCAAGTCCAAGCGGCGTTGTACGATGTTCTTGTCGAGCTTCATGCTAATGTATGTCAGGATTGTCGACATGATGATCTGATTATGATCGACTCACTTTGGAATACCATACATAAGAAGACCACCCATGCGATCATTGCGGTCATATACAGAGACGAGATGTCCTGCTTTGTTAAGTTGATCAGCGCATGCTAGACCAGCAGGACCGGAGCCAATGATCGCGATTCGCTTCCCAGTTCTGAAGCTCGGCGGATTAGGGGTCATCCAGCCCATCTCAAAGCCCTAATTGTTCAAAATAAGCGATATTAACAATGAAATATGTAGCCAACATACTTTGTCGATGATGGCGCACTCGATGCTCTTAATACCAACAGGTTGCTCATTAATACCCAGTACACACGCGCCTTCGCAAGGTGCAGGACAGACACGACCAGTAAACTCGGGGAAGTTGTTCGTCAAAAGTAGTCGGTTAAGAGCATCGCGCCACTGGCCCTTGAACACGAGATCGTTCCACTTGGGAATGATGTTTGAAATCGGGCATCCTGTGTCAGACTGACAGAATGGAACGCCACAATCCATGCATCGAGCAGATTGATACTTCAACTCGCTCTCAGTCAAGCGGATCGAGATCTCTTTCCAGTCTTTGACACGCTTTCTAGGGGGTCTGTATGCTTCGTTGAGTCGGTGATACTTCATGAAGCCTCGAGCTTTGTCCAATTTGTGAAGACGTTGTTTTGTGGTCGAGTCGTCGACAGTAGAATCCTCTAGATCTGTAACTGCAGGCTCATGGCGTTTGGGAGGAGCATGGATCGTTGCTGGTTCCTTCGGGAGGAGGATATCTTCTAGTCCCTCCGACGCAAGATCAACTTGACTAGCGGTACGAGATGGGACTAAGTCGATAACACTAAGCCTCATCTTTTCCTCCTTCTCTTTGGCAGCCTGCTCTTCCAACACACGCTTGTAGTCAAGTGGCATGACACGAACAAAGAGCGGGAGCAAATGGTGGAAGTCATGGAGGACGCGATCGGCAACCTCAGAGCCAGTGTAGTGACGATGGTCCTCGATGAGGCCACGCAATGCAGCGATTTCACGCGGGTCACTGACCTTTCCGAGCTCTACCATCTCCATATTGACCTTCGATGCAAAAGTGTGAGCAGTATCGAGCACATATGCGATGCCACCACTCATTCCAGCAGCGAAATTGCGCCCAGTAGTTCCTAGGACTACAACACGACCGCCGGTCATGTATTCACATCCATGATCACCCGTGCCTTCAACGACAGCGTTTGCCCCCGAGTTGCGAACAGCAAAACGTTCGGCAGCGACGCCTCGGATGAAAGCCTCGCCCGACGTAGAGCCGTACAAGCAAACATTGCCAATAATGATGTTCTCTTCTGCCTTGAAAGTCGATTGTTTAGGGGGGTAAACAATGAGACGCCCACCAGATAGGCCTTTTCCGACATAGTCGTTAGCATCACCTTCCAGTTCGATTGTAATGCCGGGCGCAAGGAAGGCACCGCAGGACTGTCCTGCTGAACCACGCATGAGGATATGGATAGTATCCTTCGGTAACCCTTCTTCCCCATACAGTTTGGAGACGCGATGTGATAACGACGTGCCAAGGGCGCGATCAGTGTTTGTGACGTCACACTCAATATGAACTGGAAGACCCTTGGTAAGAGCTGGTTCGGACTCGTCAATGAACTTGTTGTCGAGGCGGATGTACAGCTTGTGATCTTGCTGACGAACGCGGTAAGTTGCAGCGCCAGGCCGCATCTGCCAAGCAGGCTTCAAAACAGCGGACAGGTCGAGGTGGGCGGTCTTGATGGTGCGCAACTTCTCATCAACCTTGAGCATATCAGCGCGACCGACCATCTCGTTGATAGTGCGGAAACCGAGCTTGGCCATGTGACCACGAAGCTCCTCAGCGAGATAATAGAAGAAGTTGATGACTTGCTCCGGCTGTCCGGCAAATTTGCTGCGAAGCTGAGGGTCTTGTGTGGCTATACCAACGGGACAAGTGTTCACTGGAGTAAACAGGTTAGTTGCGGCACATGCCAGGAAGACGCAACACGTACAGTGACATTTGCGCATCATAATACAACCCATGGCAATGAGTGGTGTGGTAGCGAAACCCCATTCCTCGGCACCAAGCAGACATGCGATAGCAATGTCACGACCGGTACGAATCTGGCCATCAGTTTGGACGGTGACGCGACCACGGAGGTCATTCAAGACCAGTGTCTGGTGCGTTTCTGCGAGGCCAAGCTCCCACGGCAGACCAGCATACTTGATGCCAGTCCAGCGGGATGCACCAGTACCACCGTCGTGACCAGAAATGAGGATGTGATCTGCCTTTGCTTTTGCAACACCGCTTGCAACAATGCCAACGCCAACCTCGGAAACAAGTTTTACAGAGACACGTGCACGGGGGTTAGAGCACTTTAAGTCATATATGAGCTGTTTCAGATCCTCGATGGAATAAATGTCGTGGTGGGGTGGAGGAGAGATAAGCCCAACGCCGGCTGTGGAATGACGAGTGCGAGCAATAGATGTAGAAACCTTGTGTCCTGGAAGTTCGCCACCTTCGCCCGGCTTGGCACCTTGAGCCATCTTGATTTGAAGCTCATCAGCATCCGCCAGATAATTGGAAGTGACGCCGAAACGACCAGATGCCACTTGCTTGATAGCAGAACGCATAGTGTCACCGTTTGGGAGCATTTGAGAGCGCTCTGCATCCTCACCGCCCTCACCAGTGTTTGACTTACCGCCGAGACGGTTCATCGCGACAGCAAGCGTGGAGTGGGCCTCCATGGAGATTGACCCATATGACATAGCACCTGTGACGAACCTACGAACAATTTCATTCCAAGGCTCGACCTGTTCGATAGGAATAGGGGTAGCTTTCTCATAGCAAAAGTCAAGAAGTCCACGCAGATGAACACTCTTCGTTTGCTCATTCGCATTACGAGCGTACGCATCATAGGCGGTTTGGTTCTTCTCACGAACAGCATCTTGCAGACTGGCAATGCCAGCGGGATCATTGATATGTGCTTCTCCTCCATCACGCCAGTGGTACTCTCCCGATTCGGGCATTCCTGGAGGTAAGATGGTTTCCCTAGAAGGCCACCCACGTTCATGAAGCTCGAAGGCATCCACAGCAAGTAAGTCAAACGTGGCCCCCTGTACGCGAGATGCAGTACCAATAAAGCAGCGGTCCACGACTTCACTGTGAAGACCGAGCGCTTCAAAGATCTGAGCACCCTTGTATGACTGAAGTGTCGAGATGCCCATTTTCGACATCACTTTGAGGATACCATTATCGATGGAGTTGTGGTAATTGGTTAGGAGGTCCTTCACCGTCTTCTCGCCTTTAATACTGTGAAACATTGCTTGATTAGCAAGAAGAAACTCGATAGACGTATCCAACTTACAGACCCTCCCGTGCAACCTTGTGAATCGTTTCCAGCATTAACCATGGGCATATCGCGTCAGCTCCATACCCAACCAAGACACAGATGTGGTGGACTTCACGAGCCTCTGCAGTCTCTACCATCAGGGCAACCTTGGCACGCTGCTTCTGTTGTGTCAGGTGGTGATGAACGCCACCACATGCCACCAACGCGGATAGAGGGACACGGTTTGGCCCTGTGGCACGGTCACTAAGGATGATGACCTTGATCCCATCCTCAATGGCTTGGGATGCCTCGCTGCAGACACGTTGCAATGCGAGCTGATATCCTGGGAGCCCCCCTTCTTTTGGGAACGTTATGTCAATAGTGATGGAGGGCCACCCTGTGTATGCAAGTTTCAGATTCTTCATTGCGTTCATTTCCTCCAAGGAAATCAAAGGAGAAGGTAGAAGAATGCGGTGGCACTGTTCCGGCTTCATTTCGAGGAGATTGCCCTCAGGGCCGACGTATGCTTCGAGTGACATGACAATGCTTTCCCGAATGGAGTCGATAGGAGGATTGGTAACTTGGGCGAAGAGCTGGCGGAAATAATCATAAATGAGGCGAGGCTGAGTAGCCATCGCTGCTAATGGAGCGTCGTTGCCCATGGAGCCCAACGCTTCCTTGCCAGTGTCTACCATAGGCAGCATTAGGAGGCTAAGTTGCTCTACGGTATAGCCGAACGCAAGGAGCTTAGGGTCACTGCTTAGAGGCGAATCGTCAATGACCGTGTCTAGAGAAGTGTTGCTACGAATGATGCGCTTGATGATATTAGGGACATGAAGGACGTGGCTTTCAACCCACGAAGCAAAATTCTGCTTAGCAGCAGTATTGCGCTTCAACTCCTTGTCATCGACAATCCTTCCCTCAAGTGTGTCAACCAACAGCATCCGGCCAGGCTTTAAACGTCCCTTCTGAACTACTTTCTCAGGAGGAATGAATACTGCGCCAACCTCGGAAGCGCAGACCATGATATCATCATTGGTGACGATGTAGCGACATGGTCTTAGACCATTTCGATCAAGGTTCGCACCGCAGTATCGGCCGTCGCTGAAGGTGAACAGGGCAGGACCATCCCAAGGCTCCTGAAGACAAGCAGCCCAATTATAGAAGGCGCGTTTCTGTACATCCATGCTCTCGTTTCCTTGCCAGGCTTCGGGTATAAGCATCATGACAGCTTCGGGTAATGTGACAACACCATTGACGACGAGCAACTCAAGCACGTTGTCAAATGCAGCAGAGTCAGATCCACCAGTCTCGATGATGGGATAGAGCAAGTCGAGTTGATCGCCGAAATGAGTAGAAGAAAGTACACCTTCTCGAGCTCGCATCCAGTTCTTGTTGCCGCGCACGGTGTTGATCTCACCTAAGGATTCTATGTCAGGGCTTACCTAGCGTCAGGTGGAGAACACTAACCGTTGTGAGCAGCCCATCTCATTGGCTGAGCTCGATCCCAAGAGGGAAACGTATTTGTGGAGAATCGAGAATGCACCAAAGTAAAATGCGAACGATACAGGACGTGATTGAGATCATGGTAGTAATTGTATACTTGTGGGGGAGTGAGCTGTCCCTTATATACGATGTTCTTCGAGGACAAAGAACAGACGTAAAAGCCGTTGGCAAGCGTACTTCATACAACAAAAAGAAGATTCGCAGACGGGTGTTAAGCTTGGTACATGAACTAAACAGATTAAAGTCACAAACATGGTGTGCGTCGCGTGCTTGCGCAAAACGTACAGTTGTCGCTCGAAATGCTTGGCATCGAAAGGTCCATTTTGACTATCGATTCCATCACCGTAATGGTCGCGTAGGACGATAAAAGGCTGATAAATTGCAGGTTCCTTGCTGCTTGCAGCAGGACCAAGGATCGTGCCATCGGTCGGAACTTGACGCCAGCCTAAAACCCGAAGGCCCAGTTGACTGGCAATATTGGCGAAAACAGATTGGTTGGTTTGCAGTTGAATGGGATCATTTGCCTTGAAGAAAACATTGCCGACGGCATATTGGCCTAGTGTAGGAAGAGTGCATCCAATATCCCGTTCTGCTTCGCGCTTGAAAAACTGATGGGGAATTCCAGTCATGACACCAGCACCATCACCGTCACGACTATCAGCACCAGTGGCGCCTCTGTGCGTCATTGCACAAAGTAATTGACGAGCATCAGAGACAATTTTGTGGCTATGTTCGCCCTTGATATGGCAGATAAAACCCACACCACATGAGTCCTTCTCATTTTCGTTGGAATATAAACCCTGATTCGCAGGAAGAGATCCTGCCCAGGAGTTAGGATCACGTTCTACGGCATGAAAGCCATTATCGGCCGTGGACGTCTCGTCAGCAACGAGGGGTAGAGAACTTGTGTGATGATGATGATCGAAAGGAACAGGGGGACTTGCCATAGGAAAAGAAGCGGACGAGTCTGACAATAATGAGCTAGAAAAGAGGAAAGTTTTTTGAGTTTTGATCAAAGACGCTGAAGGGGACAGGAAGATGGTAGTCCGAGTCAGAGAGCAAAACGATCGAATTTGTAGCTTGACACTAGTGACAGGAGTCAGACCAAATTACCAAAATTAGGAGGCTCACGTGAAAGACGAGCCGAAAACTCCCGATTCATTCCGATGGCTACGGGGAAGTCAATCAAAGCCTCCCCGCTGGTGACACTCGCGCAAAGGATACAAAAGCTTGATTCAAGTTTCAGAGCTACGATGCGACATATCGTGCGCATAAATAAATATGGTGGATGTTCAAGCTTGCAAGTTCTGCTTCGACAGTGCTACACTGAGCAAGATGCCATCAGGGACGATTTCTCACCCTTTATTGCCTCGATGAAGTTTAGTCTCCGCATGCGGTAAGGCTTCGACGGAATAGACCTCCGTGAGGAGCATACGGGAGACCGTCTTTTAACGTTTGACAGTGACACTGGATTCGCCACTGATCCGCTCCAATCTCACTCCTCCCTGCCATCAATGTCTTCACGCTGGCTTACTAGAGTTTCCGCGATACTGAAACACGAGATCACTGCCTTTGGGTGTACGGGCGACAACTGGAAGTACGTTTCACCTAGTAACGGCCTAATGCTGCCACTGATGATTCATAATTACACCAATATCACCATCAATTACACAGACCTACATCGGGCGTTGCCCAAAGACATTTAACTGCCACTAGAATTATGAATCCCGCTGTGGCAGGGAGAGCACAAAAATTAAATGAATGTGACATTGAATTCACAATTTACATCGCAAAGGTTTTCCTCACTCCTGCAACAAAGGACCGGGACCGGCATCAGCTCCCTAACGTCATTCGCGGCCCTATGGCCACGGGTTCTATGGTCCTCATGCGAGATCGGGAGATAACCCGACGAGAAGTCGAATGACCTTGAAATGTGTGGTCCAGCAACTACGCATGAGACGTGCTCCAAACGTCATAGTGTATCATAGAACTCCAGGAAGAGAAATTGAGCCCATGGACGAGTGTCTTCGCGTTTTCCCTTGAACCAGAACGTTAGCCTTTTTAAATTCCGTGCGTCTGCTATCATGCGATTAAAATACTGCCTCCATAAAGGGATTCCGAAGCGTCCGATTAGGCGCTATATGGCTGTCAGTCACAACCCTGCTATAAATTCAACCAGTATCGCTGACCTGAGTAACCAGACCTGTCAGCGTAATTTCCTCAATGTCCTTGGAAAGTGGTGTGCAGCATATTTCTGCCGGCAGCCAAATCATGAAATCAAGTCCCAAATTTTTGACAGGTACTGTGGAGGGGTCGATGAAGTCGCGTCCCACTGGTGTGTACATGTTGGCCTTTGAAACGTACAGTGTGAACTGGGCGTCCAGGTACAAGGGCTTTTAGAAAACAAGAGTTGGCAGAGATTTCTGTTAGAAGTGGCAGAGACGTGGGAAGAAACATCTCCTCGCGTTTGGGATCGATATCGAATGTGGGCATGCCAGTGAGAGCAAGATCACGGATGCTATCCTGCCTATTCAAAAAGCTTAGGAGTCGGCGGTTGACACGGTAGGTACAATGAAAAATATGAAGCTCGGCATCACAGTACTGAAGGACGGACGAGTATTCATGCTTTTGGGAATGGATAAGCTTGAGCGTTGAGAGGCAGGTCATATTTTTGAGGGCCGACGTGAGATTATCTAGGTTCACCTCGGGACCGTCGTAGACCATGATTGTCGGATATGTGAATACGAAAGATTTGACTTTCTCTGCGAGATGGGGACACTCTGCGAGCGTAGTACACACGTCCGAGTTGTCGACCGTGATGGACTCATACAGAGAGTCAACTACTGCGTGATAGAGGCCGGCGCACACTCTGCAGAGTACAGCTAGGTCATTAGAGGAAAATTTGCCGAAAGAGAAAACGAGGAGCCACAGCTCAACAGGTAACTTCAAGTCGTTAGTCGGCATGAGGGGCTTAGCACTATCACCTTGTTCATACAAGGTCACTCTCAACTGACAATTGTGGCTGTGGTGTTCCACAACGTGCGAAAAAGCCAAACAATTAAGTAATCATAACCACATGTCGGCCTAGAATAATTGATTTCATGTTCCGCATTTTGCTCCAGCACCACCGACACTCATTTTCCACACCCTGGACCTAGCCTACGTTTGGGATAACGCCCTTCAGGATGCAATCAAGGTGAGATTCGCTGACTCATCATCGCCCCTTTTCAAAAGACTTACTTGACAATGACATAGTCTATTAGCATCCAGCCCTCTTTGACAGGCTATATCTCCAAGGGTATCGCTCTCTGCAGACAAGGCCATGTCCCAGATGCGAGGGCAGCATTTGATGTTGCATCAATGTACACGGACCAAGATTCACAAACCCTCCAAGGCCAAAGCTGCGGCTTTTGGGCTAAGCTGGGCCGGAACATCACTAGGTCCCTGGTCATAATGCTTGTCGTGGAACAATGTCATGTGGTCTACAGGGCATTGTGTCGTGACAAGCATTATGACCCAGTTGATGCACGGAGAAAGCGACAGTTGATACGGTAACGTCATCTGGCAGAGTCAGCTGCAACGCAGGAAGCCAACTCGGAGGCGCTCTGCAGGACACGCTTGACTCCACCCCAAAACAGGGAGATACCTTTTGTTCCTGGGGAACAGCTGATAATATTTTGATACGACTGGGGTAAGCAGATTCTGCAAGGTCAGAGTCGGCGGGGATACCTCCCAGCTGTACAATATTCGAAGTGGCTTACTACATATGAACAAATTAGACACGGCCCTCCTCAGGTTTTTCGGAACGAGGGGCTAGCCTGAATTCCCTATTACCGAGCGAAGGCGTTGAAGTTATTTGCATACAGACTGCATATAAAACAGGAGGATTCCACACAATCTAACCATTCAGCGGCATATGGGACAGGTTTCTCAGAAAGAAGGGCTAGCCTGAATTCCCTATCACCGAGCGAAGGCGTTGAATTCATCTGCATACAGACTGCATATAAACAGCAGGACGGTATCATGTTTCTCTCAGCCCCCAACTTCTCCACACTCAGCGTTTGTGTGCGGTTTCTACTGTTTTGGCTATGAACGCTTTCCCAGTAAGCTGCTGCATCCTACCTGACTTTGACACTCATCCTGACCGAACTCCTAGAATGGCACTCGAGTCCTCTACTGCATATCTGGCGGTGAAATCAAGTACGGTACTGTGCAGGCCACCATCCATATGACTGATGTAGGAATTCTACATCATTTCAGAAGACATTCTTCTCATGAGTCATATTATAGGGCACTCAGATTGTGGTGGTGAAGGTAGATGGGGAAGGCCACGCACAGCTACCGTGGGTGTCCTCCGCTGATTCATAAGTGATGTCATTTTCTAATAATACGTTCACAGAGTGTCTAGCCTTGTAAAAGTAAACCAATGAAATTTTCAACCTATAGTAACTCATCCGTTTATATCTGCGATCGATTTCTTGCACTTTAGTCGAGGAGATCCTGGGATCAATCAATCTGTTGGGATCTGCCTTTCAAGGTCGTGTGGCATGTGAGTTACCAAGGGATTGGGAACTGATAAATCCGGCGAGAGCATTTTGCAGCCCCAGAAAACGCATGTCTTTGATTTTCCAATAAACAGTTTATGATTGTCCCGCACAGCTGGGGTGACTACTGGTGACTGGTGACTAGGCAGAGTGAACAGAGCATGGGTAGGTTTCGTCGCGGAAGTAAAAAAAACATCCACATCATTGGCTATAAACCGAGGATACATCGGGGTTCGCGGGGGTTTCCTTTGACAAAGACTCGTGGAGAAATACTATCTGGAATCAAATGATATACCCTCTAGGCCTGGCAAGTGGCAATAACTGACCTTCTAGAACCGAATGAGTCGTTTTTAACCTCTGGCCGTTGTCGTCTTCCTCGCTTCACAGAAATTTTGGGCATCAAGTCGCAAACACACACAACTAGAAATTTGGGGGGTGTGTCATTGGTATGTCAGTTATTGAACGGCACTCGATCGAGAAGCGGATACGTCGCATATTGGGACCGAAACAAGCACTTCCTCCCAATTCAAGTTGAGGGGAAACAATTCAATATCATCAAGGACCTTGGAACATGGATCTATTGCTTCACACCAGCCACGATGAAGGAGTGACGCACTACGGACTACAAGAACGGGCCACCAACATGGTCCTTCAGCTAGCGAGCCGGAAATCTTGGATAAGGTTAAGGAGATTGCGAAGGTGCACAATACCATAAAGGATCATATTCCCTAGTTGCTTTGGCACCACCAGTTCACGAATCTCACGTCCGCCATCTGAGAGGCGCTCGGCGTTCCAGACCCTACCACGGGCAGTCGCGTGCTCTAGATTTGTTGTATTCCTCAAGCTCCTCCCCATCACGAAGCTTCACGGCAAAGAGTTTTTCGACGTCTGGCGTCAGTGTGCACTCATGTATGTATTCCATTGGATTTGTGTGGCTCTTTGTTGACATGACAAGCGCTCAAACAACTCCAAGTCGATGTGCCTATTAAGATAAAATTCTTTTGGCTGTCCGAATCTGGATCAACCCGAGGAACAAGATGGTACGGGCGAAGAACTTGATTAACCGGTACGATCACTGTCAGGGCCACGCTGAGGTGAAGACCTGAGCTCTGCAAATTTTCATCAAAGCTTTCTAACTGCATATGATTCATGGAGCGCACGACGAGAATCTACCCTTACACCAGGGGTTACGAATAGGCTGTTTCCTCATCTTCACAGCAATAAAAAGGACTATAACTATTGTGAAAGCGTGGCTTCACGAGCACATTTAAAAGTATATGATATGAAGCCATCAGAAGTCGGATGCTTCATCAACCCAGCAACATCCTCTGATCAGTTCCGCCAACGTGTTTTCCATGCTCGGATGAATCTGAGAGTGGAGAGAAATGCAGGCAGGGCAATTAAGCCTCTATAGTTGTGGTCGGTTGTGATTCAGAGTCCAAGTACGGTTTAACTTGCGTTTAACTGATGGCCCAAGAGTTGGGAACACAGCAAGTCCTCGGACAGCGCCAATATTCTCAAAGTGTTGGATTGGCCTTGGGCATGAGCGCTCGTGCACTGACCGCCAAGGACCGACGATACCTCGTAATAAACGACTATCTTCCTTTGATAAGTCTGACTAGGGGAGACTACATATCAGTTCGACTGCTCCCTTGGGCGAGTTTCGTCGGAAATTGCCATACCGGTAACGGTTAGCAATGCTCGGGCCAACGGCACTCCCTGATACCCACGTCTGTGAATGATGGATTCTGCTAAGCCGCTCATTCTTCGATATGAACATGAAAAAAAACACTTCTTACAGTGGTACGGCTCACACCTAGGCCTCATCTTTGCTCATGAGTCACGCGGGGGTTGATGATGACCGTATGTCGGTGCACGGTCCGGTTGAAAATCGAAGGGCGATGCTCGAGACCACGAAAACGAAGCATTGAAAATGTTGAGGAAGCAACTTCAAAGTCCAATGACAGTCTTCGTGTTTGCACGTAAGTAGCAAGCAAAGCCTCGGGCCCAGGGCCCAAACTCAGCAAAAGATGACTCCACGATGTTACCTTTGATTGTACGGAGTCTTATACCGTCGAGCACTACTCGAATCCCACTTTGACCGGCCGTATCGCTTCAACATAAGTTATTGAAATGAATACAATTGTGCAGTAGTCGTGCTTGGTTGCTGATCCGTTTGCTATTGCTACGGATCATTACCTTTGATCACTGAGCAAAGATAAACTGATTTAACTATCGAAGTCTGCGGTGCCAAGTCAAGACATCTCGGCCGAACAGTCCTAGATTTTCCAGCGGCACGAAGGCGGGCCGCGAACACCAGGTCACACCTGAGACACGGTCAGAAAAGGACAGCTGTGATCCATATCTCCAGACATATTATGAATGCATTATATTTGAATATGTCCCCCCAATTAGCATCTGTCGCGGACTTTTATTTGCTTGGGTCTCAGGTGTCAGCACAAGCTGCGGTCAGCTGGCAAGACGAGAAGGAACTCCAGAGGGGATGTACGATGGTCACACGAATATAATCTATCGGTTCCTTCTCCGATACCGAGGAGTTCTTCTTCATGGTTGTTGCGACCCCAAAGTCGAAGGCATAAGAAACGCTTGGGAAAGGGACGCAACACAGGAGGTTCGTGACAGTGTCGGTGATAATAGGACCCAGTCTGTTAACTTATTATTTCCGACCGGATGATAGTTGGGGAAAGACGCGTATCCACTTTAGGACCGAGAGAAGCACTTAAAATTTTGGGGAGTAGCACTGCTCTGCGGACATGATCATGAGGTAAGAACTGACCAGAGTCCCATCTTTTGGTAGATCTGATGGTACCATGTTTTGCCATGCTCCAGAATCTTGGATGCAGATGGGCTTGATGTGAATCAGAGTTCTGTCTCATCAAATAATCAGAGAAACAACTGACGCGGAGTTGGTGTGGGCATCTTTCCCTGATTGGGTTGATGTTCAAGGATGTACAATTCGCAATATTTGATTTACCAAGAGGAATGCGTTGCTGAATATGGAGCATAGAAGCATCACCAAGACCGAGGACTTACTTCATTGCGCCTTAAGGGATTAAAGGAGAGAATGGCTCAGCGCCAGCGCTGCCTTGCCTGTTGCAGCTCACTTGATATCAATCCCGGGGAAGTCGGATGTGTAAGTCCGAACGTCGAAGCGAATGCAGAAGTTTCTGGAAGTTCAAAAACCGGTCACATCTCTACAGGCGACTCGGAAACCGAGTAAAAAAACAACAGGCCGACGGCACCCAAAAGAGTACTCGCCGATAAAAACTGAATTGAGTATCGCGATAAATATGACTATTTCGTAGATTCGTAGGCTGGTGGAACAGAGCGATCGATGTAGATATTGTGTTGGATACATACAAAAACTATCCAGCACCATCGTGGAGTGCACAGCAAACAGCCGCTGGAGGCGTCCTTCAGCTTTCCTCGTAAACAGGGACACAACGACTCGCCTTTATGATGGCCATTATACTGTCTCACAGTCTCTCCAGATGCCATCTCCCAGAGCCGGGCAGTGTGATCCGAGGACGCTAAGAGTTGAGTGGATACATAAGGCTATTATAGAGTCGACAGGTGAATGAATTTCTCACCTGTAACAAGATAAGCTGAATCAGCACTGAATGCGCAATCCCAAACCCATCGTTGGTGGCCTTGAAGAATCTTCTCTTGTCTGAATTCATAATTTTGTGATATAGACCATATCTTCACGGTGGTATCTGCAGAACACGTGGCAAGATATCTGCCTCTCATTCAGAGACTTTGCCAAATCGGTAGCTCAAATGCGCTCACTTCACATCTGGACTTAGTAACACCCTAGTGAGATACTTCTTATGGGCGCTGAACTTTGTCACTGCCTGGTAACGAGGTAGGTCTGATTTCTCCTCGTTAATTTTCCAGACGTAGCATTTGCCCTACGCCAAAAATGTAAACAACGAATCATCAAAAGGTAGATAGTACCTTATTATTTCCTGCAACTAGGCAAGAGCCATCAGATGCCAAGCTGACGGACCGAATAGGAACATCGCCTGCAGGCGTCTCCGACAGGATGTCAACCAATGACGACTGCAACCTTGTTCTGAACATACCAGCTCGTGCGAGCAGAGATTTTCGGATAAATCCCACTGCTTAATGCAACCCGCTTGATCGCAGGATATGAGTTCTCCCTGATTTGGATGGACACAGACATCATTCACTTGGGAGTTTGAGGGATCAGCAACAGTCATGAAAGAAGGGATAATACTTGCCAGGGGCACCGTTATCGTACGTTCTATGCACTTGTGTACTTCTGCGTGGATGTTATGCGCTTGAGGCTTTAGGAGTCATAGTGAGACCGCCCACCGAAGATCCCATATTCTGATGGTGCCGTCTTCACTACCCGTCACCAACCACTTACCTTCGCTGTGGAAGGACACGGAGGTTACATTATTTGTATGTGCATCTAGGCACGTTAGCTAAAGGAGATAAATAGATGGAGATGGTAGCAAATATTAGGACGCGCACTGGTGTCGAGGAGGTGCTGGTAATCTCATAAATGTAGACCTTTTTGTGAATTGCTGCAGCCAAAAGGCGTTTGCTAAAATAAAATGAATTTATCAGTAAATTCATACATGAAGAAACAGGACAATAAGATTACTCGGGTGAGATGGCAAGACGATTCACTTGCTAATTCTTGTATAAGTCTTGACGACGTAAAATGGTAAAACGTTTTGCTCACACCAGACTCTCCAGATCTTGCTATAGTACGCGAACAAATCCCACTCCACGCTTCCCAGAACCTGATTTCATGATCATAAGATCCAGTGACAAGGATTACAGACATCTTGGCGTTCTTGAACAAAGAAGGGCTGAAGATGTGACAGCGTGACCTGTGACGAATGCAATGTGATTATTACTCATCTTACCTAAAACACTGGTTTGACGCTGGTATCAATATTTTGAAGGTTGAAGGTTGAACTCTGTACCTTTGCCTGACATGATACTTTTATTCGTGGCACATTTCTGGAGATCCAAAGATGAGGGTCCACTGAGTTCTCAATATTCGACTTCATATTCATGAAACGGAGCTCTGACGGATCGACTCCGAGGATCAACATGACGATCCGGAGTAGGGTGAGTTGCGACCCTTTGTCATTTACGCTACTAGTTGATGAAGTGGAACTATTTAACATGTGGCAGTTTACCTGTGCGTATTTGCTCTGGTATAACATTGAGCCCGTGCACCTTCCACAGTCTGCGTGCGCGGCGCACGGATTGTTACGTGTTAGCCGCAAGGCAAGGGTTGTCTTTTGGGTCTGTACCTCAGCTTCTTAGACCTCATTCATTCAAAATTTCATGACCCTTCTCAACGGGCAGGCATCGCATTTGATTTTAAGTTCAGCCTCATCGGATTCTCGAACGGCGAGACTAATCTCGATATCATCCATCCAAATCCAAATGAAATTAGTAAAGCTTTCGGCAATTGTTCCTTGGGTTGCCACCTAATTAACGTGTCTATAGGTTTCCTTCACTGTAAGCGACCTCGCTCATTTCCACACAATCCAACCATTCAGCGGCATATGGGACAGGTTTCTCAGAAAGAAGGGCTAGCCTGAATTCCCTATCACCGAGCGAAGGCGTTGAATTCATCTGCATACAGACTGCATATAAAACAGGAGGACGGTATCATGTTTCTCTCAGCCCCCAACTTCTCCACACTCAGCGTTTGTGTGCGGTTTCTACTGTTTTGGCTATGAACGCTTTCCCAGTAAGCTGCTGCATCCTACCTGACTTTGACACTCATCCTGACCGAACTCCTAGAATGGCACTCGAGTCTTCTACTGGGCATCTGGCGGTGAAATCAAGTACGGTACTGTGCAGGCCACCAACCGTATGGCCGATGTAGGAATTCTACATCATTTCAGAAGACATTCTTCTCATGAGTCATATTATAGGGCACTCAGATTGTGGTGGTAAAGGTTGATGGGGAAGGCCACGCACAGTTACCGTGGGTGTCCTCCGCTGATTCATAAGTGATGTCATTTTCTAATAATACGTTCAGAGTGTCCAGCCTTGTAAAAGTAAACCAATGAGATTTACAACCTATAGAGCCCATCCACATAGAGTTATTTATTGCATATCCCACATTCATGGACCTACAGGATCATCGCATCACTAGTACTGTATTCATTCGTCTCGTCGCACATGTAACTCATCCATTTATATCTGCGATCGATTTCTTGCACTTTAGTCGAGGAGATCCTGGGATCAATCAATCTGTTGGGATCTGCCTTCCAAGGTCGCGTGGCATGTGAGTTACCAAGGGATTGGGAACTGATAAATCCGGCGAGAGCATTTTGCAGCCCCAGAAAATGCATGTCTTTGATTTTCCAATAAACAGTTCATGATTGTCCCGCACAACTGGGGTGACTACTGGTGACCGGTGACTAGGCAGAGTGAACGGAGCATGGGTAGGTTTCGTCGCGGAAGCAAAAAAAAACATCCACGTCATTGCTATAAAGCGAGGATAAATCGGGGTTCGCGGGGGTTTCCTTCGACAAAGACTCGTGGAAAGATACTATCTGGAATCAAATGATATACCCTCTGGGCCTGGCAAGTGGCAATAACTGACCTTCTAGAACCGGATAGGCCGTTTTTAACCTCTGGCCGTTGTCGTCTTCCTCGCTTCGCAGAAATTTTGGGCATCAAGTCGCAAACACACACAACTAGAAATTTGGGGGGTGTGTCATTGGTATGTCAGTTGTTGAACGGCACTCGATCGAGGAGCGGATACGTAGCAGAGGCTCGAGCTTAACTTGGTCGTTCAGCATGCTCAATTACACGGTTCAAATTGCGTCTACATCACTATTGTGAAGAAGTTTCTAACGTAATTTACATATGCATTATTATGTTAGAGAATCGCTGCTAGATCAGGAAATCTAATTCTACGTGCTTGCTACGACCGCTACAATGACACTTATCCTAGTAATACGTAGCGCCACGATTGCGCAGTATCATTATGTATGTCGAGATCGACTGTGTGAATGTTGAGCAAGTGTATGTGTTACATAAATTAGACAGGATCGGCTGTCGGAAAAACTCACTATTCTTGAGGTCATACAAAACTTTCACAGTGCACTAAAACACATCTTGATGTGACAGCACTTCTTGTCTTGCGAGAGGACCGACGGGACGCAATGCCGTCCTACAGCTCACCTCGATACTTATAATAGTATAAGTCTCGGTATACATGGCAATATCTGTGATTGAGATCTGGCGATACGTGCACATGAAGGTCTAAATAAGGTAATTTTCATTCAGTGACTCGGAGCTCCTACCTATGTGTGTATATATATCAACAAACTTATCCCCTCGATCTATTCGTAAGTGCCGGTAATTTTGTAGCCACACTTTTTCGCAGGGATTGCTGTGACATATCATCTCCATTCCACCCCAAATGCATGCTCCGTAACGAACACTATAGCTGCATTTAAATTGCTATGTGAGCTGAGCACCGATTTCATTCGAGCTTGGTATGTTCCTATCAGATAATAAGTATAAGTGATAGTGTAATTCCATAGTTCTAGCACAACATTAGGAAATCCAGATCAAGCTGAGTCCAAACAGGACGGAAGCCCGAAGGAAAGGCGCTGGTTGAATGAAATATGCGGCAAAATCGCCAGTGCCTGTCTATCGGACCATACGACGACACAGTCCTGGATTGGCAAGTGTGTCGTTGCTGAAGAAATAACCTTCTAACAGACCAGTATGGAAGTGTGCTTGCCCCCTTAGTAAAGACCTCAAAATGCAACGAGCTCACTTATGTATTGAATGTAGGCACTTCCTTTCGGTCCTGAGCGTGACAAAATATTATGCGCCATATCTGTGAAGAACAATCCACTTACTCTGATCATTATACTAACTCGTTGGCCAGCCTTGATGTCACCGCCCGCTTTTAGTACAGAGTGCTTATAGTCATACCGCACGCTGTCCCTACTTTGACTTTTAGCTTCAAGTTGAAGGCATATCGACTGCACTTGCACTTGCATTTGCAAATAAACACTACCCGATGGGAGTAGAACCTCGAAGGACTCTTCTGGGTTGCTTGTCGACTCCATCCGTAATACTCTGGCGGCCCCAAGGCTAACACCGAGAATCCAAGTTCCACTGGCTTCTATATTATCCACATGCTCGAGAATCTCCCCTACGGATGATAGGTGTAGAATATGTGTTTGTATGTTCGAGGTTGGATATAGCCCTTGCAAACGAGCTAGAATGAACGAAAGACCCGGATTCTGATCCTCCGGCCAGGATGACAAGTGCATCTCACGATAATGTCGTATCACGCCATCATAATGGCCCTGTGATTATTGATCAGCCAAACTCTTGACAACGAATACGATATGCAACCTCTTGGAAATTATAGTATGCGTCGGGAAGGAAAATGTCCTCAATCACACGATGCTCCTGCGGGTGGTTGGCAAGGAAGTCCCTCCGTTGCTTCCGAGCTCGTTTGGTTTCGGTAGAGTCGAGTTTAAAGAGTGCGGCGGAGAGCAGTGTGCGCTGCTCGGAGAGGGACAGAAATTCCGGGAAAAATTTGAATCCTTCCGGGAGGCCAGCGGACCTGGTTCGTAAGGTGTGCATTTCGCGTGACAACGGTGCATATAACAATCGTCTATAGCTGGCAGAGAACATCTTCGACCAGACCACGAACTTCAAGAGATGTAAGATGAAAAGTTGATGTGTCAATCATACAAGAGTGGAATGGATGTTGACAATAGCAGAGAGTTTGCAACCAGTGGTTGTCAACTCTTCCGAGTCGAAGTTTGAGCTCCGCTGCATGAAGTATTACCTTTTACCGACTACACAGAAATTTCGAAAGCGATAACTTATCTGACGGTACTTCTCGGGGTTCAGCAACTTAGCTGGTGTGAATGTCGACAAATCTTCAGGACAATGCGTCCAAAGAACAACAAGGCAATTCGTTGTACGCAGCACTCGCCAGAACCGCCACAAGGGGAGTAGCACTTTACTTTTCTCGCCCGGTACGATTATTCCGACCAGCCAAAGGTTTGTCTGTCTGGATATTTTTGTAATAGTCTCGTTGACAACGCTCATCATTGAGTGAGCGGTTGGCACTCTCTTCGTGGTCATGCTAATAAGCATGGGGCATCTTTAAGTGTCCAGTACATATCCACGCTCGTGAAAAAGCAAGGTGTAGTGTTCTTTAGTAGTTATGTCATACCTTTACTTTAATTTTAATCAGGCTTTGACAGTTCATGGTGATTCCAAAACATTTTGTGCCGCCAATGGTCGCAAATGCGATGTTGGGTACTGTTCTGTGGACGACCTACACAGAATCATCTAATTACCTGGAAGCGCGTCTGGGGACGCACCCAACTTTAATCGCTGCGCTTTCGGGCGCTGCTGCTGGGGGTACGCAAGCCTTGATCGCGGCTCCTGTAGAGAATACCCGTCTTATTATTGAGGGTGGCACCGGTAGAGGATGGTCTCATGCGTGGCAAGAAGTCTTCCGAGGAACCGAACCCCCAAGATCAGCCAGTAGAGTGGACAATATAAAAGAGATAAGACAGGTCAGGCATTGGATGAAAGAGGTGTCCGAAATGGCTGGTCGGGGGTGGGATGGTTGGGGTTGGGGATGTGCCAAAGATGTTTGCGGTAATACCCCCATGAGTCACAACCCGCACTTTCTGAGATTTCATCGTTGTCCAGGCTTTGCTGCATTCTTTATGATATTTGAAATCACTCGTAGAGTGGCATTAGCTTCCAAAGCTGCAGCGCAAGGCACTATCCAAAATTTATCAACGACCCCAGAGGAACACTTCTTCGGCCGCCATTTTCCACGTGCCATTCATGGCATTACCTTAGTGGCAGGAGGGGCATCGGCGGGTTTGGCATACGAGATCCTCAGCAGGCCATGGGACGTAACCAGGCGCACAATTCAATCAGAACGAACCGTTGATCCCACTCTGAAACATTCACTATTCGTGATTGTGCAGAAAATTCGTGGGGATGGGATAATACATTTTTTCCGTGATCCTTCGACTGCGGGCAGCGAAAAGCCGGAGATGCCTACCGCTCGTCGTCGGATATATTCCGGCGTCCGCACGCTTGCTCGAGTCGGCCCATGGGGTTTGGGCTTTTTGGTATGGGAGGCTTTCGGACCGGGTTTGTCCTGACAGACTACGATCGGCGTGTGGATAAGATGTATCCCAGGTACTTATCCCATGCAGACAGGTTAGAATCGTGCAACGTAACCCCATTTTCTCACCGTATTTCTCACAACGAGTGAGTACCTTTCTGGTGATAAACAACACAGTTTGCCAGCGGCAGAGGTGAATTCATGTGCAGATTTTACCGATAGACGCTAATAAGCTCAAGTATTCTGCCTACGATGTTTCTAGCCAAGGGAAGTCCAACTCAAAAGGTCGATCGTCTTACGTACGTACGATCTTCGCACTAGCGGCTGCACAGCATCAACTTGTGGCACTGCCGCATCAGTGAGTGCTAACTTGTGCTATTTGAGTTCGTAGAACCGCGTTTAAAGCATGCGACCCTCCTTGGAACTTATCTTAATAAATCCGAACTTCAGATACTCACTCGTGAAGACACAGATTTTCTCCCATTCACTTTTACATCATTGCAAACGAAGGGGGCAAATCGGTGCGAAAATTTTGCGTTGTTTGAGCCATATCACTAAACTTGAAAACATGTAAAGTAAGTCAATTGAATAGTGCAATACAATTCACTGCAAGGGGCATCGCCAGGCGCTAACAGTCTTTCTGTAGCCCTGCCTGCTGCGCCCCGAGGAGTAAGTAAGTATCCACTCAAGGAGCGTAAACACGCACTGATTGTCGAGTCAGGAACATAGGGCGTAGCATGCCATTGCCAATTTTCCATGCTCCTGCTGTTCGGTCGTGATACTTCCTTTCCCATGCGATTTGCGGAGCTTCCACAACTCTGCGGGCGAACTACTGATCGGCAACGACACGAGCGTTATGGCAGTATCGGAGCGCTTTGCGGCCCTTGCCGCACGGTCTGAGAACGCTTGACACCTGGATCTTATAGCTCTGAGAACCTCGGCTCAAGGAAATGCTTCCATTGTCACAATGGAACTCCAACCTCTAATGGAACAATGACAGTTACGATAGATTGCTTCAAGGCGGCAAACCTGCTACTTAACGAGGCCAAGTTCATGTTCCTGGTAATGGTTTTTGGTTTCATGACCGAGGCGCCAAAATAAAGACGTGCTCCCTGGCCGCTCTGCATACCTTCGGACCACACGAAAGACTGATAATGTCATACAGATTGTGCAAGTGGACACGAGCGGAGCCTAAATCATATCGTTGAACATTTAAGCATTCAGTAACATCGCCACTGGCCAGGCCTCCAGGACTCGCATACACTTGTAGGCTTTACAGCCGCGTGATTGCTGCTTACCGAACGTTCAGTCATTTGACCTTCTTTGTGAATCAGCTTACTAAGTATAAAGCTTGCTATAGTCCGCAATGTTGTTCATTCCGTCAAATTAATGACGCCTTTCATGGCAGGCCTGCTCTCGTGTGTGGCGATATCAGTTCAAGCCTTACCCATATCAGAAACATGTCGAATCCTTGCATTTTACCGATAAGCCACTGGACTTGTTGTCTATGGTGCGAAATCCGGGAATCATGCATGACGTGAATCGTCTCGTTATGATCGATGATCAAGAGCCTGCATAGATCATGTCCCCTTTTTGTGCCAATGCAAATTTCGTCATCGCAACACAGAATAGGATCACCTTGTTCGTGAACGACCTCCGTTCTATCGACATTCAATGGTATCGAGACCGCCGACCATTCGGTTTAATGTCAGAGTCATGATATCTTGACTCCGCCATAACGTATGGCTGTGATCCGCAGGGTGCGGTAATATAAGTGTCCCACAGGATCGTTGCACTTCTGTGAAAAGATGCTGTCCACTTTGATTGGCAAGGTCTCCGTCGACCCTTCCATAATTATAATGCAACCTCTTATGAGCCATTCTTTTCTGTAAGAGAAATCGTTTATTATTCACGTGGGGTTCTGTACCCTATTATGTAGATAGTAAATAGTAATGTAGTGGACTCCCCTGTATAAACAGTCCATTTGACCCGGCCTCGCATCTGAGGGTGTGAGTGTGGAGCGATAAGGGTAACGTGAAACAGTCAGGGTACGGGGGTAGGCGTGTATGGTTGAGTACTCGGGGTTAGAACTGCTCGGCATCGCGAAGAGACGCTGAGAATAATGAACGCTCAGAGCTCAGCGGGCCTCACCACTTCATGGAGTCTTTTGCATAAATACTAGTAAAATGCCACCATAAAATTGTGTGTACAAATTTGTAATGTCAATATTAAATAGAGCAAGAATATACTCGTCGATAAGTAGCTTCTTAAGGGTGTAATACGCGCAGTTGGATGTCGTAGCGGGTCGTGCTGGCTGGCCAAGACAAGAATATGTGGTATTTGGTAGAATCACTAGAGATACTGATCTGAAACGATTATGTAAGCAACTTAACCAATTCGTCGATCGATACTTGAAACAAGCGATAAATTTGAACGACGTGCACACCCCAGAGTTCCCGAGTACTTTGATTGCAACTCATATTCAACTCGAAATGCCGCGTTGCACACGAAAAGGCTGTGGCCAGGATTTTGATTTAGCTACTAATGATCCGTCCAGCTGCACCTACCATTCTGGAGCACCTGTGAGCCGCTGTAACATCTTAACGTCGAATCATCACAGTTTAGTCCAGCCTGTAGGTCTTCCATGAAGGCTTGAAATCGTGGTCTTGTTGTTCCGATGTGAATAAGCCAGCCTTGGACTTTGACGAGTTCATGAAAGTACCTGTAAGTAGTCCGCGGGTCTTCAGTCATCGCAGCAATGTGTCTTGACGACTTTATCGCCAGGGATGTACGGTCTCATCACATACAGACAAAGTCCCAGAAGTACCTGCTCCTGCTATAAAGACGTCCCAGATCGCCCCCAATCTTATCGTGAAGGAGGCAAAAGACGGAGCGGAGGTTTATTCGACCAGTACACCGAAGCTTGCGCCGCCTAAGCCATCCATTCCCCCACCTGTAGAAGCTCCTGTTGTTGAAGATGAAGACGATCTCGACGTGCCCGTATCTCCTGGCGCTGTATGTAAACGCAGAAGTTGTGGTACTGCTTTTGTCAGTGATGAGGTGAATCGAATTGGAGATGGTGATGAAACTGTTTGCACATACCACCCAGCTGTTGTACGTTGATGGTGTTAATGGTGGGCTCGCCTGTCGGCTGACTCAAGACTTCAGCCCATCTTTCATGAAGGAAGCAAGGCCAGTCATGTGGGCACCGCACCGATGGGAAGCTAAATCCCCACCCACAGGGTTACATATGCTGTAAACGACGTGTCTTGGAGTTTGATGAGTTCCTCAAGATTGAGGGGTGTAAAAAGGGGCGCCACGTGTTTGCGCCCAAGCAGCGTACAGAACTTCAGGTTTGCTCTCTCGCTGTACTTTATCAGAAGGACTAGATTTGATGTGTCATTTTAGGTGGAGCAGTTTACTGACTGCCGTGTCGACCATTATCAGACACCAAAGGAGGTCCACATCTCTGTGTTTGCCAAACAAGTGGACAAGGAAAAGAGCACTGTTGCGATAGAGGACAATCAAATTCACTTGGACCTCCATCTCCCTGGACCCAAGCGCTTCCGCCGTACAATCATTCTTTTCGGTCCGGTGAATCCCGATGGGTCTTCGTACAAATTCTATAATACGAAGGTCGAAGTGGTCCTCAAGAAACTTGATACCAGGAGTTGGACTTTGCTCGAAAAGACAACTCGTGATCTTGGCAACATCAGTTTGACTTTCGGTGTAGGTGGCCGAACGGGCACCATTGGGGGTAAAGATCTAGTGCTTGATGAGCAAAATACAAATAGAGTCAATTAGAAGATTGAGGGGGATCAATGGGAAAAGTCTAGTCTAAAATTCTAGTGTAAAGATAAAAATACCATAGTCTCAACTTTGAAACATCCCGGATCATAACACGCCAGGTATTTCAATAGTTTGATACATCTGTATCAAGTCGCCGTTGCGCAAGTCCTCATAGTCCTGCAGACTGATCCCGCATTCAGTACCTTTCTTCACCTCCAGCAAATCCTTCTTGTGTTGCTTAAGTGCATCGAGGACACCCTCATGGATTACTTGACCATTGCGAACAACTCGAGCCCCTTTCGACTTCTCGATGGTGCCATTACTGACTCTGCAACCTGCAATCTTCTTAGTCATCTTCCCTTTGAGGTGAATATCGAAAAGTTGTAAAACAGTTGCCTCCCCAGTAACTTTGGTCTCATAGGTGCAAGGTAGCAATGCGGTGACGCGGTCTCGGACCTCGTCCATGATCCGGTAGATGATTTTGGACGAGTAAATTGGGACATGGTTCTGTGCCGCAGTAGTCTCCACTGAACGTGGAATTTTGACCGAGAAGGCAACGATTATGCCTATATGCGCAGTATCAGCATCTGGGCCCCACATAAATCGGGGTCCTTACCCTCAGCAGCCTTGGCCATCATCACATCGCCCTCCGTGACATCGCCCACTCCAGTGGATACGACCTTGACACGAGCCTTTTCATTCCCGATCCCTTCCAGCGCGCCCACAACGGCCTCGACACTCCCGCTTACATCACCTTTGATCACCAGCCGGAGCTCTTTAGGACCGCCATCTAATATATTCCTCATATCTTGACTCTTATCCTCTTTCCTCCGGACTCTTTCGCGTTCTGCAGCGCGTGCAATATTAATTGCCTCCGCATCAATCAAAACCGTTTCCACTTCCTTTTTCCTAACTCTATTTGCAAGAGCTTTCTTTACGTCGCCCTCGCTACCTTGCACAACTTCATCACCTGCGCCCGGAAGTGATCGCCACCCAGAGACGGTGACCGCCATTCCAGGATATGCAGCCTTGACAGGTGCACCGGATGAATTCGACATCAGACGGACTTTCCCGGAGGATGTGCCTGCCAAGATGTGAGCACCGGGAGTTAAACATCCACGTAAAACCAGAACTGTCGCAGTGGGCCTGCAAATGAATGGGCGGTCAATCTAGCACGAAACAACGCTTCTGAACCTACCCGAGACCTTTGTGCATCTTCGATTCGATGACATGCCCATAGGTTGGCCCATCTTGCTCTGCACGCAAATCCTGTACCTCGGCCATCAATGACAGGGTGTCTATTAGATCAGTCAATCCATGTCCTGTCAATCCGGACACTTCAACGGATGGAATGTCTCCCCCAAATGCCTCCAGCTGGACGCCCTCAGCAAGGAGTGCATGCTGAACTTTTTCCTGCAGTCCGCCTTCCGTTAAGCTATCATAACGAGACGACCCAGAAAATACCCACCACGTCCGCTTCTGGTTTATCGACCTTGTTGATAGCCACAACGACCCCAACCTTGCCTTGCTCTCCCTTGATAAGCCTAATAACCTCTTTTGTCTGAGGCATAACACCGTCATCCGCTGCAACGACAAGGACGACCATGTCCGTAACACTAGCACCGCGTGAGCGCATTGCAGAAAACGCAGCATGTCCGGGTGTATCAAGAAATGTAATTGTGCCACTAGAGGATCCCTTGACAGGGACAGAGAAGGCACCAATATGCTGCGTAATACCACCAGCCTCATTATCAGCAACAGACGCTGAACGAAGGGTATCTAGAAGAGTGGTTTTACCGTGGTCAACGTGACCCATAATAGTAATGATAGGTGGGCGTGTGGGAAGGGTAGTTGGGTCAGGATGTGGAGCACTGAAGGTTGCATGAGTATACAAGCACATCAGATATCTCAGACTACGTACGGGGGATATATATCAAAAGCAGCTTCATCATTAATGATAGGATTGCGGCCAAATTCTTCTGCAAGAAGGGCAGCATAATCGGACGTCAACACTACAGTAAAGCATCAGTAATTCGGCGCGAAAGGGGTGCAAGGAGCGGAAACCATGATCATATGACGCCTCAGCTGCCATCCCAGCGTCGACCATCTTGCGTTGAAGTAGTGCTGCAATTGTCAAGTCCGGGTAACCCTCATAAAGTCATCAGTAACTTACTCTGCCGCACATTTAACAATCTTGCTAGTTGACCAACGGAAACTGTCGTAGGAATGTATACGTTAACGGCTACTTTTTTCCTGCCAGGTCGCGATCGAGGAGTTGCGGGACGAGAGTGTACATTAACGGCTACTTTTTTCATGCCAGGTTGTGGTCGAGGAGTTGCAGGACGAGCCCATTTTAAAGCGGAGGGCGCATTTCCAGCACGTAAAGACGCGCCTCGGAAGTCATTACAGTCATGATTAAGGGGTGTCGTTTTTGCTGTGACCCATTTACTCAGGGTTGGCTGTGGAGGAGGAGCAGGATGAACGGGGAGCCATTCCGATGGCTAGCGAGAAGGTTATGACCATGTCACGGAACAAATAGTAGTGCCCACCTTAACTTTAGTTGCTGTTGATGCACACCTCCGCTGTGTGAGCTGGAGAACACTACCTGCTTTGCGACAATGCATCTGATATGCTTGTCAAGGTCGGCGTCCAGTCAAACAAAACCATTAGGTAATGCAGTGCCCTATAACGATTTTATACGAAATAGCTCTTGGTATCATCGATCATCCCAATGACTTAAACGTTCTCACGAATCTGACTCTTTGCATGTAGTGTTCGAAATCTGTGGAATGATGTACAACATAAATTTATGAGAGCGACAGAACAAGATGAGCACAAAACAAGAGCAAAATAGAAAACCAGATAGAGAGACAAAGAGGGAAAAGAACACATAAATACTGCACTAACAAATCCCATGTATACTGAGTAGAGCAACCCTCTCCCGATACCACACGTGCGCTACTTGACCATCATTCCAGTTCTGATAATCCGGCAAGAGGACGTGATCGGATCAGCCCCGACCAGCACTCACCCGGCCCCAGCTCCCCTCACTACCACTACCCTCACTGCCACTATCAAAATCACTCCCCTCTTCAAAGTCTGAAAAAGGGTTATGCAAACGCGTACTTCCGCTTCGCGGCACCGACATTTCCTCCCCATCCGCGTCTGACCCCTCGCCAAACGACATAAACTCATCCTCGCTCGTTACCGAGGGCGACAGAGAGCTCGCAGCCCCCGAGATCGACGCGCGCTGCTCGGTTGGGGAGAGTACGGCGAATGGCGAGCCAGAGCGGCTACCACTGCTCCCAAGGCTCAGGATGTCTGTATTTGGGGAGGAGAGGACGCTGTGTGATAAAGGCGGGGAGAGCAGGACAGGCGGAGTGGGCGCGGCGGGGTAACGTTCTGATAGTGATTCCACAACGCTGATGTTCCCGCTCATATTCTCGTGCATACTCGCACTGGTGTTGCTGTTGATATTGATATTGACATGTTCGTCCTCGACGTTGACGTCTACACGTCTGCCTTGCACATTCATCCTAACACGCGAATTCGTATCCGAGTGGTGCAAAGACCAGCTCGACTGTGTGCGGGAGCGCACGGGCGTGCGCACAACCGGGGAAAATGGGCGAGCAGTGTAGGCAGCGCTTGTGCGGGGAGTGTCGGGGAGGATGGGGCCAAATGGCGGGCTAGGAGGAGGAGAAGAAGACTGGGAAGATGGGGCGAAAAAAATAGTAGTGTTATCGTCACTTGCGGTGTGGGAAGAGGCTCGGGAGTGAGCACGGGTGGGCGTGCTGGTAGATACAGTTAGCGTTTCTGTGAAAGGGGAGGAGACGTTGGAGATGACGTGAGTGGGTGCGAGCGGAGTGTGCGTGAGGGATGGAAAGGACTGTACATGTTTTATTAGTAATCGAGAGGATGCGATACGAGGGAAATGGAAGAAATACATCATCTATTGAGGTAGATATGCTGCCTTCTGTATCAGGGATTACTCTGACTCTCCGCCTCACACCCGTGCCCTGGGCGGTGTGATGTACATTATTTCGCCATTCGTCGACGAGGCCAAGGTTGAGGCCTTCCAGTTCGATGGAATCTTCTTCTCTCGCAGGAGTCCTGTTCTTCGGATCAGCACGTCTGGGACCCGGGTCTCCATCCCCAGATCCTCTGGTGGATGGCACAGGAACAGCACCTTCGCGTCGAGCACGACGCCTGGAAATGAAGTCCTCTGCCCAACGCTCTATGGCAGGGGCGATGTGAGGTTCGAAGACGAACTGAAGAGTATATTAGAAGGGTGTGTTTGAAAGCGGGCAGGGACGAAATAGGATTTTTGTAGACACAAAACAGAAAGTCACCTCATTAAAAGCAAAAAAAGCAGCAGCACCTGCGATAGCTGCAACGACGTACACTGCCACTGGAGCTGGCATCGCGATCAATTCGATCAGTAGCTGACTACAGTGAGAAGTTTGAGCGCTAGGGGTCAGTTACTGATTCTAGTCGGTCGGATGTGCTTGACGACTTGGACGATGCAAATAATGTTTGTCGACGTCGTCAATGACGATGAGGATGAAAAAGAGGAGGTAGCAAGAATTGTCGCTTGCTGTGGTCGATTGCAGCAAGCCTAGAAAGCGCCCGTTCCGCATGCCCAATCATTACTCAATAACGCCCGAAGCCCGGCCGGGTGCTTCCGGATTTATCCTCGAGTACGTGTAGCATTGCTGTAATTTATTACGGTATTTGCCAAACATCGAATAGATTTTTGATCTTCTACAGTGACAATGATACTGACCCGGACATCGTCCATTTTGTGCTTTAGTTTGGACTTCCATGGGTCACATATCCTCTGGGTGCGGTCCATGGTCGGTAGTCAGTCACCTTGGCCAGTCAGAATACGATCACCCACATCTTTCAAACCATGGAGGTTAACGTTCACTGTTCACGTCTGTCAAAAGAGTTTCACGAACCACAAGTACACCAGGAGGACCATTCGCCGAAGTCCAGCAGGAGTGGCACCTTTGGCAAAGACGATTCGGCGTCTCTTTCTGTAATCCGATGTTAGTATTCTCCGAGTCAATACTCAGACTTATGTGATAACTGCTTAGCAGCCCAGACCTTCCCAGGTACATTCTTTTCACCACCTTTGTGCCTCTGACAAATTTATTTACCAAAGAGTGAAGAGGGGCCTTGGGCCTGGCGCTTTGATTGATACGCTTGGCACGCCCATCGGGACTGTCAAAGGGCATTTCGCGGCTTGGAAGGAAGGTAAGTTAACGGTATACCCAATATCCGTATTTCGAAATGTTGTCAGGGAGCAACGATCTTCTCCGCAGTTTTTCATTGATACAGGTTCTGACGGATCAATTGCATACCGCTGAGGTGCCAATCATACCGATCTGCGGTTGATAACTTAGGACATATTTCACGCCACACGCCCGGACCTATCCGATATCGATCCAACACCGCAGCGACACACGGTGATGAAGAATCACTAGCACTTCTAGTGGCTCCATCGTACGATTCTTTTAAATCATTGCGCGCTATTAACTATCATAGATATGTAGTGCTTGCGGCCGCTAGTGAAAATTGATTGTGATTACCTGGGGATTTGGATTCCAAATTTGGTGGAACTGAGGCAAATAAAGGTACTTGTAGAGTTCATTTTATTGTAATGCTTTATTGGGCGACATCGAGAGAGTACAACAAGTTTATTGATGCAAATATGATATAAGACAGCTTGGAAAGAAAAACAACATGCAAAAAACTACCTGAGAATGTCAATAACCTTCCCCGACTTCACATAAAGTCTCCAAGAACAATTTCAGGTCATCCTGCTCGATTTCGAGCACGCTTGCATCAAATGTACTGTGGCGTGACCGTGCATTGCAGCGTTGCTTTGCTTCAATGAATGCTAGACCAAACTCGCTGAAGTGAGATGAACCATGATGTCAATACTAACAAGAAGGGGTGAACGTATGACTTACTTTCTCCTGACGTCCCCAAAGTCAAGCGCCCCCATGATACCGACTACAACATACGTCTGCGTCCTTTCGTTCAGACAAGCGACGACAAATGGGAGCGACTTCTTTCCTCTCCCTTTGAGGCCGCCGATTTTTGTCCCTGGAAGACGGTCACGAAGTGCATCTACCAGCCAAAGTCCTAGGCGTGCAAGAACCCCAGGATGGGCGAAGAGAGCAAGATCAGGCCCTTTTGAGAGCACCACGACACGATGGGAGCGCATCGTTCGAATGTCCTGCTTGTCTATTATCGACGTCCCTTGCCGAATAATAGCACGATGAAGCGACATTGCCAGCGACAAAGCATCTCTCAGGGGTACAATGCTAAACACAGTTATTCCAGAACACATGTCAACGGGAGGAGCGAGCACTTACTCTGACAGAGCATCATAAGCAGCCCAAAAATTCTTCACCCACCATGTCCTTTCTTTCCGCTCTTCGCCGTTAACATCTGTGTCTGCATGGTCATCCCCATCCTTTTGTCTGCTACCAACTTCTATCCGTTTCTCCCGCTTCTCCTCCCCGTTCCGCCCTCCTTCCCATAATCTCCCGCCACCGAACCACTCACCCCCGTGCCGTGCGCCTTCAACCTCGACCTCCATCCTGATGCCACCTGCAACGTCGAGCAATGCGCCTACTGCTTCCACAGCATCCGCTGCACTGAGAGGTGAAGCGCGGTATCCAAAGCATCTTGCAAAAGACGGATAAGTTAACTCAACAAGGCCGTATTCCGGTGCAATTGAGTCGAGTTTCGCGCGCAGCTGGTGCTTCAAGTCAAGATCCATGTGCGCATAGGGCTGTTGCGTCTGCGGGATAGAGAAACTATGGAGGAAGAGTTTCAGCCGTGACAAATAAATGATACAGAAAAGCGTACCCCATCTTTGCGAGTAGCCCGGTGAGGCGCTTCCGTCCACGCTCTTTCCATATGCCAAGTTTGCCCGCGACATAGCTTGAATGGTACATTGCATCATACAGTGTCCAATGTCGGAAAAGCATAAAACGCAACTCTTCAGCTGCCCGTACAGATAGATCGTCTGGGCTCATGGCTGTGATGGCATCTGTCGTATTAGCGGCAACGTCTGGCGGGAGCGGGTTCAGGCGGAAAACCTCGTCGTAGTATATTGAATGGTATTTGTCATAGGTGTCGCGGGATATTCGAGCAGTAGTATACTGGAACGTAAGTCCAAGGATCGCAAGCCTGAAGGACGATTTCGTAAATCAAGCCATGGGAGGTCAATAAGCGGTTTACCAGAGAAAATCACAGTCCACTCGTTCAAGAACAGTGGCAAGAATGTACATTGTTGCAGACGCACTTTGACCATACCACGACCCACTCCCATAGTATTTGGCAATAAGTTCGTGATATGTGTCGCGTTGTTCTCGTGACAGCCGAGTGGATTGCTTAATCATGTGTGTAATAATAAAGCGACTATGCATTGGGTGAAGGTTGAATAATGACTCACGTCGTCTAGTTTCCGCCGCTTCTCTTGACTTCGATCGCCGTCTCCCAATGATCTCCTCTTGCCAGAAGGGCCTTGCTCAGAGAACTCTTCATCATCGTCAGGATCACCATCTTCATTTGATCGCACCTCATCTTGATCGTCCAACTCCGAGTCTTCATCGGAGTCGGGTTCGGGTTCGTACTACATTCAAGTCAGTAGGGCCCACAGTGTAGTGATCATCATATTCACCGTTAGAGCTTCCCAAGCCTTTCTTTCCTCTCCCATATTCTCTGCTTCACCGTCATCCCATACGATAAATCTCTCGCCATTCTCACCTCCAGAAAACATGTTTGCAAGGTTCTGTGGCCGGTTTGAGTCTATGATGTGCACGGTGAGCTTCATGCTGAATTCGCCGAACCAATTCTCGGATGAGAGATCAAGGATAGCACCCATGTTTAATAGAATGAGTGTGTGTAGCTTTCGAGTATTCAGCTGGCTGGTGCACCTTTGATGACAATAGACACACCTCCGCATATGTGACCAACTCGTCTTTCATTCGTTCAAGGTCAGCTAGACCCGAAACAGGGATTATTCTGTGCATAACATCATCCTGCTTGAGAAGTTCCGCAAGTATTTTCGCTGCACACAAGGCATCAACATCAGGAGCGACGAGGATTATGACAGACGAAGCAGATGTGAGCGGGGAGCGGCGGTGTGCTACCAGTATGTTTGCGTAGGCCTCAGCATAGGCAGGTCGTGAGGCAGATGCGAGGTGCGGTGGCGGAAGAAAGACCATAAAGCTGAAGTGTGCGGAGAACGACCAATGTCTTCGGGTTCGAAACAGACGTTAATATTTTAATCATCGTACGCGACGCGTCGCGTATTGTTAACACGTGCCGTCACACCGTGGGTCTGTCACAGACTCACAGTGTTTCGACCGGTTGCCGAACGGACATAATAGATTTCTAGCCGCGTGTTCAGCACGCATCCACGAGGTACTTAAAGACCGTCCCTGCGTCGTTTGTTGGCTACACTCTCAGTCGCCATGGCGTACGAGCCAAGGCCCTCAACCGACCAAGGTATGATTCTAGTTGGTCGAGTATTATCCACGCTTGTTGCTTACTTCGAGAACAGAGTCTGCACCTCTTTTGCGAGGTGGAGATGATGATCCTCCACAAAGCGCCCAGTCACCCCACCCATCTATGTCCCGAAGGATTGCTGACGTCGTCCAAGAACCGCTCACTGGTCTCACTAAAGTGCTACTTGTTGAAGTCCTCATATTGCTACTCATAAGTTCCGTCTTTATTGGCCTATTCGCTGGCGCACAACATAAACTGAACCTGCGACATGGTATCCCTGGCGGTGGAGATGGAGGTGGCGGTGGTATTACCCTGACCGAGACTGCAACAGCTACAGTGACTCACACGACTACTGCTGCATCGACTAAAATCTCTGGTATTGTGACTACCACTACTGCGGTGTCTACGAAACTTTCTACAGTCTTCGGCACAACCACGGCGACCAGAATTGCGACAACTACTTCCACAAAAACATCAGTCTCTACCTCAGTATCTACTTCCACTTACACAACGACAGATATTCACACGCACACGGTGATCGTTGGGCCAGAACCCACAGGACCTCCCGAGAATCCCAGCCCGCCGGTGCCTCCATCGGTAGGTCTATCTACATGTGATTGAATTATTCCTCACCATTTACAGGATAAGTGCCTTACTCCGAGTTGCATTATTTTGGCTGCTTCCATTCTATCTTCCCTGGACACATCGCAAGACCCTTGCGAAAATTTCTATGACTTTGCAAGTAAGTTGGCACGTGGTTTTGTATCGTGTCCGCTGCATGGCTTAATTACAACATCAGACGGTGGTTGGATAGCATCGCACCCCGTTCCGGGTGACAAGGGTGCCATCAATTCCTTTTCGGTTCTTTCAGAACAGAACGCACACGTTATTCTCAAATTACTTGAGGGCGACTCATCTATTCAAGACAATGCGTGGGATGATCAACTACTTCACAAGATCCGTATACTATACACTTCATGCATGGATGAGACGCGGCTTGATTATCTTGGCCAGGAGCCTTTGCAGAAGTTCGTCAACACGATTCGGAAGCTTTACAGGGGGAGGACTACTCAAGGATATACCATGAATCCGAGACAGGGCTTATCCAACGCCCTAGGTTACCTGCACTCTCGGGGTAAGAGTCGTTCGTTTGACCTCATGTTACATGTTCGCTCATACCATGACTTAGGTGTCGACGCACTTTTTGAATTTAGCGTTGAAGGCGACTCTGGTGCTGACCCGAACAATATGATTCTGTGGTTCAGTCAACCCAGCCTAGGACTCCCCTCCAAGGTCAGCTCCTGAAATCTTAGAATTTTCAATACGTCTAACAACCATTAGGAGTATTACAAGGACAAGAGTATTCTCACCGTATACCAGGACGTCATTGAGCGCCTCTTGTCATCCTTGAGAGACGACCGAGTTCTAAGTCAGGAGAACCCAGGAATCGTCGTCCAGACAGAAGAACTCGAAGACAGCGAGCATGTCTGGCCCCCCTGGCCATGGCCACCTTGGGATGGAGAAGGTGATGACGACGATGACGATGGTCGGGAACGCAGCCCTGGAGATCCTTTCCAGAACGCTCGCGAGCTTGCGCAGAAAGTTGTCCAGTTCGAAACTGAAATTGCGGACGCGACGCTTGACCTGTAAGTTGATTCACATCCCACCATTGGCAAACTCGTTTATATCGCTGTCAGTGACAAACTGCAACAAGATCCATTCGGCACGTATAACCCGACCAACATCAACACCCTCAAGGCCGAGCTCTCGCAGATCAACTTCCCAGACTATTTTGCCACGTTCACGCCTCGTGCCTACCCAACCCGTGTTGTCATCACGTACAAACCTTACCCAAATTCCCTGTCGGAAATCTTGAAAAAGACGCCAGCAGATGTCATCGAGGCATATCTTGTTGTGCGCGCATCGTTGGAGTATGCTCCCAACCTGGGCCGGACCACTGAGGCTTGGAAGGCTGTGAGAACTCTGCAAGAGACCTTGTATGGCCTCAAGCCTGGTGTATTTGGCGAACGCTCCCAATTTTGCATGACGAAGGTCGACGTTGCTTTAGGTTTCGGTACGGGAAGATACTTTGTGAACCAGACATTCCCTGGCGAATCAAGGGAGAAAGCGACCCAGGTCATTGATAGTGAGCAAAGAACAGACTTTGCTCTCGGAGTGCTACTAACTTTCATTGGCCAGACATCATCGATGCCTTTGAGAGATCTCTACGCCGCATCGAATGGATGGATGAGGAGTCTGCACGTAAAGCTGCCGAGAAAGCCGAAGCTCTTCGCGTTAAGGTCGGCTTCCCTCTATCCCCAGATACACGCGATCCACGTTCCCTTGTCTCCTACTACACCCTCGTGAAAGTACATGTGGATACCTTCTTTGAAAATATGCTCAGTGCTGCGTATGTAACACCGACACTCGCTTGAATCGACTACTGACCGTATATTGTACAGCGCCTCCGACATGTACAAGATGTGGCAGAAAGTCGGCAAGGAGAGAAATCCTGACGAGTGGGAGATGACACCAGCAACTGTAAATGCATACTATAACCCCCCTGCCAATGAAGTAAGTGGATTCGTACTGTCAAGGCGCTAGACTGACAAAGAACAAGATCGTCTTCCCAGCTGGCATCTTACAACCTCCTTTCTTCTCCGAGAGCTGGTATGAATATATGTCACTATTTCGCAGCCCCTTCTCATACACACTTCTATATACAGGCCTGGATACCTCTCCTACGGCTCCTTTGGAATGGTAGCTGCGCATGAATTGACTGTAAGTTCGTTGCATTGCATTTTCCATAAGCACTGGCCTAAGTATTATTAGCACGCATTCGATTCCTCAGGTCGTCTTTACAACCAACAAGGAAAACTCGAAGAGTGGTGGTCACGCCAGACTAGCGACGCGTACCAAATTCGCCAGGACTGCATCGTGGAGCAATACTCATCATATACAGTAGAGGACGGCAAAGGAGGGATCATCCACGTCAATGTATGTCACATTATGCTCCCTGTGTATAATGATTGACCAGTTGATCCACAGGGAAACCTGTATGTCCATGGTCGTAATGTTGAAGCTTGTTAACGTTACTAATTGATGACTTTCAAGTACCTCTGGCGAAAACATCGGAGACACGGGTCTAGTTCAGGCGTATCGGGCTTGGAAGGCGCAATACGAAGATTCCTACGACGCCGGAGCGGAATATCTGCTTCCCGGTCTCGGCTACACTCGGTTTGCGATACTAGATTTATAAGTGAAATATTCAGGCACTAATGCTAAGTTTAGGGAGCAGCTATTCTTCATCTCGTTTGCCCGTACATGGGCGATGAACACCAGTCCTGCTGATGCAGTAAGTGTTTTATCTATATCAAGACCCATGTCGATATATATAATCTTGCAACAGGTTCGACGTGTCCGGTCAGATCCTCACTCGCCGAACCGTTATCGCACTGAAGGCACTGTCTATAACATTCCGGAGTTTGCAGAAGCCTTCAAGTGCTCAAAGTATGCCAAGGCAAGTGCGAGCACATACCACAGACTTCCACTAACACATTATTTGACAGCTTAATCCACCCCAAGAGAGAAGATGTATCTTCTGGTCTTGATCTGTTGTTTTTCAATGCCCTGTTTCTATGACATTCGCTTCCTTTGGTTAATATGTGGCTCGAACACTGCAGTCTGTACATTATCTATTGCAATCACTTCATTATCCTTTTATACAGCTGTGCATCAAGATCGCAGGGTTCGTACTGATGCTAGATTTTTCGTGTCACAGAACTCCTTTAGTACTCGGAATATCGTCGCCACCAGTGCGTTCGATAGCTTGTTTGATAGCAAGGGCAAGTGCCTTGAATGCAGATTCAGATCTGCAACTGTTGACTGAGTGCTGTCGCTAGATTAACGAGCATTGGGCAAACACACCTGTGGTGATCGTTTTCGCCCCGTAGGACGTCGACGTGAAGAGTCACACCAGAAGCTATGGCAAAAGAATAGAATATATGGGGGATCATTTCTGTCGACAGGTCTCCTATTTTCTCCCTCTTTAAGCCTAGATCAGTGACACAGTACGGTCTAGAGCAGATATCAATAACGGCTCGAGAGAGAGCCTGGAAATTGTCAAATGGACATGTGCATCGCTGCCTATCGGTCACTCACCTCATCCAAGGGTGCAAATCCAGTTCCGTATCGACGAATTCCGCGAACTTCACCAAGAGCTTCCTTGAAAGCCGTTCCAAGGGCGATTGCGCTATCTTGTAAATACCGCGGATGTATTGGTCAGTGATTCTTGAGCACATGTGAGAATACTCATCTGCTGTGTGATGGTCATCGATCCATAAATCGCCTTTACATTTCATAGTGAGAGACATCCCACCATGCTTTGCCAAGGCATGATACATCTAGAGAACTCAATCAGCCGGAGTCTGGTGTCACAAAGATATCATTCATACGTGATCCAGAAAACCAATTCCCGTTGAAATCTCAATTACCTGAGCATTTTGAGATCCAGGAGTACAGTCAAGGTTGATAGATATTTCTATCTGTGTCTCGTTGGTCTTTCTTGAGATCGTAGCTGTTCGTGCTGCCATGATCAACTAGAACAGTCTGAACCGGTCACCCAATTGGGTTACTTTAGAAGGCTTTGGACAACAAGAACAAACAACCGTCTAAAAGATCTTGAACAACAGTAACAAACACCTATGTACTTATGGCTTCTCCGCTTCTTCGCTCAAGGTCAGCACTGCGAGCTGTCTTTGGGCCACAGACTTGTCAACGATCACTATGTGCCAATCGGCCTAGAGCTAGAACCATTTTTAATTTCTTTCGCCGGTCTGCCAAACCAGCACAAGAAGAACCCGTTCCGTTGCTGACCGAGGACAACTTATTTCATCCGTTCTCGAAATCTCCATTTCCTGCAATACGTGCTCGTGGAGAAGCTATACAGTCACTGGCCAAATGTCCAGTGTGCACTTCAAGTCATTGCAGCACCCATGGGCACACGAAATCACAGTCTCTCGCAGTAAAATTTGAATGCCCCGACTGTGGTTTCCCGACACATTGCTCACAGGAGCATTGGATGGCTGATCAAGAGCACAAAAAATACTGCTCTAAACTTCGAGAAGTTAACGAGGATGACCATGATCTCCGAAGTGGTCGAAAGTTTCGCGAATTTGAGATGCCCGGTGCGTCATTTGGTCTTCGACTTTGGACATTTCAATTAATTCACTCACTAGGACCACAGGCTTATGAGGAAGCTATATCATTTGCAAATTGGGACGTCTTTTGGTATACACGTGGATTCCCCTCCATGGACACGGAACGTTCAAGAAGACACGCTAGCAGAATTCTTACCTATCCGCTCACTATTGGTTCCATTCTTCATCAAAATAGTGGACTGACTTTAAGCAATCAAAGAGTTACACCTGAGGGAAGTCGCTCACTGGCAGGTAAGTTTGTACTATATATTTCTAGGTCTTCCCCTCACAATTCACATCCAGCACTGCGCACCACGCTGCATGTCCCTCCTGGAGCACCTGATACAGAAGAGGCTGGTGCCGCGAAACCCCAGATTCGTATATTCATCCTCGGCGCTCGCGCTGAGTCCTCTTTGCCACCGCATGTCTGGGAGCAACTTTGCATGTTGTTCCCATCCTGTCATTTCCACCTTTTCTTTATTGGGCCACAGGTATCTTTGCCGAAACCGGCTAATTCTCCCCCTCCGAAACCCCCCAATAAATCTGCAACGAAAGAGGATACTGACACCAACCAATCTGCGGTGGAAAATGTATCTACGACGCACACATCTACCGACACTGTCAAGCAAGAGGAAGAAGATAAACCAGTTTACGTGCCGAACGTCTATGAACCTCCAACACCAGCACCTATCGCGCCCCTTAAGCGAACACGATCATCAGTCGAACTCTACGGCGTTCCCTCTTACACCGTTCCTTATACCCCTCAGCTCACCATTACTGGTCTTCAAGCGAACTATGCTGAAGTTCACGCACAGTTTCAGGATACCTTTGATCCCTACACAGACGCGTTTTTCCTGTTCTCTCCTGGTTTTGGCTTCCCGTCGCCCAACTCCGTATCCGAACTAGATGGCAAGCCCTACTTGCAAATTACTTCCCCAACAGAGTGGGGCCCTGTCATGCCATCCTTACTCGCAACCCGTTGTGCCATCTATGTTACAGGTTTTTCCCCTGCAGATGTCGAGAGAGACATTCGTTCCATCGAGACTGCACCAGATGTTGCTGGTGAGTTCGAATGGGTGATTACTCCGGGGGAGAATGCATTTGGGAGCGAAAAATGGGAGGTCGCAGACTTTGACCCTAGAGTCATGGTGAAGACGAACTGGGGTGTTTGGGGTATCAGGGGCAAGGGCCGAGAAGTAAGGGAGCGTAGCTCTTTCAGATTATTCTAGATTGTATCGTATGTCTGACAATACGATCGATCATTAATGCATTAATATTCATAGCAGATCACAACTCGTCCATGAAGGCGAGATATATCACATTTGATGATCTACAAGTAGCCATCAGACAAGCAAGTGGCTACGGCTCGTCAGTTCAATGTAAGGTGAACAAAAATATAGAAGCAACCCGTTTACATTCGAAGGGACGTTACCATGAATTACAACACAGTGTTCAAATGCCGTACTGACATCATACCGTGTGTATTTGTTCACAGGAAGAGAAGTATATATCTCGTCCACAGGAAGTTAACTCTGATTGTGGTATCAGTTGCGGTAATTACACGAGAATTGAGAAACTAGATACCCATGGTGCATTTCCGAGTCTTCTGCTGAGAATGAAAACGGAGATAATCACCGATTGTCTTCTGTGTCAAGAGGTAACAGCACAGGTGAACAAACAGGGGAGGTGTGGTTAGTATAGGCCGGTTACTGAAAACAACCGACGTGGAATGAGCGAACTTTAGTATATTGGAGTTTCAGAGGTCTAGAGACGGAGGCGGAAGCGCGCAATGATCCTGGAGGGCCCGGGTAAGCTTGCTCAAACTCAGACGGAGCTTCGGAAGTGGAGTCACAGTCAAGGATAGACGGATTCATCCATCACCAACGTTGTTCTGTCATCGATCCGTCCCAGTAAGCGGTTCTATTCTTCGCATCGTAAAGAGTGGAAGACAGCAGACTGCCAAGCGCACACAGACAGGAGTGCTGGAGGTGTATGGGAGTCAAGCGAATTGCTTCCGCGGGAGCAGCCATTTTTTTTCGTTTTTACTTATTAGGAAGGCATCGGGTCACATTCAGTAGCAAGGCGTCACACACTGGTGATTTCAAGTTGTGCATGAGCTATCTCAGAATCAGGTAGAGCAGGGGTGGAACCTTTTCTTGGCCAAGCCTATCTTGTGAGTTGCGGTATCTCAGACTCATCTCAAAAAGAACTCGATTTAAAGGCAGTACTTGTACCCACTTGGGCGCGACAGTGGACGCGGATCCTGAACAAGTTTCCGACCTTCTCGAGGCTCTCGTAGGTGCGTATATTCTCCCACCGGATGCATTGCATATCAATTCACGACCATATCAAGTATACATATCTTACTTTACAGTGTATTGTGCGACCTGTTCTGCATTATCATGACGAGCTCAGGCAACGCGGCGAGAACATCCCATTTCTATCCCTGAGCAGCACGGATGATCTCACATAGGGGAGGTCGAGCCATCGAGAATCACCTGCAGACTACAAATAGATGCGATAACCTTTCTTCTCATCCTGAGCATTCAAATAGCGAGGGCGTGATCAGACTGGTGCTTCCAGCACATTTCTCTAGAATGGTTAACTTCACCTTTACAACGTCTTGCGTAGTCGTGGCACTGGCGAGTGGGTCATTCGCTGCCACCAAACGTGGTCTGGCGTTTGCTGATTCCGACAATACTGGCGACATTGCTGTCGCTGATGGCACTCAGGTCTCTTGGGTATATAATTGGGGCAGTACCGCGCCAAGCTATTTAAAAAACACAGACATGACCTACATCCCTATGCAATGGGGTGAAGACAATGCCGATAATTTTATGGCTGAAGTGCAGGCTCAGAATGCGAAGACCATCTTAGTAGGTTCATCTAGTCGAGAGAAGATATCTCACTCAGCTGAATTTCTACTGACAATCTAGGGTTTCAACGAACCTGACCTTGGTTCACAGTCGGATATTACACCTATGACTGCCGCGTCATTATGGGTACAGTATATCCAACCTCTGAAGGCACATGGCGTCCGACTCGGTAGCCCCGCTGTATCCAGCGCACCATCAGGAATTCCTTGGTTATCTCAATTCTTTGGAAACTGCACTGAATGCACGTTTGATTTCATACCTATTCACTGGTACGGTGATGGCCTCGACAATTTCAAAGACTATGTCGAGTTGTTCTATGACAAATTTTCATCGCCAGTATGGGTCACGGAGTTTGCATCTACTTCTTCGAATGTTAACGGTGAGTTATCTGTGACTCCGATGCATCAGTGCTTCGTGCACCTTCTATTGATGACACTTACCTTGTACGTTTATAGAGGTGGAAGACTTCTGCACTAATGCAATAGCTTATCTTGATGGCCAGAATTGGATTGAAGGATATGCCTGGTTTGCACTCTACGTAAGTATCTTCGGGCACGGCTTCCGCAGAGCTAGCACTTATGATCATGGCAGCGCCAGGAGTCAGGTTCCTACTACAGTAAGAGAATTCCTTTAAGCGTTGTGTCTCAGTATGACCTTTCTATCACCACAGACCTTCTTGATGTTAATGGCCAGCCCAACACACTTGGGGATATCTACCTTCATGGGACCAATTAAAGCCAGATTTAATGAACATGGGAAACAGTTGAGAAAGTAGACTCGGAAGTAGCACTACATATATCGTCTGATATTTTGCGCATAGGCTGCGTTAGCCACGATTCGGATTGTGTCGGTCCGAATGCTTGTGATTCTGCGATTCTCGAGTGGCTGTATCATTGTCTATCGGTCAAACTTCTTTCGACACTTCTGCAGAGTCGCTTAATTAGACTATGGATTTGTTTATCTACAAAGCGAACGCGACGCCAACTTGAACGGCCGGTGTACGAGTCGACTTGAATGAAGGGCCTGTCTGCCTCCCTGAGGCTGCGCGCCCGGCAATTCGGCTTCATTTACGTCACCGGTTGCAGGTGAAAATCCAACGCACGGAACTGAATATTAATCGAGTCTAAGTAAGCGTCCAACAAGTCTTACTGTCAGCTTGTGCCTTGTCTTCTTACCGTCACAACCTGAATTTTCATCCCCTAGTCCAAGATGACAGTAACAACCATAGATTTTCCAGACAAGTTCGACTACAGCATTCAGTCCATCGCTGTTCCTGGCACCAAACGCCCAGGTCAAACCGGTACGTCTCACGTATTCGTCAGCGGACGTTTCATTAACTTCGAAGCTTTTCAAAGCCCACTATCGGAATGGTGAGTCCTATCTAGTACAGGATTGAGCTTCGCATGTTTTTAATCGCTCATTTTGTCTCGTGACACTTCAGCATTATATGGTCTTGTAGACGTCAACGTCCTACCAACACTTCCTGATGTTTTCGACAACGGTTACAACATCAATCCGGACTCTAGACTCCTCGGTCACCGTCCGTTAGTGTCAACCAATCCGCTCAAATTCGGCCCTTATGTGTGGCAGACGTACAAACAGGTGGATGGTCGCAGGCGTCGCATTGGTAGTGCTCTCCACAGGTTATTCTCACAAGGTGAACTGCAGGGCGAGGACCTTCAAACCGTTGGTATATGGTCAGTAAATAGGCCAGGTATGCATGTCATTTCTCACTCCAAGTTCAGTTCTCACCGATCACCACAGAATGGCAACTTGTTGAACTCGCTTTACATGCTTACAACAAAGTCGGGGTTGGTCTTTACGATACCCTTGGCAAGGATTCTGTAGGCAAGTTGATTGTCTTGGGCCATTTCCTATTGTGCTGATGACTTCGCCACAGAATATATGTATGTGATGTTGCCGCTATCTCATTTAAACCCCTCAACATTCGTGATTGTTTAGTATCAATCATGCGCATCTTAGTATCATTTTCACTACGGTCGATCACATACCCGCGCTATTGAAACTAGCTCCCAAGGTTGCAGCCATGAAAATGATCGTGTCCTTCGACAATTTGAGTCAAGATGCTCGCAAAGCCTTGGTGGCTTGGGGAGAGACCGTCGGTGTGCAGGTCAAAGAATTCTCGGAATGTGAGTATTTCACCCTGATTTCTACCTTGCCTGCTATTTACATGCTCCGTAGTTGAAAAGTACGGTGAAGAGCACTTGATACCGCCAATTCCTGCTTCACCCGACACAGTCGCATCCCTATGCTATACTTCAGTACGTGGCTTTCGTCTTACAATTTAAGTATCATCAACCAGGTATTTTCAGGGCACCACTAGCCAACCCAAAGGTGTGGGACATCCATTCTCTTTCCTTCTGACACTTGAATTCTTACTCGTCAGGTGTGGTACTTACTCACGGGAACCTTGCATCATCCGCATATTCCAACATGTTTGGTATGGAATATTCTCCAAATACTAGTGTTCTCTCTTACTTGCCGTTGGCTCATATTTATGAGGTTCGTTGGTCTTGGTCACCTCGTCTTCTATATACTGACCTCCTTGCAGCGTGTGGTCGAACTCACAACCTTGGCCATCGGTGGATGTATCGGGTTTTCCACTGGCGATAACTTGCGTCTCCTTGAAGATGCGCAGATGCTGAAGCCTCACTTCTTCCCTGCTGTACCTCGTGTATTGAATCGAGTCTATCAGTCTGCCATGGCTGCTGGCAATGTCCCTGGACTGAAGGGCGCTCTCTTCCGGGCAGCTGTGCGCGCAAAACTCGACCAGTATCATGCCACAGGTGTCAGTACCCACGCGTTCTGGGATGCCCTTGTCTTCCGGAAGGTATGTTCTCATCGATCGTCTCGCATTCCTAGTTACAACCTGATATATTATTCAAAGATTCGTGCTGTGCTCGGCGGAAACCTGCTACTTGTCAGCACGGGCTCTGCACCTATCAGTGCCGAGGTCATCGATTTCCTGAAGATCGCACTCTTCTGCGAAATTACAGAAGGTGCGGTCGCTCATGTTCGATTGTTAATTATCAGCTGATGGACGGATTAGGTTACGGAATGACTGAGAACTGTGGTGTCTGCACGCATACATTCAAGGCGGACCCTAATTGTGGAGGAACCATCGGTCCTCCTCAGCCCGTGAACGAATTGAAATTGGTCGATGTGCCTTCTATGAATTACACGGTCGAGGACAAGCCCAATCCTCGAGGCGAACTTTGTGTCCGTGGTCCCAATTGTTTCACAAGATATTATAAAGGTGAGGTCGTGTGTGAACAATGCATTGGTGTTAAATGCTCAGCATTGCGACAGACGAGAAAAACACCCGGGACACCTTGCAAGACGGTTGGATCCACACCGGTGATGTCGCTGAGGTCGACACGCAAGGCCGATTCAAGATCGTCGACCGTGTTAAAGTAAGTTTCCTCTCATTCATCATCGCCTTGACTTCATTGTATTACACAGAATATTATGAAACTTTCACAAGGCGAGTACGTCGCTCTCGAGAAAATCGAGAACATGTACGTCGCATGCCCACTTGTGCAGCAGATCTTTGTCCATGGCGATTCATTGCAATCGTACCTGCTGGCTGTGCTCATCCCAGACCCAGTGACTCTGGCCCCACTAGTGTCAAGGGTTCTTGGCGAGAAGGTAACATCTGATGACATCCCAGCACTAGAGAAAGCTATCAAGGACCCCCGAGTAGTAGCTCAGGTCCTTACCGTTCTCAATAAAGAGGCTATGAAGAATCGTCTGGCTGGGTAAGAAGACTTGGGATATCTGGATAGGGCACACTAACTAACTTCAATAGATTTGAGACGATTAAGCGTCTCCACATCAGCTTGGATCCGTTTTCCATCGAGGATAATACATTGACTCCCACCTTCAAGGTCCGCCGCAAGGACGCATTTGCAAAATATGCAACGGAATTGCAGGCGCTATATGCTCTTGGAGAACCAAATGGCGATGCTAGCAAGCTATAGCTTAAGTGCCTAAGCACTCCTTCAATCCACCTATGTGGTATATATATATTTGTCGATATACAGTTATGAATACAGGTTCTACTCGGACAGACACGTTTCGATGGTATGGAGATATTCTTATAAGAAAAGAAAAAGACAACATAACTTGTAGATAACAGCGACGAGAGATACGTATATGAGCAGAGATTGAAATGGATATGGATAGTCATGATGGTGTCGTGAAATGCGATGCCTTGGGAATATAGAATGTGATTGCTATAGAATGTGATTGCCCACCACCTATCGCGGTAGGTCTTTTGTTGGACATGGACCAATCAACCTATCGTCTTCGCACTGTTCTGCTTGATCTTGCGCGATGTCGTCATGCCCAGGAACGAGACCATCACCATAATGACAAGCCACAGGTATCCGCCCAATAAGTTGTACTCTAAAGAGGTTGCGAACAAAGCACTAGAAGAACATGAGGGCAATCCTGCATGTAAAGGAGGACAGACATACCTGACCACAAAGGGAGCGAATGATCGCGCGAAACACATCGTAAACTGAACCAAGCCATTGGACTGCCCCAGTGATGCGGCATTCGGAGCGTTCTCCTTGGTAAGGATCATGCTAACGCTAAACATTATGTGTCGATCACTACGACCAGCCAAAAATGAACGAACACGTACCCATAAGCAACACAAGCGGCCTTGGTCAACAGGAGGACGAAGGCGATACCAACCCATAGAAAAGCAACAGCGGTCGTTCCAAGTTCACCGGTGGTCTCGTCCAAGCCAGCACGAGCGATAAGGTTCAGGAAAGGCAAGACGAGGAAGGTATAAGGCCATAAGCTCATGCAGAAGCAATAGATCTTCGCAGAGTCAAACGTTCGAAGGAGGTAGGACATGATACAAAGTTGGATAGCAGCACCGATAGCACCCGCGATGGCAAGAGAGTATCCGATTTGTGATGCCTTTCCAGTTGTCAGTTGATCACACTTGTCCAGAGCGGGAAGAACTCACTGAGAACGCCAGACCGCCGGATTTAATTGGTGAGTAGCAGAACAAGACAAATACAACGTCGAAGGATGTTCCAATATAGCTTAGCATGAAGCCAGATAGTGCCAAAGCGGATATGATTGGTATCGACAATAATTTTGAAACACTGAGAGGCTTCTCAGGAAGAGCCGGAGCAGTTGTGACGCTATCGCCATTGGTACTTGCATTAGGAGAAGCGCTTTTCTTGCCGTTGCGCTTGCTGGGCAGAGTCTAATATGGGCATGAGATTCTCGATATAACACGGTTTGTGGGCTGCAGAATGGAACATACCTCTTCAAGGGAAATGAATCCAAGGAAAATACCGATAATAGCGAACGTGGATGCAATGAAGCATGGCAGGAAATAGGGATAATCCTTGAGGAATTGGTACCCTAATATTTCGGGATATTTCGAGGCGGGTTGAGAGAACGCCCCACCGATAAGTGGTCTATGGATGTACACATGATCAACGTTGACATCTGATTATATGTAAATGAGGAGCGTACCCGATGATTGAGCCAATAGGCCAGGCGAGGCCGTATATGGGGAAAGCCACCATCTGATTCGTGGAATCGGTAATTTCTCCTAGAACCGAATGGATGACAGCAATATTTCCCGAAAATAGTCCGCCTACAGAATTAGAATTTAGTTTAGGTGCAGATAGGTACCGTGTGGAATGTTCCCCACCTAAGCAACGCGCCACTAAGACACTCGCCAGCGATTTGGATAAACCAAACATCAGCGTGGTGATGACAAGCCCGATTATGCCAAGAAATATGACAGGACGTCGTCCGATGACATCTACAGCAAGTTGTGAGGAAAAGTAGACTGAATGGCGCGATAAAAATACCTGATAGTCTAGCCCACTGGTAGATGGAACACAATTGAGATACAGCAAAAACGCTCTCCTAGTGGTTACGATCAGTGAGAAGAGTGATCGGATCATGGGATCGAATCAGACGACGTACAACCAACCCGCTGTAGAAGCCTATTTTTGATGGGTCATCTGTGAGATGGAGGTCGCTCATGAACTCGTTGACATATGGAAAGACCTGAGTGAACGCTATGGGTTCGACTAGACGAACTATGCAGAGTGCAGTGAGTTGACCCTTTGGTAGAGGAGTATACTTGGGTTTCTCAGCAATCTGAGCTTCAGCATTGTGAGCATTGGAAGTGGTTCGGAGAAGTGGAGAAGTCTCGTCATAATTGGTCGTGTCGTTGGCAATATTATTGGCGGGTGTCATGGTTGAAAATGACAAAGGCAAGGGAATTCAAATTGAGGAGAATAGTATATTTATGCTGGCGAGAATCGGAATTCCACTGGGTCACATTTCTCCACATCAACAGATAGAACACGATATTTTACGTGTACTGCTCATTGCCGCCGATGTTAATTCTCCAGATGGCAAGCAAGGGCTTTGAAGGGGACCTAAGAATGACTGATTCAAAAATGTAATCCGCATAAAAGCCTCATAGGGAACGGCTTACAAGCTTGTCATTGGACATGTGCTGAAAATTTGAGGGTGAAGAGTAATACTTGATAGGGTCGTGAGTATAATTATGGACACAGGCCCGATGATCCCGATTTACATCATGTTAAAGGCACATTACTGTATTTTTGGCAGTGTCAAAACTGCACCTCTCCTCGATATACCTCTATGTAGTTGTAGGGATTGGGGGAGGGAGGAGGGGAACATGGCATATGGTGTATTGCCGCATCTGATATATGTAGTGGCTCAGCCTCGAAATACTGTGCGAGTCTGGTCACTCGGTCGATGCCGGTGGCTAAGACAAATAACATGTACAAACAGGGAGCTCGTTGTGATAGACGTTCTTCCCAACTGTTTCCTCTATTGCAATCACGAAACTTTGTCATCCACTACATTCATCTGCTTTGCTTTATATCTACTCTTACTTGCTTTTAACTTGCTCGCATCAGTCTCTTATCAACCATGAATTTTAATGTCAACGATAATCCTCTTCTCGTCGCTCCCCGTCCCGTTCGCATCACCACCCACCTTGCTCGTTCTACACATTTCAAACTTGTCACTTCTCAAGTTGATCATGTAAAGCTGTCCGAAGACGCTGAAAACGTTGACGAGTACAAACAGCCCACCCGTATCGACTCGGTTTCGTCCGATAAGGATCTCTCCTCTCCGCGTGCATCACCTCGGTAGGTATCTATGTTACGTTTAATCCTAACTGCATTTGTCTGCTGAGCACCAACTCTTCGCCTTGGCTTGCCACCCTATCCCATTTAATACCTTTTCTTTTACTAATTTCATTGATTTCCCTGATCACAGGTCCAGCCTTCCATCAGAAGCGCTTGAAGAGTTCCTGTCAATCTGCATGGGCTGGAAATGCCCATCATCTCCTGTATTGCGATCACGTCGTAACGGTGCCATGCCGTTGCCCACATTTGGCCTCCCTTACAGGTCTAGGAGCAGAGTAGATTTTATCCACGCCAAGGGTGACATCTCCAGCATCACACTCACCGAAGAGAGTGAATGGGTCCCTCGCACGCGATCTCCTCAAACCCTTTATGAGCGAGACGAGCTTGAGAACCTTGACATTCAAGACCTCGACACCCAAAGGTGGAACGTAGCCCACACTCTCTGTGAGCGCTAATAATTGTTCTCCTAAAATCCGCTCATCAGTATTCTTCGAGCAGCATCTCCAATATCTCGTGCGCGCAATCCATTTTTACGCCACCCTTCTTATGACGTCGCCCTTTCTGGCATCTCGAATTTTTCCCAATCATCCCCTCCGATCACTTCGGCAACGGCAACGCCTATGTCTCCTGCGACTGTTCCTCTTCCTGTCCCAACCCCTGATGAGTTGGTCAAGGTTTACTGAATCCTGCCCTTTATCGCAGTAATCCTCGTCTCGTCATCCTGTCGTTACTCCCTTATATATGGTATGTCCTTCAATACTGTGAGCTAGGTTTCTCATCTCGCGAGCTGGTACTCAGCTTTAGACCAGTTCTCCGATTACATTAAAGATACCACTTTTGATTTGTTGGTCTACTCTTCCATCGCACTACTACTCTATCTTGTTTCACCACATACTTATATTCCACATCGATGCCCCCTCTAGTTCTTTCGCTTTGCCTACGTTCATTACCATGTTATTTATACATCACGAAGGATCACTTCCAAGTTTGTCTCCAGTTGCTTTTCATGTGTTACCCGGTCTGCGTCATTCCTTCTAGGAGGGAACTCTCAGTACAATCGCATTGTATACTACTCGAATTCCCGTTGATTTCTGTATGAGAGAGTTCGCTAGAAAAAATGTCTTGCTATCTATCATTTCATGCGTGGAAGTCACTTCCGTGTCCGATGTTATTATCCTTTGCTTGAATCAAGGTAGTCTCGTGAGCCAGCCGCCTCAAGGCCATTAAGCTTTGTCTGAGAAGGTGACAAGGCATCTGGATTGAGTACACTTTAAAAAAAACGGTACCGCGTCTTGTACACTTCTCAGAAGTCCTAGCTCATGAATGCGTCGCATCCTCTCCGTCTGTATTTGTCACAATCGTGCAGCAAAAACGTACCAGAAACCATGAAAATCTAGTCTTCAACATTCTCGACAGCCATCTGCACAGAGAACCCGGCGTGTTTGGTGAAGCTATCTGCTCAGGAGCTGCAGGTTGAGCAAGTCAGACTGGTAGCAGAACGCAAGCAAAACGAAGCACAAAAAATGAACTCCAATCCGAAGCCAACGCCAAAGGAAGCGAGCTATCCAAAGGACACCTTCAAGCTGTTTTGCTCGCTGTGGATTCACATTTTCCTACTCTTCACTCCTTTATTCAGGCTCTCCTGTCAACAACAGACCAGCAACAGTCTGCTCGTGTATCAAGAATGCACATGGAAGTAAAATTCTCGCGCTTACTATGCACCAACGTTGTCCTGATGTGATGCGTGTATGGGCTATCAACTCTGTTGCTGACATGGTTGCGAGGGAGGGCAAAGTATTAGCAGAATTCTTGCGACCGTCTCGTGGAGAAGATATTTTAAGCAGGTGGTCTTTGGATAGAATACAGGCGAGAGCCCAAGACATAGCACCAACTCTGTGCAAACTGTCGGAGCAGGGAGAGTTCGATGAGAGCCTCACCTCGACATGCCGTGATCATGGACTGGTAGGTCTAAGTCTTTGATATATCATGTACAGGCCTCGTTTATCTTATGCAGGTATTCACATATATACTCTGCATGCTTGCTCAAAGTCGTAATGAACATCAATGATTCTAATGAATTCCAAACTATCATAGATGTGCCCATCTACCTTCTTGCGTGCGGAGCATCACGCACACGCCCCATGTTTGAATCCCCGTGTCTGATATGTTTTGCAGGATGGAGAGGACGCGACGCGTTCATGAGCTAGAGCCTAGGATGCACAACGCGGAACGGTTTTTTGCTATATCATATACTTATGCGGGGTTTTAAAGTGTGCTCTACTGCTTCTAAGGGAAGCTCTTCCAGACGCCTTGTCACACCGTGACATTCCCTTCTCAGACAAGGCGGCTAGACTAGAATCAAGGTGCGAAAGACCGTTCTCAAAAGGAATGTCTTCAAGGTCTGACTAGGCGATACTGATATCCGTCATACTTACAACTCTGATCAATTGTTTATCTATCTACCGCAGACGATCCACGATGTTTCTCACAAAACACCCTGCATGATGTCGTGTGCCAAATTGTTGTCCACACCGAAAAGTACTAGACTCTCAGGCTGATTCTTGTTACGGTGAGCATGTCGACTGGCCGAGGGGCCGAAATGTTCACTGTGGGTCTACTATGATTGGCGGTCCGGTAAGATACTGAATGATCATGATGTCATGCTCTGTGATCGGCGTCTTCGAATTTTGGATGTCCTCGCTGAAATTCCTGCTGTCATTCGTGTCAACGATTCGAGTCCTGATTCGACCATATTGTTGTCATCTCTGCATAGCATCAGTTTTGTTTCCAATCACAATGGGGTACCTGACGCGAGTCGAGCCCAGGGCTCGCTCCTATCGATAGTATTTTTGTTGTTGTTCGCACAATCAGGTGTGTGCTTCTTGCCTTCGTTTTTTTCTGCCAATATTCCTCTTTGCGTTCTGGTTCCTCCGCGTATAGACCGATACTATGCCTGTTTTTCGTGCACAAATGCATCGTGCCTTGTGCTGTTACGAAGGCTATGGAGCCATACGCCTAGTCCGGCGCCCGCTCCCATCGCTGATGGCCGGTAGATCTACAAAGCGGGGTTTGATTAGTCCCATACTATGACGGTCTTTCCTGCGCAAATACATTGTGCTGTTACGAATCATGGCGGGCTATGGAGCCACGCGCCTGGTCCGGCTCCCACCCCGATGGCCGGTACTATCTTCAATGCGGGTTTGGATTGGTCTCAAGTCGAACACCGTTCTGACGGACATGCCAGCAGTGGATGTCGTATAGCTTTCTGCTGGTCATAGTTGAATTTTCCAGCATGTACTGGTGGTCACCTATGAATTTCCGGGGTGATAGCAGATAAAGCTAACCGCTTACGTATGTCAATTATCCTCCCGTCATAATTTGTGAATGTGACCCTGGTGGCGTCCCTATAAAAATTATTTGTTGAGTGCAAAGTGACATATGACGGAACGCTTCTGATCCATACAATGACGTAGTAGCTTCATGTCCGACTAAGGGCTTATATTTATACACAGACCTTCCCGCTATTGTCCAGAAATAGTTAAGATCATAAACTCTGGATTTAAGATAGTAGGATGGATCGATAGCGCATCTGCATCAATACGTAACTTCGGTTCCAGAAATTCATATCCGTAAACCCCATCAGAGGAAAAGGTTCAAGGGTGAAGCGGGCTGAATGCTTGTCCGCCAATCCCTTTGGTCAGAAATACAGAATTTCCGCCTTTGTCGATATAGAAGCAGTCTTCAAGGCGAATGCCGACCTGTTCATAACCGTTAGCATTCATCCAATCAAACAGGAGTCTCCGTGGCTCCACACGTAATTACCGTACCTTGCCTTCAATGTATATGCCTGGTTCGTTCGAGAAGGCGTTCCCTTTTTGAATGATGTCGTCGGTTCCTCCACGGAGGTATGGAGCCTCGTGATCTTCAAGCCCGATTCCTTCGAACACTCAGTCCTAAAACTATAAGTCTGCTGTAATTTTTAGTGCTCACCGTGACCCAGTCTATGAGTAAAGTATCCTTTGTACCCACGCCCGTCAAGCCAATCACGCGCTACCTTGTCTACGGCAGATGTATTTGCCCCCTCCCGAGCCACTGCATGCGCCAAGGTCTGGGCGGCATGTACATCATACCAGATCCTAGTATGTTCCGGTGGAATTGAGCTATCATGCAGCATGAATGTCTATGCAGAACCTCAGCCAAGTGAGTGGTTTCACGACAGAATCATGAATGCTTACACGTGTAACGTCGCTGTGGTATTCAAGCAACGTGCCACCAGCATCTATGAGAATAAAGTCCGCTTTGCCCAGTGCGCGGTCGCTCCCGCTTCCATGCGGGAGAGCAGCGTTCTCTACAGCAAACGAGATCGAGAAGTCAGCACTCACAGGCACCTATAATTCGAATGTCAAATTTTGAAAAAAAATCTTACCGCCAAAAAGTACCAACGCCCATCTTTCGGCGAGACCAGCAGCAGCGAGCGCCTCATCTATCATCACTCGAACTTGTGATTCCCGTATCCCGATGTACATCTGGGCTTGTACAGCACGGATACAAAGAACGGTGACCTTGTTGACTGCGATGAGCTAGCCACGTTCAAATGCAAACACATCCGCTGACCTCGTTCGCACATCTCAGAAGGTCTAGCTCTGCTTGGGATTTGCGCGCCCTGAGCTGGGTGACTTCGAGTGGGGCAGACATAACGCGGACGCCAGGAGCAGCCTTCTGGAGACCGTCGACAATGAAGTATCTCATCATACCGTCAACGTAGATGGGCCTTTCAAGTTCAAGTTCAAGGGTGGAAAGCGCGACGGTGTATGGGTCTTCGTCTTCTGCCCAGGAGACAAATGAAACGTCAATTCCGGGTACTGGTAAAAGTCTGGCGCGCGTTTCCTCAAATGCTGGTGTGATAACAGTGATTTTGGCTACAATGCTGGCCTCCTCGAGTACGGGAGAGATTATAAGTAACAATGGTCTTTCTGAAAGGTGCCACGTCGCCTCGGAAATGTTACCAAAGTACTGCGCATTTGCGCCAGGCTCTGCGATGTATGCTGATGCGCCATTGTCATACAATATCTTTGCCAAGTTTTCCTGGCGTTGGAGAATTTCTGAACCATTTATGGGCTGCGCATCGGAGCAGTGGCTTGCTAGGCCTGTCCAGCGGTCGTAGTCGACTGATAAGGATTCGGGGCCGTCATTAGTGAGAAACTGCAAGTAGAAGATGGTTGCACAAATGACAAGACTGAATAAAAGCCTCCACTGCCAGTGATAGATTATGTCCTGATGAAAATCTGGCAACACTCTCAGCAGTGTGAGCAGCTTACCTCTGATAGGCTCCGAGTCCGTGTTACTTTGGACGTAACAAAAGTTTGAGTGATCTCCTTCCCAGAAACGGAGGTGTCCACTTGCTCATCTTTCAGTGTTTGCTAGGCAAGACAGACTATAGCGACTAACCATGACTCATAATTTGAATTAGCGCTTAATGGTGGGGAACACTAATATAAGTCTAGTAGTAACCCGAGACCGTATCTGGGCGGTGGCAGTGCACGGCGCCTTGAATCCTTCCTTTGACATCATGGAGGACACGGAAACTTTGCTAGCACTAGTCCGCAGCCTACTGACCATTCCACTGCCAGAACTGGATATTCTTCTCGACGCGCTCTTGTCGTGCGATGGAGATGTTCATGCTACTGCCAAACTGCTTAATTCTGGCGATAAGACAAGGTCTAAGCCAGTGAGCAGCGTTTCAAAAAGAAAGGATCGTTCTGTGGGTCTTCAAGGCTGGTTAAATGCAGGCAATTCAAAAGTCGAAACCACTTTTTCTGACAGTCCTCCTCGAAAGAAACGGGGCGTCAAGGAATCCAGTCTCTCTCCTGTTAAAGCGATCATCAAGGATACCACTGTATGCAGCAGCCCTCCGACCAAACCCCAAGTAGACTTGATGTCGGTTCTACGCCAACCACCCTCGAGTACGCGATATGTACCGCGCCTCCTTCCCTTGACGTTGATGAACCCCCCGATGGTGGCCAAGCACACACCTTGCACGATGCATCTATCCATATTGCCACCAGAGCTTGCATGCAAATTATTCTACACCATGCTTGATCTGTCACAATCTTGGAAAAGGAACAAATGGTGGCTATTTGATCGTGTGGTCGAGAGCCCTCACCGCACATCGTTCTATGCTCGAAAGACAGATGGTGTGGAGTCTGATAACTCGTGGCAGGAGGCTGCACAATACTGGTGAGATAAAAGAATGTCGTATCTTCTTGAGACGAATATTTAACCTGACGCACTAAAGGTATAATGGTCGACAAACAGACCCACCTAATGTCTTTCCTGATGTGATGGAAGAAGCCTGCTTGTATGTAGAAAATATGGTCAACAAAGAGATGCAGATGCGACCTCGCCTCCCGCTTGAATGGGCAGGCAGGGGCTCCGAAGGTCAAATCTGGCGTGCCAATGTAGCAGCATCAAATTGCTACGAAGGCACAAAGGACAGCGTTGGATTTCACTCAGACCACTTAACATATCTAGGGCCTTACCCAACTATTGCCTCACTGAGTCTCGGTGAGCATCTTTTAACCCGCTGTCCTGTGTAGTCATACCGGGTCGTTTGCAGGGACGACAAGAATCTTTCGCCTCCGGGAGGTCGTGCCAAGTGAAGAGATGCACTCACGGAGGGCACAGACATTTAACATTCCTTTGCCTCACAATTCTGTAGGTCTTCGCGCTAGTGATACATGTAGAACTATACTCAGACGTGCATCCAGTTGATCATTATGCATGCTAGCACCCAGGAAAAGTTCAAGCATTCAATTCCTCCTCAATCTACACTTGACCTCTATCGGCCTCTCTTTCCTCACCATGCTCGCCTGGAACATCCATTAGAACCGTCCAATTGTCGTATCAATATAACCTTCCGGTTCTATCGACCAGATTTCAGGCCGCAAAGCATCCCGCGTTGCAATTGCGGTGTACCAACAATTTTGCGTCCAGATATGAAAAATAGACATGACGGTCAGACGGACAAATACTGGTGGACGTGCCACGCTGGCGCACAGAATGAAGGAAAAGGGTGCTCGTTCTGGCAGGTCATGGATATGAAGGCTGAGGGCCGAGGGCCGACCATTTCTGGTGTGGGGTGCAATGAACGGTGACATGAATTGCACCAAGGGTGCGCTGAAGTTTATTCACAAACAAGTCGTGGTACGTCACTCTCATTGCATCGTTGTATGGGAAAGGTTGAAAAAATTACAACATCGGCGATGAACATTTCGGGAACAACAGGTCAAATGCGTTACTAGATTTTGCTGGGCGTAATGCAAGTTCTATCAAACCTCCGAGGCTTCGAGCAGCGAACTTGGAGTGACCATCAGTCCAAGTATGTGGTAATGATGATGGGTTCCATAGTGCCCTGGTAATATCAAGATTTCACGAGAACTCGCCGGCCATAGGCTCCAGTAACCCCATCAAAGAACGTTCAGACTCTTGCTTTAGAATTGCAGTAGAACTCGCGGGTAAGCTTCCACACCATAATCTTGTTCCTACGGTATCCCCGCAGGATCATACATAAATATAACTCGACATTCGCATGGGAGCTTGAAGACGAACCCTTGAGGCCATTCACAGAGTGTTGTAGCACAGCCATCACAACGCACGTGTGAACATCTTTAGCGACTTTGTTGTTTGGGTGGCAGAAATGGAGCCACACGATTTTTCATCCCACAGTTGTGGATTCCATTGACCACCGGTCGATCAGGACGTAAAGCAGCATACGGCATGATCGAGTCACAGGTGAGTTTGCGAGGTAAGGTCTTGACCATCCTTAGCTCTGACAATTGAAACTGGCACACTCAAATTCGATTGAATTCGTTCACGTTACCGTATTTCAACTCAATTGGCTTTCCAGAAAGGCGGTCTGACACGGAGCATCCAATCTTTATCAGGGACGTCATTTCCGCCTCACCTCCATGTTAACACACCCTGATTAGCGCTTATCTTTACACAGTATATACAGACAAGGACTTGAGCCAACAAAACTTCTGAAACACATTGCACAACAAACAATCACCTTCCAAACGTGTCTGAACCAGAGTATGAAGAACACGACATTGCGTCCTCGTTTCAGGGTGCAAGTTCAAAGTATGAACATTCTATCACTCCCAAAAGCCGTTATAGAGCCCCGGGTTTGTGGCGCTTATATTAACCTCTCAGAGCGTTCTATTGACTAAATTCTCTGTTATCTGAATGTAATGGGCCTTTCCATAATCATGCTTCTGCGCTAGTCCAATTGAATAACCTGAGGCTGTATCAGACACGCGCTAAGTCACCAGGCGCAAATGCTAGATGGGGTCGGAGAGTTGGATATCCTGGGATCGCAATGCTATCATATCTTGGGAGTTTAGCCAAGGCCATCATCTTTCCTGAGTAGTAGAAAAGACATCTAGATTGAACGTTCCTCACTTGATGCGGTTGTATCGTAAGTTGGGTAAAATTATCTCATGCATTCAGCTTCCCAATTTGAACGAGTCCCTCGGGCGACTGGCTAGCTGTGTTCTTGAATAGTTATTTCACGTTCATGACGATGTGATGGTATCGATGGTTGACTGGATTTGTTGCACACATTGTATACTTTTTGCGTGCGACAATCGTGCAAGATCTCCGAGTCAGTGTAGTCGAACACCCGCCGGATGTAAATAATTGCCCGACATCGACGAAGTTATTGATAGAGACAGATCCGTCTTCTGGATGTTTGAACCCATGGTCACCATCACCGCTACTGTGCGCTGCAGCTCATCACAGATTGCATCCTCCGCGGTATACCAGTAATAGGTTAGGGGAGACGGCCTGTACTATGTAGTATAACGTGTCGAGTCAGGTCACGTGCACTGCTTGTTTCTCCGCTCTCACCCGAGCATCAATCACCCAAATTCAAACCCTCGCCATTCTCAGTATCTATCAAGCCATGGCCCGTGTATCGTTCCAACCGACCTCGCCAACTCGTTTTGCCAGCACTGTGTGTATCATCTCTTGTTCTTCTGGCCAGGGTTCGGTTATTGAAATCCGCTTTTGATGTGATTTAGCTGGCCAAACAATGGGGTCCAACGCTAGGCATATGGGGCGTAGGTGCCGGCGCGGCTGCTCTCTTCGTGCGTCTAGATAGTACTACTAGTCCCTCTTACTTTTTTTTCTGATTCACCAAATAGTTATTGTCCGTTACCCCGGTTGTGAAAAAGGGTCTTCTCGTAAATGTTCCGCTGGTGAGGTCTTAGATCATCGTGTACATTCATTCTGCTCATCTCGCGCGTGATGGGTACAACTTTAGATCGGGAATTACTACGAGGACAAAACGCCTGCCTCGGACAAGCCGTTCTGAATGGTCCGCGATTATAGACACATACCGCCCTTTGGGATACCAGTATTTCGTTTAATGTAGAATGCGGCCATCCAGAATATACATTTGCGATCATCTAAATCCCCCGCGGAGGTGTCCATACAAATTGTGATACCACCAAACTGTAGCCATGGCTTTCAAAGTTTAGCAGATGTTGTGTTGTCATGGTCAAGGTCACTAGTAAGGTCGATGCCTAATTTCCCTTCCAACTGTTTGACTGCATCGAGAGTGCCACCTATCGGAACATCTAAAAGAAGATTCGTCAGGACAGTTTGCCAGGATTTGCCATCGGCGCCGCATGGTGTCCAAGCTGCCAAAGATGATGCAGCCGCGGACGCATCTACAGATCAGATGTACTTAGAATACGCGACTTACGGATGGTCTCCATGCCAAGAACGCGAGCGGCCTTCAAGTTCCTGTTGATGGTCAAAAATTTCACCAGCAACGTGGTAGGCACAGTCCTTACATTCCTATATCATCAAGGAAGACGGCTTCTCCGGGACGAATGTGATTTCGCTGACAAGCAAGAAGATAAAATTCGGGATCAGGTTTCCTGTTGATGGGTTGAAAGTAGTATAAGCAACACCACTATTGCTGAACCTCGTGAAGACCTTAGTTGAGGGTTTTCCTAACGTACCGCATGCCTAACTCGCTGGAGTCACAGAAGTCATCGAATAATGTACGGAGATGAAACTTTGCTCCATCCTCCCATCCCAAGAACCGCAACTCCGAGTCGGGAACTCCTATAGGAGGTTGTGCTGCAGTCAGGGGCATCGAAGAAGAAGAGCCCGTGATGTGCTTCGAGTAATTATTAGTAAGAGCGATGATAAGCCATCTTCCAGACGCTAAGATAAGGCACTGAGTATGTTCGGAGTGTACCGTGATGCGATAGAGTCACCTCTTATCCGGTGAATGGCCTGCAGGATGTGACAATCATAAGCTGTAGACTGTCGCATCATCCTACCAAAAACCTTGTGGCGTTGGCGGAGTTAATAATCAGAGCAGCGACTCATCAGATGTTTCCAACACTGACCTCACGGCCGTCAATATCAAGCATCACAGGTAAAGCCGGGAGATCTGACTCGACAAGGATTAAAATAGTTGCCTAAGAAACGTACCATCATGAGGCCATACCTATCTTTTTGCGAGCACAGTATTCCGTATACCATTTGTTACCATTTTCTGTGTCAGACAGGTCACGTCCAAACTCTTCGTAGAATGGGAAGAGCGATAGCTCTCCACGTTCGAATCTCTCCCAGGCCCCACCCGGCCCCCGAGAGGCTCTGCCCACGGAATAAACATGAGAAATACCGAGATGAACATAGTTTGGACAGACGGACATCGAGACATTCAGGTAATTCCTGGGTAGACTCTTCTCCGACTCGATCTCATCGATCGCAATGAACGGGCTATGAAGGACGACGCCGCCAATCTGGGAACAGTTACCCGAGGATGATCAATGATCAGCCGCAGCCATGACGAGCGACAAGACGGCACCGCGTGCGTTGTTCGCGTCGGTACCAACGGGACGTACATCAAAAATAATGGCCTTCAGATGGGGAGAAGACATCGGTTAAGCGAACCCGGCGGCTCCTACAGATTGGCAGAATGGTAACCGACTATGATCGCTGCCGCAGCACACGAAGCTTTGTCAAACCGAACAAGCTGCTGCAGGAGACGCAATGAAGAAGAAGAATCAACTGGGAAGGTACGGCATCTAAACATACAAGTTACCGGTTCATATCATCCCGGCGGCAAATTCGACACAATCCTGAACGCTTGAAGTCTTGGAAGAAGTTAATGAATATATGAATAGTCGTGCCGCGAAACATTCTCATCAAGTGTCCATGTCAGTGGATGTCACAATGCCATAACTTGTCAGAACGAAGACGATGATCAGCTAGGGCTACCTATCCGTGGTATTATTATGTCGGTCGGAGTTTGAAAATATCTCTTGCTTGACTCTTTGTACAACATTTTCGAGATACTAGTGAAGCTTCCATCTCTGCCAATTCAGATCGTTCATCCGTGTATCTGATCGTTACCAACTTGCAGGACCGAATATGCCTAATCCACGGCAACGTCGTAAAGCCAAATCATCAACGCATAAAACCGTATCCCACTCACGGCGTGCACAGAGACTCCTGAAGAAGATGCCAGGTGAGTTTCCGATGATATTAAATTATATCCATGATACATGAACGTTCATGTGCTCATTTATCGGATACTCGCGGATTCTTGTTTGGTGTATCTGATTCGCCTCGTGCTGTCGTTATGCCTGATTGGTTTTGTGGAAGATTATAATTGTGATTGACAAAGTGCCTAGCTGACGAAGTTCCCTTTTAGTGATACGAGGTCCAAAAGCCTTGCAGGACGCTTGGGATAAATCAAAGACAGTTCACCAAAAGTGAGTTTATCTCCGCATTAATTTTCAATTTGTTTTGCTCTTGGAGTTCCGGTGGGGCTGGTGTTTTCGAATTTGTCAAAATCTTACGGCGATACGGACTTTGTTGCCAGTCATCAGACTTGGACGATTATCCGCTCTAGTGGTGAGATATCTGAGATGGGTTATAACACGTGGGCAACTGTCCCAATGGAATAGGTCTTGATTCCTGTCGACCCCCGCGAGACTTGTCATCAGCTCCGCGGCTTGCAATTAATTCAATGAATTGTGTCCTTGACCGGTCGTTTAAATCTCTGAACAAATGTTTTTCTACAGCTATGCTGCATTGGGACTTCAGTTTGCTTTGACCCCCACGCAATCAGGCGGAGTCGAACGGACATCAATCCCTCCAAAAGTTTCAGCTGATGTTGAGTCAGTCTCTGCTACCCTCAAGTCAGTTGAGTCTGGCCCTTCGACTATACCCAAGGGGTTTGGAAGAATTATCCGAGACGAGTCTGGTAATGTGATACGAATCGACCTTCCTGAATCCGAGGAGATTCAAGACTCTGTACAAAACACGGAGCTCCCCGACGCAGAGGTAGATGAGAAAACTATGGGTGATTGGGTCGGTTGTCTCAATAGAATATACCATCCAAATCGCACCATAGATGCACGAGAATCATCCTCGTCGTGTGCGCAGGGAACACATGCGATTGACGGTGAGTGCCGCTATCAAAATCAATGTTCTCGCGGTTTGTCTTCTGGCGCAAAACTCAGTTTTCCATGATCTCAATTAGAGAGACTATCCTATACTTGATGAGTTCTTGGGATCTATTAGTGTGGTGCCTACGGCACTAGCGCTTCTTTATGGCTCATATGACATTCGGCGGTTTTTCGATTTACTGACCAGTTAATTTTGTTTGAAACAATAGTGTTGGAGCAACTGTCGACTTCTGGCAGGGCGGTTGTGCGACACTCGTCATGTGGAGAAAGATCATACCTGGCGCGGTTGATCCAAAAATATGGCGATAACTACGAGAGGATGGCGATAGATCGCCGTCTAAATCCCGAACAAAAGACAGTGGGTGAACTAAGAAGGGCGGTCGGTAAAGCGGGCGGGGTGGAGTCATTCTGCTGACCGAGAGATACATGTGGGCGGATTATCGCAGATTGGCACGTTCAAAATGCAATACATAACCTGTGGATATTACTTCTGCAGCACTGCACCTGGAGGGCGGCTCAGTAGTGTTGACGAGCGCCCGGTTAAGCGGAGTGAACCGACACCGATATGAGGATGTGGTGTGACTGTGACATATATCACACCGGAGCTTCGAAAATGGGCAAGGCTGTGTACGCACATCGGAGGGAAGGACTAGCATGGAGCACGCGTGAATGAATCTCGTTAAGCAGGGTCAGGGGCGATATCACAACGCAAATCACTAAGTCATTGAGTCAAGATATCCCCGGTGAACAGGTGACATGAAGCGGCCATTGCTTGTGGTAATATGTGGCGACGGGGTGACGCCTAGGCATGATGGATATTTGCGAAACTGCCACATTGAATTAACAAGTGAGGTTCAAAAGTAATACGAGATATGAGCGGGAGGTTCAAGAGTAATACGGGATATGAGAAGAGTAATAGGACCCTGGCCTGAGTCATGAATGTGTAACGATGTCTGACATTTTCCATCATAGAAAAAACATAGCGCGCATGCCGCATCGTAAAGCTTACGAAGGGATCAATAATCTGAGATCTGAACTAATTAAATAAATCCGGCAAGTCGGAATTCGAAATTGGATAAGTTATTGACAAGCTCTCGACCTTCTAAGACGGCAAAGTGGCCAAGACCGGACCTATCAGCGCACGCAGGTCAGGTGCAAACAAAGTTGAAAAAGGTATACGACACCTGTCAGGGTTGCTCTGTTAATGAGTGGGCGGCGTTGTGGTTCTCACGGCAGGTATGATGGATTTCTTTCCGATTGGCGGAAAAAGAGACTTTTACTGAGTGCCTGTAGGAGTCAAGAAAATCGATTTGGTCCTGAATCTATTGGTACACGCACAGCCGTATGAGGTACGTTGCAGTCAACGTTGAATTGATTACGACGGTGACCTCGTATAGCGTTCTTGGATTTATTGTGATAAAATGATTGGGTAGATCCCAGATCAACGCCACTGAATGACGAGATACCTGCAGCGCTCACAAGGTCGCCGAAGGTACAGCATCAAATATCAAGTTCAAGCGAAGGTAAACGCCCCAAATCTGGTGTTCCCGAAAGATCGACTTCGACTTACGACATCCGCTTTTCTCGTGTCTTTCACTCTTTCCATTTTTATCCGCGTTCTGTTCGAGCCGTCTGAACTGCCAATCGAACTTCCGCATATCGACGTCAAACAAACCATATTTAATCTTCCATCCAATATCGGCCCTTCTCCGACCTTATTATAAATCTCACCACCATTGTTATCCTTTACTTAAACTCTTCATCTCCTTCTTGTCCACTACCCACTCTTCCACCATAATGTCGCCACGAGCATCTTCCTCTGCACCGAGAACCGCATCCGCTGCTAGCGCTCCATATCCACGACGAGCTGCTGGCCAACCAAAGTCTTCTAGGCAACAGTTCTCCGCTTGTGGTGCTTGCCGCATGCGAAGGTATGCCTTGAATCACTCTTCTCATCCCTTCATCTCAATCTCTGTATAGAGTTCGATGTGACCTCAAAGACCTCCCAATGACACAGACCACAAGCGGTGTCCAGCATCCCTCATGCTCAAACTGCAAAGAACGTGGGATCAAATGCGTGTACGTAACATTTAGCATACAATTGAATTGAATCATCATGTCTATTTTAGCGATGAATTTGCTGAAGTCAAAGCTGTGAAACTTTTAAGACGCGGCCGCCGTTTACAACAAGTAGAGTCAGTCGTCCTCCCACTACTAGTCCCATTTAAATTTAATTTCAATCAATTAGAGCTGTCTACGGCAAAGTTACAGATGACGAATCTAACTCGTCTTCTGCCATGTCCACTCCATCAAACCCCACGATCCCAACCACGCTCTCCGCGGGGATCGCCACATCCAGACAATCCACTATCCCCCTCCTCAAGCTAGAATTCCTTAGCTCATCTTTCTTCCGCAGATTCAGCATTCAACGTAAGATTTCATTTGCCGTCATAGTTATCACCCATCCATCTTTTCTTCATCTAGGCCCTATAATCGAACCCACTGAATTCACATCAAGATACTTTGCTCATATTAAGGGCACTTCCACTCTCAGTATCGAGGGTCAGATGATTGCGATGCTACTTGTCACTTGGGCTGCCTCATTTGGCGTCGATGAATATGGTGTGGAGGAAGAAGCAGAGCCCCATTCCCCCACTATGCCCGACGCACCCAAGTTCTCTCAAGATGCCGATGATGATTACTCTGACCCAAACCGTCGCGCTCGCACTCTTCGTACAGAGTCCATGATCAGGGAGATCCTCCATCTCATCGATATTCACGCCGTACTCCGACGCCCGACTTGGGACGGCGTTAGGGTTCTTTTGCTCATCCTTCCATTAACTCAGGGTTTGTGTCCATTAATAATTCCAGGGCACCCTCAGCTGACGCACTCGTCACTAGGTATACAAAGTTCCATGGACAGGGGGGTAAGTGCCATGTGCTTGACATGGAAGCGTATTGACTGATCGTCCTTGTTTAGGCCATGTACGAGGCAACGCTTTCCCAAGTTTACACGCTCTGCAGCTCGAGCAATCATTCTGTCCTACAAAGTGGCCAAGGATCGTATTGTGACGCACTTGTCCGTGCTAGAGTATTCTGGTACGCTTACGTACACGAAGGTGTTCGCACTGCCTTGCGCGGCGGTCGGCTATACCTGTACGTATATGCCATCCCCGAGTGACATTCTCTGATTGTTTCCAGTGACGAGGACGACCTTGTTGCATTCCAAAGCACACTTCCTCCTCAATACTGTGCATCTGCATCTGGCAGCGCTCCTTCATCTACATCTGCTTCATCACACTCGTCCCCTACCGCCACTTCTCCAGTGTCGTCCGATAACCCTGTCAATTCCTTGCAGGATCCTCGTGGTCACTCGCGCGCTTCGCTCTCTTACCTGCTCTCGTCCCATTATTTTTCGCTCGCCCTCTCCGTGTCTGGTGTATGTCGTGCCGTTCACGCAGTGCTCACTGGACCTCGTGCGCGTCGTCGCACCGATGCTGGTGTTGCAATCCGCGAGGACTCCCTCGTGGAGATCTGGGATGGGCTCGAGCGATGCTGGGAGGACTTTGAGTCTCTCCGTCGTGGAGCAGGCGGCATTGGCACCGTGGGTGGCGGCCTTGTTCGTGGAGAGGACGTCGAGCGTTTCGTGAGCGGATGGCAAGTGTTCATCTTTGAGTGCTTGAACATCATCCGGGAAGCCTTGAGACAGCGCATCGTTAATCAAACCAAGGGGAGCCCCGACTCGAACGGTCGTTCCCCTCCCGCCGATCGTGCCCTTTGCCGCATGCTCGCCCAAGCTACTCGCCGTTGCCGCCTTGTGCTTCCTCGCGTCATCGCTATCTTGAAGCGTCACCTAGCTGTTCCATCGAGCGGATTCTTCGCTCATGATGCCGGGCTCATCCGAGACGGATGCTACTATGCAGCCTTGCTACTTGCGCAAGGGGACGTTGATCAGGATGCGGATAGTGATCTGAAAGGCGATGACGGACTCGCTTGGGACGCTGACGCCGAGGACGGTGTTGACGTGTGTCTACGGGCACTAGGAGAGATTGGCTGGATCTACGCCAACAGCGAGGAGCGGGAGAAGACAGTTCGCATGGTTTGGGAGGCACGGGTCATCCGTGATGATGAGCGCCGTCGTGAACGCAACCGTCAGCGTGATTATCTTGAGGATCAACGTGCTCAGGCTTATCACTCAGGACAACGTTCGCAGGATCATTCTCCATATATGATTAACAAACCGTCGTTGCCGGCGTCCGCTCGCGGTCAAGGAGCGACGCCTCGTTCACTCTCACTTGTGTCAGCCGCTGGTCAGTCTCGTCCTCATCTTCCTCCACTGTCGGTTGCGTTTTCTCCTGCGGAGAGTTCACCCAACACGGCTATCACGGACGATGGCAGTGGCAGTTGGTCTACATATACGCCACCCACGACGTCGAGTTCGATGACGAGTAACGCGACTACGAACCGCAGCGTGTCGCCACCTGATTCTGGATCGCCTCACACACTGTCATCATTAAAACATCTTCCACCTATACAGCACTCGCTGAAAACGGAGAATGATTCATTCTACAATGGGGATCTTGATCCATTCTCATTTTCTGTGGACGGGACCACGGGGCCGGGTGTTGTTGGAGGCGCTCATGGATGGACATCGCAATATCAACATCCAGTGGGGCCTGGTAGCGGATACCTGGACCCGAGCGTGATCTTTACTGGAGCGGACTGCCAAACATTCTACCACTAAAGAAGTAATTGTCGTCAGTGTACGTTTTTATTAGAGAGTCACATGTTATCTGGTCTTGATTATTTCCAAGTTCTACATCAGAGAGTGGAGCTGCATCCATCATCTTCACGTTTATTTCATAGCCATTATATTACCGCTTTATCACTGGATGTATTAGAATTTGTTTATACCCTTTTTCGACCTTTATTATCATAGACAAGTAGTAGATGTATTATCATTATGCATGAGAATGTAAATCGGTGGTTCTAATGAGTACGTGATGCAGAAGATCTGAGGAGATATGATGGATATACCTAAATATACCGGATAGTTTCATTTGTGTACGCATCTCATTTTAGAATATAATTCAATTGAATGGCATCATGACATTGACACTGACGCCCGTCCATCTGTGCTAGAAGCAACTAGGCTCCGATCAAAGAAGGGGCGCATTGACGACGCCCAAGTCGACCTGCATCGTGTTGTCCAAAAATTCCGACGGCTGAGAGTTGGGGGTACCTGCATCGTGTTACAAGTTTCAAACTTTTTTTTTTTTTTTCTATTAGTGCTTGGCGCTTGCACAATTGAGTAGTCTCCGATGGTACGTTTCCAAATTACCGTTTTATCTAGCCATGTGGTTCATGAAAGTGGCGGCCGGCAACTGTGAGACGACACATTAATCCCGCAGAAAAACTTCCATTCCCCCCAACAAAGGAACAGTGCGGATACGTATCAAACTTCTTGTACCCCATGTAGTACTAGTCCTAGTGATGTCATCCCGCCGCACGTTGATTGTGAGCTCCTGTCCTCGTGTTGAATGCGAGTGCACGCCTTTCCAGGGTCGGATGACAGCTTGATGGGATAACCCTTGGGAATAACCGTTGTGGTCCTCATAGCAAGTCAATGATTATCGCTATCAAAGTCTGGACGGGGACTTGAGGTCATTACGAAATGCGGACTCCTATCTCCGAGCACCAGCCACCAAGCTTGGCCATCCGTCGATACCTTGACCTACCACAACCTCGGATCCGGGATGCGGCTACAATCGTCTGCCGCACAGCTTTCATTGTTCTCTCTTTTTGCGATAAAAACAAATAGAAGTCTTCCGGAGGGAAGCAGGCTCCTCAAAGCTTTATTGGTTGGCCATGTTGCGGCTTCGCTCTCTACACCGGACTGTTCCTTGCTGTCCGAAGATCCCCGCTGTCAGCATCATCATCATTCCGGTTGTCTCGCTTTATTTCTGCAAATATGTGAGCGCATTCTGGTGCGAACGAACGTAAGTCACTTGGCGGCACCATGTGCACCACTTTGCAAATCCCGCAACTTTTCCTGCGTACGATACTGGCTATCAATGTCCCTGATAAGTGACACGACCTAGACCAACTTGGCACCTGAGGACGCATAACCTTCGCTGCCAAGCTAGAAGCTTCACGGGAGAATCGTGTCCTCTCCTGCCTGGACACTCGTCCCTGGAACCTTGCCCACTTATGGTCGACATCACCGTTGATACCAACCCAAACGGGCTGTTCTTCGTCACATGTCGGAAGTCTCGGACATCCGCGGTAAACATCCTCTTTTGACCCGTGCAATATCAATTTATTCGTATATCATGCTGGGCTGGGTGACTTGATGACCGCGCCTTGTAAGAGCGTCCTCGACAGCTGTCTTGAACGAAATCAAAATGACAAGTTGAGCGCGACTGCCACTTGGCACAGCCACCTGCCACCTGCCACACAGTGACGCCAGTCACGATGCTGTATCGCACTCTTTCCTTGTCCCCATCCACAACAGATCTAGCCCCGCATGTCTTACTATACCCCTAACCCCCCCAATGCCTATGGATCAAACCCTCCAAATGTCTATACCTCAAACCCTCCCAATGCCTACGCGTCTAACCCCGCTCGATACCCCAATTCCCAACCAAGGCAATACGTTCAACATCAGGGCCTTCCAGCTGGCGCTGATCCTCAGCTCTGGCAGTGGTTCTGCGCCGTCGATACTGATCGATCGGGCGCTCTCAGCGTCACAGAACTTCAAGCTGCCCTGGTAAACGGTAAGTGGCACTGCAATCTTGCGGATGATCGTCGTGCTACAACTCGTACTTTCGGCGCTTACTAGGAAACTGGACGAGTGAGTACACCCCTCGTTGATATCATGGTTTTATGCGATTGGCAATACGCTCTGGTAGGACATTGAGCGATCGTGCTAATGCCCAGACTAGCCTCTTTATCGTTTACCCCGTTCCAACTGATGGCTGAAACCATGCTTAGAGTTTGATCTCGATACCGTCAAGATGCTCATGAACATCTTCGTACGTATGACCTCACCCTGCAAAAAATAACATATGTAACTTCCCCCAGGATACTGATCGAAGCGGAACCATCGGCTTCAATGGTACTCCATATATGAAATTCTCAACTATCGCTGACGTCGATATGGCCCAGAATTCGCTGGCTTATGGAAATATATCGCCGAATGGCAACGAGTCTTCAAGCACTTTGACAGGGACCATTCTGGTTCTATCGACGGACGTGAACTCGCGGAAGCCCTCCGCAACTTTGGTTATAACCTATCTCCTCCTTTGTTACAAGCGCTAGAAATTCGATACGGTACGGAAACTCTCTTTTGCAATCAAAAATCTAAATTGTCCGATAGCTTCTGGCGCGACTAGTGCGTATGGCCCCCCTCCTGGTATTACGTTCGACCGCTTCGTGAGAGCGTGCGTGACCGTCAAGACTTTGACCGAAACATTCCAAAGGTATGATATGGATAAATCCATCCACGCCATGCAGTTATTAACGACTCTCCAGGGAGGACCGTGACAATGACGGCTGGATTCAACTCAACTATGAAGATTTTTTGAAGGTGAGCGGGTCGATATTGTGGCGCACTTGTCTGACTCGGACACCCCAGATTTCGCTGAGTGCGCCTTAACTGGTGAGAACTGTGATGCAATGCGATAAATTCGTTGCGGACGTTGAAGATGTATGATAACCTTTTGAAATACGATGTTTCATGTATATACAACCCTCACCGTTCTGTATGTATGTATATGAGCCTCGCCAAAGATTGCAATTTCAATTTGCATGCGTTATAAGCCCCATTTGGACCCCTGTGACCACTGACTGCGCAACAACTCACTCTAAGCTACCCATCACCAACCTCGACACCACCATGGATTGCTTTTGTAAGACAGGACATGTACATTCTACCGACCAGTTTCTGATACTTTCCCTACAGTTTGTCTACCAATCATATGTTCGTGGGATTTCTCGCCTACCATGCTCGCGCTCCGCCATACTCGATATTTATAACACCTTTTACAGTCGGCTGCCCCACAAAAATCAAGCCGGAAGGAAACGAAGGAGCCAGAATATGTCCTCGGTGCCATAACGGTACGTCGCATAAACATACTCCCAGCTCCACTCCCTAACGAAAGCCCGTCTCAGCTGCGATGTTCTCCGCCAAGTCTAGAACCTGGTTCGAGCTCTGTTTCGTCCCGCTCATTCCTCTAAACTCGAAGCATGTGTGGATGTGCGGGATATGTCAGCTGCAGGTGCATGTGCAGCCTGGGTGAGGAAGTTCTTTTTTTTTTTTGTGATGTGCGAGGGTCGTTGATGTTTCTTTGGTGGGGCAGGTGGGAGCCTCAGGTGGCTCAGCCGGGGTATCAGCATCCGCAGTTGCAGGGCCAGTATGGGCCGTCTCAGAGCGGTGGATACGAGCCTGGGTATATCCAACCTCAGAAGTGACCCGGATGTCGAGCGTGTCATGGATCATTAACTATTTTTGCTCGTCTGCATGAGAGTTACCCTGTAGGATGATGAGGTACGATACTATGCGTCTTTGTACTATTATGTGGACGCTGGACACTGTAGCGCTGGATACGATATCTACTCAAGTTGTATCATATATGGACTTGTCCTTGCGATCTCCTTCGCTGTCGGTGACGGTAGATCATAATTCCAATGGCTCCGACCAAAAATCCGCATATCCCGCATACGAGACAAGTCGCGAGAGTGTCCCTCAATTCTGTAGCTGAAGAACCAGCGCGTAGCAGGGAAGGCGGGGGAGCTGGGTCTTGTCCTCTGGATGATGTGAACTCTGCGAGAGCAGCGGACGGGTCCGTCGTATTCAACAACCCGATCATCGGTGGATTGGAAGCCGTTTTGCCCTGGTGTATGACGTAGACGTTCTACAAGAGTATTAGGGAGGTATGATCGAAGGAAAAATCGTGAACGTACCCTCAAGAACACAGCCCCGAGAAGCCAATCTCCGGAGTCGACCTGTCGGTTGAAGTCAGAACACAATCAAGATTCGGTTTGAGAGCATTCTCACTCCGTTGTTTGCCTGTATTCCACCGGTACACCAGCCGTCTTGCGTCTCAACTTCAGCCCAGTTGACATCCTCGGGATGGAGTGGATATTCTTTTGCAGTATCGGAATTGCCAAGTTTAATGCGCACGTCCACGGCCCTCTCGCACCTCACTTGCCATGTTTCTGTCTGCTGGTCGTACCTCGTGGACCCACCCGTTCCTATAGCATACCAGAACGCGTTGACGTCCGCAGTCGGACCTAAAATAAGAGTCGTCCCGGTATCAAGCACTGCGATCGGTGACGGTGCACCGCGGACCAGCGAACGCGAGAGAGAAAGGACCTGATCGTTGATCGTAATCTGTTGAATCGGAAGCTTCCAGAAATCATACTCGCCTGGTGTCGATGCGAAGACCGGCGTGAATGCGAACTGACTCGTATCATTTGTCAAGGAGGAGTCCAATTCCCCAATAGTGAGCGATGAATCTGAATACGAAATATCCTGTGACTCGTTTCGTCCTAATTTGAACGCGAAAAACCGGTGTTGGTCGTCGAAATGGGTGAATAGATTATCCAGGATGGGGGTCCCAGACGTTAGGGGGATGGAAGCGACGAGTGGAAACGATAGGCCTAAGATACCCGAGTTTCCTGTGTAAGAAAGAGCAAGCCCGCTCGTCTGGTTAGCCAAGGCTGCGTGGTGATCGTGAGCATTTCAACAAGCATGAAACGGGGACCACACCAAATGTTTGGGAGGATATTTCATACGGGCCGAGCGTTACGGTCTCTGTGCCTACTGTTCCCAGCACTGACCCCACCAGGTATGTCAGTTCGAAAGACTGATTTGATAATGTCAGGGTGCTAGATGACGAGGACGAATATCTCGTGATGTCCTGGCAATCTGGATTTGTACAATCTGATGAAACCACCCACTGTGGGATATAATTTGGCTTTCTAAGTGTAGTAAAAAGATAACGGCAGGCTCACGAGGTCTGAGGAGCCGGTATCAAATGTGATCCAAAATTCTTGTCCCCCAATGCTGCAATCGGGGGCATGAGAAGGGACTAATAGAATAACACCAGCGTACATACTCGGTACGAATCAGATACGCACTAAGGGGCCATCAGTTAAATTACGCAGGTGGGAGAACACGAGACCCACTACTCTTGGCTACTGGCCACCGAAACATCGCTAAGCAAGATAGATGGATCTTGATGGAGCCCACGTTGTAAGCGGAGCTGCATCCTTTGGGAAGTGTCACTTCGATGGTCTAACCTCTTCATAATGGTCGCTATATCGAGAGAACAGTTGATGATGAGTAAACGTGATGATTTAGATTGGAAGAGGCCTAAGAAGTTTCTCAATCACTGGCGATTCTAAGTCCCCTGGAATCGATTTGATTCCATTGGATCGGTCTGGATTGGAATCTGACCTGAACTAGTCCCAGTGGGAATCCATGATGACCGTAAGCCACGCCCAACATTATGTCAATGTAACCGGTCATGATTTAATACTGTCGGCCGCATCATGATAAGTATGGACTACGCCAGCGTCGTGTGACGTTACTAGAAGAACTGATGAAATACGCATCTTGACTAAATGGGTAGTCCACAATGAGGAAATTCTGATCATCATCAAGGACCACTCGGGCATTATTTACAGTAATGCTCTAGGCGTTTACGCGTAGGGGCTTTCAGGGTTTAATAACCTGACGTGAAACACGCTGACAAAACAGACTGAACGCGCCAAAAAGGGATGTCCAGAACCAGTAGCATTTTTCTTGTTGCCCAGGTAAATGTGCAATAGTTCGGGAGATGTCGATGAAAGGCGGACAAGGCCTGCCAAATCTCCATTTATTGTTGTGAGGCAGAGAAGGGACACAGTAAGAGTGGCGGTGCTCGGGCGGTGTGTTGTCAGAGTCACGCCTCACGCACCACGCGTCACACAGCACCAACCGCCAATTCACCTTGTCCCAAGTCTTTTCTTGCCTCGTCTCCCTTAGTTGCCACCGTCCATCTCATACTCGAGCTCACCATGCACACCAGCGAATACGACTATCTTTTCAAGCTTCTCCTCATCGGTGACTCTGGTGTCGGAAAGGTACGTTGCTACTGCGGCCACCAGTTTCAAGTATCCACTGACGTCGTGTCATTCAACAGTCTTGTCTTCTCCTCCGTTTCGCAGACGACACGTACACTGAGAGTTATATCAGTACCATTGGTGTTGACTTTAAGATCCGCACTATTGAACTCGAAGGCAAGACTGTCAAGTTGCAAATTGTGAGTTGGGTGCCTTTCACGACTCCCTCTTGGAGTACTGCAGCCAGACGCTACCACTACGTGCACTGGAGTGCGCCAGTGCGGTCAACATGCATTGCTTCGCGAAGTCGCCTGATTCATTTTTACATTGACTTGTTACTTACATACCATTCGTATACGCGTCACAGTGGGATACTGCAGGTATGTCCGTGCGCTAGCTTTTGTGCAATGGTGGGCTGATGTGAGAAGGCCAGGAACGATTCCGCACCATAACGTCGTCGTATTATAGAGGGGCTCATGGTATCATTGTTGTGTACGACGTTACTGATAACGGTAAGAATGCTGGCCTGAAACGCGGACTTGAGCACTTACCAACGACAATAAGACACCTTTACGAATGTCAAGCAGTGGCTACAGGAGATAGATAGGTACGCCTCTGAGGGCGTCAATAAGCTACTGGTTGGGAATAAGAGTGATCTCACCAGTAAGAAGGTGGTGGAGTACAGTGTGGCGAAGGCGAGTATTTGCTTAGAATATTTTGTTGGGGGATATTCTAACCACCTTAACAGGAATTTGCCGATCAGCTTAACATTCCTTTCCTGGAGACGTCTGCAAAGAATGCGACAAACGTTGAACAATCATTTTTGACGATGGCGAAACAGATCAAGGATAGGTAGGCAAATTTATTACCCAGCGCTTATGCAGCCTGTTTGACTTGTTTAAAGAATGGGATCGACCTCGACGCCTGCTGGTGGTGCCAAATCGTCAACAGTCACACCAGGTCAATCTGTTCAGCAACAGCAGTCGAGCCCTTGCTGCTGAAGGAGGGTTGTGATCAGCTTGGGGTGGGGTCACGCCGCTGAGATTGTACGCCCTCGTGATGTCTCGTGGCTGCAAGAATTGTATGATGACCCAATACTCAGGAGCGGGTTCTTTATCATATTCCCTTCTACATATCATCTGCTACTTTGGACATGTTCTTTTGCGCTTTATCAATTTTCTTCGTCCTAATTCTAGGCTTCTCTGCTCCTATTCTGCGTGATCCTGAGAAGCTTGAGTATGCTCATATCCCCCTTGAGTCGCCTTGAGTACTGATCAGAAGCTGCTTGCTGCCTGACGGCCCTGACCCCACCGATCGTCACGGAAAAGATGGACGTTATCCTATGTACGTTATCGCAATGCGGCCCATCAGAGCACCCCAGGAATCAACTTATCTGATCAGTATGTCACTGATCACGTCCATATCGGTCGGATTGAGCTGACATGCTGGACTCCTGGTGAAATCATCATCGATAATCCACAGGTATATATACCCCCCTTTCCTGCGCTCAGTTTCCAGTCAATTCAATCGAATTCTTTTTCATTTCACCCACCCACCAAATCACTCACACACACATGTCTACTCGAGGCAGAGGTGTTCCTCAGCAGGTTTTGACAAATTCGTTTGTCATTTCGAAGCTGCCGACGAGGACGCGCTACTATCAGTACGAAGGTAAGCTTCACTCTTACTACAATGACACAGCGGTTGAACTTCATATAGTTTGTGAGTATCTGTACCTGATGGCCAATGACGGCACCTCACTTGAATATAGCGATCTCCGGTAACGGGAAGGATATGAAGAACCCTCGAAGGAGGACTGAGGTCTTCGAGCGCCTTCAAAACCACACCGATCCAAAGTTGTTTACCCCGCGCTGTATCTTCGATGGCGCCGTTATTATGTACTGTCCCCGTGAGCTTCCCTTGTCGGGCGGGGACTCCCAAACCGTAAGAGTCAGGTGTTGGAGTCGGAGCTACTTATCAATATCTGCTTTTGGTTAAGTTCGAAGTCAACATGTCGAACAAACCCCGAACGGATGGCTCTGCCCCGACCCGCGGGATCGTACAGGTATACCTGAAGAAGGTCGCTGCCGACCCGATCGACTTTAGGTGTGTACTTCTATCGAGCGAGTTTTTTTTTCAACCTCCGCTTACTGCCGAATTACAGCGGTTTGCAAGCATTCATCGACGGAAAACAGACCAAGCAGACTCCTCAGGTCTTGACAGCGATCAATGTCCTGCAACTGATCATTCGCCAGGCACCGAATCTGTGCGCTTCGTTTTTATCGGTATTCGGTTAGCGATGCTCATTGTTTTCCGAAGTAAATATCCGAACAACACGCGTGCATTTTTTACCAAAGACGCCGGGGTACAGACCCTAGGTGGAGGTTTAGAATTGTGGCGCGGATACTTCCAGTAAGCTCGAGATCCCTGTGGCGACGCCCATCTGACCAACATGCCCTAGGAGTGTGCGCCCTACCATTGGAAAGGTTCTGGTGAACATTGATGTGTCGACAGCGGTTATGTAAGCAAGCCTGTCTCTCAATTACTGTACGTTAACACTCATGTAAATCTCAGGTTCAAGCAGGGTAGCTTTCAGACCGCCGCTCTTGCTGTTCTCAAGCAGAACGACGTCCGTGCGCTGGAACTCCGCCCAGATTCCCCGCAATTCAGGCAGTTGAAGAACTTCTTCAAGGGCATTTCTGTCACGCTCGTCCACCGGCCGGGTCTCAAAAAGATTCGGGGATTGGTTTCTAACGCTGGAAACTTTGAGTTCGAGAACACGACGGTCAAGGTAGATTTTCATACGAATCACATCCATAACGCTTCTCTCAGCGCGAGTGCAGGACTACTTCAACAAAGCTTGGAATCGCCCACTAAGCTATCCAAACATCATCGGCATTCAAGTTGGATCAAAGGACAGGGATGAAGTCATCCCAGCGGAAATGTGTGCTATCGCACCCGACCAGCGTTACACGCGAAAACTTCCTCCCGAATTCTCACCGATGATGGTTAAGTTTTCTTCCAAGAACCCACATGAACGCCTGGCGCTCATCAGCGCTGGCATTAGCAACGCAATTACGACCGACCAACGCTCTGTAAGTGCCACATTCATTTTTGCATGCGTTTGATTGACTGTTTGTACAGGCCCTGGATTATCAGAATTCGCCGTTCTTGCAAGACGCGGGGATCACTGTATCTCCCGACCCTATCTTGGTCACTGGACGTGTCCTTCCCACGCCGAAAATCCATTACGGCAATGCTGCCGCTAGTAGACCGGTGGTAAGTCCAGGATGCCAGCATGCATGGGGCGCAATGATCTGATTCTTGACCTACAGCAACCACGAAATGGTTCTTGGAACGTCATCGACCAGGTTTTCCATGAGCCGAAGAGTCTATCGTCCTGGGGGATTCTCAATTACTCAAGGGTTAATGACCAAACAATCAATCGCTTTGTCAACACTTTGCTCAACGCATGCAAGAAACTTGGTATCATCAGTGTTTCTGTCTTCTATGTATCTCAAACTAACCTTGTCTATCTTAGGAATGAGTAAATGGGATGTTGAATTTCATTTCTAGCTACTGATCGTTGTCTGGCAGATGTATCCCCACCTGCGGCGAGCCAATCTTGTGCTGGCGCATCGTCTGTGGTAAACGTAAGTGCTACATCCATTCATCCACTAACACGTGCTTATGTTAAGCAGGACATGAGATCGCTTAAAAATGCCGTCAGCAGCAGGATAGGTAAAGATCCGGAGATGGTATTGGCCATCCTGCCGACAAGCTCGACGGACATTTATCACGCTATTAAGTCGTTCGGTGATGTTATTGCTGGTGTATGTGTTCTTACATGAGTGGTTCGAATGATGCTTACATCTTGCCTAGTTCCCAACACAGTGTGTCGTAAGTCATGTCGCGTTGTTTGCGACCTCCATTACAATCCTCTCCATCTAGCGAGAGAACAAGATCGAGAGAGCAAATGATCAGTATTGTGCGAATCTAGGCATGAAGTGCGTCAAATTTTGATCTCTGTCTCGATGTGCACCCTTGACTTGTTCGGTAGGATCAATGCCAAACTTGGAGGCGTCAATTCATTACCAAGGTCAGGTGCGTTGGAGAAGCTCATGAGCGCTCCGTTCATGATTATGGGTATGTACCGTCCCTGTTTGGCCTTGGAGACTCATCGAAGGCTGGTTCATCCTGCACCAGGTGCCGATGTAGGGCATCCCGCACCTGGCATGATCAACCAGCCCTCTGTGGCATCTCTCGTCTACTCATTTGATCGGTATGCTGCACGGTACGAATCGATGATGTCGGTTCAACACCCCCGCCAAGAAAAAATTGACGAATTACGCAAATTAGTATATGTAAGTTCATTCCGTCTGTTATATGTACACGTGGTTCAACCATCACAAGCGTGCGATCTTCGAGTTTGGCGAGCGTAACAGGGCCGCACCCGTACGCATCATTTTCTTCCGAGATGGCCTTTCCGAAGGAGAATACGCGCTCACGGGACAAGAGGAGATTGAGGATATCACAGGTGAGTTAGTTCAGCGACGGCCATTTCTTGTTTTCACCATGTCTACTAGGGGCGATCGATGACATCTGGCGGGACAAAGGCATAAAGGGCGCGAAACCTGAACTGACTTTCATCGTCGTAGGTAAACGGTAAGTCTGCGATCTATTCTATGCATCCGCTTTTGTCGCTCATCCGCTGTGTTTCCTCAAGACACCATGTCCGATTCTTCCCAAGGAACAGGTATGCCGCTCGGTTGTTACCATCGTTTCTAGTCAATTTATGAATGCATAGGAACGATGCGGACAAGTCTGGTAACTGTCCCGCAGGATTTGTTGCCGATCAAGGAGTGGGAAATCCAGCAGTGCGCGACTTTTACTTACAATCGCACGGCGGTCTCCTCGGAAGTACGTTTATTACAGTTACTCAACCTTTTTTCGACCGCTGATTGCTTGTACAGCTAGTAGGCCGAGTCATTATATTACGCTCAGGGACGACGTGTATAAGCACAACACAGACGAGTAAGTCCGCAGCCTAACATTTGTCATAATACCCCCTCACCTTTCTTTAGCCTGCAGGAGCTCGCATTTACGTTGTGCCATTCTTACGCGCGTGCGACGCGTTCCGTCTCGATTCCGGCTCCCGTTTATTGTGAGTTATATCTATTTATCTACAGTGCATGCGTCTGACACGTTCTTTTTCTCCAAAAGACGCCGATGCAAGTATCCCATCCCATCCTGTCACGCCCAGCATCCACAACTAACTATAACCATTCAACAGATCGTCTGCGCGCGTGGCGCGTTCCATTTCAACCCCGCCATGGGTTTCGACGCTGCTACTATCTCTAGCCATGACGACGCCTTCGACCTTGAACGCTGGAGGAAAAATTTCAAAGACAAACACGCTAATTTGGCGAAGAAGATGCATTTCATGTGAAAGGATGTGGAAGTATACTTGCGTAACGCCTTTGATAAATGACTCAGTTGGATGTAGGATATACATAGCAGTTTTTGTTTGAAGGAAATTAATGAACTCGTGGTCTTCTCTCGGTGTTGTCTCCGGGGCTGCAATCGTGCCTTTAGACAAAGAACTACGTAATAGACACGGGCAAAATGACTAAGCCCAGCTCGGGAGGTCGTAAGCGGCAAGTCCAAAGCTTCAAGTTCGTCTTCTAGAGCTCGTAGAATGAGAGTGATGTGTACGAATGATATTGTTTATATGTAGAACGTTAACATTGGCATGGCATCAGCAGTTTTGTTTGCTTGTTCAGTTGTTCGAAGGAAACCAATGAACCAACAACAATGAACTATTAATTCTCGTTGCTCCTCAGGGCTCGCGCATGGTTTCAAGTTCCTGGGCCTGCGATCGTGCCTTTAGATAAAGAGCCACGTATCATGGGACAGACCTGGACTCGGACTGTCCGTGTGGTGAGTGGAGTCCAGGCCGAACTCAGGGGAACGGTCATCCTTCAAGAAACTCGTATCAGCTTGTGACAGTATCGTAAGTCATGAGGCATTACTACGACCGATATCATGTGCCAAGTTGGAGTTCGTCGACAGAACGGACAAGTTAAACCGGTTTGTCATTACATTTTCTCTTCGAATCTTGCTTGACATGGTAAAGCGCTACAAGGATGCGGTAACCTTTGCCGTATCAATCAAGACTACTGGGTGAGCCGTGTGGGGAAGTAGTACGTCAAGGCCTTTGTCTCCACAGGCGGACTTTTAAAATCAGATGAGTCTATCTGAAATCGGTTAGCCACAAGGACTCAGACTTTCCAGTAAAGGTGTACACAAGACCTACCCCAATACGTATATGGAATGGACGCTCAACTGGCCTTTTTTGGAGAAACAAAACACATTGAAGCAAACATATTGCGCCATACGGAATCTATTTTATATACATAGACCTATAAGTTTACGTCTACCACACACAATCACAATCGCGTAGGTGGAATCGCTTCTTTTTGCTCTTGTTTTGGTTCACCACCCGCGGGAAGCGAGCCTCCCCCCCTTTAGATTTGCATCGCTAAAGAATGATGGACATCAACATCTCTTCCAACAAGAGTAAATATAAACGTGAAACTTACATCGTGAGACCGACCATAGCAGGACCAATATCTTCCGATACCTAATTTTGATTTTAGGGTGAAACACGTAGATGTGATGAAATAATGAGACCCACCTCAGCGAGCATCTTAGGGTTGTTGTGATGAGTCACCTAATGCGTCGTGTCAGTCCAGATGATATGATCGATGGAAGGAGCTAAGTTACCGCTTGCACGATGGCTCGCGCCCGTTTAGCCGGATCCCCAGACTGGAAAGAGAATGAGTAGAGATAGTGAATAGAGATTAGCCGCAAGTTAACGAGGACCTACGTGGAAAATGCCCGAACCGACAAAAACTATTAACCGCTTGGATCAGTATCAAGGCCAAGGAGGCTTTCATACAACTCACTTCCATCACAGCCCAGCTGCATCATAAGCGCAGCATCAGCTAAGATCCGTGAATTTCAGTTGCCTTGTTTTACAGCATCACCGGATGTACATACCAGGCGTGGCGATACCCCCAGCAGCGAAATTGACGACCGGCAATCGTTTTAGGCGGGCTGTTTCCTTGAGAAGGTGGAACGGAGCCTGTATCTCTTTTGCATATGCATACAGCTCTTCTTCGCTCATAACGCTAGCCTTTCTGATCTCGCTCATGACTGATCGCTGGTGGCGGACCGCCTCGACAACGTTACCTGTACCTGCCTCGCCTTTTGTGCGGATGAAAGCGGCTCCTTCTGAGATGCGACGAAGGGCCTCGCCAAGGTTACGGGCGCCGCATACGAAGGGCACTTTAAAATTGTGCTTGTTGATGTGGTGTTCGTCGTCTGCAGGAGAGAGAACTTCAGACTCATCGATGTAATCTATACCGATGGCTTGTAGGATCTAGGATCATGGCAGTGCCAAGGAGTGTAATTAGGCGAGTTGGGATCAAGATGAAAATAGGGACTGACCTGGGCTTCTACAAAGTGACCGATGCGAACTTTTGCCATGACAGGAATGGTTACCGCATCAACGATGGACTTGATCATGGCGGGGTCGCTCTGGAGGGTGGTGACGGATGGATCAATGAAACATGTTTGAAAATGGAATAAAGGCGTACCATGCGTGAAACACCCCCCTCTTTGCGAATATCTGCAGGAACACGTTCGAGTGCCATGACAGCACATGCCCCTGCCTCCTCGGCAATGCGTGCCTGAAATGAGACATGGTGAGTGAAAAGTCAGGGGTAGGAAATGATAATTCGCACCTGCTCTGGATTGATGACATCCATGATGACGCCTCCCTGGAAGAGATAAGAATGGGTGAGTAAGTGTTTGGGAGTGGTATTACCTTGAGCATTTGAGCCAAGCCTGATTTGACCTGAGAATGGTTAGTGTTTGGTGTATATTGTAAAATGTTGGATGGCGAACCCCAAATGTTCCCAACTTGCTATTTCCAGCATCGCGCTGTGCTGATCGAGGGATGGCAGTAGCAGCTGGTGTTGCTGGTGTTGGTTGAGTAGTAGCAGTAGTAGCAGCAGCAACTGGTGTTGCTGGTGTTGGAAGAGGGGTAGACATTTAGGCAGATGAGTCTAAGAGGTGTGTGGTTATGGAAAAAAAAACAGATGATGATGATTATCTCTCGAGATTAACCGGACGGAACGGATCCGGAGTCGGAAGAAGCTGACATGTAAATACTAGCTAGTACGCGATGATTAACATGTGACTAGTCAAAAACCCTTGGACGTGAGCCAATTGATCACATCATTTTTCCAACGGCCACCCGAGATGACAAGGTGCCTTTGTGCTACGACTTGTACTTTAAGTCGAGCAGCCTCCGGAGAATTGTGGCTGAATAGAGATTGTTTTAAATCGTTGGCAAGAGACTAAAGGGGTGTCAAAAAAAATGAAACAAAAGGAAAGAAAGACAAGTACACTGAGTTGTCCTTGAACGTTCCGGATTGATACGAGGTATCTTGTGCCACCATTACGAATGTCAGTATAGACAGGTAAGGAACCACGAGAATTGCGGCGAATGAGGTATCTGAGCGACATTTTCCTGTGTGAGTGATACCGACCAACTAGTTTATGAGTACTTGATCGGACTTTAAAATATGAATATGAAATTGATGTAATGATGAAACCCCCTTATATCGCGTTCAGAAGGTCTCACCTCTCCATATAAGACCCATGCCTCATCCTTCCCTCTTCCTCTCTCACCATCATGTCCTTACTAGTATCGCCTGATTGCTGGTCATCGGCAACTCTCCCTCTAGATGATTATTGTTGGTCTGACTTATTCCCTTGGAATACTTTTGACAAACACAATGCCTACTGTAAGTCCTTGTTCTTAATCAAACAAATTCACCTCCTAATTATATCAACTTCTCAGTTCCTCCGTCTCCTTCTGAAACATGTTCTTCCTTCTCAACCGATCTATCACCTTCTCCAGAACCAGTCACACTACGTGTAGTTTGCGACGTTCCTCTGCTCGCTCCTCGTCCGCTTCCGTATCATTCTCCTACTTTCCTCAAATTCGATTTACCCGATCCTGACCAAGACTTGTCACATCCACCCTACACACACAGACCTTCTAAGCGGAAACGTGATCTCAATGACGACCACCACCGTGATCATTTGCGTGTAAAACGCCGCAACGCCGATTTACAACGCTGGGCAGCCGGTGTCTACCATACCGACACACAGGGTCGTTCTCACGTATATACCGCCACCCGGCCTGATCGCCCATCTTAGGGGCATCCTCATTAACACCATCCTCTACTCCGGCTTCTCCCTTTCGTCAGTTATTTATCCCCCTCCTCAACCCCTTTCTAACATGCCTTCAGCGAGTATATGTATACATCCGATTATGTATAGCGCCACCTGATGTTTGCCACATATTTTGCCGCCCTTCCATCACACTGCTTAATTCGCACAGTACGTTTCCTCTACACCCAGAGCACAGCAAGTTAGATTCATAATTACCAGCATTAACTCCACACTGTATACTATTACATAGCATGTCATCTGAGCCTTTTCAGATAGTGGAATCGTAGCATATGATCACCTCATGCCATGGCCCCACACAATTACCGCTTTTCAACGGCAACGTTCATCTTGCCAACATCATGCCAAGTAGTCTTCAGCCACATTCCGACGTGGACGACGCCAACCGTTCATTTCCGTAAGTTATGGCGCGCGTCCCTGACAGCCCGGCCTTCAACAGCATCAGACAACCGGATCCTTTCAGTGACTGTCGGCGTCGCCTTATCCCCTGCCACATTTTCAAAATAAATACAATCTACTTCAAGGTATGTACGCTCCACGATCAACGCAGTTCACCACGGTGCAGAAGCAAGGGCACTCCACTATCTCCCACAAGATAGTACGTCAGGCAGTTATTATTAGCATCGGTGGCGGTAGCCAGCAGTAGCCTTCCAGTTACGTTACACAGCTCGTGATAGTGGTCTAGTAGGGATTAGTACTCGGAGCTCAAGTTATAGGAAACTCTGTCTCAAAATCAAAAAACCCATTCGCACTCGCAGCTTTCTTCCGGTGATTCTCCGCATGCTCGCGTCGTATCTGAGCAGCACGAAGGTCTATAGTCGTGAGATCCAGTTCGTGCAACGCTCGACGGACGGCTTTGGAGTTTTGCACTTGTTCGGATGCTGCACGCGAACGGCTAGCTTCGATAGCTTCGATTTGGGATAGCTGTGTTGTGTTAGATGTGCGATATGATAGGAATGAGTGAATTTACAATACCTCGTCTTTATATTTTTGGCCTAGGCGTTCTTTGAGAGTTTCCCGGCGCGTGAAGGGGGGTAGGAAAGGTGCTGTGGGGGGTCTAGCTGTATCACCTGAGGGGTCTTCCGGTATTGTGTGTTTAAGAGATGGAGCGGGAGATGCTGGAGTTGGAGGCGTTTTAATAGCGTGATAAGGTGAGTGGGACGGTGGATGGGGGGAACGGTCGCGCATTTTAAAGTCTCCCTCGGCATCTTGGTCTGCCGACTCCTCCTTGGCTTTTGGGCTTGAAGCCGGAGAGCGAGCATCTTCAAGGATTGACTGGACTTTGAAATCTTGAACATGGTGTAGGTCATCGTTAGATTCAGCTTTGACATGCGGAGAGGCAGATTTGGTGGCTGGTTTTTCTTCTGGGGCGCGGAGCGAGTGTTGGGAGTGTGTTGGGGAAGCCGGGAGATGCGTTTCTTCACGCGTAGGCTCGGGCTTGACATCTCGAGACAAGGAGCGCTTTGAGGGACGGGGACTGGGAGTGTGACTCCCGCGTCGCCTGTCATCACCGCGGTGGTCTGAATAGCGGCTTCGGGGGGCTGAAGGTGGACGGGGAGAATGTCCTGGCTCGCGCTTTACCGGAGATCTCGATGAATGTCGATGAGTGCTGCCATCAGGGGAAGGTGGCCTGCTGTGTCTCCTGGGTGAGTATGAACGGCGAGGAGACCTGGGAGGCGAATAGTGCTCCCGACGGCGTTCATTTGAATCTACAAGGTCAAAAATTAAGAGTCAATAGAACAACATACTTTGGCGTTACCTTGACGTGGAGAATACGGAGCTCTGTGCATACTCGATCTCTCCCTATCATCGAATCTTCGTCTATCGTGATGATTCCTGTCATACTCCCGACTCCTTCCCCTCCCTCCATAGTCCCTATCTCGCTCCGAATCGCGGCCTCGCCAGCTTCCTCCACCACCACGGTAGGTATTCCCTCTGCGCGGTGAAACACGACCCCTCCCGCGCCCTCGCCCCCTCCCTGTATGCTCATCGCGCGTCCAAGCCCTGTCGTCCCTACGCTCCGAAGCCCTTCTGTCTGGTTCCCATCCTCTCTCTCCCCTGGGGCGCTCGTCACGGTGGTAGTAATCGCGATGGGTGTCGTTTCGAGAAGGTGACGTGTAGGTGTCTCTTCCTCGAGGCGAACGTGGTGGTGGTGACCGGGGAGGGTGATAACTTCTGTCTCTGTCTCTGTCTCTATCTCGTTCTCTGTCCCTGTCCCTGTCTCGTTCGCGGTCCCGGTCACGGTCACGGTCTCTGTCTCTATCTCTATCTCTGTCTCTGTCGTCGCGTCGGGGACGGTAATGGTCTGGTCCAGCCATTGGCACAGGTCGACCTACATATCTCCTGTCGTCTGTAGGTTCAGGCCAACTACTTGCTGTTCTGCTAACTTCTGGTTTGGGAGGTAGACCGCTCATGGGGAGTTGCATGATTCGGATATTTTGTGGTTTCTGGAGTTGTGCGTGTATTTAGTGCCGCGGAGATTGAATTCAGTAATCTTCCAGTCTGCGTTGGTGCAACGCTTGAGAGGAGCATCAGACATGCATGTCGATCTGGTGCCACTAGCTTCGACATCTCAGATAGAACGCACGCCTTCTGGAGGGGATGGTATACCTGCGGATTTGGAGGAGGATCTGAGGGCATTTGGGTGCAAGCTCATTCATGAAGCCGGGATATTGCTGAAACAGTACGTCTTCATACCCCAGCGCAACGTTTGTAGTCAATCAATTATGAAACCCCTGGACAGAAAGCAAGTTGCTGTAGCCACAGCTCAAATCCTGTTCCAACGTTTCTGGTATGTAACTTCCATGAAACAGTTCGGTATCGGTGTAAGTCCTCTGCTTTTGATCCCACCCACAACCGACCACCCATGTTCATCACACAGGACATCGGAATGGGAGCCCTATACCTTGCATCCAAACTTGAAGAATGTCCGCTCCGGATGCGCGACCTCATCAACATCTACGACCTTCTTCTCCAACGCACATCCCACACCCTCTCCTCGCCCCAAAACAAGGACACATTCAAATACGCACCGATGTCTTACTTTGGCAACACCTTCTATGATCTCAAAGATGCACTAGTCGTAGCTGAGATGCAGATCCTCAAGCGACTGGGGTTCAACGTCCACGTGGTCCTGCCATATGGCACGCTTATAAACTATCTCCGCGTTTTGGGGTTGACGAGCCGGAAGGATGCTTGTGCGAGGGCGTGGGGGTACCTTAATGATGCGTAAGTGATTCTTATGGTCTATACCATGCATTGCGTCGCACGTTCTGATGGGAGCGTAGCCTGCAAACGCCCGTTTACGCGTTATACGCAGTCCCAACGATAGTGAGCGCAGCTATCCTCCTTGCTTCTCGTCATCTCGACATATCACTGCCTTCTTCGCCACCTCATTGCTGGTGGGACCTCTTTGATGCGCCTTGGGAGGACGTGTGGAGCGTTTGTGGCTATGTTATGCGTTTGTATCGCGAGCGCACACAGGAGGAGAGGATGAGGGTGATGAGATTGGTGGGCAAGAAGGATGTGAGGGGGTGGTTGGAAGAGAATGCTGCTGTGCAATCTTGAATCTTGATGCGCGGTCTTAGCGATTGGGCTCTGGGCGGATGTGGTTTGGTTCGTGCGGCTTCTTGCTGATCTGCACATTGCAGTGGCCTTATGGTCCGAGGCGATCATGCACTTCTATGCACCCATCCATTCATAGGTCACCGCAGCATCGCTATTTCCTTTAACGAACCGTTGCCGCCTCTGCGAATCATAGTCCCGCTCCACAAACGCGTTAAGGATGGCGTTGGCATCATCTCACCGAGACGCTTCTGACTGGAGGCTGGGTGTGCTGCCCAGGCTTTATCTTGCTCCTCTTTTCTCATCGGCCCTTCGTTTCTCCTCCCCTGTTCTTACCATCCACGTTCAGGAATGCCTCAGTTCTACACCGATTAGCAGTCTACCACTGTATTCGAGGATTTTGTTTCAAATCGTTGCATATTGTATGGGTTGCAAATCTCATTGTAGTGGCGAGGTGAAGTCGCACTTCTGTTCCCATCACTTCCACTTCTCGCAGCTGCACTGTTCGACGTCGATTCCAAAAGCATGTCCGCCTATTTTCCATACATGACGCTAACAACCAGCTTCATTGTCTGCTTAGGGGTGACTAGCTCGACATATGTGAGTAATCAGACTCCTCTTTCCTTGTTGTCCTTTTCATGCCCTTTTTTCACGGAGCACGTCCGATCTGTCGCAGCATATGTGCCAGTAGGTGTATTTACTGATGAGCTGTGAACTTATTCATCCTACATTGAGTAGCTGAACAGTAGTGTCCATAATAGGACTTCTCCCCACAGGACAATAAACAAGGATACAAAAAGGAAAAAATTCCCCTGAACTTCTGGTTTGCAATCGTTGTATGCTCCTTTGGTCTGTGAAGAGCCAAACTTTTTTTTGATTAGTTCCCTAGGGTCGCATCCCTGATCATGATCATGTTTGCAGAAACGATTCAACTTTATGCGAGCTTCTAGGGAATTGTGAGAGGCTAGTGCTCGATTGGCAGTAGTGATTCGCTCTCATGGAAACAAACTCATGGAAAAAAATCATGGTCGACGTAAGGTTGAGGGTATTGCCGATGCAGTCAACCTTTTTTCCCTTTTCCTCGCTAACGGAGTTTTGAGTCCTGAAAGAAATTCTTCTAGACTATGGTTTGGAAGTCAGACCGTCCAATCAAACATGGGTGTGGCTCATCAAACTTATTATGTGTGTTCTAGGGCCTCCTAATGTGACTTGATGCAACTGCAGCTTACTCCCTCGGACAATGTTGACAGCGTGGAGCGTTGCGAGTTTTCAACCACCGATACCTAGGCTAATTACCGAGAGGATGGCCTAAGGACTACGAGTAGTATGGCCTACACCGGGCTTGGGCGGACTCCCTGTGAACTTGAAGATCACCGCTCACACAGCTAGAAGGAGTCAAGATATTTGCGTGCCTGCGGTATGATGATTTTCCTTACACATTCTTCCATATTTATTATTGACATCGGTTATGAGTCAGAGTATTATGCCCCTACGTCACTTCACAAATTGCCGGCCGCTTCCTCCAAAGAAGCATCAAAGTATCCTCATGGAGTACTTGTGACAAAATTAATAAATATTGTTGCACAGGATCGTCTGCCCAGCGGCTATATTGACAGAAGAGTCCGGAAAGAATCAGCCCCGGAGCGCCCGAAGCGGTCATATTGGGTCAAAGCGAAAAAGCATGCCGTACTACATCGCAATCATATTCTTCAGAACCACGGAATCCTTAACACGATCGTATGCACCGCATGCTTTCCATCGACCCCGACTCGGTTGACAGAAAATTAGGAAGACCGTTTCCGTGATCGCGGGTCCGATCGCCTGTCACATCGCCCTTGCTGATCAGAAGCGGCAGCCGTGACAATTCAATTGTCGGAGTCCCTGTTTAGCCTAGTCCACGGAGTGTTGAGAATACCTTGTGGGGCCAGTAATCGTCGTTGGCTAATTTTTTGAATGTCGATGTGCATTAACCCTCCTGGTACTACATCTGATTTCACCACGTATTTGCGGCGCGCTCGGCTCCTCTGGATTCTGAAAGAAGCTCATGTCCGCTACGTATCGATCACGACAAACAAAGTCCAACCTCCGACAATTTGTCTCAAATGGGTGGACCGGCAGTGGGTAACACGGTATTGCCGTCGTGCTTGGTTTCAATCTGACTCAGTAGCATCTTTCATGTATTGTCCATGAACATGATGAATAATGCTCACGTCTAATCATGATGAGCCAGTGCTAGGACCAAATTCCGATCCACCACCAAGAAAAAGATGAGCGACGTCAGCAGGATTCGAACCTACGCCCTCAAAGAGGAACAGATTTCTAATCTGTCGCCGTAACCACTTGGCTATGACGCCATAGGAGGTTATACAGTGACTTGTAAATGATTACCTTTCTTTCTACTCGAAAACTTCTTGACTGCATCATTCCTCCAGGCAAGGTGAGCACCAAGGCTAAACTGTTGAACTAATATACAAGTTTTGTGCAGGTTGGAGGTTCTCGCTTTGTGTGTGTTTCGACATGAACGCTCCTCAAAGTCACTCCCTGCACAAATCGTGGTTTTCAGGAATTCATGTAATTTGAGATCTTCGAAACCAATTTTGTGCAGAAGGCCAGACCTGCAAATATTGCTCACGGGCATCCTTTCTTCTGCGCCGGTTGATTCTGGCACCTTCAGTCGCGAAATACCACTTCTCCGTTTTCCAGCTGCGGGAATGCACCGAGTCCGCATATTGGACCATCTAACCTTTGGGGTGTCCCAAAAGAATGCGTTCCACCGTGACAACCTTGCCTTGTGCCTCGTCGCACCTTTTTTTGACTAGCGATACCGTCACCTTAATTTTGTGGAGCTGGCTGTTGTCTTTATGGAACCGGTGGAATATGTTCTGTCTGTTTATGTCCCCGAAGCTCGACGACGTACAACCCAGAATGAAAGAAAAAATCACCTACATGGAAAGTACGCAGCTGCCTTATCTGTGAGAGCATCTACGAGGAGCTTGGGCATTGGGTTGAGCCTACACAAACGCCGTCTGTTTCTTTTCGACAATACCTTCTGGATCATTCTGTTCTCGCCTCTTCATGCTTATTCAATGCATGATGAGTGAGCCTCCCATCCAATTCCCACCGCAACTCCTTAGACTGTATCTCAGACTTGTTCGCGAGTCAGTATCCACAGGTTAACCAATGCCTTTTGGTTGGCACACTGGGCTGTGTCCATCGCTCTGACCTGGTGAGTTATGCCATTGTCACAGAGATTCTTGGAGTGATTGAATGGTTGTGCAGCTCACTAGTAACAAAGAAAGACTTAGATCGGTCTCTGTTTTTAGGAGGTGCGCTGTACTTCCATTGCTAGGTTGATCATAAACTACGATACGGACGTTGAAAGCCTAAGGCCTCAACGACCTTGTTGTATCGTGGTGTATCTTGACCTTGATATCCCTGAGTTGCCCCAGGACTGCCAAAACTACAAAAAGCGGGTGCTGTGTGCTATGGAGTACCATACACCTTGTGTCGAGTGTTGAAGGACTTGCCACAGGAATATTTTTACTTTCTCTCAATGGGCCTGGCACGAAAGAAGATACCTGCAGCCATGGTGTATGAAACGGCGGTACGTTGATCTCGTCCAATCTCAGTCATCGTGATGATCCGGTTTCCTTTTGACGAAGCACTTTCGGTGTACCAGATTTTGGCAGTATATACACTGAATAATTTAGATTGTGTTCTAATCCTACTATGCAGTGGGCAGGCGGGAACATGGTGTTTATAATATTGTCCAGTATATGTTGATTTTTCAAACACGTGACTGACGCAGTGTCGCGATCGGCTCTGTTTATCGGTGTGCAAATAAGGTTTGAACTTGGAGTATAAATATCTCGTGTTTGTCGCACTGATATCCCTCAGTCAGTTCCGCCAAATATTATCATCACTTCACGCCCGCCAGCATATCTTTACGATCCTTCATTCATTTACCAATATGATCTCTACTACCATCTTAAGCCTAGGGGTCACTTTATGCATGACTGTGATGGATGATCGTAGTAGACGTAGTATTTCGTGCCTGATATCGTTTTCCTAAAACCACTGCAGAGTCAGACCTAATGATATCATTGTAACAGAACAACACTGGCAATAAACGCTTCCCTAGCAGAAGTAGTGTTACCATCTGCCTCCTGGAGCAATTCCGCAGTCCTTTTTTACATGGGACCACAACAATGAGAGCGCGAGTGCACAAACTTTTGGAGTTTAAGCTTTAAGAGTTGCAGCATTTTCGGATGTAGCATGACTGCGCATATTGTTGAACACACTTCCATTCATCAAGCCATGCTTCGAGTTGGAGTAAAGTCGGAAGTCCTAGTCAAGCTTTGAGCCCCAGTGAAAACCGGACAGTGCGGGAGCGTGTGAGAGCGTGCGAGAACGTTACACAAAGTGCCAGATCATGTAGATCTGGTTGATAGCAAATGATGAGTATTTTCTTGTGAGCGCAGCGCATGCAAACGCATGAACTTTGCACAAACTTTGCGTGAATTCTGCTTTCCTCGCACTTATTTTGCATCTGCATGAGTTCCGCAATGTTTGCATTTGCTATCTGCTGCTTGTATATGCATGTCACTGCAACATGTAAAGCTTTTCAAATCTAAAGTCCGTCTTCATGATGTCATCAACACCTCTCTTGTTCCCTTACCGTCATGTTTCCCCGTACAACCGTTAACGTTAATACCGCAGGCAGCTAGTAATCCACTCGAGCCCTGGTCCTAAAACTCAAGTTTCCTCAATAGCAGCACCCTGACTCGGAGCGTTTGCCTTAGTAAGTTCTGTCAACAATATTCAAGCCAATATATCATTGAATACTATAGGACTGGGTGCATATATGCGCAATTGCTGCTATCTTTCTAGTACTCCTACGGGTCAGGCAACAATACAGGTGAGTTATTGACGTCATCCTTTTGGTACTTGATACTGCCATTGATATATGCTCTTTCAGACCTCTTTGCGATCTTCTATTCTCCAGGCGAAGGTCCAGTGCTGTTGACGTACTCCACAGAGGCATTCCCTCTCTGTATCCGTGATATCAGCATGTCCTTTGCTACTGCGACCACTTGGTTCTGGAACTTCATTCTGTCAATCACTTGGCCTTCGCTCGTCTTGGCCTTCAAACAACAAGGTGCCTTCGGCTGGTACGCAGCATGGTGCTGTATTCTCTGGGTGCTCATCTTGTTATTCGTGCGCGAGACGAAAGGCAAGACCCTGGAGGAGCTCGACCAAGTTTTCGCTGTCCAATCGTATTTGTATTTCGTACTATTAATAGTAATGATAGCAACTTGAAGCAATATGATATGAACCGTTCTCGCATGATATAAACCGCTCGTAAGGAATGCAAGGGAGTGCCACATCGTGTAGAAACAACTTGAACGACTCTCGCACGACGACGCACGATATGGACTCCTTCTGCATCGTGTATTCGTCCGGATTTCTTGTCGAGATCGTGCAAGGGCGGTGCACGATGTGGCACGCTCTTGCACGTTCCCGCACTGACCGGTTTTCACTGGGTTTGAGCTTTGAGCTCCGCTCACCCTCATTACAAATGATGTTTATATAATTTTGTTTTGAACCACAAAATATCTCTGGTAGTATATCGGATAGTACACCCGCCTGTCACGCGGGAAAGCGGGGTTCGATTCCCCGCCAGAGAGATTTTTTAATTTGAGACCAACTTGCGCAATTTTATAAAGTTGTTCATGTTATTTGTGACTTACAACTTGAATATGGTCTGACAATCAATTAATCAAGGCCAAGGTCACCACCCCGGGCCATGCAGAGTCGTGTGAAGTGCCTCTCGAGTCTGGAGGCGCTTCGAGAATAAGGGTGATTCAGTCGCCCAGCAACTGACTGCTCTGTGACTCCTACTAGTATTGTAACCAACTGCTGCAATTTGCACGACTTATGTTTCTAAATGATTCAGCGTACCGCGCCAAAGGCTTTGATCTTGGTCATGTTGGGGATTTACTCTGATGAGCAAGACGCTCGTGCGCTCGTGCAACCGGACGAGCGCTAGGCTAGTCATCCTTCAAAGCTTCCACTACCCCACCAGATTCCAGTGAGCTTTTCACAGCACTAGAACCAACATTCATCTCCTGGAAATCTCTATCACTGTACGGTAAGTGGTTCGAATGTTTCACTACCAAACTCATCACCGGTTTGCAGAATTACTACGCTAAATTGACGCCAAAACATCCGAGTCGTTTCTCAACCTGTAATCATTGATTTAACGTCCTCGTAAGTTGCGAGATACCCCTGCTTCTATGATTTACAACTGTCGTACTCACTAGTACTTCTTGGAGTTTATTCCATTTATCTGCATCGCCATAATTATCATCCCCTTTCCAAAGAACCAACGTCAGTATAGCCATCTCCTATCCCCCCTCTTGTTCTCTGACATCATCAACAGATCTTTGACATGTCTGAAGGAACCTGGGAGAAGTTTTCCCAGGTCGCTGTGAAGGGTGCTGAACATGACTCTCGTGAACGTCGGCCCCATCCGAAATGTTTGGAAGGGACCCGAGTGGTCCTTCTTAACCATATTTATGGATTATCCGATACCAAAGAGATGAATAGACTCATCTGGTTGCATGGAACAGCCGGCGTTGGGAAGTCTGCTGTAGCGTTCACTGTAGCTGAAAGAATGAGAGGTCTGAAAATGACCGAGGAGACGAAAATAGAAACGCGGCTTGGTGGAACATTCTTTTTCTCGCGCAAGCACACGAAACGCCGCACGACTGGTTATTTCTTTATGACGTTTGCCTACCAGCTTGCTCAAAAATTTCCCAGCGTTCAGACAGACGTGAACAGAGCTATCCTTAAGGACCCCACCCTTCTAGACCCCGACAAGTCACTTCGCAAGCAGATGGAGGGGTTGTTTCTGCAACCTCTGCGGAAGCTTCAATACAGACTACGCGAGTGTCCGCCTTTGACGTTCGTTGTTGACGCCCTTGATGAATGCACACACGAATCCCCCAATGAATACTCATCCGAATCCAGGGATGAAGGCGAATCCGAAAGCGAGCTTATCGAACTCATTTCCCTACTCGCCCAAGTTCTTCGCGATCCTGATCTGCCTTCGATCCATATTCTAGTCACGAGTCGCTTGGAAGCGCATATTTGTGAAGCCATGCAGAATGAAGATGTGCGACCGTTGCTGTGCGAGATACCAGTGAAGATTTCTGGGGAGGATGTTACTCCTATCATCTCGCTAGATGGCGCAGATGTTGATGAAGATATCTATCGTTTCTTGGAGCATTCATTCAGAAAGCTGCAAAATCGCTCTCCCACCTTCCCGCAACCAACGCAGGATCAAATTGAGAAGCTGGCGATCCGAGCGGGCAGACGGTTCATTGTGGCGTCTACGATGATGAAGTTTATTGATGATCCATACAACGATCCCCGTGACCGGCTTCACCTCATGCTTGAGCTAACAAGTGAACTGCTACCAGGAACGGAGGTATACGAGTTACATGACCGCATCCTCTCCACATGCGCTGATCCGAAGCTGGCATACCTGCACTTGTCCGTTGTTGCTGCCCTCACAGATCCTCTACCGATCTCACAAATCTCGGAACTTCTGGGCCCTGGTCAGGGCAGGGATGTCGAGAAAGTGTTGGTGCAACTGCGCTCTGTCATAGATGTTCCTCCCAACCGCAGTCTCCCTGTGAATATCTATCACTCGTCTGTTCGTGACTATGTTTCCCATCGCTCAAACTGCAGTCTCTATATCACTTCACCTCACTCCCTACTCGCATATTCTTCTCTCCGCTTGATGGTGCAAGAACTCCCAGGCCGCTCAGCCCTGTTGGATGCGCTGTTAGCATTGAAGAAGCAGAGTCAAGTTATGGAACCCCACGACCCCAAGAATCTAACACACTCATTATCTTTCGTCGTCCAACCGCCGGAACCAATGCAAGTGCTTATAACTCTCCTCTGGCTTCGGGCAAATCACAGTTCAGAGTTACAATTCTGGCTAGGCACTCAGGACGGGTGTGCCTGGCTGGAAAGTCTGGACGGGCGTGCCTGGCTGCAGACTCAAGAAGGGAAGGAGTGGCTGCAATCCCAAATGGCGCAAAGCTGGTTGAATATCTCGAACCAGCTGCAGACCCAGCGCGGGAAAAACTTAGTTTCCCTTATCCAAATTATCATGACAAGAATACAGTCATTAGTTTTACAGCACCCGCTGCGGACCCAGCACGAAGAAATCTCACCACGGAGTCAGTCTCAGCGGTTCACGCTGCAGACCCAGCACGAAGAAATCTCACCACGGAGTCAGTCTCAGCGGTTCCCGCTGCCAACCCAACGCATGGAAATCTCACCGCCAACTTGGGGTAGGAGCGACTGGCTGCAGACACAGGAGGGGAAGGACTGGGTGCAGACCCAGGGGGGAAAGACTGGCTGCAGACTCAGGGGGGGAAAGACTGGCTGCAGACTCAGGGAGGGAGGCACTGGGTGCAGACCCATGGCGTACCGGACTGGCTTCAGACCAAGGGCGGGCGACAATGGCTGCAAACACTCGGTGGCCAAGACTGGCTGCAGACCCTCGGCGGCCGAATCTGGCTGCAAAAAACGCACGGGAAAGGCTGGCTGCAGACCCACGATGGACAAGACTGGCTGCTTACTCGGGGCGGGAACAACTGGCTGCAGACTCCGAGTGCCCGGGACTGGCTGCAAAGCCCAGACGGACGAGACTGGTTGCAGACCCCACAAGGTCATATGTGGCGGTTAACGACTGCCTGGGTAGCAATGGAGGAATTTTCGAACACATTGAAAGCGATCAAACAGTACATCATTATCCCGGAATTGTCTTCACAACCAGCTTTTCAGGTCATTCAGCAGTTCAAGAGCTTGCCGGATTTCTTAATGTTTCCTGTGTTCTTAGCGTTAAGGCACCAAGATCATTCCACCACCTCTGCATTCACACAAGGTCACCTCCCAGCAGCCATGGAGATCCTCCATGCAATGAAGGCCTTCTCTAGTTTCGCGAACAAAGCACACGAACGAAGTCAATCATCTTCCAACGTCCTCAATTACGCATGTCAGAACTGGGCCGTCCATATCTCGCGAGCTCCGAAGCCATGGAACGAGAAACTTGCCCATATATTTAAGTCTTTCTGGGATCGTCATCTCCTCGACTGGCTCGAGAGGCAGTGGTGTGTGAAGGATCTGCAGTCTTGCCTAACCATTTTAGCTGAAGGCGAGAAGATCGCAAAGGTGTGTGTGCACTATGTTCACGATGATTTCCTCCTAGTATCGTACTAAAGCCGACCTACGCATACAGGAACATCTTCTCCACACCCCGGACCATCTCAATAACCAGTCCGAAGCTGTCGGGGTTTCCGAAGGCGAGAAACCTGCAAAGGTACGCATTCACAATGGTATCCTCCTAGACTCGCAAGTTGACGTACGCATACAGGAACATCTTCTCCAAACCCCGGATCGTCTCAATAACCAGTCCGAAGCTGTCGAGGTTTCCGAAGGTGAGAAACCTGCAAAGGTCCGTGTACTCACAATGGTTTCTTCCTAGACTTGCAAGCTGACCTACCCACACAGGAATGTCTTCTCAAAACCCCAGGTCATTGTTGGAGTCCGAGGCCGAAAGATCCGAGTCGAGGGAAGCCGAAGGATCCGAGATAGGTACGAGGGGGAGATGATAGGTACGAGCTCAAGCCGAAACGGACATAGGCGAGCGATGCATGACATCGGCTCGCGTCCTAGAATATTTTCAGTCTCTCTTTTATATATTCAAGTTCCTGACGCACTCACTATAAGACCAGTAGCAGTATCGTATATGCATCTCAGTTTCGTCCAAGACACTGAGATGTACGCTTGTCATATCCCACGTTCCGGACCCGGACCTATCACACACATCATTTCCGGATGTCCGGATCCGGCCGACGTTTATCTATGTCCGGATCCGACCCGCGTCTAACTTCCGTGCCTTATCCCTTTGTACGTTCCTACTCCAGTTAGACCATATCATTTTCCGTACCTCATTTCATTTCCGCCTTTATTTTCATCTGTTCTAATCTCCGGGTTCATTTACTATTTTCCGATAGACTAGCGTTTGACTTTTCTATACGCTCCGTCCACAGCTTCGTACAGCTTCGGACTGCGCATCTCTGTTCTCCGATAAGTCCTCAGTAGTATATAAACCCTGTAGAATCTATGTACATCCTCAGTTCGAATATCATATTAGACTCTGCTCATTCTCTCCTCCATCCGACTTGAGTTTCTCTCTCGTCGACCTCCGCTCGTCTTAGGATCGACTCCTATAGACTTGACACCTCCGCCTCTACCTCTGGTAGTCCTCCGCTGTTTCCTTTCTAGTTCGGACTTCGTCCGGATTAGTCTTATCTCTTGTTTCCGAACATCCGCCGGAATTCCCGCGCATCGGACATCGGACTCCGGACATCGCCCAACGCCCTCCGGACATCGTCCGGTAACCTTCGGACATCGTTCAACAACCCTCGGAAGTTAGGGGCACGTACTCGGGTAAGGGGCGCAGCGCACGAGCTGAAGCCAAGCCCTTCGGATCCGACCTTTGAGCACGTTCTTAACAACGTTCTAAAAAGTCACCTAGAGTTTTATCATGTCTAACGTTAGCTGTAGCTTTTGTCGTTCTAGGTAGACGCACCGTTAATAGAGTTTCGTTCAAGACACTGAGATCTTTCTCGTTCTAGTTCTAGACTCCTCGTTGTTCCCGCGCTCGTCATAAACGCCTTTAGGTTATGAGCCCTGCTACCATCATGGAATCTACGCTCCCCGCTACCAACTCCAGCCTGTTCAATATCCCGAAGCTCGCAGAAGACGGCTCGAACTGGATTACTTACAAAGAACGAACACTAACGGCTATTGGAGCGCGAGGTTTGATGCGATATACCGATGGTCGAGTCTGCGAGCCTATTCCTTTCGTCGTCGATCCGAAAACCAAGGCCGTTAAAAAGCCTGACGGGTCAACGCCATCGCAGACTGAAATAGACGAGCTCGATAACAAGATCGACGAGTATCACCAAAAAAACTCACTCGTGAAGCAGCAGATATTTAGCACGATCACTGATCGGCTACTACTGCGCGTCCAGAAGCTTGGGGAGGCCTCCGAGATCTGGGACGAGATTTGTCAGATTCACGAGGGTAAGACTGAACTCGTGCAAATTGACTTACGGCGTCGGTTGCAAGAGACACGCTGTGATGAAGGAGGGGACGTTAAGGCCCACTTCACAGAGCTCATGAGGCTCCGCGAGTCCTTGGCCGGAATGGGCGCAGGTATTGTCGACAACGACTTCCACGCCATCATCTTGGGCTCGCTCCCAGAATCCTACCGACCACTCCTATCCTCCATCAGCGCAGCGGCTAGGATAACCAAAACTCCGATCACCTCCTACGAGCTAATCAGCATTGTGACCGAAGAGTATGAGCATCACCTACTCACCGAACGTCGTCCCACCAAAAAGGGAGCCTCTGGCTCCGCCCTCTCCGCAAGAGAAACAAAAGGAAAAGGTAGAGTGTCAGCAGGCGCCACCAAAGCCAGTCCGGACGTCACCTGTTTTAACTGTGACCGGAAAGGCCACTACAAGACCGACTGTTGGCGTCCGGGTGGTGGGAAGGAGGGACAAGGTCCCAACCAACAGAAGAGGAGAGGTGAGAAGGCGCCGAAGCAGGCAGCCAACTCAGCCACCCAGTCTGAGGCGCAGGACGACCAATATGCTTTCGTAACATCAGATTTAGCGAACGTAGCAGGGCAGTTGGACGTACCAGTGGAGAAGAGAGGAGCCATCGTAGATTCGGGTGCCACATCTCATTTCTGCCCAGACCGGGCCAAATTCATGAATTTCGTCACCATTCCACCCCAAGACGTGCACACAGCTGACGGCTCGACTCTAAGTGCCATAGGCCGAGGTGATGTTCAGATAGAGCTGCCAATGGGTCAGAAGCGCACGACTGTGACGCTGAAAAATGCGCTATACGCACCTAGGATGGCATTCACCCTTATCTCCACAAACAGGATAACGGCGGCTGGCCTAGCAGTCCTCTTCGAGGGACGCATGTGCCGGATCCTCTCCCAAGGGCCGAAGCGACATGTTATCGCCGAGATTCCGCAGCTGGAGGGACTCTACAGCGTCGTTGCGCGTCGTCAGACGCATCATGCCAATGTAGCAAGGCAAAAACTCACCGTAGGGAGCCTGCACCATGTCCTAGGACACACCTCCCAAGCAGCAGCCATGGACGCCGTGAAGAAGAGCCTCGTCACCGGTATAGAGCTGGACCTCGCATCCAAGCCTGAGTTTTGCGATGTCTGTGTGAAGGCGAAGTCAACGCAGAAACCCTACCCAGATGAGTCCAGTACGCGCGCACTTACCTATGGAGACTTAGTGCACACGGACCTGTGGGGACCTGCACAGACAACCAGTCTAAACGGGAGCCTCTACTACATCAGCTTCACCGACGACTACAGCAGGCAGACGAAGGTTCAGTTCTTGAAACTGAAGAGCGAAGCACTTACCGCCTTCAAGGCTTATGAAGCGTGGCTGGCGCGTCAGACGCCGGCCGTCACGCTTCGTAAAGTCCGTTCGGACAGAGGGGGAGAATATCTTAGCGCCGAATTCGACCTGTACCTCCGTCAGCAAGGCATTGAACGTCAGTTGACAGTCCACGACTCACCGCAGCAGAATGGTGTAGCCGAACGTCTGAACCGGACGTTGGTGGAGCACGCGAGGGCGATGTTGATAGGACGGGACCTACCAAAGTATCTGTGGGCAGAAGCCATCAACTACGCAGCATGGCTAAAGAACCGCTTACCTTCAAGGTCCATCCCCGGCACCACGTCCTACGAGCTGGTGCGAAAGTGCAAGTTGGATTTGTCGCGCGCCCATGAGTTTGGGGCGAAGGTCTTTGTGCACGTGCTGGAGGGTGGGAAGCTAGAGCCGAAGGCTGTAGAAGCCGTATTTGTGGGTGTAGACGCTGAAAGCAAGGGTTATAGGGTGTACTGGCCGGGGAAACACCGTGTATCGGTGGAGAGGAACCTCACCTTTGCACCGGCAGAGATCCTGGTGGATGCACTGGATGAGGGGGAGCCTACCGCTGTTAACGAACATAACAGCGGCAACAGTAATAATAATAACTTACCTCATAGCGTCCAGCCCATCACCACTACCTTGCAGCAGCAACCTCAACCATCTACCGCCCAGCAACCTCAACCATCTACCGAGCAGCAACCTCAGCCATCTACTCCTCCAAGGACCACGAGGGCCAGACCTCCTCCAGGCTACTATGCGAGCCTGAACGAAGGCAGCAATGCAGTGGCCATAGCGATGGAGAACCTGTTGGAAGCGTCAGAGGTAGATTTAGTGGACGAAGAGACTCACCTTCAACTTGCCTTGGCAGTTGCCCAACCAGAGACCACCTTGCAGCAGGCGTTAAACGGACCGGATGGAGTAGAGTGGCAAGAAGCTGTTGATTACGAGATTAGTCAACTTGAGAAGTTGGGGACGTGGGAAGTAGTAGACTTACCTCGTGGCACTAACCTCATCCCCTGCCATTTTGTTTTGGCCACGAAATGTGGACCCGACGGCGAAAAACTCAAACTGCGGGCACGACTCGTTGCCAACGGCCAGAGGCAGCAATTCGGTGTCGACTACTTCGACACGTTCGCGCCGACAGCCAACATGAGCACCATACGCACCGTGCTGACAATGGCGGCTCAGAACGACTGGGAGATCCACCAGGTCGATATAAAAAGTGCGTACCTGTATGCCAGTATCCAGGAGGAGATTTACATGCGCGCGCCACCCGGCTATCTCACGGAGAGTCAGTGAGGAAAGGTGTTGCGGCTGCGAAGGAGCTTACCTGGTTTGAAGCAGGCCGGTTTTGAGTGGGCTGAGGAGTTAGCGGGAGTCTTTGCGAAGATAGGATTCACCCGGTCCAAGGTGGACCAGGCAGTGTACTACAGGCGGGCACCGGGAGAACACGTCGTCATCACCGTTTCCGTGGACGACATGGCCGTCACCGCCAACAGCACCTCCCACATCACCCGTTTCAAGTCCCACCTCCGCGAATTCTTCGAAATCACGGACCTAAGCGAGCTAAGCTGGTTGTTAGGCCTAAAGGTAACACGAGACCGTGGTGCACGTACCTTGACCCTCTCGCAAAAAGCCTATGTCGACACGATCGTCGAACGCTTCTACATGGGAGACGCTAAGAGTGCGCAGACGCCAATGGAGCCAACACTTACCTTGTCCGTTGAGCAGGGACCTGCCACAGTGCAGGAGATCCAGGCCATGCGCGACGTGCCGTATCAGCGAGCCATTGGCTCGCTGATGTATGCAGCCACTAGCACCAGGCCTGATATAGCATTCCCCGTCGCGACGCTGTCGCAATTCATGCGCAATCCTGGTAGGCCCCACTGGGAGGCCACCAAAAGGGCGCTACAGTACCTCAAGGGAACGGGAGACTACGAGCTGACACTCGGTTCGACGGACGGCGGCCTTGAAGCCTTCGTGGATGCAGACTGGGCGTCCCAACCCCACCGACACTCGATGTCTGGGTATGTCGTTCTATTAAACGGGGGGCCAGTGGCATGGAGTGCCCGTAAGCAACCGCTGATCGCGCTATCCACGGCAGAGGCTGAGTATATCGCCCTGACCAGTGTGATACGCGAATTACTTTACCTTCAGTTGCTCATCGAAGAGCTCTACGACCCCGTCCCACATCCCATTCCCGTGTTCTGTGACAATCAAGCTGTGATAGCATTAGCATCCAATGGAAAGTTCCAGTCACGCACCAAGTACATCGACCTTCGATACCACTTCGTCCGCTCACACGTCAAGAACGGCACCTTCAAGTTATTCTACTGCCCCTCCGAGGACAACATCGCTGACGCCTTTACGAAGGCGCTCCCACGACCACGACTCCAGAAGTTGAGGATGCTGATGAGCGTGGCTTGCGCTCGAGGGGGAGTGTTGGAGTCCGAGGCCCAGGCCATATTGTAATATTCATACATTACTTACCCTACAGTAGTAGTAAAAGTGTAATACATTAATTGCTACATTGCATAGGTGTCCCTACAGCAGTAGCAAATGATGTATCACTGGTGAATCCAAGAGGGAAGCGTTTGTCTAGGCTATTCATGGTTCTCACGATCAATCTGTGGTTCTTTTTGATTGGTTCCTCCGTTCTTTTGGTTGTACCTTGGTTCTTCATATTTGTCAGCTGGTACTTTGATGTAATTCACACTTCTCTGTATTTGTCAGCCCCAACTTCCAGCACGCTGTGATATTTGTCAGCTGGTACTTAAATAGATTCATGCTTCTCTGTATTTGTCAGCCCTTCATGAACATTTGCAGTGCGATATAATTTTAATGCGCAGATATTGCCTTCTGTATATTTGTCAGCACCTGTACAGTTCTTCGGCAACTCGCGAAAGCACCAACTGCAGCGACCGACACGGTTAGCATTGAATATCATTTCCTCATCTCTGGATAAATTCGTTCTTTTTTCTTTGTTTTGTGCTGCGCAATATGTAGGATCGCTAGTCTGCTTTTATGCGGATGGTTCGCCAATGGCGCTATCTCAAGGTGCGTGCCATTTACTTATATTTTATTTTTGCCATGATCAAAAATTATCCCAGGCCTTCAGAAGATAGAGGCCAACTTTACCCGCATGTTGGTTAGAGCTTTCGGTGGAGCTTACGAGTTCCTTGGGTCCCGCACACTCACATGTTGACAGGCTAGGCCGGTCAATTTTTTTTAAAAAAGTATTCCAATATTAATTTTATTCCCGGCCTTCCAGAATCCTCCACCTCCCCTTCCGTTGTCCTCTCATCCTTCTCTCAATCGTTGGCGTTTTCACATTTTTCGGCGCGTTTCACTGAGGCGTTGGAGTGGGTAAACTTGGTCATTGTTGTTACGATGATGTAAGACTATGCTCTAAAGAGACTGATGACGACTAAGCTACCCTTAGTCCTTGCCTTCGGCTTCCCCTTGCCTCCTCTTGCCCTACTAACCCTCCTCCTTGCTCACCCACCCCTTGGGGGTGCCCCACTCCAGCGTTGTACGAGATGTTCTGTATGTAGTTTGTTGATGTATTTGGTGCTATTTGTCACCCGAATTCCATGGGGTCCTCCCGCCCTTGCTATTCCTGTATTACTGCGAGAGCGATGCCAGCGACTTAGAAATGCTTACAGGGTCCTTGTCTCACGCAAACAGCTGTAAGTGTGAAGCACCAAGACAATTCAAAATTCAATTTCACAATATGTATCATATACAATATATATTTAACCAATAGCGTTGGCAGCAGCCGCCCGAGTTGACTGGAATCGTTGACGTTTACTTCGACCCACAGTGGGAGTGTGTGACTCAACTACCTTGACACCTGCATGACCACCTCGGCTCTTTTTCTGACGCTTAGCAGGTGGTTCGATATCTATGTTGCTGGAATTCGGAGGGACAACTGAATCAGCTGGACTGGGAGTGATGACCACATTGGGTGTGGCAGAAGTAACTGGTGTGGTTTGGCTAGGCGTCATGGTAGCCACCATTCTGGCAGGGGTGATAGCTGCGGGAGCCGCTATGGCAGAGCTGGACATAGCGGGTTCAACCGTCCTGGTGGGGGTTGTGACTGGTATGGCGGGAGCCACTATAGCGGAGCTGGACATAGCGGGTTCAATTGTCCTGGTGGGGGTTGTGACTGGTATGGCGGGAGCCGCTATAGCGGAGCTGGACATAGCAGGTTCAATCGTCCTGGTGGGGGTTGTGACTGGTAGGGCGGGAGCCGCTATAGCGGAGCTGGACATAGCGGGTGTCATCGTCCTGGTGGGGGTGATGACTGGTATAGTGGAGATTGGCATGGCGGAAGCCGGTGTGGGAGAGCTCGTCTTGGAGGGAGTTGTAGCTGGTGTGGTGGAGCATGATACAGTGGGCGCAGAGGAAGTGGTTGGCGTGAGTGATGAGGACTCAAACTGATGACCAAC